GGGGCTACCACGGTCGACCTTGGAGCGCCAGGCTCGAGCGTCTACAGCACTGTGCTCAACGGTGGCTACGGCAACAAGAGCGGAACCTCGATGGCGACCCCGCACGTGGCTGGCGTAGCCGCTTTGGCCTGGAGTTATCGTCCCGACGCCAGTTACCAGGAAATCAAAGACGCCATTTTGAACGGTGCCGATCAGATTCCTGCTCTCGATGGAATCACCGTCACCGGCGGGCGACTGAATGCAGCCAAAACACTGCAACTTCTAGGGCTGAATGCCACGCCAATCTCACCGGCTAAAGGCGAGATTGTTGGAACGCCGCCTCTCTCGTTCACCATTCTCTTTTCAGACGATATCGATCAGGGATCGCTCGCAGCCAGCGATTTGCAAGTCAATGGCATCGCAGCAGACTCGTTCCTGGTAGACGCGCCGAACCAGGTGACCTTCAGCTTCAACGCCAGCCCTGTCACTCTGCAAGGGCTGCAGACCATGACCATGGCCGCAGGATCAGTTCTCCGCGACAGCGATGGATTCGACGTGAACGCCCTTTCGGCGACCTTTCGCTACGACGTGACGACTTTGGCCGTTACATCGATCGCCCCCAGCGACGGATCGCTAAACACATATCCGGTCACGCAGATCGAAGTTACTTTCAATGAAACGATTGATGCCGGTTCCGTTGGTCTGAGTGACCTGCTGCTCAGCGAAGGTACGGTCACGCATGCCGAAGCCATCGGCCTCAACACGGCCCGGTACACGGTCAGTGGCATCGAGACCGAGGGTGACATCATCGTCTCACTAAGTAGTTCTTCGGTGACCGATGCCTTCGGCAACCCCATGGCTCCGTTCTCGTCGAGCTTCGAGCTGGATGTGGACGAACGGCAGCTCGCCAACTTCCAGCGTGTTGAGCCCTATGGAAGCCTGGTCAGCGAAAGTCTCGATAACTTCGGCCGCATCGGCACCGGCGGAGACATTGACACACTCACCGTCGATCTTGTAACGGGCGAAACGTTGACGGCCGTAATTCACCCGAGCAACCCTCTGGCGCAGATTACTGCTGAGTTCGAGGGGCTCACCAGTCCTGTAGTCGGAGCGGCAGGCGCATCGGTTGTGGTGCCGCTGACCGCGGTTGCGGCCGACGGAACTGTGCGACTTCGTATCTCTGGTAACCTTACGACCGATTACACGTACGACGTGTACCGCAACACGCTTATCGAACCGCCTGGGGCCGGAGAAAGCGTTGGCCTGGCGATCGATGCCAGCCGGATTGATATCGCCGGATCGCGTTACGCCATCATTGCCACAAGTGCTCCCGCGGGAACTTCGACCGACGAGATGATGCTCGACTTAAGCTCTGCGGGAGGGCAGTATGTCGATGTCCTGTTGACGGGACTCGATGGAGTCGATTTCGCCGGTCAAACCTTGCAACTCTTAGATCCGAACGATCAGGTCGTAGCCACAGGAACCAATCTTCTCGGTGGCGATGTGCACGACGCTCATGTGGCAGTCTTAAACCACCACGTAGATACTCCCGGCGTATACACGCTACGAGTGACATCGTCGGTTGAAGGACGCTACAGCCTAATTGTTACCGAGGGAACGCTATTCGCTACCGAACCGAATAGCGTGACGAACCAGCCGGGGCGATCGCTCGACAGCACCGGACGTGCCGTTGGGCACTTAGGCACAAGGCTCGAAGACGGTATCTACTCGCTCTCGATCAATACCTTGCTCACTTCATTGGATGCGAGCGGCGAGGTTGGCGTTATTCCCGCCCCTCCGGTTCCCCTGCTTGAACAAGCTCCCGGGAGTTTAAGCACTTCGGCCACAGGCACCATCGACGTAGAAATTGCGAACGGGATGATTCGCATTCTGGATACAAGTTCGTTGGACCTTTTGGAACAGCCTGGGGCTTTCCTGCCAGGCAACGGTCCTGCTGATGTCGCAGCAACCGTGAATCTTGCTCCGCTAACGATGAGGGCCGCGATTCGGAACGTTGTCGCGACTGCAGTTAGCCAACAGGTCTCGCTTGATCCGAACAACCAGTTCGACATCGGTGGATTGCGGATTGTGCTTAACCAGGGACAACTCGATTACGAAGTAGTCGGGCTGCTAACCGATTTCTACGACCTGGACGGGCTGGTCGCCTTCAGCGACGAAGGGCCTGTCGGCTCGATATCCACGAATCCAGGCGAAGTAGTACTGAACGTGCCAGTGGTGGCAACGATTGATGAACAGGTCGAGGTCTTCCCCGGGCTTGTCGTGACATTCGCCTTAACGCTTTCCGGTTCGGTTGTGGCAACCGTTCCCTCGGGCGATGCGCAAGACATACACGAGATCACCGTCGAGGCTGGGCAGATTGTCACCATTTCGACGGCTACTCCGTCGGTGGGTGGCGTTGCACAAGACTTAGATCCGCTATTGAATGTCTACTTGCCTGATGGAACGCTGCTGGTTACCGAGGCAGGAACGCTGGAAGGTGGAAACGCCCAGGTGTCGTTCCTGGCGCCCACGAGTGGTGTCTATCGTATCGGTGTTGTGGCAGAGTCGGGCTTTGGCGAGTACGAACTGCTTGTTAATGACATTGCATCGTCGCTGCAGTTGGTGCCTGACGAGATCATTCCCGCGTCGACCAATCTCGTCTGGACGGGCACATTGGGCGACGATCATCTCGTCTTTACGCAGGTTGATCCAACAACGATCCAAGCGACATTGGTCAAGTGGGACGGAGCGACAGCCGCAGGTTCAATGACCTTCAGCGGAGTGACCGGTCGAGTTATCGCCGATACTCGCGAAGGGGACGATGTGATCGATGGCTCGGGACTGATCACAACCTCGGCAGAGTTCCACGGCAGACGAGGTGACGATACGCTGCTCGGCGGAGGGGCCGATGACATCCTGCGTGGAGAGACCGATGGCGGAGAGGGATCAGACTACATCGACGGCGGAGCGGGGAATGACACCATTTACGGCGATGGGTCTGAAGGCGGCACCGATGAACTCTACGGTGGCACAGGGAACGATCTGATCTTCACCGGAGGCGATGCTGACTATGCAGACGGTGGCATCGGTGATGATATTCTCGTGGGCGGGAGCGATCCCAGCTTCGAAGGCGACGGTGGTGAAGGTGGCGGTGATACACTGCTCGGTGGTGAGGGACGAGACATCCTCATCGGCGACAGCGGTTACCCCGGCCCAGTCTATCAAAACTCCGGAGCAGACGTCTTAGATGGCGGGCAGGGTGAAGACCTGATTATTGCAGGCCACTACCTCACCGACACCCAAGCCGACTATTTCACACTTCAGCAAGCCTGGCTATCGAACGACGCATTCACTGACCGAGTCACCACGATTGAAGGGACGCTCCTCCAGCCGGGGGTGAACCTCTTCAACGATCAGCAGGTAGGTGCTGCTGAAACCCTGGTCGATGAGGTGATCGGTGGAGATGATCTCGACTGGTTAATCTACGACTTTCCCAACGACATCGACGATGCAGACGCTACCGAGTTGACCCACGCAGTGGATCTCTCGCCTTTCCCGCGACTTTAAATAGTTGGTGTGATAAACGCCCTGCATTAGTCTTAGGCAGCCACTTCGGCTGAACTATGCAGCAGGCGGCGTGAACAGAAGGGATGCTCCTGGAAAGAACGCACATTCCCCTCGATTAAGAGGGTTCTCGCTGTTCGGCCGACAGTACAGTTTGAAATCTGTCGGCCGAAGCTGGGTATTGTGTGTTCGCGATTGTTTTCGTCTGGGTCTCATTCTGCGCCACTTGCGTTTCCTCGCTCATTCAGGCACATAATCGACGAATTAGGCCATGAAAATTGCTAAAACCTATCGACAACGCCCCGGTTGTGGTTCCGGCAGTTGCTATGATCGTTGTTCGAGATAGAGCGATCACATTGCGGGAGAGCCATTGTGGATTCTGCCGGTATCAGTTCAAAGCAGGGGCGGCCTCCAATACCCATGACCATGGACATCGCATTGATTTCAGATTCGTTGTCGCTTGGTGATCAAGGAATTTGGACGGCGGGAGAGTCGTCAGTCATCTCCTACCCCAGTGACAGAAACGCCCTTTGCTTTCAACTGGAAGATGCTTCTTTCTGGTTCCGCCATCGCAACGAGTGCATTGCAGCGGCCGTAAAGTTGTATCCGCCCGGGGGACCCATTGTTGATGTGGGGGGCGGGAATGGTTTTGTCGCGGCACGGCTCATTGAGGAAGGGTTTTCGACGATCGTTTTGGAGCCCGGCCCCGTGGGAGCATTGAATGCCAAGACGCGACGGCAGATTCCCGAGGTAATCTGCGCGACACTCGGGGATGCCAACTTTAAGGAGAACTCTCTCGCTGCCATTGGGCTGTTCGACGTGTTGGAACACATCGAAGATGACAGCGGCTTCGTGACACAGTTGCATCGTATCTTGAAACAAGATGGTTTGTTGTATGCGACCGTTCCGGCTCATCAATGGTTGTGGTCGTCGAGCGATGAAGGGTCGAAACATTATCGCCGCTATACTCGGCATATGCTTAGCGATGTGCTGTCTGAGCGCTTCGACGTGCTCTACTTCACTTACTTTTTCAAAGCGTTGATCCCACCTCAGTTCTTAATGCGGTCTCTTCCCTATAGAATTGGCATAGCCAGAAAACAGAAGGTGCTCAACACCTCCACCGAACACGGCACCGAAGGTGGTCTTATGACGAAGTTCATGGCCCGGCTTCTAAAGAAAGAGCTTTCCACTATTCAGAAAGGGAAGTCGCAGAGCATCGGAGCAAGCTGCCTGCTGGTAGCCAAAAACCGCTGAGAATGGCGTCCTCAGTTAGAGGTTGGCAAAAGTATAGGGTATCGGTTGAGAGTGGAGTCAGCAGCTATACATGCCAGTCTACTCACACCCGCCCTTCTCAGTAGACTAGTCACTTTCACCGCGCAATACTTCGACAGCACGACAGATGCAGTGTATCCAGCCTCACTCGCTGGCTGGATTTAATATTCGACCGTCGTGCGAGTCTAAGGGTCGGGCTGTCGAAGCTCGATTTCGAACGTCGAGGTATTCTCTGCACCTGGAGTGAGGTTCCAGGTTAGCTTGCTGTCAATATCGTATTTGCGTGGTACTACGGAACCGGCAGGCACAGCGGTTTCGCTCGCCTCCTCCGGCAATCGTGAAATGAGACTTGATGGCATGACAGTGAACCTGACGAGGTACTGTCCACCATGCAACCGGGCCTTCTCATCGAACGTAAAGTTACCGTTTACGATTGCAGCCGTGGCTTTGGGGCCTGTTGTCGTTCCAATTGGCTGCAGGGTGACGACCATTCCCGAAATTGGTTTTCCCTCGACCGACACTGTCCCTGAAGCTGTTGCAGGCTCGATCGCAGGCTTGCATCCGCCTAAGAACATCACCCCAAGAACCAGAAGTAACGACACTTTTTGGATTGTGAAGTGTATTACCATGGCAGCGGGTCAAGCACTCCACCGTCGTTTCGCTGAGCGAGTCTATTTAAAATGATCGAATCGACGCTTTCCTCGATGAATTTGACACTGCCATCACACAGTACAAATTGCGCTCCCCCGGGATGCTGGCTACGGAACGACTCCCAAGAAAAAAAGTCCGACTCCGATATTTCGGTAGCATTGTAGACCCCTCGGGTCGAACCAGTTGAAAAATAGGGATAGCTATTTGCCCACTGAGCTGTAGGAGGTGCATCATCCCCGAACGGTGTTCCTCCGTCCGTGGCGACTTTCTCTTGAATCCCAAATTCTCCAACAAAGATCGTATTAGAGAGCCCGTCCGTTATATGGCTAAAGTTGATCGGATACATAATGATGGGCTCACCTTCTTCATCCTCTCTGTCGTACACATTTAAGGCGTCGATGACTGCGCCATTATTTTCGTAGTCCCGGTAGTACTCCGATCCGGTCGACAAAGCATAACTAGACGAGCCTGGGTCTAGCTCTAAGTCTGGCATCGATGGGCACAAATGAACCGCGGGAGTGCGGGCTACTAATTCTCTATTCTCAAAATCATTGGGACCTTTTTCGAGGTCCAGTTCCTCGTAGAAATTCTCTTCCTCTAGAAAAGGAAAGAGTGTCACCCAACCAGACATTCCCGCTCCGTAGACGGGTTTGCCACGAACCGTGCCCACGACAATCCGAAGTACACTCGGTGGAAGCTGGCCCTTGACATCGTGATGCATCTGCATGGCGATGCCGAATTGCTTCAAATTGTTACTGCAGGACATCCTTCGGGCAGCTTCACGAGCCATTTGCACTGAGGGCAATAGCAGTGATACGAGGATGCCGATTATTGCGATCACCACCAAAAGCTCAACGAGCGTGAAAGCTCGATGAGTCCTGTGACAACTCTTACGTCGTGGTCGTGGGTTCATTTTCGCTACTAATGAAAAATGCATGAAACGTTCTCCAACGATTCAGGCGAGATTGCACTTTACGGGTCGCTATCCGTTTCCTCTTCGCCGATTTCAATCGTGTCGCCCAGCAGGTCTTCATCGAAGTCGTAGAAGAACCAGTCCAGGGCACCCAGGCCGCCGATCAGCGTATCTTCGGCACCGTCGTCGACAATCGTCACGCCGGGCTGAAGCTTCCATTGACCGTTCACACCGGTCGAGGTGATGCCCATGATGTTGGTGATCCGCTCGGAATACGGTCGGGCCGACTTCCATTCTTCGTGGATCGACTGAATGGCGGAGTGCTGGTCGCTGAACAAGAAGTGATCGCTCACGATCAAGTCTTCGCCGCCACCACCATCGAGCGTGTCGGCACCCAGGTAGCCGTAGATCGAGTCGCGTCCTTCGCCACCGGAGATGTAGTCGCCTCCATCGGTGGCGCGTGTGCCGCCGATAATGACATCGTTCCCATTGCCGCCGTAGAGGAAGTCGCCCAGCGAACCACCGACGATGATGTCGTCGCCATCGCCGCCGTAAATCTCCATCACATTACCCGGGCCCAACTCGCCGGCCAGGATATCGGTGAACCCATAACCGTGCAGAATCACACGGCCCGTGACGGCAGAGCCGAGGAACACCAAGCGGTTCTGCGGGATAAGCCCTTCGATCTGGAAGTAGATCGACATACCAGGAGCCTGCCCCAGGACGAACACCGCATCGAACAGCGGAGTACCACCCCAGATGAGGTCGGTGTTGCCGAACCCGTCATCACGCAACACGTGCGGTGTAACTGTGATGGGCAACTGGCTGAAGCTGCCGGTCGAAGCGTCCTTGTCGGTAGCCCGCACCTGAATGTTCGTTCCAGGCGTGAGATTCGGGAACGCGTGCTGCACGGTCGTCCCGCTTGGCACCCCGACCAGGGTTTGATCGACCGAACCGTTGCCGTCCCAGTCGATTTCAAACGTGAACAAACCAGCTTGATCAACGGGCGAAGCATCGGTGGCGGTCAGCGTGAAGGTCACCTCTTCACCGCGGTAGATGGCCGTGGTGCCAGAGATCGCCGCCGAAGGAGCCACGTTGTTCACCGTGACCGTCGTCGAATCGGTTGCACCACCGGGCCCGTTCACTCGCAGGCCGATGGTGTAAACACCATTGTCCAATGCGTTGAAGTTGGGGCTCACCCCCACCGCGTCGTCGTACTGACCATCGTTGTCCAAGTCCCACTCATACAGCGTGGCACCCGTGCTGCCGGCCCCACTCAGAGCGATGAGTGTTCCCTCGTTACCCGAGTAAGGACCACCAATGTCGGCCGTGGCAGCCACGCCACCTTCACTGATCGAAACGGTAACCGTGCTGCCGGCGGTCCCGAAAGCATTATTCAGTAGTTTCGGGAACGCACTGCTGCCGTTGTAGTTCGAGTCAGAACTTACCGCAGCGTGGGTAATTGTACCTGAATGTGGATCGGATTCAGGCGTGCCATCGTTGACGGCTCGCACAAATACCGTGCGTGATGTGCCGCCCGAGGTGGTACTGAATACGATAGATGCGATCGAACCAAAAGTCTCATCGGTGTGGTCACCATCTTCATCTGTATCAATCGCAATTTCTTGTTGGGCATTCGAAGAGATATTCACCGTGACCGACGAGGTTGGATTGGTGCCGATGAAAACCTCATACGAGTCGACCGAGGAGTCACCTTCGGTCACATCAGTGGAACCACCGCTCTCGTAGAGAAGTAGTCCGGGGATTTGCTGATTTGTGGATTCATTCGTATTCACGGCCAACCCGGGCACAACATCCGTTCCAGGCCCTGGCAGGCCAAAGGGATTGTTGCGTACGAATGGGTTAAACGGCGACGGGTCGGGAAATGCTGTTGCCTGGGCGTGTGCGTCTACTTGAAATTGATCAAGCGACAGGCTGGTTCCGGCAGCGGTGAAATCCATTGTGTACGACGACATTGGCGCCGCAAAATCCCACACAGCCAGGTAGTCAACACCGACCCCACCAAGACCACCTAAGACCGAAGTGTTGAGCTGTTCCGTGTAACTCGGGGCCACGCCATTTAGCAAGACAGAAGCGTAATTCAGTTCAGTCCCAAGTGTCCGCCACTGCGCTACGACCCGTGTGAAAGAACCCGAAAGGTCGCTTGTATCAACGACTGCATCGAAATCGAGTACCGTTGAGAACGAGTAGATATTACCGCCTGAGGCGAGGAACGCACCCGCGGTGTTTTGGGTCACTTTTGAATTGGCACCCGAACCAAACGAATTCGCATCTGGGAAGTTTCCGGGAGAGCCAATGGGAACCGTGAAGACGTCCCAGGCACCGCTGATCGATCCGGAAGTTTCAGCGTCCCAGCCAAAGCGTTCATCCACCGCACTTGCACTTAACAGCGAACCGCCGTAAGTCGCAACGAAACCGTCCGGGAGTCGCGAGGCGCCTCCAACAACTGTTCCGCTACCCGGCTGTGGGGCGTCATAGTTCGGGGCGAGGACTACACTCGCGTAGTGCGCGTCGCCGGGGTCACCGTCATCAATCGAAATAGCATCTTGGGGTCTGCCGCCGATGGTGGTGTAAGGCACCGGTGCATCCAAAATTCCGTCATTGTCCACATCCAAGTCGTAGCCAACTGTGACAGTCGGATCCAGACCTTCAACCAATATCCAGGTCATCGACCCGTCTTCGACTTGGTTATTGAAATTGAATGCCTCGCGAGCACCATCGGGAATACCTGGATTGATCACGGTGATCGAGCCAATCTCACCCATGTCGGCGCCGTCACCATCGACTTGGAGCAGGTGAAAAGTTGCAAAGGTTGGCCCCAGTAACGAATCATTGAGATTAATCAGTTCAACATATTCGTTCGTATCCGATCCCTCGTGATTGTTGACAAACTCATTAATTGCGAGCCGATCCAGGTCGGTATCGTTGTCGAAAATCTTAGCGCTTAGCGAACCAGACAGGCCGTTAAAGCTCGAATCAGAACTCGAGGCACCCCAGTTCACAGGTACGATGTGAGTGCCTTCGACATCCAGGTCGTTCACGCTTCGGATCACGATGTCCTGAGGAGTCGACCAATTTGATGGCGTAAATGTCAAATTGACTGATGGATCAAAAGTAGTATCAAAGGGATCGTCGCCAAGCAAAATGTCCGATGAATCACCCGAGGTGAAAGAAACAGTGACGTTGTGAGTTGGGGCTGAATCCAGCGAAACCCAAAACTGGTCAATACTCGAAGTACTGGAATCCTCACTGACTCGCAGATCTACGGGGCTTAGTGCCAGCTCTTCTTCACTGAAATTCACAACGGCCAGCAGTTTGCGTTCTTCCAGCTGTTCAACCAGTGGAAGGCGTCGCGCTTGACCCCGCGCGCGTCGGAGTCGAGAAACCTTCGGGTCTATAAGAAAGGACATGTAGTTTCCTTCACCTTGAGAGCACTGCAAGCACTACATCGTTGAATGAGCCAAATGATGGCGGCAAAAGAACTTGCCATCCCTGCAGCATTTCTTTGTGCGACATAGTCCCTGGGCTGATTTACGGCACCCCTGGATTCCTAAGTCCAGCCTTGTATCGGTGATCAGGCTGGCTGCTTCAGTTGAGACACAGTCTCAATTAAGCGATTATTCTACTACTGCACGAACCAGTGTCAAGCTACTGGATAGATATTTTCCCCCCTTAAGAGAGGGCTGGACCCGCCCCGATGCATGCGCGATTCTCAAGGCTGGAAGCGCCCTAAGATTCAAGATTAGAGTCTGCTTACTGAGCTGACTTTCAGACTCCGGATTGAGATCAGGTATTGAGAGCATCCTCGAAAGGGCGTCAGTTTTTCTGCCTGGGAGATTCCCGAGGAATTCGGCGAGTGGTGGCATCACGAACAATTCGGTAAATCGACTAGAGAGCTTTGCGAGATACAACGCCCTGGAGTCTAGGCAGTAACTCTCTCGGTCAGTGTTCTGGCGGGTTGCTGTTCAAATGAAAGCTGAAGAGGTTAGTACCGTCCTTCGTCGCCGTCACCTTTAGTGATGATGAGCTGTTGTACTCTGCTGGCAACAATTCCTCGGAATGGATAGTCAGGTGCACCAATTCCTGGGGTTCTTCCGGTAGCTTTTCTCCCTCAGGCAGCCGCGGGGCTCGGATCTCAACAAGGAGTACTCCTGCCATCGGGCCTTCCTCTTGGGCCAATGAGAATGCTCCATCTCGGATGATGCCGCCGACCCGTGGTCCCTTGGTTCCGGTGAATTGAATCGAGCCGTATTTCAACGGCTCTCCATCTAGGGTGACCACGCCCTCAATCGGAACACGGTCTAGGTGTGATTTCCGACTACAGCCAGACAGTATCAAGAGGACACATAGCGCCGACAAAGCGACAACCAAACGACGAGAATTCAGAGCGGCGAGGTAGGCGTTGAAACTAGAAACCATCAACCAGATCGCCTCCGGCCCGAGTTGCCAGTGCGTCCAGCACAATGGCATCGATTGACTCCTCAACGAAATGCACGGCACCGTCTGCGTAGACAAAGTTCACACCACCGGGATGGTCTCCGCGAAAGACTTCGTACTCGTGACTCACAATATGCCGACTATTGAAGATTCCCCCCGTACTGCCATACGCCTGCCCCGGATATGCAACCGCCCACTGGGTTAATCCTCCGGGACAACAATCGTCGACCAGTTCAACGAGCGTGTAACCCAGCTCGCCAATTAAGAATGTGTTTGAAGACCCATCGGCCGTGGAGATGTCGTCGATTCCAACGTGATAGAAGCCGTCGCCGAGCATTACGAATGCGCCGTTGTGGCCATAGAGATCGGCGTCGTGGCGATGGTGACTTCCAGTCGAAAGTGCATAGCTGCTAGGGGCAGGGCGGGTATGACAGCCTGGCCCCCGTAATTCAAGCTGCATTGAAGGGCAGCGGTGTATTGCCAGGGGTTCTCGGGTGAGTGTTTGGTTGGGCTCAAAGTCGGGAGAGATGTTGAAGTCCCAGCTTTGATACAACAGCTCTTCCTCGATGTAAGGCAAGATCGAAACAAATCCACTTGCCGGTCGTGCAGGGATGATGCTCCCCGGAGGATTCCTTCTAAGGCCCGCCGGTGGGAGGATTCCATAAGTTTGCTGGTACATATGCATTCCCAGCCCCAACTGCTTGAGGTTGTTGTTGCATTGCATGCGTCGCGCTGCCTCTCGAGCGGCCTGCACCGCAGGCAAGAGAATAGCGATGAGAATACCGACGATCGCAATGACGACTAGCAACTCGACAAGGGTGAAGCCACGACTATCCACAGACTTTGTATTCTGTGACCGTCTTGGCCGGAATCTGAGCAGGCGTCCTTCAGTGGCACCCTGGGAAGTTGAGTGCTCCCCGCAGAGAGCACTCAAATCATGAGAGTGACCAGCAGCTGGGCTGGCGACTGCTTGCGGAGTATTCGCCAAGTGACGATTCATCATTGCTGCTCGAAAAATTCCATGGGGGGAATAAACCCGCCGGGCAGCTTGGCTGGCATGCAGAAGCGCACGCAGCCAAGCGGACCGACGGCACTACTTCACTTGGCACCACATCCATGTGAAAGCCTGAATTGCGACTTCCTTGTCGGTTCGGCTGCCAGAGTGCAGGCTAGTGACGGTCGCGTTTTCGCGACCGACGGCTTGCGAACAGCATTCCCAATGCCGCCGTACCCATCAGGACAAACGTGTTTGGCTCAGGAACGGCATACATCTCATACTCGTCGTACTGATCGAGACGGAGCTGATAGAGTTGAGCATGCTGAACACCGGTAAACTCAATCTCAAAATCGGTGATCGCACCGAGCGAGGACAGGTCCCATTGGACAAGGTACGTATTTATAAATACGTCCTCTTCCCCCGTTGGCATCGTGACAGTTCCGTTGAAGAACTGCTCCAGCAGAGCGGAATTGTCGGCAACCAAGTTTTGACTGCCGCCGTTGTAGCTCAGGGTTGGTAATTCATGATCGAGAAAGTCAAAAGTCCACGCTTCCCCGATTTGAATCTGGAAAACGACATTCTCCAGATCTCCCAACGGAGTAGCATCGGTGACGGAAAGCGTGCCACCATCGTTGTTGATGTCAGCACTAAATCCCCCGTAGTAAATCGACGAGCTGGCCGGGTAGGGTCCGCCACCCGTTCCGTTGGACACCTTGTTCAGGTTTGCATCGCCAGAGCCAGGAGCACTGGAACCAATCGGTCCTGGCCAAGCTGCACTTCCTGGGAATCCGGGATAGCCAGGATTTTGCGAGATCGTAAGGCTTCCTGTCGCCCATTCGTCGTATTGAGTAGCTCCAGGCAAGCCTGGGTCGATCAACGCCATCGGATCGGCCGACACGGTTGCCGAGTTCAGAACTGGTAAAATTAAAACGGCTGAAGTACGGATTACGGCTTGGATGCGTATTCCCATCATGCGAGTCACCTCGATTGACAAGTGAATGAAGTTAAAGAGGTTCCGACGCATAGCCGGGCTGACAACGCGGCAAGTGTGCCGAGTCGCGGCTACTTCACACAGAAGAGTCGATGAAGCCCGTGGATATGCGATGTGGACCGAAAGAGTCGGTCTGAGATTTCGCGGGCGGGCTGAGAGGGCTGGCTGGCTAAAATCTTAGTACAAGCGTGCCCAGCTACAGGCACTGCAGTGCGCAAGTTAATTGCACACAAACTAAGGCATTAGCAGTCCTCCCAAGTGAAAGTGGTATAAACTAGGTCAACATTCGAGAGTGCCGAAAGTATCGACCAATAACGGGCAGGCTTACTTTGGCTGGCGGGGCAATTGAGACAGGATCTCAACTAGCTGGCTATTCTACTTCAGCGTATTTTCGAGTCAAGCAGGCTCGTTGAAATTTAAAACGCATCAGGAGTTCACGAGGACGGGTACCCGCAGCAAGGCGGCACGGAAGTGAGTACAGCCTCTAGGCGTCTGGCTGGCTAATTAGTTTCCGCTACTCGCTTTCAGTCTGCCTAAAGGCAGGCCAACTCATCTTGTAGTGGTTTGTGGGACGGCCACTATTTTTGCTGCTTGGCTTGGTCAACTACCAACCTCGCGGCGGGGACTCGCGACTTCGTGCTCGTCCACTGGATTACTACCGGGCGACTGTTTTGTTGGCAGGCCAAGGTGCGGCAATACCCGGCTCACGGGGAATCCAACACTCGAGTATCGATAGCCGGAAGGGTGTCGAATCCAAGGTTGTGGGGTGGGTGACGTCGCGGCTGTTGGCTACTCTTTTCTATGCAAGGCAGCTTAGTCGCCAATCGTGGTAAAGTTATCGTTCATCCAGATCAGTTGGATAGCTGGCAAGTCGGTGAAGGGTGGATCGTGCGAGAAAACTCTTGCTGCTGCGACCTGTCGAATTCGGCTTCGCCTGTTTAAATGGCTTGCCCAAGGAGCCCTTCGAGCACTGCGCTCACTTGTGTTCTTGAATCATAGGTGTGGCTTCGCTCTTTGAGAAAATTCTTGCTTGAAGAAGTCTTTCGGTGCCGGTGATCGCTCTCGTCACACGGTCACCTCGAAAGATCGGCTAACCGATACCTGTGGTTACGCCACAGGCTGCCCCTCTCTCTCGTCCCAATTAACAGTCAATCTCCGTTTTTTAGCTAAGTCGGATGCGACGGTTGGGCCTGGCATGGTTGCTAACCCGACTGACTTTGTTGAGCAGAGGGCGCGAGGGTGTGAACCGAGACTGTTCGTTAGTGCGATACCGGAGAACTCCATGGGTACTCAAAGAGAGCTCCCCACTGTGGTGGAGCGAGTTTTCAACTAACCCAATGGGTCCCAGGAGTCCACGACTTCGAGCATGGGGGATTAAATTCAAGGTGAGCCTTGCAACTGGACATGGCATTCGCGTGAAGTGATAATGCCGCTTCTCATCTAGGCGGCATACAGAGTTGGCGGCACAATCCCTGCGTGAATCACTGTTTGTTCTTCTCAAGAATGGGAGCTGCTCATGACTATTCGCAAGATCACTTCACTTTTGCTGTATGCGATGACCATCGTCTCCTCCAGCTCAATCACTCAAGCAGCGCCTTACGTTCCGCCATCGCTGAATCCCGGCGACTCGTACCATCTGGTCTTTATCAGCGACGGCTTGCACGATGCCACGAGTGGAGTTGTCAGCACCTACAACAATTTTGTTCAGAGCCAAGCGGCACTGAATCCAGGGCTCACTGGAACGAACGTGGGCGTAACATATAAGGCAATTGCTTCGACAACTGCCATCGATGCGAACGTCAATGCCCTGGTGTCTGCACCCGTTTACAATTTCAATGGCGATAAGATTGCCGACAACTTTGCTGACATGTGGGACGGCACCATCGACAATCCGATCGCTTACAACCAATTTGTTGCGACGATATTCCCGCCCGACATTTGGACCGGATCTCAGACGTCCGGCATAGGATCTGTTGGCTCAGAGTTGGGGCAGGCGAATCCACGAACGGGGCGTTCCGATCTAGCTGATGGCCGGTGGATTGACGAGATATTCTCAAACTCCTCATTCACTTCGAGGTTCTACGGCCTCAGTCAGGAACTCACTGTTCCTGTGCCTGAACCGTCCTCGTTTGCTCTCGCGGCAATTGCGGTCTGTTGCTTATGCGTTGTTAGAAGGCGGGTTGGCTGATAAGGATTCACTCTCAGTCCGCTCAGGTGATAGGGGGGTTCCCTAGTTCTCCGAAAAGTACCGTCTTTGCGGCAATCTGCACGAGCGAGCTCTAGAAGTGGTTGTAATTGCGGGGCTTGTTGAGTTCGAGTCCATTTTCGCATGTAGGGCAAGACAGACACGCATGGAAAAACTGCCAACAGGTTAACAGTGGCTAGAGAACTTTCTCACTTGTCCGCCTGATACCGATACCTTGAGAGAATTGGTTTTCGCCAATCGGTTCAAAAGCGGACGAGGAACAACCTGCCGCTTTTTCCACGATCAAGTCCGCGGCGAGACACACCTTGATGGATTGCTCAAGCACCACCCCCGAGGTGCGGGAGTCGTTATCCTATGGTCAGTCAAGCCAACAATGGACAGTGCCAGCGGTGCGCCTAGCTGCACATTTGGCGATGTTGAGCGACAAGCCACCGCGTTTATTGACGGGATTGAAGGAATAGCCGGCAGTGGGTACCTGTATTCGGTCAAGACCAGGCTTTGACATCAATTCATCAGCCTTTGAAAGTCTGCTCCTGTGGAAAAGGGTTTTGGGAAACCGCGATCGCGCATAGCTTCCAGGCGAGTGTGAGGTCTGCCAGCGCACTACGTACTATATGAAATCGTCTTGACGCATCACTTCCACTGTTTCAGAACATGCGGTGACACGGTTGTCCGGAGTGATCTCAGTGCGTAGGTGATACAGGATTTGTTCTGCAACGTTTCGTGGAACCACTGCCTCAATCCTTACTTGTGAGTTGGTGGGCCCGTCTCCGCTCGCCAGAATAGAACGTCCAGCTCCGTAACAAGGGATGGCGGTATACCCTGTGGCGCCCAGTTCAACAAACTTCGAGACCAAAGGCTCTTCGAGACTTGCGTCCGCGACAACCGTAATTCTTTGCAGCCGCACGAGTGCGCGTTTACGGGCGGCGAAGTCATGTCGCGAGAGTGCCTTGTGGCCATCCAGCCCTTTCACTTTCAGGTGTAGCTTAGCGTCCTCGAAGTCGCGTTCTAACTCCTGTAACTTCTCCATAACGCTGTGGTCGACTAGTTTGCAGTCGGAGAAGTCTAACTCCACATTTCTACGCTCGATCAGGCCGAGTCTGATAACGTTTCTGCGAAAGAGGATCCAGTTGCTGAAGACCGCCGAATAATGGGCACGAACGACCGCCAAATGCTCGTCTTTGAGTTCAACATCGAAATATGGCTTGAACAAAGACCATACTGGTACACCGTTGATGACATGAATCAGCAGCTTGACAGCAATGCCGATTCCAATACCAATCAGCAAGTCCGTTGCAAGCACACCCACCAAGGTGGCGACAAAGATCAGCAGTTGTTCCTTGCCGATCTCGTAGACGTGCATGAACTCTTTAGGATGAGTTAGCCGAAAGCCGGTGTAGATCAGCATGGCCGCTAATGCAGCCAACGGGATGCGGTGCAACACCGTAGGGATTAGTGCCACACAGAGTAATAGAAAAAGCCCGTGCCACAGGTCTGCGAAACGGGTTCGGGCCCCGTTGTCGATGTTTGCTTTACTACGAACAATCTCAGAGATCATTGGCAGACCACCAATGAAGGCACTTGCAAGATTGCCTACTCCGACCGCTACTATGTCGCGGTCGAGGTTGGTTTTGCGTTTCCAAGGATCGATGATGTCGATAGCCTTGGCCGAGAGAATCGATTCGAGGCTACCAATGGCAAAGAACATGAATACCCATGGCAGCGCCGTCGTGACATGATCGCCATCGAACGCTCTAAAGTCGGGGGTCGTGATGTAGTCGAACATGCCGAAGACTCGGTCCGGCATGTTCACAAGGAATGACTCTCCAATTTCGTAGGTATGCCCCTGGAAGGAGTACGAGTGCTGGTGAAGCAGATCGAAGTACATGCCAATTGGAACGGCAACCACTAAGACCACCAGTGCGGCTGGAACTGCCTTTAGTGCTTTATTCCACCCTTGCACCGAGGGCCACAAGAACATGATCAAGACACTGATGCCCCCGATCAGTGCAATTTCCGGATTCAGCTCGGTGAAGTAATGAGGGATCTCCTTCATCATTTCCAGGGGCTCCCCGTGGGCGCCTTGAACGCCCAGTGCAATGGGAATGTGCTTTACCATGATGATCACACCAATGGCAGCGAGCATGCCGTGAACGGCCGAGAGCGGAAAGAATTCGCCAAGTATTCCGGCACGAAATACTCCGAAAGCGATCTGCATCACGGCTGCAGCCACTCCCACGGCTAACGCCATGCGGTAGGCATCCATGTCAGTTTGCGTGACCTCACCCATGAACCCGGTGCCGCCGAAGGCCTCGACGCAACCGACAGCGATTACAATCAACCCGGCGGCTGGTCCCTTGATGGTCAGCTCAGAGTTGCTTATGAACGTCGTGATAATTGCCCCGACGATAGCCGTGAAAATCCCCGCAATGGCCGGATAGCCACTTGCCAAGGCGATTCCAAGGCACAACGGCAAAGCAATGAGAAAGACTAGGAAACCCGAAACGAAGTCGTACTTGAAATACTTGACGAATCCGGACGCGTTCCCGATGGGGGGCTCAGTCTGCGGACCACTTTCGAGCGTTGCCATGATGAAGTTCCTGCTCTCTCGAATCACATTCTATTTTTGGAAGAAAGTGGCTGAAGCGGCACTGCCTGTTGCCGTGTCTTTTTGCCTAACAACATGATTTGGCTTCACTTCTTCGGCCGGCACTTTCCGGCGTGACATGATCTCGGTGGCAGCGTGAAATCTCGAGACGACGCCGGGCTGAGGATACAATCCGCCTCCAAGAATCAGGGCACTTAGCGCCAATACCGCGACTTTCTCCGGCAAGCGAGCCTTCAACGGGATTGATGAGGTATGCTCCGTGCCCGTGAACAGGCGAAAGTAAGCATGCATGACAGCGATCCCGTTGAGTGCGGCTGCAAACACCACAAGCATGCCGACGTAGGGATAAACATCCACAGCGCCCTCAACCAGCAATTCAGCACCAACAAAACCTACCGTTCCCGGGAAACCGATACTGGCCAGACCAGTTAGCAAGAAGAAAGTCGCCAGCTGCGGAACGTGCTCATATAAACCGTGGTAGCTGGTCAGCGACAATCTCCCCGTGCGAGATTCCAACGCTCGCAAAGTGAGGCCCAAACCCGCGAGTGACAAGCCTATCGATATCCACACGCACAGGCCCCCCGTCAATCCGATCGGTGTAGCGACCTCCAGCCCCACCAGAACTAGGGAAGCGTTCGCCAGAAACAGATAAACGAAGAACCGTCTCGCTTCTCGCTGAACGAGTGCCATTGCGGACGCATAGACCGCGGTTGCCAGCGATATCAGGGCAATCGTCTGCAGCGCCCAATCTGGCGCAACGGGCAACACAAGCCGCACAGCGGCATAGGCTCCTGCCATTGGGGTGACGAACAGCAAAGCCGTGCCTAAGGTCGCGTTCTCGAACAGATCGGTCATCCAACAGTGCACTGGCACGCTGCCACTACGGATCAGCACCGCTGCGATCAGCATGCCTATCGCCCAGATCGAGTGTGGAGCATTCTCTCCCTCCGCATCAATCATGGCCCAGCCGCCGGCGAGCAGCCCGACGAAAGCCACCATGTGAATCAGATACACCCGCAGCGAACGTCCGCGAGATCTGATCTCAACGGCAGGCGGAATCGTCTGGGCTGCCAATAGCAGAATGATTCCCCATGGAGACCGACAGCTCAGCATGGCTAGAACTATTGCCAGCGAGACAAGGGTCCAGGCAAAAGGAAACCGACGCACTTTAGTTCGAAGCGTAGTCAGCATGGTGAGAAAAAAGAGCAACCCCGCGAGTGGGATCAGAGGTGCACTCAACTCGTCAATGACGAGAATATTCTCACCAAGCAGATTTGAAACGACGTCCCACTGGTCATGCGCTTCGAAGGTATGCAATGTACTGAAATCTTCCCAGGCCCCAACCGCAAGAAATAGCGTGATCCCGCTAGTGATCAAAGTCCGCTTGCGAGCAACCTCGGGATCGCGTACGCGAGCCAGTAATAACAAGCCGATCACGGGCGTGATGACCGTCAACTCAATCCAAGGCAAATGCAGTTCGAGCATCTAGAATCCAGTTTGTTTACAGCCTTAACTCATCTACAAAGTCGTCGCGTAGTTCAACATCATCCGACTCACGCGAGTGTCCGCCCGATAACCAATCCGTCCATCGCCGTTCATTGGCGTCACACCACTCGAACACGCGTTGGAACGGATAAACAATGTAGTAGTCTAGAAAGACATCTAAATAAGCTCGTTCAAGGGCAAAGCGATACCACCACAGCCGCGTGCGGTCAGACAGGGTGCGATGCCAGAAGCTCGGTTCGTGATGAAGATGTCCGCCCACTGCATTTTCCAAGGCGTGATAGTCGTGCAGCAGGGTCGGTGCTCGCAGTAGTTGCAGGGTTCGAAGACAGGCATGCCCGATGATGTGAATCAGGGCAATGTAGCGAAGACCAATGCCAATCTCGGCAACAATAATGCCAACCTGCGTCAAAGACGCATATGCAAGTGCACTTTTGATATCCGTTTGCACTCGTGATGAAACCGCGGCAAACACAGCAGTCGTGAGGCCAACGACTACAACAAGGACGGAGAGTGCCAACGAAAGTTGCAATATGGGGCTAACCCGCAACAAGAGGAAAGCACCTAGGTGAACCGACAGCGATCCATAGAATATAGCGCTGGACGGCGTAGGGCCTTCCATGGCTCGCGGTAACCAACCCGAAAAAGGTACTAGCGCAGACTTCCCTGCTGCTGCAAGCAACAGCAACACTCCCACGAAGAAGGCTTGCTCTGACGTTAGCGATGCATGGCCTTCAGGCCATGACCCGGTGCCCATCAGGCCGCCGAAATCGCCTCCGCCGGTAAGATGGTGCAATGCCACAGCGGCTATCAAGAATGCGGCATCGGCAATGCGGTAAACGGTCCATACTCGCAACCCGTTCTGCACCGGAGAAACGCGCTCGTGAAAAAATGCAACTAGGAGTGCGGATGACAAACCGACCAATTCCCACCCTAGGAACAGTACCTCGATTGTGCCCGCCAACGAAGTGACGATCATGCCCAGCGTGAAGAACGAATAGCAAACGTAGAATCTTCGATACCCTGGCTCACGGTGCAGATAGCGGCTAGTGAATGCCCCTACGGTCCCGCACAGTAAGAACGACAGTATGACGAAGGGCACACTTAAACGATCGAAGACGAACTTCACGTGGAAATGAAAATGTTGTTCGGGAATTACAACCCACTCGCCAATCTCGATTGGCACGTACCGTGTGTTCACCGAGAGCATAATTCCAAGGATCGCAACAGCGGCTACCAAGCCTGTAACCGTGGTGGCTTGCGTCCACTTTTCTATGGTTGTTTCACGCAGCGGTCTTCCAATCAGCGAAGGCACACCCACCACAGCGACTAGCGCTGCGGGGCTTGCGACGACGAACAGGCCAAGAACGTGAAGAATGGATTCAGTGTTCATGAAGTCTTGTAGTGCTGCCTTGAATTGTCTGTGATGCTGGCAAAACCCAGGTGATCGCGCCACCCGCGATACCAATCGATCGATGAGTTGGCGGTTGGTAATTCGTTGGTCGTTGGCCGATACGGTACGAACTGCCCCCGATGATAGACCTGTATCTCAGAGGTGCTGGGTTCCAGCGCGGCTAACTGAACCCAGTTGCCTTGCACCAATCGAGCAATACCTTGGTTGTTTTCGATGATGCTTTGAAGTGCTGAGGGTGTCGCTTCGATCACGAACAATAGCCGCACGGGCTCGTGAATCTCGACCATTTGCCACGGCAACCCAGGCCGCAAATCGCTCGCCGCTCCGTTCATGACCCCGAGTAACGAAGTAATGTTGTGCGGCAACTTCGTGCCGCATCCATATCCAATGGGATCGACGAACGAGAAGTAGTATTCGAGATTGATGCCCGCACAAACCGGGATAACCGCCTGCAGAATACGGTTAAGGATGGTGTGGTCTTGATCGTCTTGAGCGGGGTCATACGTCTGCAAGAATGCTCGCCGATCAAGAAACAGTCCACGAGACCAATCGCGGCGGCCGACGAAGCAAAGCGCGTTGGTTGCGTGCCCGTACTCTGGTCGAACTTGCGACAAGTCCTCTGCCCGTCCTTCGACGTGACGCAACGCTGCTTCCGGTGATAAGCGTAACTCTGCGGACTCAAAGCGACGGCAACGTTCATGAGCGCTTCTCGCTCGCGCTACATTGATTGCCTGGGTGGCTTGTTGCATGTCAGGTCGGTGTGTCGATGGAACACGATCGAGATCATAGTAGGAAACGCTGTCGTCGCAGGTGTTGTGATATGCGCCGACGAATATGGTGTCGCTGGGAATTGTCAAACCATTTCTGGCCACTAGTTCGCGAACACGAGAGTCATTTGCCATCTGGGCGAAGGCACGTGCATTTGGACCGCCTCGTCCACCACTACAAGCACCGCAGTCGTGAGCCGCTTCGTGCGGATTGTTCATGCTCGATGAGCCGTGACCGCAAATGATGACCAAGCGAGAGATGTTCTTCGTGAGTCCCATGTCGCGCAGCAATCGTTCTACAACTACAGCCATCTCATCGACTCGGTACCCGATGTGTCCGTTATCCGGACCAGGGTCACTCTCGGTTCTCTCCAGGTGTAGTTGCGTAACTGCCGGAGGGCGGACAAGGCTGCCGAACAACTGCCGGAAGTTTGCCGTCGCACGCGGGAAAAGAATTCTCATCACTAGTGGGATCGAAGCAACGGAACCGAATACTGCTGCGATCCATCCACCGGCGAATGTGCGGCTGCCCACGTGAGCCCGATGCGTTACCGTGCCGATAGCACGTCGACGCCTGCGACGTTGCCGATCTGATTGTTCGAGTGAGTAGGCGGCATCTTCAACCACGTAATGCTGGGGCTTGATGATCACTGGGCATAAGGGCGTAAAGTGAGCATCAGCCGCCCCTCGGTAGTAGATCGCCACAGCAAAGAATCCGGCGGCCCCTAATGTCTCGCAGTCGGGTGCGATTTCCTCCAGGTGTCGCCGGAACGATTCTTCGCGCTCATCGATACAACAAACGAGTTGAAATGAAGCTCTGGAGTGACCGCCGGTCTCTTGTTTCAACATGGCCCTCCTGCGACTGTGCAGCGCCACGGCATCGAGTGTTTGATTGCGATATCGCTTTTCAAAGGCGAGATGGTAGATCCGACGTCGATGCAATCCGGAAAACCCAACGAGTTCTCTTAATAGCAGTTCCCATTCGGCAACAGACAACCGGCACAGTAACTCTGGGCTCCAGCCAATAACTTGGGCCAGTTGAAAAACCAAGAAAGCTCTTTGATCGACGCCCTCATTCACGTGTTGTGAATCTTGGGCGAACAAGTATGGACGAAGCTCGTTGAGTTGCCCACAAAACCCAAGAGATTCCTGTGCCACGTATTCCAGTGCAATGCGATCAAGAATGAGTCGGATTGCGAGGAACTCAACTAAGCTTCCGGAGGGCAGCGGACGCACTGCACGATCGGCACGTGTCTCTAGCTGCCAGATCATGCCGGCGTAACCGCGAAGTGCCAGCAACGTTGAGGCTATAAATTCTTGTCGCTCTTCGACCGTAACTCCAAGCATGTCGAGGGACTCAAATATCGACTCCAGCGGAGTGAAGCCCGCCGTTGAGAGGCGCCTTAGCTCCGTGTTAAGTCCGTGCATCCAGCGTTCCATGGGCTGAAGTCGCTGGCTGTACAACGAAAAGAAGGCTTGATAGAATCCCGCCTCACGGTTCGGCAGTGTCCAATTGGCAAAACCTTGATCCAGGAATGCAGCACAGAAACGGATCAGTAGGGCATTGACCAAATCATCGGTGTCTTTGCCAATTGCATTTAAGACCAAATCTCGATGCCGCACCGGTTGCTGCTGACTTTGGCCTTTAGCTTGAGTTTGCTTGACACGATTCTTGCAAATCAACCACAAGGCGTGCAGCGAAAACGCTTCCCACGTCTCGTCGTCCCATTGCTCGATATGCTCCTTATCGAAGCGGTCGAAAGCGTCAGAGAGAAGGCCACGGATTCGATCGTCCGCAAGCACCCGCGACCCTCCATTGCGTAGGTCACGCATCACCCAATGACGCGTGTCCGCAATGATTTGTTCTCGAACGTTGTGAGGGGCTTCCTGTCGAAATGTCCTTAGTGCATCTGTCTCGGCAATCAACCATCGCAACTCGGCCGAGGGTGCAGTTTGCAACGGGTGCGCGAGCATCGCCATCTGCAAATGAAAGCGAGTGCCAAGAAAGCCGAGCAACTCATCACCACGTTCGCCGAGGTCATTGATCAACACCGTTTCAATGTCTTCCTGGCGAATGCGCCCCCGAGCCAGCTTCTTCCGATAACGCTCCTCCGGCAAGTATGGATGACAATTGAAGAGCTCCGCGCCACGCACCACGGCTTCTTCAAATGGTAGGTCTTCGAAGGCATGTAGCGTGTTGTGGTGGACGAACGCCGTGATCGGTCCCTGAGCCGGCAAGAGATGTGCAACATGCTCAACCAGATGGACCAATTCTGCATCGCGGGCGCATTGATTGCCGTTTGCGGTTTTCGAGCCGACAGTTTGTACCATGCCGTCGCTTCTTCCTCGAATCCGAAGTGAGATGTACTAGGCCAAACTTCAAAATGCGCAAGCGCGAAGAAAAGAATTCTCCGACCATGAAAGAGCCTAATCGTTGGGCGACATCAGCGATCGACTGAAGTAGACCGTCTGGCGTTTAGCAAATACGCCTAAGTGTGGCGCTAACGACAGACACAGAGGCGGACAATCGATCAGAACGACCGGACTTAGGCTATCGGGGGCCCACGCCCGTTGATTGGTCCGCAGACAAGCAAAACCGGCGAGCAAGTTGAGTGGTCGCGGAGGGAGGATGCGTGAAGAATTTTCCGGACGTTCGATCCAGCAGGTAGAACGACCAGATTTTCGCGCTCATCATCGTCTTGTGCATCTTCAACAAGCTTCTCGATCAGGATCGAGCTCGGCTCGTCTGAATCAGAAAAAACGTAAAAAGGCACTGCTGCAACTGCGAACAGAGTTGCCGCAAAGATCAGGAGACGAGTTGAAAATCGCATCGACATAGCAAAAAGCATACTCCACCCGGCTATATCGGGATAGAGGGCAGTGCAAAAATAGCCCCCGCCTCGTGAGGCGATGATTTTTAGGCGTGTGCTCAATACCTGCAGACTGACCGCCGGAATCGCATCTCGACTGCTTGTGTTCTCGATAAAACGGTCCTGTTGAATCGCTCCGTTCATGGTTGCCAACTCGCCTCCCCGAGAAGAACTCTGCCTCGCAGCCCAAGAAGGCAGGAGGGGTAAGCACCGCCCCAGTTCTTGTTGAGGGGTGGGTGAAAAAGACTACCTGAGTTCAGGCAACTCATTCTACGCTCATGCCTTGCCACACATTGACCGTTCAGAGTTCACGCTTTCAGTCAAGTTGATCTGCTTGCTGTGCTTATTCTGGATGCGTTCTCGAGACTGGGCTTTCTCGCTTTCGCTGTGAATCGCGAAGGGAATTAAAATAATGGTCCTCAGCGAAGCCCAAGAGTTGCCACTGGCTATCTCGATCGATGCAGCCAGCCACGCCGAAGTGAATCTCATCGAGTCGCTGCTCAACTCGGTGGTGACTCCCCGTGTCCTCAACACGCAGCAAGTTGGTCTACAATCGTGCCGCCGATAGCGATCCGCTCTGTAACCGACTTGGCGAGCGTGACATCGATCTGATCTGCCCTTCCGCGAAGATCGCATCCGAGCGGTGACCCAAGACGGTCGAAAGCTGCGTCGCTATCGCCGACGCTGGATTATTGAGCGAACGATCAGTTGGCTGCACGACTTTCGTCGTCTCATCGTCAGGCCCGAATTCTACTCGGGGCTCTTTCAAGGGGTTCTTACCCCGGCCTGCGTGATCATTGCTCTGAGGATGTTATGAAACTGGCTTAAGAAGCGTCTGCATGGCTGACAAGCTGTCTATAGGCGCAAAATGTCTAAGATGGCAACATCACTTCCCAGAGCCATGCGTTATGCAATATTCCCAATGGGGGCCGCGAAAGTGGCTGCCTGCATTGCGAATTGTGTCGTGGCTTGGATGCTAGGTCGCGGACTTGGATAAGCCCAGGTTTTCGACGACAGTCCTCGAGGTGGGGGATCTATTGAGATGGATTTAATTGAATTTGCCGAGCGGGGAATCATCCCAGATTGTGCGATTCGTAGCGGTATTCGCAGAAACATCCGTCGACGACTGGCCGAGATCGAAACCGGCGACTTTGAGGCGCGGCCACGTCAATTGGCCGAATTCGTTCGTAATCTGCGAGGTGGGCCACTAGTGGTGGAACAGGAAGCCGCGAACGATCAGCATTATGAGGTCGCGGCAGACTTCTATTCACAGGTGCTCGGACCTCGCATGAAATATAGTTGTTGCCTCTATCACGCCGGGGTAAGCACTCTGTCAGAGGCGGAAGATCGCATGTTGGAGGTCACATGTAAGCGAGCCGACATCCAAAATGGAATGAGAGTTCTCGATCTTGGTTGTGGATGGGGATCTCTTACGCTGTGGATTGCCCAGCACTTTCCCGAATGTAAGGTGACTGGGCTCTCAAATTCGAAGAGCCAACGCGAGTTTATTCTGTCTCACGCCGAGAGCTTGGGGCTCGGCAATGTTACAGTTATTACCGCCGATATTCGGGATTTCGAGCCCGATCACACCTTCCATCGAATCGTTTCCGTGGAGATGTTCGAGCATCTGCGCAACTATGAACTACTCCTGAGACGGGTAGCCAAATGGTTGCATGATGCAGGGAAGCTATTCGTGCATGTCTTTTGTCATCGTCACACGCCCTATCTCTTTGAAACCGAAGGGGCCGGGAACTGGATGGGGCGGAACTTCTTCACCGGTGGAATGATGCCCTCGGAGAACTTACTGCTGTACTTTCAGAATGATCTGGAGCTTTGCGATCATTGGCGGATGAATGGAGAACACTATTCGCGAACCTGTGAAGCGTGGCTTGCGAATCTCGATAGCCATCGTGATCAAGCAACAGAGTGCTTTGAGATACGTTATGGGAAGCAATCCGCAAGAACCCACGTTCAACGCTGGCGCATGTTCTTCATTGCATATTCTGAGCTATTCCGTTTCAGAGGCGGTTGCGAATGGTTTGTCGCACACTATCTTTTTGAAAAGTCAGGCTCCACTTTCGCCGATTAACCCAGGCTCGACACATTAGTGAGGTCCAGTTCTCCGGCCACGCGACTCATTTCGATACTGCCGCGACACTGTGCGGGAGTCTATACTGCCGATTGTTTCTTGTCCGCATTCATGATGAGCATCGGTAATCCAATGGCACGAATAACTTTTGTCTTTGCTGCGTTTCTGATTGTCCTCGGTCTTTTCGGCTACTTTGGTGACAGTGGAGGTCAGGGGGCGGTAGATCCGGAGACAATTCCCAATTCTAGCGAAACCCAGCCCAGCGCGGGCGAGCCTGCACCTAGCAAGCGATCGGTAACGGCCTTGATTCCTGCATTCACAGGAATTCTTTTGATGCTTGCTGGCTTAATCGCCCTGGTTGAAGGATGGCGAAAGCATGCGATGCACGCCGCAGCGGCCATCGCCCTGCTCGGGTTCATCGCCGCAGGGGGGCGGAGCATTATGGGGCTGGTGAAACTGGCCTCCCCCGAGGCAGATGTAAACATTCGAAGCCTGACCTTCGTTTGCATCATGGCTATTCTCTGCGGTACTTATCTGGTCCTCTGCATCCGGTCATTCATTGAGGCTCGGCGACAAAAACAATTGGCGACCACGTAATGTGCAAACTTGCTGGCAGCCTTCACGACGTCTCTCTTGTTCGCATGATTGATGGAATTGAGCTGCCAAGACTTGATCGATTTGATGGTCGCCTCGGGAGTTTGCGACCAGGTTGATATAGGGGTCTGAGACGATGTCGATTTCGCAAACCGGGGACGTGGCAATCATCGGAGCCGGAATCGCGGGGCTGGCCTGTGCCCAAAGGCTTGTGGCAGAGGGCGTGAACGTTTCGCTGTTCGAGAAGAGTCGGGGCGTGGGGGGGCGGATGTCCACTCGACGATCGCCTGAGCAAGAGCGGTTCGACCACGGCGCGCAGTACTTCACGACCCGAGATAAGGGCTTCAAAGCGGTCGTTGATTCTTGGTTGCAGGCCGGTGTGGTTGCTCCGTGGAACGGGCGTTTCGTGAAATTATCGGATGGTGATGTCCGTGAGGAGGACCGCGTAACGACGCGATACGTGGGGGTGCCCGGCATGAGTAGCATCTGCCGCCAGATGGCAACGGGCCTTCACATTTCCATCAATACGAGAGTGCTTCCACCCGAGAGACGGGGTAACCGATGGCATTTGCGTTGCCAAGACGGTATCGATCGAGGTGAGTTCGACTGGGTGATTAGTTCTGCCCCAGCATCGCAGACAGCAGAGTTGTTATGTGCTGCTTCGGGGCTGCAGCAAGAAGCTGACAGGGTGACGATGCGAGGATGCTGGGCGGCAATGCTGTCATTTGATGGCACTCTCGCGCTTGGCTTTGAAGGTGCGTTTGTTGAGAAGTCACCGCTGGCATGGGTCGCCTGCAATTCAAGTAAGCCAGGAAGAGACTCCGGCAGAGAGACTTGGGTCCTTCATGCTTCACCAGACTGGACCGAAGACCACATGGAGAATCTTCCCGAACACGTGCTGGCCGAGCTTTCAGCGGCATTTTTTGAAGCAACGGGGCGTGAACAAGTAACACCTTACTTCAACACATGCCATCGCTGGAGGTATGCGATTCCAGCACCCGCTCTCGAAAAACCCTATCTACTTGATTCAGCGTTAGGATTGGGCGCCTGCGGAGATTGGTGTGGTGGCCCCAGGGTCGAAGGTGCATTCCTTAGTGGAATAGCCATGGCAGATTGCCTCTTAGAATCATAGGCGTAGTTGTTGGATCAACAGACCGTCCAGTGGCTTATGTCCTGAGAGCCATGTAATGCGACTCAGAGAATCTCAACGCATCCGTTCGCGGAAATAAAGTTTGGCGATGGTGAGAGGTTTCAGCTCGAGTGCGGGTAGGCCGAGAAGTCGCCAATTGGAGTTACCTCGTTCACCGCCAATGAGTCCTAGTGACTGATTACCTATTCGAATGTTCAAAGTCATCTGTAAAGCATCTAAGATGCGTTTGCAGCGATGCACGGACTGGCGAATGGAACCCCGTGGCGAACCGAGACGAGCCAGCCTCATCCCGGTTGCCACATCGGGAACCTCGACGTGGAGAGTGCGGCCTATCGTTTGAATCGACAACGGCCGGCCATCCAATTCACATTTGAGATTAGCCTGGATTTCTAGGCGAAGCATTGCATCACGCCTGGTTAGTTACTCGGCTGACCATTTTTCGTTGTGATGCTGAGCGTTCCATTCATTTTCCATAGAGCGTGTTCGCTGTCAGCCGCTGTCGAACTTGGAACGTTTAGCTCGAAATTCTGGAAGTCGTAAATGATCTCGGCATCGCGTCCGGTCAATTTGTCATACAGGCCGGCGGCCAGTTCGGGCCAGGTGTGATTGGTAGTTGCACTAGACATGTCAAAGTCCTCCGAATTGTGATTCATTAAGCCCCTTCACGCCTTGCCAAAGGCTTCATCCGAACAGTAGAGAATGGGCCTCATCCGACAAGGGAACAACTCGTAGGGAAGGACCGAACGGCTCGTCTTGGCAATTCGGACTTTGAGACTAGAGAACTCAATAAGCGAGCACGATTCCCCTCGTTCAAGAGCTTAAATGCATGACCAATACTGATATGCCTGGCTCGTATGTAGTCCTTGGGGCTACTGGCGGCATTGGATCTCAAGTCGTAACGATGCTGGCAAACGCTGGCCACAATCTGTTTCTGGCCTCCAGGAATAGCGAACGTTTGAAGGCTCTAGGGTCTGAGTTTCAAGCGGCAACATACACTCTAGATGCGACAAGCATCCAAGAAGTTGATGCATGCTTCTCGCAGGCGTTGGAAGAATTTGGGCGAATCGACGGGGCAATCAATTGCGTGGGGTCAGTGCTGCTGAAACCTGCTCACTTAACGAATGAGTCGGAGTGGCAGGAGACCATCGCGAAAAACCTGACCTCAGCGTTCGCAACCGTTCGGGCCGCAGCAAAGACCATGACCAAAGAGGGTGGTTCTGTCGTCCTCATGTCATCGGCCGCAGCGCAGATTGGTTTGGCGAGTCATGAAGCGATTGCCGCTGCCAAAGCAGGTGTGATCGGATTAGCAAAGTCGGCAGCGGCTTCTTACGCTACTCGCGGACTGCGATTCAATGTGGTAGCTCCCGGCTTGGTAAAGACAGATCTTACGAAGCGAATCTGGGAAAGCGATCGAGCCGCCGCAACATCCACGTCGATGCATGCCTTAGGTCGACTGGGAGAACCGGCAGAAGTTGCGTCTCTAATAGTCTGGCTTTTGGAACGCCAGAATAGTTGGGTCACCGGAGGAGTGTTCTCGATCGACGGTGGATTGGGAAACGTCAGACTTAATGGACGACCTGCAGTTAAATGAGGAATTGGAAGCGTCTCGGCCTGTATTTAGTGGGTCGACCGTTGGGCACACTTGCTCGTGTTCAGATCTGGCTAGAAGTCCTTCTAGCTCTAAGACCCGAATGTCTCGACCAGTTCCACGGATCAATCTACATCTTCATCGATCAGATTGAGTAGCTCCCCGATGGTGCGGTGCTCCTCGATCGCATGTCTAAGATGCATGTTCTCGAAGATCTGGTAGTGATTTCTTCTGCCCAGCTTCTCCCGCTTAATGAATCCCTCTTCTTCAAGATCGGCGATGATTCGCTGCACTGCTCGTTCCGTGATCCCAATTCTAAGCGACACCTCCCTCAGAACCATGGAGGGATCTCTGTGGAGGAGGATGAGCACATGGGAGTGATTGGTTAGAAATGTCCAGCGGGCGGGGGCTTTGACCGGGTCGGTAGACACCGCCGCTTGCGAGGGCTTCTTCGGTGTCCCGGGAGCTGATTTGGCTCGGGGTCGCGACTTCTTCACTTTACCCATCTCTATCCGCCTTAAGAACTTACGGCTCTGAATGGCCCTATAAACCCCGGCTTAGTGCTTGCCGATTCTAGCTGCCTGAAGCCCCCCGCTACGGGCGAAGTGCATCATACCTTCATAGGGCTCAATACACGAACCTGAAATCATGACAGCGGTTTTACGGCTTATATGCCGGCAGAATGGCTAAAGACTTCAAAAAGGCGCGACGAATATCACGATATGGTATTGACGACAAAAAAGTCGTGTAATACAGTACGCCTATATGAGGACTAGCCGCAACCTGCCTGGATGAAATGCGATGACACTGATTTGCTCTCTCTTCGCCCTGCTGGGCCCAATGCTACTGCTTGCCTGCGGTCTTATTCCTAGCGGGTGGGTCAACCGCTGGCCACGAGCGATGCGAACGGCTTCGGTCTGGCTCGCAGGCTTCACCTTTGTCTCGGCCATCGCCGTAGCGGGCTGCATCTTGGACGTTGGTGTGATCAGCGAAAAGCTGCTCCAGACGGACTACTTCGGAGGCCTAGGGTTTGGGGTGTACATCGATGGGTTGTCAGTATCAATGATGCTGTTGATCGGCTTCATCGGGTGGGTGATCGCAAAGTTCTCAGTGCGATATCTCGACGGCGATGCTGCCCAAGGAAGATTCACAAAGTGGATCAATTTTACGCTGGGTGCCGTACTGCTGCTGGTTGTATCGAGAAACCTCATCATGTTCTCGGTTGCCTGGATTCTGACCAGCTTTGGCTTGCACCAATTACTCACGCACTATAGCGGGCGGCGGTGGGCCCTGATCGCAGCGAGGAAAAAGTTTCTGATCAGTCGCATCGGCGACGTGTTCCTCATCGCAGCGTTAGGCCTGACCTACTTGAACTTTGGATCATTCGAATACGATTCGCTCTTCACGAGCGCGGCTACCCTGCAAAGCGACTCGCCCTCTCAAGGGTGGCTGATCACACTGACCGCTCTGTTGTACGTGTTCGTGGCAGTCACGAAATCTGCTCAGTTCCCGTTCCATACATGGTTGCCGGATACCATGGAAACACCGACTCCGGTTTCGGCCCTGATGCACGCGGGAATCATCAACGCAGGCGGATTCCTGATTCTTCGATTGAGTCCCCTCGTCAACGGCTCGCAGTTGGCATTAACGGTGCTTGCTGCCATTGGCCTAACGACCGCTCTCCTGGGGGCGATCGTCATGCTGACTCAAACCAGCATTAAGCGATCGCTGGCCTACTCGACTATCGCTCAAATGGGCTTCATGATGCTGCAATGTGGCCTGGGAGCCTATGCTGCGGCCCTGTTACACATCGTCGCACATTCCCTATACAAAGCCCACGCATTCTTAAGCTCCGGAAGCGTGCTTGACACTTATCCCCGTGTGAATGCCACAGCACCGGCCGGCAATACCCGGCGCACGATGTTGGCTTTACTCGTGTCTCTGGCAGCAGCAGTTCTGGTCATTGGGCTGGTCGGCTACGGCTTCGAAGTGATTGGGGCTACCGAATCAAAGTCGGTCGTTATGCTGCTCATTCTGTGCATCGCTCTAACCCAACTTCTCTGGACATCATTCCAGTTTTCGACTCGGGCGTTGGCATCCTGGAGCCTTCTAGTCGCCGCCGTCGTCGCCATCGCCTATTTCAGTCTTCACGCCCTCTCCAGCCAGGTGCTGTTGAACGTCGTTCCGCCACCCGCGAACTCTTCTCAGGTGCTCTTCCTCGCATTGGCTGCAGCGGTCGCCGTGGGATTTCTCGGGCTACTGGCAGCGCAAACAATCGTTCCCCGTTTCTTTCAGTCTCGCTGGGCGAAGCGGCTCTACGTTCAGGCTTCAAACGGCTTTTACTTCGACATCCCGGCCCAGAAGCTGGTTCTTCGACTCTGGGGCAAATGATTTCTGTTAATTCTCGCGGCAAGCGATTTGAGGAGTGATCGAAATATGTGTTCAGACCATACGCACGCAGAAAGCATGGCGGACTTGGTACAAGTTCCCGGGCGAGTAAACCACGAAGGAGCTGCAAACCTTCAGGAGATGTTGAACGATGTTCGAGAGACCATCGCCCCACTTTGGCCTCTACGCGACTTCGTGGCAGTGAATCCTTTTGTGGGCATGAGTAAACACACGTTTCTAGACGCTCGAGCCGAGCTTCGACGTGTTCGGAACGCAGAGATGATGATGCCCGCGGGCCATTACCTCCGACTATTCGAGTCGGGACAAATTGATGCCGAGGATGTCGAACAGGCAGTTGACCAGTGTAAGGAAGCTTATCCCGAGCAATACCAATCGATATGCTCTGAAGAGGTGTTTTCCTGGCTTGAGAACGATTCTTCGTCGGGACCGTTCTGGGATGATGAATTCCGACTCAAAACCATGGCCGAGACGATTGACTGCGCACGCTCGTCCGACTGGTCTTCAACGATCGTCGACAGTATTTCCCGCTTCTGTGCCGCTCATTATGACCAGGGGCAATCGATCTGGCCGAGTCCTTGGAAAGGGTTGTCCCTCTACTCGGCTTGGCACGAAGCTGCTCAACTCGATCGGCGGGTAGAGAAGCTCGGATTAAACGGATTTCGTGAAACGGTCTCTCAGCTACCTAGTGATCCACTAGCTGCGATTGAGCACCTGCTGAAGAAGCTCGGTGTGCCTTCCGAGCAGAGATATGAATTCTGTTTAAGTCAGCTCTATAGCGTTTCTGGGTGGGCCGCCTATGCGAAGTATCGAGATGAGCAGAATGCTGCCTCGCCGGGCGACGACTTAATCGGATTGCTGGCGATTCGGCTGGCATTCGATGCGGCACTCAAAAAGTTGACTGGATTTGTCATCAAGTGGCAGACGAGAGATGCGAGCTCGGAATTGTCTGCTCCACACTGGGATCAGAGTCGTCAGCTTAGTCGCGACGTGCTTTATCGATACTTGCTGATGGTCGCGAGCGAGATTCACTACCGAGAGCAGCTTTGCTCGGCCATAGAGAAGAATCAATCTACAGATGCCGAGGTTTGCGGGCGAAAAACGGCTCAGATGGTCTTCTGTATCGATGTTCGTTCGGAACGTATGCGGCGTCATCTGGAAGCAATCACCGACGATATCGAAACCTTCGGTTTTGCGGGTTTCTTCGGGATGCCGATCGAACACATCCCGCTAGGAGAAGCAAATGGTACGGCCCAGTGTCCCGTGCTAATCCGCCCCGGTTTCGCGGCCAGAGAAGGATTGGGCCCTGATGAAACGGGCTCGCAGGTTCAACTCGTCTCAAGCCGGCGAAAGACTCGACTCTTCAAGAAAATGTGGAAGTCATTTCAAACTTCGTGTAGTTCCTGCTTCTCATTTGTCGAGTCGTTTGGGCTGGCTTACGCCTACCACTTGCTTCTCGATTCGGTTGGATTGAGCCGAGAGAGGGGGGGGCGATACGACGGCGTACCTCGGCACCTGCGGTCCAAGCTTGCCCCTGAACTGTCTGATCTCGGTGGCGAGAGCCTCTCTGTGCAGACACGGATAGAGCTTGCTCACAACATGCTCAAAGGCCTGGGGTTAACCTCAAACTTCGCGAAGCTAGTCGTGCTCTGCGGTCATGAATGCAAGACGACGAACAATCCTTTCAATGCGGCGTTCGATTGTGGAGCTTGCGGTGGACACTCCGGAGAGCCTAATGCCCGTGTGGCAGCCTCGTTGCTCAACGACCAAGAAGTACGCGAGGGTTTGCGGTACGAGGGCATTGAGATTCCAAGCGATGTGTGGTTTGTCGCTGCCGTCCACAACACGACAACCGACGAAATTAGCATCTGTGACGAGCATCTTATCCCCGAGCAGCTTGCCACCGAATGCGAGAATTTGAACGAATGGATCGCGGAGTCCAGAACGGGCACATGCGGTGAACGTGGGCCATTGCTGGGAGCTACCGATGAATACGAGTTAGCAAAGAAAAGCAACGACTGGTCTGAGGTCCGGCCCGAGTGGGGCTTAGCCGGAAACGCCGCGTTCGTCGTGGCCCCCCGATCGCGAACCGCCGGTCTCAACCTGGACGGTCGGGTGTTCATGCACAGCTACGACTTCCGTCGCGATCCTGAGGCTCAAGTTCTGGAGTCGATCATGACGGCTCCCATGATCGTGACGAACTGGATCAATCTGCAGTACTACGCATCGTCTGTCGACAACCAAGCCTTCGGCAGCGGGAATAAGGTGCTTCACAATGTGGTTGGAAAGCTGGGAGTTCTGGAAGGCAACGGTGGCGATCTTCGCACCGGGCTTACCATGCAATCGGTTCACACGGGTGCCGACTACCAGCACGAACCTCTCCGGCTGTTGGTCGTAATCGAAGCATCACGGCAAGCCATCAGCGGTGTCATTGAGAAACACGAAAACGTGTGCAATCTAGTGACCAATGGCTGGCTGAACCTTGTATCCATCGATGATGATCGATTCTACCGGTATGCAGTTGATGGAACGTGGATTGAGTTAGGACAGCCCGTCGCAGCTCCTGTCTACCTCGAAGAGGAAACGGTAATGGCTTGAGATACTTTGCGTCACAGTAGTAGTTTTACGAGGAACCTCTAGGAAATAGGAGAAAACGATGTACTACCCAAACAACGGCCACTTGCCAGAGATGAATCTCCGATCCCTCCAAGACCAGGCCCACCGGTTTGGTGACTCCGCCTCGCCACGTGCCCTGTGGATTCTGTGTAGCGAACCTTGCATGGACCCTGTGGCTGAGGCTCTATGCCAAAATGGGATGGCCTATCCATTGCGTTGGCCGGGCAATTGTCCACGAGACGCCGAGGTCGCAGAGAAAACGCTCGAGTACGCTGTCGAAGAACTCGGAGTCGTGGAGATTGTCGTATGCGGTCATTCCCTGTGCAATGAAGTGCCAGGCGGAGCCGACATTGTAAGTGGGACGCATCAAGGAGAGAGATTGTCTCTCGTCGAACGGGCACACCGTGGGCAGCGACTAACTCAACTGGCTAAGAACAATGTGATCGAACAAGTCGCAGCCATTCAGAGTCAATTCTCCTCCGCGTTGGCTGAAGAAAAGCCTTCAGTGAAGGTGCACGGACTGTTCTATCTGACCGAGTCGCGATTATTCCTCTCGCTCGATCAAGGTGAGTTCGTGCCGCTGCGGAAATCATCACACACAAAGGAGGCCGGATGCGCTTGCTCAGAGTGAGTAAAGTATTCGCTCAGTTGAAGAGGGATTCTTTGGCGACGCCGGATATGGCGACAACCGCTAGATACCGAATCCGCCGTTCCACAGAGATTGCGTAAACCCGCTCGCGGACTTCATCAAGACGACCGACGGAGGCGACCCGATACTGCTGTTTTATTTCCTTTCGAGGGCCGTGGGCGCTGGGAATAGCCCTAGTCCCGATTGGCCAAACACTTTGAGCAATGAGCTGTCTTCACATTCGGCGACGATTTGAGGATGGATATCGTTTAGTTGAAACCATTGATCAAGCGACCGCCCAACCGATGTCATATCTGCAGGAAACAGAATGGGGCCATCCTCTATTAATGGGGGAAACCCTTTCGGCACATGCGAGCAACCTCTGATATGACAAACACCGTAATGGCGCAGTTGCCCAGCAGGTGATTGATTGCTTTGACATTGACGGTCGGACTGACGAGGCATCAACTACCGTAGTTTGTGACCCGCTAGAATTGCAGACTAACGGTGCTCTAGGTCTGGGAGTTACTCGTTGTTAACCCAACCGCCCTTGCTGAATAGAGTTCGCGTAAGTCTGAGCCAACCCCCCGCCAAGCCGAGAGCCGAGTAAAATCCGCTAGGCGATTGAAGAGAACTCTCAGCCGCGAAGCCAGGCCCACAAACATAGTAGAAATGCGCGAAAAAACGCGAAACGCCGAGGGCAAATGCTCTCGGCGTGGTGCGTTAACGGTTGGGTCGGTGGATTCCGAGGGAATCGGAAAAGCTCCCCGAAAAGAACCCTCTTCGTAACAATGCGCGCGAGAGCGCTTTTGGGAAGTGGTTGATGGCTAGTGACTTGCTGAGTTCGAGTCCCTTTCGGTCGTGCTGGGCGGAACGGGCACTCTTCGGAAAAACGCCAACCGGTTAACAGCGGTTCGAGGGCTCGAGAGCGCTCTCACTTTCACGGGCAAGGCGGGATGCGGGTAAGTTCTACCGATTCCGCGGTTGCGGACCCTGTCGGTCCCTGCTGACTTGGACCACTTCGCACCTGTCCATCGGCCTCCCCGTGCGGAACCCTCTTCGTAACAATACCCTCTTTTGCGAATTCGCTAAGCCGTTGAGATAGCACAACTTGGTTAGTTCGAGTCTCATTCGGTCCGACTGAAAACGCAGGGGACCGTCTACAAACCGACCGGCTTTCGGTTAACAGAAGAGTCGCAGTTTGCGTTAACTGCTTTGTCAGATTTTGGGGGGTATCGAACTGCCAACAGCAGAGTTAATAGTTTGCGCGAGCGCTACAACCGGTCATTCTACTCCGCCATATCTTGGTCGCGGCGTCGATCGAGTCTTTACGACTCTGCTACGGGGTGCAAAAAAGAAGTCAACCACCGTGATACCAACCGGTTGAGTATTCTATCGCCATGAAGAATCTGTACCACCGTCTCCTGCTAGTAATTGCTGGCTCGACCCAGAAAGAACTGGCCTCCCAGATCCGCTACCTCAAGATCGAGAACGAGATCCTACGCTCCAAGCTGGGACCGCGTGTTTCCGTGACCCATAAGGAACGGAACAGGCTCGTGAAGTTCGGCTCGAAGCTTGGATCGGCGCTGGGCGATCTGGTGACGATCGTTCACCCCGATACACTACGCCGCTGGATTCGCGAAGCGGGGAAGCCTGGGAAGAAGACACCCGTCAAAAAGGGACGGCCGCGAACGAAAAGTGACGTACGCGAACTCATCATCAGATTCGCCCGCGAGAACGACTGGGGCTACACCCGGATCATGGGTGAACTCAAGAAGCTCGGCATCAAGCCGCCGTCGCGAAATACGGTGAAGAACATCCTCAAGGAGAATGGCCTGGAGCCTGGACCGAAGCGTGGTGCCGGTACCTGGGATGAGTTCCTAAAAATCCATGCGACCACGCTCTGGCAATGCGACTTCTATGCGAAGAAAGTGTTGACCATCAAGGGCTTTCGAGACTTGTTCCTCCTGGTGTTCCTGCACGTCGAAAGCCGCCGGGTATTCATCGCCCCCTCGACGTTCCATCCGAACGAAGCATGGGTGCGGGAGCAGGCCCATGTGTTCCTGAAGTACGTTGCAGGAGCTGGCATCGAGACGACGATTTTCATGCACGACCGCGATACAAAGTTTACGGCGTTATTCGACGAAGTCCTAAAATCGGCGGACGTGGCAGTCAAGAAAGCCGAGTATCGTTCGCCCAATACCAATGCGTTCGTGGAGCGGTTCATTCAGACTCTGCAGCAGGAATGCCTGGATCACTTCATCGTTTTTGGTGAGAAACACATGGACTATCTTGTGTCCGAGATGGTTACGCATTATCACGAGGAACGACCGCACCAAGCGAAGAACAACGCCCCAGTGCATTTTGGCACCCCGACTTCTTCGACGAAGAAAGGTAGGTGGAAGAAGAATAAACCGCCGCCCGATTTCGTGCCTGTGTCGCAGATCGAATGTCGCGAACGACTTGGCGGATTGCTCAAGCACTATTATCGTGCCGCTTGAGTGGGCATTTGATCGTAAGTCAAACTGACAAAGTCCTGCGAAAGCAGTGGGCCTTCAGCTCAACATTTGGCAATTTCGAGCTGCAAAACACCGGTTGCCCGGTTCAAGGACCTCGAAGGCAATCTGCTCTCTATGACGCAGACGGCATGACCAGGCGTCGCTGGGAACCACAGTCATGGTTCTCAGCGACGCCCAAGGTCGCCACTGGCTATTTCGATTGATGCATCCTGTCGATTTGAGTGGTTCGCCAATAGTAAGCCAGAACAATGCCTAACGTGAGTGGTGAGCCCTCATCGCAATGTTTGGCAATATTGAGGGGCAAGTCGCCACCTTGCTCGGCGGTCTACCGAATTCATGATTACCGGTTCCGCCGCGCGTTCAGGATGAATCAGGGTCTAACCTCGATCATCACTGTTTGGAAAACCATTCTGTACGGTAAGGGGGCTACCTCGGTCCGAGCACATCTCGCGAGAAAAGATCCGAGTCTCGGGATACCCCATTGTTTCACCATAATATTGCTTGACAGCTCTTCCTGCTTCGATGAAACTTGACAGCCAAAAGCCCCAACTATTCGACTGGACAGTCCATTCGGTTTCATAGGAAACGCTACTGCGAACTATTGTCCCGCTATCTTCGGATTGATCATCGATCAGCCTAGCGATTTCCTCGTTTCTTACTCGCCCTGTGAAGTGCCCCACTCGCGGCAAGACTGAGCCGTTGAGTCACTCAAAGGGACGAATCCTAGAGCTTAAGGTGCAACTTCGAATGAAAAATCTATTCGTTCCACTCATCCTCATGGGAACTGGCGTCTATGTAGGCAGCATGCAGGCATCGGCCGCGCCCATTACAGAACCGACGGGGCTCAGTCCAGGTGACTCTTATCGATTGGTGTTTGTGACCAGAGCAGAGCGCGATGCATCATCGGCCAACATTGAAGACTACAACACCTTCGTCACTAACTATGCCAACTCTATCCCTGAGCTGGCTGCACTCGAAACTACATGGTCTGCAATTGCAAGTACCCCTTCCGTTGATGCGCGAGACAACACCGATACACATCCATCTTTGACTGGATTCCCCATCTATAAGCTTGATGGTTCGTCTGTTGCAGACAATAACGCTGACTTGTGGGACGGCGAGTTAGATTCGCGTTTGGATGTTGATGGGCACGGAGAAATGGTCCCACTCACCTTCGTCTGGACAGGAACTGATGACTTCGGAAGAGGAATCCAGCTCACCTTTCCAGGCCCACAAGTGATAGGGTACGAGTTAGGTAATACCAATACAGTAAACGCGACTTATGGAAACACTTACGGCAGAGATACTCCCTGGATACTAGCCAATAATCGAGAGCAAAGTAGATTGGGTTCATTCTATGCTATGTCGGGTGTGCTTACTGTGGTTCCAGAGCCCAGCAGCCTAGTCTTGTTCACATTTGGTCTCCTGACTCTCGTCGTATTCGGCTCACATTACCGATGCAAGCGTCTCAACTGTGACTGATTTGCCGTTCAAACGTTGTCCGGCGACGCAATTGCCCATTTCCTCTTTTCGTTAAGCTTATTTTCACCTGACAGAAGATGCTGGCGAATCGAGACACTACGATTAGTAGCCCAAACATACCGATCTGAAACGGGCCCTTGATCACTGTTCGCCTCACTGATGCCCGAAGGCATCAGTGGCAGTATCAGGCTGAGGCTCCTGAATGGCAACCATCTTCTCGAAGCCTTTGATTCGCTCTCTGAGTGCTGCATTCTCTTTTAGCAAATTGGCATGAATGTGGTACCGATGGTTTGCAGCCTCACTCGCTCTGGCCGTCACGGCAACGTACTCAGCCCTCCCCGCAAAGAATTCTCTTCATAGCCATTCGTTCAAGAGCAAATCCTGTAACCCGCTCATTTCTTATTGAATGGCTCCGTGTGTCCACGGCATACCTGCATATATAAGATGACTCAAGTACAGTACGACCAATGTCACGGTTGAATGTGAGACTTGGAACAGTTTTCGAGTCTTTCTCGGTAGACATGGAGCAACCCTAACACTAGGCAGGGTCCTTAAGATAGAGAGCGAATAGCTCGGAGACATGGCTACTGCGACCCGGTCTTCGCAGTTACCAAGTTCCATGTCCTCAAGAATTCTTTCCTGGAGAGCGACACCATGGCACCAGTGTCGTCTATGCGTCTGCTGGAAATAAGCCTGGATAGCGCAACAAGCTGCTCAATTGGACGAGTATCCGGAACGATAGTCCACACTCCGACTTCACCGTTCCATGACCCTGTGACAATCAATTCTTCCTCTCTGTTGAAAGTAGCGAATTCGACGGATGACTGATGTTGGAGCGGAGATCCAACTTCCAGTGAGCTGTCAGCCGCCCACAACTGCGCGTTACCACTTTCAGCAGCAGTCAAAATAAAGCGACCATCCCTAGAGAATTGCGCTGAATGCAGCGTTGTGCCATCTCCGATCGGTGGAGCTGCGGGCTGTCCACTTGCAATTTCCCAAAGGCGAGCTTCAAACTTGACCTTCTTCGACCCTCGCCACATGTCATATCGCCATCCTTTCATGATAAGCAAATACAATCCGTCTGGGGAAAACTGGGCACGACGGATGCCGGCACCGTATTCGCGGTGATTGAAAAGCAACGAACCGGTTTTGAATTCCCACACCTGAACTTCGCCCTTCTTGGTTACAATGGCAGCGCGTTTCGCATCCCGGCTCAATTCGATCCGGCGGATATCACTGACTGCCTCAATTTCAACACCGTTGCGTACTCCGTCTTTCAGAGACCAGAGACTAACGAGTCGCCCATCGTAAGCCGTCAGTAGGAATTGCCCGTCGGTGCTAAACGAGGCGAACGTCACACGCGGCCAAATCTGTGAATCGATCTTCGGTTCTGTTGGTTCTCCATCTTTTGTGCGCCAGACTCGAACCTCCTGCGAGGCTTGCGTTAATAGCAACCGACCGTCAGGACTGAACTCACAAGAGTAAACATAGTCTGAGTTGTGTTCCAGTTTTGGCGTCAGGGGATCTCCCGTATTCGCATCCCAAATCCTAGCAAACCCTCGTCCAATGTCTTGATGATGATCTGCAGCAGTCGCTAGTCTGCGTCCGTCAGGACTGAAGGCAACATCCCAGACACGATGCTCTCCTCCGTGGTCCAGTGGAGGGCAAATGGGTTTACCCGTTTCAGCATCCCAAATGTGCGCTAGACGATACCCATACCCGGTAGCACCTGCGACGAGATCATTTCCTGGGCTAATGGATACCTGCGCCAGCTGTTCTGAATCTGCAATCCACTGTGGAGCATCCAATTGTGTGGTGGGCCAAACGCGTACGATCCCATTTTCCGTTATCGAGTAGAGTTTCTCGTCATCTTCAGAAATCGATGCAGCACAGATCCGGCTCTCATGCGGCATGGGTGCCGTGATGGATTGTCCAGTAGTTGCACTCCAACACTGTAATGTTGCATCCTCGTTAACGGTGGCGATTTTTTCGCCATCAGATGTGAACAAAACATGTTCAACCCCAGTGGAGTGGATCATTGCAGGGGTTATGGGATCCCCAGTTTCTGCCCTCCAGATTTGAACCTCTCCCGCCCCCTCTCTGCCCGAACACGCAGTCACGATCTGCTTGCCGTCCGGGCTGAATTGCAGATCCTCAATTGCGTACGGTAGCTGCAAGTTGTCGACGATATTGTCCCCGGTGGCACCATCCCACACCTTTACGATTCCGTCGAGACATGCCGTTGCCAACAAACTGCCGTCCGGGCTATACGTAATCCTATGAACGGTAGATGGGTGCGTAAGCTTCGAAGATAGTGCTTCGCCAGTTGTAGTATTCCATATGCGCGAATATCCCACGGCCCCTTCATCAGAAGCTGTTGCGAAACGTGTCGCGTCGGGGCTGAAACGAGCCTGCCACACCGTGTATTCGTGTTTTATGGGAGTTGAAATCAGTTTTCCTGTACTCGCGTTCCAAATCCGTGCAAAGCCAACCGAACCGTTGGGCCCTGAGGCAGTGGCAATAAGACTACCGTCAAAGCTGAACTCGGCGTGGTGTACCGGATAGTAGTGTTCCAAAACGAGTGCTTCCGGTTTTCCCGTTGCGATACTCCAAACCAACACGCGGGCGGGTTCTGACTTTTCACTTAGGACAAGCCTCGTACCATCCTCACTGAACCGTATGCTGGCAGCTTCGATTTCGACAACTTCTGGGGGGGCGAGTGGACGACCGGTTACCGGATTCCAAACGCATAGTTTCCGGTCACGGGTAATTGTGGCCAATTGCTTCATGTCTCGGCTGAAAGCCGCACAAGCCAATGGTTCACCAGAATCGGTCGCCCAGATTCTCGAAGGTTTGTGAGTTCGCCTCAGGAAAGAAGCGATGCGAACTCTGTGGAGGTGTACTTGTTCGTGGCTCTTGGGAAGTATCTGAAGTGCTTCAGTTGCCCACAACAGAGCATATGGCAGGTCTCCCTCTCTCATTCTGAGCACGCTTTCCCGCTCGTACAGTCTGGACAGCTGCATCTGCCGCGCATCTTCCAAGGCTTCTGCGCGATCGCGTTCCTCACGAGCCAGCTGTAAGTTATTCTGGGCTAGCATCCACTGCCAAGAACTCACTAGGGTGCCAACAGCGAACACGGCCAATAATACTGCGGTCGTGAAGGCAAGAAATGGGTTTCGCTTACACCACCGCCAGCTGCGTTCGACTCGGCCCACGGGGCGCGCCAAGATCGGACGACCATTGAGCCAGCGGGATAGATCATTCCCAAGCTCTTGTGCCGTTGGATACCGCCGTGCTGGCTCTTTCGCCATCGCCTTTAGGCAGATCGTCCCAAGATCTCTCGGCACGCGATCGCTCAAGGCTCGCGGCGACCTCGGTTCTTCATGTAGCACTTGATGCAGAAGCATTCTCGGGGTGCCTCGAAATGGCAACTCCCCGGTTAGCAGTTGAAAAAGGATTACACCCAAAGAATAGATATCAGCTCGTCGGTCCGCTTTATGGGCCTCTCCCCGGGCCTGTTCTGGCGACATGTAGGCTGGCGTCCCCAAAACTCTTCCTTCTACAGTCATTGTGATCTCACCAGCCTCCCGCTTGGCAAGCCCGAAATCCATCAAGTGTGGACGCTGGTCTTCATCGAGCATCACGTTTCCGGGCTTTAGATCGCGGTGAATCACGCCTCGTTCGTGCGCATGTTGAAGGGCTTTGGCAACCGTAAGACACAGCTGGGCAGCCTCACGGGGCATTGGTTGTTGGCCGGAGATCCAATCGGACAGTGACAGTCCAGATATGAAGTCGCTAACAATGTAAATCGTTTCGTCATGGCGTCCCACCTCATGAATAGAAACGATATTCGGATGACTGAGCTGTGCCGCGGCGCGTGCCTCTCGGAAAAACTGCTCGACCTCATCTGGATCCAACTGTCCCTGCCGGGGAATCTTTACCGCTACAGTACGATCGAGCTGTAAGTCTATTGCTTTCCAGACTGAGCCAAATGCCCCCTGACCGATCTGTTCCACCAACTCGAACTGGGCGATTCGACGAGACTTGCCTGGTTGAGAAGCAACTGTCGTTTCAAAATTTGCCAGACTAAAGTCACTGCCGCACGAGGGACAACTGATGACCGACCAATCGGTCGAATCATCGACAAGCTCAATCGGAGATTGACAATGCGGACAGCGAATCTTCACTGAGACCCCCAGGCAGTTGTGAGAACCCGATGATTATTCGGCGAACCGTTGATTGTAGTGTACACCGCATAGATATTGAAAAAACTTGAGAATTTCTTGTCGTGGAAATTGGGATTCGTGCGATCAGCGTTCCATCAGAGTCGTGTTGAAACGACTCGATGTTAGCAGGGACGGATCTTGATTGAGTATTAAATGTGCGACCTAGTCGACTCCGCGAGGCGGCAAATGCGTCTACGTCTTGATCACACTTCTTTCCCATGAAAAACCATTTAATTTGATCCGTTAGAATCAATGGTGTTATAGTCACTCTGCGCAAATGTTCTCGGCAGAGGCTTTTTCAACAAGAGCTTTGGGGGCAGACGACGCACTCCGGTCAGCCCATTGGCTTGGCCCCCGACAAGCTCGGGAAGCTTTGGCATCCATGCTCCGCTAAAACCCACCCATTTCGCCAAAGGTGGGTGGGTGCTTTAGAGATGCTCAAGCTTCTCGCCCGTATTTCGACTGGATAGCATCCGAAAAGGTTCGTTACTGGCACAGATGTGGACTCTACCTAGCGATCAACATCTGTTGTGCGTGCCGTCGAGCGGCACGAACCTCTGGCAGGCATTCCAATGCGAAAACTTGGCAGTGATCTGCGGAGTTGACTAATGTGAAGCCCCATAATCGCGCAACATGAGAAGATTGTCCTGCGAGCAACGATGTGACAATTCCACCAGGGGCCGGGGCGGATAGTGAGCAATGACAGATGTTCCATGTCATATCCGCCTCAATCACTCTTCAAGACTTGTGCGCCTAAGGGTCGGAGTCTGTCTTCACGTCGTTCGTATCGCTGTCGTCGTCATCCAGTCCAAATTCTAAGAAGAGCCAATCTGGATCGGCATCACCGAATAATTCATCGAGAAGGCTGTCGGGTAGAAGTTCGGTGCTCGCCGTGAGGTACGTAGTACCATTGCTTCCTCCCGAACCAGTGCCTTCGATATTGTCAATGCGGTCTTGCAGTGTGCGACTCGATCGCCACTCATCGTGGATGTCCGTATATGAGTCAAAGAAATCCGTTACGTTGTCATAAATTGTCTCGTCAGCGATTAAGAGATCTTCACCTGCACCTCCGGAAAGAGAGTCTGAGCCATCACCCCCAGCTAGAAGGTCTTTGTTGATCCCACCGACCAAAACATCTGCTCCGTCGAAACCGACAAGTATATCGTTAGCGGTTCCACCATCCAGATAATCGTCCGCTAGCCCCCCGAGCAGGAAATCATCATCGTGCCCCCCGTAGAGTTCAACTGCAATATTCGTGGTGGCGGCCAGCATGCGGTCTATTCCGGCTTGACCATACCCTATGATTCTTCCAGTCACGCCAGTGATTGTTTGCACTGTGTATTCAGCCGAGGGGCCTACAACGACATAGCTTAATTTGATTGTGTCGGCAGCGGTCTCCTCGAACGATACGACTTCCAGGTCATCGATTAGATCCGAGCCCCCATATAAAAGATTCATCAGGCTAGGATTATTCGGATCCGCTTGCAATTCCCACTTTTTGATGGTTAGCGTTTTAGTATCAACAGAACTTATGCCGCCATCCTTATCCGTGGCGGTAACTTTGACATTGAATGCTTGATTCGTGGTGAACACGTGATCCACGGTTGTACCTGAAGGGCCAACCACGGTTTGGTCCACTTGGCTATCTCCATCCCAATCGATGGCGAAAGCAAAGTCGTCGCCGGCATCAATGGAAGAGGGGTCGGTTGCCGTCAAGGTGAATGTGCGAGATTGCCCACGAACCCCCGTCGACGGCGCACTGATTGACACGGTGGGAACCAAATTGTTGACTGTCACAGAGAATGTCCACTCCGACGATAATGCGACTTCTCCAACAGGATTCCCATCGGGAACAGAGTTTACTACAACCGTAACATCAAAAGGCGTGCCAGAACTGTCGGTTGGAGTCCAAGTGAAAACACCGCTTGAGTTAATGGCGGCTCCCGCTGGAGCTCCCGAAGCCAAGCTATATGTAAGGCCGTCAGAATCGGGGTCCGTGGCGGTCACTGTAAACGTTAGGAGACTTCCTTCATCAACGCTCTTGTTAGCGATCGGATCGATCACAGGAGGAAATTCATCATCACTGCCAAGGAGGTGGAATTCTTCGTCCTGCGACGCGTCTGATACGGCATCGTCGGCCGGAGAGTAAAAGAACCAATCGTCGTCTGCACCACCGGTCAAACTGTCTGCATTAGCGTCGTCATCAATCGTGTCGTTCGCCGTAAAGAAGTAGCTCCCGTTCAATCGTGATCCACTGGCGTTTGACGAATCAGAGATATTGATCACTCGTTGGGCGAATGTGTGTCCCGAAGTCCACTCCGCTGCCACGGCCTCGGCCGCGTCAATGATTGCATTGGAACCATGGAAATCAGAATCGTCGGAGATCAATAGGTCTTCCCCGTCACCACCATCAAGCACATCGTTTCCAGACCCTGAGACGAGCACGTCCCGACCAGAACCGCCAGACAGACTATCGTCACTGGTTAGGCTAATTAGGATGTCATCTCCATCGTCTCCATAGAGATCCGATCCCACATTAGTTGCAGTTGCGAGCAAATCGTTTCCTGAGTCACCATAAAGCTGCACGATAAAGTCTGCATCCACGACTATCTGGTCGTCCCCGGACTGTCCGAAGACGATGATCTTGTGATCAAAACCACTTGGGTAGAATGTAACTAAAGGGCTTGAATCGTCCGTTCTTTGTTGCAACACGGCGACGGAGTTGGCTCCAGTCTGTAGAATCCCAACCTCGTCATCTCCGACGGTTTGCCCAATAACGAGATTGGTCTTTAAGGGGTCAATTGCATCCGCCTGCAAAGACCATACGTCAATGTCAACTTCAAGTTCATCCTTCGTGCTTTCGCCGCCAAGCTTATCAGTCGCTGTAACTTTTACATCGAAATCTCCTTCGGAGCGGAAGACGTGCGTTACTTGAGTGCCGCTAGGACCCACGACAGTTTGATCGACAACGTTGTCACCGTCCCAATCGATATCGAATGTGAAGTCCGCTGCCTGGTCGAAGTGTGACGAATCGCTGGCAGTTAACGCATAGGTGAGTGTTTGACCGCGAACTCCGGCAGTCGGACCACTGACAACGACTGATGGGGCTTCGTTCCTCAGTATATTGAGCACGTATTCCCCGGCACCAGAGGTCGCCTGCACCTGGACAAGATAGGTACCAGCAGACGGCGCGATGAAGTCTAACACCGCGTTTCGCCCATCAGCCGCCGAATTTGCATCTGAGGCCAGCGGATTTCCATTGCTATCAAGAATGACGATCTTGGGGTCGAGTGTTTGTAAAATGTTATTGCCCAGGTCGCCCGGCGTCTCAGTATACAGGGTTAATCCTTCCCCCGCGGCTAACGTGATCTCGTACAGGTCGCCGGGCTCCATCGCAATTTCGAAGACATGAATATAGTCAGAACCGCCAGCGCTGCCGCTGAGGCTGTTCAGCGGGTTGCCATCGGAATCGAGAAGTTGGTCAGGTCCGGAATCCCCACGCAGACGAAGCTGATAGCGCCCAACGGACAAAGCGCCACCTGCGGGGGTAAGCTCGACCTCAGTCGAGTTGATGATGCTTGGCGTTAGGGCGATTGTCTGATCATCGCCACTCCCCCCTTCGAACAAGCCGTTAGCGCCGGAAAAGATTAACTCGTAATTGTCCGCGTCTCCGGCAGTCAAGGCGGTAACAGCTTCGGTGAATTCGACGGAAAGCGTCGTCACGTCACGGTCGAACGTCTTGCCAAGGTCCGGAGTGACATTCGCAATCGCCGGCCCGACATCGGCAAGCGGAACCTTTCCTTGACTCATTCCCCATGCCAAAGCATCGCGGAAATCGAATGTGCCGAAGGCTCCTTCCGGTTGCCCTATGCCGAAGGCAGGCGTGGTGTCATCCAGTGTGCCAAGAATCCCATCTGGGCCCAAGCCGACTCGGTTGGCCAAGCCCCCTCCACCTATTCCTTCCATGATGTCAAATGGCAATGGCAAACTTGTAGTAGGGTCGATTTCAAAGCCCTCAAGATGAGGCCCACCAAGATTATGCCCTGCCTCGTGCGAGATTACTCTTCCTACAGCCAAGCCGATCAGGTCAGTCTTCGATACTGAATCGTGACGCTCGGTTGTATTTATAAAATTAGTGAAATTATTGAGTTGAACGATTGCGGTCTCTTCCGTAAGAAAATTGCCTGGGTCAACAGTGGATATGCCAAATGACACTGCTGGTAATGGATCGCTTATGGCACCAATGATAACCCGGCTGACATTGGGCTGTCCCCACATGTCGCCATGATCACGACTATTAAGAATCTCAAAATCATAGTTGGGATTGATGCTGGCCACGGTATCGTAATCTGCTTGAACCACGGCAATAATAGCATCGATCACAGCGTCTTCGTCGCTCGCGTCCAGCCCCCACGCGGCAAGAGAATTGGCTAGTGGTTGAATTTCGCGACTGTCAATAATGATATTTGACACTTCGACGGGGCCCAGACTTTCACCGTCGAAATCCAAGAAAATCTTTTGTGTCGTGCCTAGCGGCAATTCTTCAAGGGCAGGCCGATTAGCACTCAGAAGTAGGCGGTAGTCGACGGCTGATGTAGCATCTTGAAGACGAACGAAGTAGGTGCCGTTTGATGGGGCCACAAAAACTATACTTCCCGCATTACCGCGTACGATAGGTGAATGCACAGTGGTCGAGATGTTGATTCCGGGACCATCCGATTCCATAACTAGTGCGCCAGTCGAATCGAGAAGTTGGGTCGTTGCATCGAATTTAAACCCATCTTCATCGGAAACTCCGACCACGAAGACATCACCTTCCTGAAGTTCTACTTCGAATACATCGATGTCGCTTGTGGCTAGGTCCCCGGTAACGGCTACGATACGGTCTTGTGCCGAGAGTGTGCCGACGTTGACCGCATCCGCGGTCAGCAGAGTGCTGTTCGACTCAGTCTCCGATACTGTTGGAATCGAAGGATTTCCAATGATTCCTTGACTGAAACTACTCACATGCCCGCCCGCTTCATCACCTCCTAAAGCTACCACATCATCGTTCTCGTACATGTCCAGAAGATCTCCTGTGTCTGGATCAATAACGAGGGTAATAGACTCAGATGGTACGGGGGGGAACGCTCCTATGCCCTGTCCGGAGACGAAAAGCTGCCCACCTGCGAATGCCAAGTTGGTACCGAATGCATGTGGTGAATGAATGTCGTCAATCTCAGAAACAAGAAACGGAACATCAATCGACTGAATCAGATCACCGTTGGCAGCATTGAACTCGCCGATCTGACGATTGTTGATTTCATTGTAGAACGTCATGAAGACGGACCCGCGCGAGCCCGCACCAGCCAGCCCTGGCAATAGCTGTGCACCTGCTTCCCATGAACCAGCCACTGTCCAACTAATAGTATCGATGAAGGAAACTTCGTTTGTGCCAAGATGAGAAACGGCGAGATAGCCGGCCACAAAACCGAGGTCTCCAATCTCAGGTTCGGTAATTGTGATACTCAAGCTAGAAAATGAATGAATCGAGAGAACGGTGCCCGTATCGGCATCGATCTCGTATAAGTTTGGGGCGGTTGTCGTTACGTAGATGGACTGTCCATTGAAAGCCATGCCGCCTGAGAACTCTTCCCCGCCAGATAAAGCAGGTAAATCAAAACGATTTAGCTCGTCACCAGTAACCGCGTTATATTCAACGATTTCATCGTTATCTGCCACAAGTCCGAACACTCGGTTGCCAGTGCCCAGATGCCCTACCGCAGAATCACGTCCATCCAGACTAACTAGGTTGTCGTCCGGTGTGTTGTTTGCTTCACTGTCGATTGCGGAGTTCTCGACAACGGAAATGGCGTATTCGCTGTCAACGGACGCATTTAGCCGAATCGTGTACACGCCATCGGCGGGAACGTCGAAGTCAAGAATTCCCTGGTCGTAATTTTCCGCAGCCTGCGTGAGTGGCGACGCAGAGCCTGTCGCTAAGACTGTGGTGCCATCTGTGTCGAGTAGTTCTAGAGTGGCGGTGGAGAAGTCCGTTCCATCACGGCCAGCCAGCATGACACTGATCTCGCTACTGCTCTTTCCGGTGAGATCGATCGTATACTCATCGATGTCTCCGCCGGAGGAACTTACACCCACAACAGACCAGCGCCCCTCGGCCAGCTCCAGTCGCGCATTGTCGATCGCAAGTTCGGTACCATTCGCCGAATCAGTGGCTTCGATTGCTCCTCCCACTAGAAGCCGAACACCGTAGTCACCAGTCCCGGAATCAGGAGAAACAGAAATCGTCCAAGTACCGGTCTGATCGATCGTGTAGCTTTGGACTACGGCGTCAACGCCGAGGGCTGTGGTATCTGAGGTGGCTACGGAGAGTGTGGGATCCAGTAATTCGAGATGAGGGGCCAGGCCTGAATCTGGGTCAACTACAACGGAAACAACGTCGCCGCTCTGAAGCTGGATAGTGAAGTCATCCTCGTCAACGCCAGAGGAAATATTGCCAACTTCTGTGGCTTCGAAAAGGAAAGAACCATGTGGCTCGATTCTCGCTAAAGGCGACATGATTGAGAGAAGGGCTCGCTGTTCCAGAACCTCTGGCTTGGTAATTGTGGACGATCCAATACCAAACGATTTCCTGGTAAACATGCGATTCCCTCCGAGTGTTTTTAGATCTGATGTCCGAGAGCAGGCGAGACCCCAGAACCCAAACTGCCATGTTTATTGTGGCCAATTTCGGGGTTCCAGATTCTCAGATGGGTGGGGAGTCTAGCAATGTGCAAATGAAAATGCCAATGTTTTTTTTGTATTCCATTCTGAGCTGCAATACCGTGATGTTAATAATGCCTTAATATCTTCTCTCAATCGCCGAGTCGCGTTGGCAATACGAGATTGATGCTCATTCAGTGAAAGGAGGCGGCACCAAAAGCCTCTTGCTGGTTTTGTGCTTTCTGACTTTCCGGGAAACCTACCCATTTCAATGAATAAGGGTCGGTTTTCCCGCTTCCAATCACTCCTGACCTGAGGTAGTCCTCTAGGCGTTTCGTACCTGGAAAAGGGGACTACTATGATTGGCTCGACATGGGTCGTGGACCCGGTGAAGATTCTCACGAGGCGAGAACTGGCTGCTGTTCTCGATGACCTGGCTCGTCGTGCTCCGCGTTCGCAGGGCACTCGCATGAACCGGGCGATCTTTCGCCTGGCATGCTGCTGTGGTTTGCGGGTTTCGGAGATCGCGGCACTGCGGCTTGCTGACGTTCGCGTCGTGGCAGGGCGACCACACCTGCGAATCAGGCCTGAAGGGGCCAAGGGCAACCGCCCTCGCACGGTACCGCTCTGGTGGGACGCGGCAACACTCGAAGACCTTGTGACCTGGAAGCGGGAACGCGAAGAACGCGATGCCAAGTCTGAAGATCATTTCATCTGCTGCCTTTGGCCCAGCCGGTATGGCCAGCCGCTGATTCGCCACACGATTCGGGAGCGGTTCCGTACTGCATGCAAGACCCTGGGACTGGAGCGACTACGGCACCTGACCATCCACCACGGCCGGCACACTTTCATCAGCCATGCCCTTGCCGGCGGGCGCAGTTGCGCCGAGGTGCGAGCAGCTGCGGGACATTCGAGCCTTTTGACGACGAGTGTGTACCTCCACATCGTGGTCGACGACGATGACGTGCCCGGGAATCTGTTCGCTCGGCATGCTTGATAGCAGACCCTACTCGCCCACGCAGCCATACTTCTTGGCGTGGGTTCGGAAGGAGAGCTCGGCCGCGTCGGCCATGCCCTGGGCCGTCAGGGGCGATTCGGTCAGTTGGGACTCACCATCGGGCCGATGCAGGTTCATCCACTTGAGGAAGCCTCGTTGGGTGTAAGCGAGTTCCTCGGACCATTTAAATGCCCGCTGCAGCCTCTCGAAACCCGGCAGGCACTCCATCAACACGAAAGGTGGGATACAAAGCCGCTCACAGAAGAGCTTCCAGCCATCCGCCTTGGCCTTGAATGCATAGCCCGCGGCCAGCACGTAGGCAAAGAGACGATCCTCGAACGTCAAATCGTCGTCCAAGTCCTGACCATCAAACAGCTCCTCCTCGTCCTCCTCTTCTTCCTCGTCTTCGTCCTCATCGTCCAACTCAATGATGGAGCCGATCCGGAGAATCGCTTCTTGATATCGGGCAGCCTCCTCAAGTAGATCGACGAACGCCATCATCGACACCTCGCGTAGCGAGTGCGCATAGGGCACGTAGTCGTTGGCTGGAATGTACGTCATCTGGGCAGCACGAATCAGTCGGTCCTGCTCGGAATCGTCACCCCGGGCCCCGGCAGCGATGATGAGGCCCAATCGTTCCTCGGGTGTCAGCACGTCGTATTTATTGGCGATCGCGCGCAGGCTTCTCATTGGTTCTCCTTCCGGATCTTCAAGACGCTCTCGATCGATTCCAGGCGTTTGTCCAACAGGTCCACACCAAACGCCCGGATGAAGGCGTCCGTGAGCGTGGCCGTCAGCCGCGCCTTTTCCGCCGTGGTCAGTGCGGAACGATCGATCTGCTGCAATCTGGCCCCCAGCAACTCCACCACGTCCCCGGTGGCCATCGACTCGTTTTCGGCCTGCAGGGGAGGACCGTGGAGAACATCCGCGTTGGTCAAGCCGTCGAGTGCATGGTTGAGCAGTGCAAGGGCCGCACGCACGCGATCGCCGTCCCGCTTGCCGCCCCGGGCAACCTCCAGCAGTGTTTCGACCGCTTCACCCGCACCGGCCTGGACGCGACCGATGGCTGCTTCGACCAGTTCACGCCGGGCTTCACGATACGCCTCACGGAACTCCGGCACGTGCATCCAGCGATAGAACGTCGCCGGGTGGATACCCGCCTTCTTGGCCGCCGCCAGGTGCGTCGACTCGGTCAGCAGCGCCGCGATCATGGCCTCCTGCTTGGCAGTGAACTTCTGACCGTGGCCACGCGGAGCAGGACGCCTGGTTGCAATCGCAGCCGCACCTTCTGCGACCTCGGAGGTATTCGAAGGCTCTCTGGCAGATTCGTCTTGCTTCTCGTTGCGGACATGTCGCTCCAGTAGTAGCCAGGCCAGATAGCGCAACAGATCCACGTGCGGGCCATTACCGATTCGCAGACCTGCACGGTTACGGTGCCGATAGAGCTTTCGCTCGCTGATCACCTCGCCCAGTGGGGTAGAGTTCAGCAACCGGCAGACTTCGCCCGGCATGAGCTTGCGGGGATCATTCGCCACGGGACATCTCCTTCACGAGCCACGCTGCGTAATGCACCAGGTTCAATGTGCCATCGGCATTGGTTGGTGCGCCGGCCTCGACGTCAGTCTCGAGCATGGCCTCGGTAATTGTCTCGGCACCGACCTTGCTGAGCAGTCGTGCGGTGTCGGGGAGCGACAGCGCCGCGGGATTGATCGGTTGGGAAGTGGGTTCGTCCGGCATGGTTTCGGTGCCCCTAAATCGTTCCTGAAGAAAACTGCGAGATTCTGCCAGAAGCAGGCAGCACTCCGCTTGATGTTTCGCGGCCCGCATGGCTCATGTGTGACTGTTGATTGAGGTTTTTCACCCCACACGAAGGAGACCATTGATGGCGACCAAGAAGACCAGCACGACGACAAAGAAGGCGACGACCAAGCCCGCAGCCAAGCGGGCCACGAAGAAGGACACGCCCGCAACGGGCGACAAGAAGCTCAGCGCGATCGATGCGGCTGCCAAACTTTTGGCCGATACGAAGGAGCCGATGACCTGCACCCAGATGATCGAGGCGATGGCCGCCAAGAAGCTCTGGAGCAGTCCAGGTGGCAAGACGCCCCAGGCCACGCTCTACAGCGCGATCCTGCGGGAGATCAAGAACAAGGGCGAGGAGGCCAGGTTCATGAAGACCGAGCGCGGGAAGTTCACCGCCGCCGGCTAGACCCCAGGTCTTCGCACCACACGCCCCACGTTGGCCACCGTGGGGCGTTTTCTTGTTGGTGGGATTCTTGGGCAACCGAGACAACTGGTCGCCACTCGTACCAACCGTCGCGACGACGTTCCGTACTGGGCGACTCTGGTCAATGCACCGGCTATATTGTGCCGACTGTGAATTCCTTGGACTCTGTCGGAGAGACGCATGAATATCTTTGAGGTGCTCAGTGCGAACTACGAGGTATTCCACAGCCGCATGCTGGCGTGGCTGCTCAATCCTGGCGAATCCCACGGTGCGGACGATCGCTTCTTGAGGCCACTTTTGGAGCAGTTGGGCCTGTCGGCTGAGAATGTGCAGGTGGATACCGAAGTCCAGGTTCGCGTGCCCCATGCAGCACGCTGGCGACTGGCAGACGTCGTGATTCGCACCGAACGGCACTTCGTGTTGATTGAGAACAAAGTCGACCCGCTGTACCAGGACGCACAACAAGTGGCAGAGGAGATCGCCGGGGGCAGAGGACTTGCCGAATCCGAAGAGAAGCAGTTTTGCTTCGTATTTCTGGCTCCTGGCCCACTGGCTCAGACCCTGGAGGAGGCTATCGAGAATCAGGGGCATTTCATCTCCTGGCAATCGCTGGTCGAGGCTTTTACTCAAGTTGAGTTCAGCGGCCTCGAGCCAACTTGCGAGGCCATCATCAAGCAGTACCTGGAATTCTGTCACTCTCAGTTCATCAAGAAGTCTCCCTCGCGACCGGGTAAGCCATCCGGCGACGAAGCAGTATTGGAACAGAGTATTGAGGCACTGAGGGGTGAGGTGGAAGCTATACCGAAAGGTGATCTGTTGACGGCCGTCGAAATTTGGTCGCAGTTCTGTGATCAGTATCCGGATCACGTGACTCGCCTTGAAAGTCGCTGGGCCGAGTCCTCGCATTATTCGGCGAAATCTTGGCTTGCTAGGCGTCTTCACCTGTGGGCTACAAATCGCGACCTCATTGAAGACACCGGAGAATGGAAAACGGTCGATTCGCCTTGGGGGTTTCCCAAGGTGCGGGTTTACCGTCGGCTCGATAGCGAATGATCGATTCACGCAGCCACCTCCTTGCTGGAACATAGTTCCGCCTTCCGGCCGGTGAACTTCTCCCATCTTTCCACGATCACGTCGCAATACGGCGGGTCGAGTTCCATCAGGAACGCGTTGCGGCCAGTCTGCTCGGCTGCGATGAGCGTCGATCCGCTGCCACCGAACAAGTCGAGCACGTTCTCACCGGTCTTGGACGAGTACTGCATGGCCCGCACGGCCAACTCAACCGGCTTCTCAGTTAGATGGACCATCGACTGCGGATTGACCTTCTTCACCGGCCACACGTCGGGGACGTTTTTGGGCCCGAAGAACCGGTGGGCCGCACCTTCTCGCCACCCGTAGAAGCACCATTCGTGGTCACCCATGAAATCCTTCCGTGTCAGCACGGGGTGCAGCTTGTGCCAGATGACCGCCTGCGAGAAATACATCCCGGAGGCCTTGAACACCGGTGGGTAGTTGGCCACGTTCGCATACCCGCCCCACACGTAGAACCCGTGGCCCGGCAGTAGTACCCGAGAGATATTTCCGAACCAGGCAGCCAGCAGCCGATCAAACTCCTCGTCCGACACAAAGTCATTCTCAAGCGGTCGGTCCTTGGCTCGCATCTTCTTGTGCGTCGCCTGGGCCTTCTCCGGATGCCGCTCCAGGTCAAACTTCTGATGGTGCTTGTTGGCGTTGCTGAAGCTGCTGTTGCCGGCCGCGATAGCGTTGTTGGAACGAGGCTCGACCTTCACGTTGTACGGAGGGTCGGTATTCACCAGATGAATGGGTGCCCCATCGAGCAACCGGTCCACGTGCTCAGCCTTGCTGCTGTCGCCACACAGCAACCGATGGTTGCCGAGGATCCAAAGGTCACCCGGTTGTGTGATCGCCTCGTCGGGAGGCTCAGGTACGTCGTCCGGGTCGGTGGCACCATCCTGCACGTCGGTTCCCATCAGCTTGGCCAGTTGGTCCTGGTCGAAGCCCAAGAGCCCCAGGTCGTAGTCTGCGGCCTGTAGGTCCCCCAGTTCGATCGGCAGTAGGTTGTAGTCCCAGTCGGCCAGCGACGCCGTCTGGTTGTCAGCGATGCGGTAGGCTTTGATCTGTTCGGCGCTGAGATCCTTGGCCACGTGGACCGGCACCTTCTCCAGGCCAAGCTGCACGGCCGCCTTGTACCGCGTGTGGCCCACGATGATTACGTTCTGCTCGTCGACGACGATCGGCTGCCGGAAGCCGAACTCGCGGATGGACGCGGCCACCGAGGCCACGGCTTCGTCGTTCAGACGTGGGTTGTTTTCGTAAGGGGTGATGTCCGTGAGCTTCTTGCTCTCAATCTTCATGTACTGTTCTCTCCTTGCTTTTTTTTTGGAAACCGAACACACAGATTTCAGGTCTGGCGTTAGCACCTTACTGCCGCAGACTGTCGCGACAGTTGCCATCGAGACCTAGCTTCTCTCCTGCGCGCCCGCGCACCCGCGATTAGTACAGTGCTGAGTGTCGCGACAGTGCGCGGCAGTAGTTACCTCTATTGCGGGGGGAACTCGCAGCCAGAGTCTTTCAGGCTGATGCCTTCGTAGAATCGTTTTCCCCCGGTAAAACGGCGAGATTTAACGCCGGGCACGGCAGCCAATAGATCACGTCCGAACGATTGGCGATTGGAGACTATGTTGCGTCCTTCGTTCTCACACCACTGTCTCCACGCTTGATAGATGGCGTCGATGGACACTCTCAATCCCGGTGCGACGAAGCACTCCTCACGCACAAAGGCTTTGACCGGAGAGCCTAGATGTTCCAAGTCACACACGGCGTCTTGGACGCTCCCTGGCATGATGAAATGGCCTCGCAAGCGTAGCCGCTGCCATCCTTCAATCGCCCAGTTCAGGATGCCCGGCAACTCCTCAAGTAGCTTCTTGGTGAGTCTTGTATCTTCCTTGCCATAGAAACTTTGGGTCAGGCGCAGTATCAAAAACCGACCTGCTAGCGCGCCGCTGGCATCGGTAAGTCTCGGTAGTTCGTTGGTCAAGAACATGAAGCGCGTGGGTAACTTCACCGTCAGGCTTGAGAGGAACTTGCGGTCCACGGAAACCGCGTCTTCACCGCTGATGCACAACAGACGCTCGACCACGGTTGAGATGTTGTCGCCGCTAAACCGGGCATCACTGACGATGGCGAGGGTCTTTCCCAGTAGCGGCTGGAGTCCGAACTTGCCCGCAAGGCTGGATGTAGTGGGGCCAATCACATTGCCCTGACCAACGAGGCTTTGAATAACACGTGCCAGCGTTCCCTTGCCACTACGAGGCGGGCCTACGACAAGGAGCATCTTCTGCTGAGAAGTGTCAGCCGTCAGACAATAGCCAATCCATTCCTGTAGGAGTTCCCAGGACTCGGCGTCGTCCTCCAGCAGTTGGTGCAGAAACTCAAGCCAGGTCTCGGGCGGATCGACGTTTGGTTCCGGATCGAAGTCGAGTGCATTGGTTGAAAACAGACTTGGTGTCGTGGGCCTCCGCTTCATCGTTGGCAGGTGGAGAAGAATCGACTTGCAGGGTAGGAACTCCTCGGGTGGTGGCACATCATTACTACCGAGCCACGAAGGCACAGCTTTTGATTCTTGAAGGTGGACATAAGTCTTGATTGTTTCAAATGCTGAATTGACACTCGTGGGATTCGATTCAAACGCGGTTAGCTCCATCTGGCCTGATGTGCGATTGCGCTGGTAACGCAGGGCTTCGTGCAGCCAGCCGTAGAGGTGCTTCTTCAGCGTTCCCTCCTCAACCACTTCGTATCGACTGCCTGACCAATGCCAAAGGATTCCTCCATAGCAGTGCAGCGTCCGTCCGTCGGGGTGCGAGTAAAACTGACGAACGAAAGCCTCCGCCGTAGGGATCGTCCGCTTCGGGGAAAGCACTATTTTTCCGCTGGCTGGATCCTGGCTTCCCGAGGGAACCAGCCCGTCAGCATCTTTATCATGGACGAAGGCGGCCCCCCGGTCACATATCCGCTCCGCGTCTCGAATGCGCTGCAGGATCTCCTTGTCATTCCAAGTCCTCGGGAAGGGATGTTCCCTGGCATACTGCTCAAGCACTTTCAATCCGCTTTGGTCATCAAGGTCGTGTTCCACAACTCGGCACGCTGCGGCGAAGAGCCGCGAGGATCCGTCATTGTGGTCGACCATCTGCATGCGTCGCATCGCTTGCAGGCAACACTCTGACCGCTGGTCTCCGCCAAGTGAGGTGCGAGAATTGCAGATCCGCTTCGTTTTCGAGGTTTTCGAACGACTGGATTTAGCCTTCTCTCCTAACTCGACCAGTACAGCATCCGCGAGCGATTTCGCCGAATCGAGGAGCATTTCAGCGTCGACCACAGCAGGATCTTCAACTCCATATTCCCAATAGATCAGTTCGCCTGATTCATGCTCACTGGGTGGTAGCACGGTTTGGGCACCAGTCGATCGCACCTCCACAAGCATGCCGGTTGATTTGCTCTTAAACTTCTTGGTCGCCATTGGTGTGGAGACGCGATACAGCCAATGAGACCGAGGCTTGCTTTCGCGACCGAACATGGCAGGAGTGGGTGGCAGATGTTGGGAAGCGAGTGCGATGGCCCTGGGGTGATCGAGGTCGATGTCGATGAGCCAACCGGAGGGTTCGCCAGTTAACACTCCCAGGTTTTGCTTCTTACCATTGAAGTGCTGGTCGAGTTCCGATGCCTTCAGACGCATCTGTTGCCAGTTGGATCGTCCTGGATTCTTGGAACGGTGCGGAACCGGAATCACGGACCACCCGCGACCTGTGTAAGTGGTGGCGGCATCGATAACTGACATCCTGTCACTTGCCGCCGAGGCAACTCCATTAATCATGCTGTCACGCAGTTCCTCGGGCTAGATTCCGACTCAGAAATGCGTTCAACGCTGAACGCGTCCCGCCCGAACTCGCGTCGCAAGAAGCCGGTAAACAGGCGGTTGAGGTCACGCCCGACCGCCGTCCCACCATCGATGACGCATGCCCGTTTCTTGGCATCGAAGAAGTGAGCAGCGTCGAGGTGCGTCTGACTTTCGCCGTGCAGACTCTCGGTGGCCATGATCGCCAAGACCAGCGAAGCCTCGATTTCCTCGATTGAGTGATCGGAAGTGAATGAATAGTGATAGAGTTCTCTGGTCATCTGTTGTTCCCTGTTCGAAAAAAAGGCTCCTAATACTTAACTACTCCGTTGCCTCCGAATCTGACGGAAAAAGTTGGCAGTACTCCTTCAGCCCGCGATCTTCACAGTGCTTTCGGATGCCGTGCATCCAGTCGTAAAGTGTTGTGCGAGGCACGCCTAACTCCTCAGATGCCTTAGCCATGTTCAGCGTCTTTCTGAGCTTGAGCAGGGTTTGCCATTTCTCGGGCATACTTGCGATCACACCGTTTAAGTCGATCGCCAATGCATTGAGGTCTTGCTCCGTTCGTCCACGTGGACCGACTCGATTCTCATGCTCTACCGGCCCGACAAGATGACGGAGTTCAATCGATTCCTCTTTGTCGCTTTCCACCTTCACCTCCAATGAGCACAGGCCTTTACTGTACCGCTTTGGGGCATGCTTATCGCGGATCAGAGTTAGAGTGTGCCGTTCGATGACAGCCTTGATGTAGCAGTAGCGATGGCCAACTTCAGGGTCGAACTTTTTCATGCTTTTCCAGACGCGAAACAGGAACTCCTGCTCTAGATCTTCTTCGTCTTGCTTCGCAAAACAGTCCCTGCGCACCAGCTGTTTGATCTTTCGCCGGATCAGGCGACTGGTGAAATCATCGGTAGTTACGTCAAACTCCGTTTTTGCCATTTCGGCCTCCGTACCGAACCGCAATGGGGAGTTGCAGGCTAGCTTTGAGGGATTCGAACGCACGCGACCGACACGCAAGATTGGAGCGTGCGTCGCATCATTGCCTGGCCCGCGTGACCTCCATGCTTGCGGTCGGCTATTCCTTGAGAAAAGAAATAGTCCATCAAATGCGGGTGCCCGGCCCACAAACTGGGCGTAACCTCCTTGTGGAAACCAGAAAACCAGGATATCCCAGCCGATCCGTTGAATCAGAGCGCAGGGAGAGCCATGAAGCGCCGCAAGATCGTGTGGAACAAGCGGGCTGAGTTGCTAAAGCAGGAAAGTTCTCATCACGGTAAGGCGATGAAAACGCTGGTTCGTGTTATCTGCGACGACGGTCTTGGCAGTCGTCGTGCAGTTGCACAGAAAGTCCTGTCCCGATCCTTGGCAGCCCCGAAGCCGCGGATTTCTTCGTTGCCTCTGAGTGAATCAACGAAGTCTGGATTCGTCGTTTATGAGTTCACGAGCCAAGTGGCTCGGTCGATGATTTGCGTACCTGATCAGAAGCCGCTGAAAGAAAAGATTGATTTCGATTCAACCCTGAAAGCGGAGGTTCGACCGCGTTGATCCGTTGGCTCAGCCAAACCAATCAGGCTGATGTGAGTATGACCTTTTAGTGGCAAGAACCCCCACGGAAAAAAGTATAGCGGTTCTAGTGTGATCTGCGAGCGCATGAAGAAAATTTTCTGGCCGGCGAACAGGTGCAATGGTTCAGTTGTCTGTCACTTTGTGACACTTCGAGTGCCTTTTATTCGTTTGAGCGCGTTGCATCACATTGATGCCCTACATAACTCTGTGTATCCCTTCGTTCCCCTGCGTAGTTTGTGGTTCTTTGTGTGTCCCTGTGTGAAGTCAGCTGCCATTAGCTGCGCTTAGCTGAAGTGCTCTAAAGGTTCGTCGTGGTCCGTAAGCATCTCGAAAGGGCCGCGTAGGGCTCTGGAGGAAGTTCATCGAACTCCAGTTGAGAGTCGCGGGTAGTTGGATCGAACTGTAGTCGACATCTTCAGTTCCGTCGTATGGCTTTGAAAAATTTAGAACCGCCACCGTCAGATCGAGCGTTAACCGGGTAGTTAACTAGTAGAGGAGCATCGTTTCTCTTTCTTCCGCTCGCCCTCGGCTGCTCCTCTTTGATCGCCGGGCGACCGATTCCCTGCATAGGAGGATCCCTGTGCGATACCTTGATGATCCGGCCGAGCTGTCATCGGATGAACGGCTCAGCGAGATCTCCCACCTCTTGGCCACCGGTTTTCTTCGGCTGGTGAACACGTCTTCTCTGCCTCCGGAACAGCGGCAGTCCTCTCACCCGGATTTCCCCGGAAATGACTTGAGCTTTCGGGCGAAACGAGGCTCACTGTCCACGCTGGTTAACAACAATGAGACTCTTCGAGAAGGAGAACCTTCGTGGCGCTGAACATTACCAAGGAGGTCAACGCAATGAAGCGGATGACCGTCCGGGAACTGCGGGATCGGTACGTCGAGGTCTTCGGCGAGGCCACAAACTGCCGGAACAAGGACTGGTTCGTCAAACGCATCGCTTGGCGACTGCAGGCTAACGAGGAGGGGGATCTCTCTGAGCGGGCTCGGCTTAGGGCGGCGGAGCTGGCCAACGACGCGGATCTAAGAGTCACCGCGCCCCGAGAATCGACGCGAGCCTCGCAGGAACGGGTGCCCCTGGGACCCCGACCTTGTAGCGACGATCGACTGCCCCTCCCTGGGACGTTGCTGACCCGCGACTACAAGGGCCGGCTGATTGAGGTGAAGGTCCTACAGAGCGGCTTCGAGTTCGAGGGCGAGCTCTACAAGTCGCTCAGCGGAGTGGCCAAGGCAGTTACCGGAACCCACTGGAACGGATACCACTTCTTCGGCCTGAAAAGGAGAAAGGCCAGATGACGCGAAACAAGAAACGAGAATCCAGGCCATCGGTGCGATGTGCGATCTACACCCGCAAGTCGACCGAGGAAGGCCTGGAGCAGGAGTTCAACACACTGGACGCCCAGCGGGAGGCCGGCGAGGCCTACATCCGCAGTCAGCAGCATGAAGGCTGGGATTGCATACCGGACCACTACGACGACGGTGGCTTTACGGGCGGCAATATGGACCGTCCCGCCTTGAGAAGGCTGATGGCCGACATTGAAGCCGGTCGTGTTGACTGCGTGGTTGTCTACAAGGTCGATCGTCTCAGTCGTAGCCTGCTGGACTTCGCACGCATGATGGAGGTATTCGACCAGCGCAAGGTGTCGTTCGTCAGCGTCACCCAGCAGTTCAATACGGCATCCTCGATGGGCCGCCTTATCCTGAATGTGCTACTCTCCTTCGCCCAGTTCGAGCGTGAGATGATCAGTGAACGCACTCGAGACAAGATTGCCGCCACGCGACGCAAAGGGAAATGGTCTGGTGGAATGCCGGTCCTGGGTTACGACGTGGTGGAATCCAAGCTGGTTGTGAATCAGGAAGAAGCCGACCGTGTGCAACAGATCTTCGAGATCTACCTGGAGAGCCGGTCGCTGCTGGCCACGGTCAAGGAGCTGAACCAACGTGGCTGGCTCACCAAGTCCTGGACGACGAGGAAAGAGACTCGCCGAGGTGGAAAGCCCTTCAACAAGACCCTACTGCACAAGTTGTTGACGAACGTCACCTACATCGGGAAGGTCCGCTACAAGGCCGAGGTCCATGATGGTGAGCACCAGCCGATTGTGGATTCTGAGGTGTTCGAACAAACGCAACGCGTATTGAACCGGAACGGGCGTGACGGTGGTCAGGCTGCCCGAAACAAGCACGGTGCACTATTGCGGGGCTTGCTTCACTGCGCGAGTTGTGGCTGTGCGATGACTCACAGTTTCACGACTAAAGGAAAGCGGCGATATCGCTACTACCTCTGCACGAACGCTCAGAAGCGTGGCTGGCACGTCTGCGAGACACCCTCGATACCCGCGGGTGAAATCGAGCGGTTCATCGTCGATCAGATCAAATGCATCGGCCGAGATCCGGCCCTGGTGGCCGCCACGTTGAAAGAGACAGCCAGGCAGACCAAAGAGGCCGTTCAACGCCTAAAACACGAGAGGACCGTTTTGGGACGCCAACGACGGGCAGATGAGGAGGACTTGCATCGCCTCGCGGGATCACCGGTCGCGAACGGCGAACTGCATAGGTTGGTTGAACTACAAGAGAGGATTGGAAAGGCAGACCAGCGACTGAGTGAAATCGAAGTTGAACTGGCGCGTTTGATTTCGGCTGAGATCGACGAGGCAGACCTCGCGACTGCACTGGCTGATTTCGATACCGTCTGGGAGGCGCTGAAGGCGCGCGAGCAGGCCAGGATATTCGATCTATTGATTGAGCGGATCGACCATGACGGGAAGGCAGGGAACATTTCGATCCAGTTCCAGGTGACAGGCATTAAGGCATTAGCAGAAGAACTAGCTATGGAGCATGCGGCATGAATCGAGGTCTAACGGTCGAGCGACCGTTTCACGTAGCAAGGGGCCGGCACAGTCGGAATGAGGTTCGAGCCGGTGAAGCCCCTCAGGTGCCATCGGGACGCGTCCCGCGAGTTTCCAAGCTGATGGCTCTGGCGATTCGGTTCGAGGGCTTGATACGGGACGGGTCTGTAACAGATCAGGCCGAGTTGGCTCGAGTTGGACACGTGACTCGCGCAAGGCTGACTCAAATCATGAACCTGCTGAACTTGGCTCCTGATATTCAGGAGCAGATTTTATCGTTGTCAGCGGTGGAAGCGGGGTGGGACCCAATATCCGAGCGGGACCTACGGCCAATTGCGTCGGTGCCTGAATGGCGGAAGCAAAGGCGGATGTTCACAGGGCTGAAGAGCTCACCTGGACTGGAGAAAGGAGAGTAGCTGAATCAGATCTGGGCAATAGATTGATACTCTTCGACTGGAGTCGACTTTGAAGAGCTTACTCGGCGAATATCCCTGCAGCGGCCGAACATCAAGGCTAAGGACCACGAGTGGGCTCGGCAAGATGGGGCCGGCTGTTGTTCACGGTACCACGACGGCGGTATCGAGAGGCCACGGCGCTGGCTCACGGCCTCTAAGTCGATCTTTGACAATCTGGAGCGACCGGCAGAGCGGGCCCTGCGGGGCTACCTCGGTCGCACGAAAGCGTTCAGGAGATTGTTTAAAGATGACACCGAGCATCAAGAAGCTCAGTGATGGTACGGGCACCAAAGGGTACAGCTTGAGAGCTGTTGATACAGTCGCGTGCAAGATCTGAGGGGTGCAAATTAACATTATCCGTGCCGATATAACCCACAGATTTCAGCCCGGAAGCCATCAATTAGTTATTTGCCTTCGATACCACGGTGGTTTATCATTTTGGCTCTTCCCGTGATGTTGTCAGACCTTTCTTCAGTTTCCGGACGACGCTAGTGACCTCGAATTCGGTAAGCCGTTCGTTCGACCACATCCGAGTTCACATCTGAGACGGGATTCTCGATTCGCGGCCAATCGGCTCGGACCATCTGATTTGTCGCTTCTCCTCGTGTGATCTCATTTCGCAATCAGCGAGCGTGTGTCGATCCTATTCAAATTCTTTAGGCACTAGGAGGAGCCACATGTTCACTTCAGTTTTCACAGCCACGGTTATCGCGAGCGCTCTCAGTACGTCAGCCACTTTGATTGATGGATTTCACCGATGGGAAGTTTCCGATGGCGGAAACGGAAAGCTCTATGGTGTAGTTGTTCCCGATGATAAATCGTGGGCTTCGGCACAGGTAGGTGCTATGACTTTCGGTCCAACTGCCGGCCTCGTTACGATCACATCACCAGAAGAGCAAGCGTTTGTTGAAAGTGTTCTTCAGTCAAGCCTTGCACCAACCGGCGGCTACTGGATGGGGCTGAGAGAAGAAGCAGAAGGAGTGTATGTCTGGGACAACGGAGAACCGGTAACTTATACGAACTGGTTCCCAGGTGAACCGAATAACTCCGGAGGAATCGAAACTCGCGGCCATATCTTTTGGACATCTGATGCAGATATGTCTAACCCATTTTTCACCGTGCGTGGAACGTGGAACGATGCGAGACCGGAGGGCGAACCTGCACCCGCTATTCGCCCAGAATCGATCACCATAGGCTACGTCGTCGAGGCAGTACCAGAACCATCTTCGCTACTATTAGCCATTCTGGGGGCGACCTTTCTCTGCATAAGAAGGTTGATGTTACGCAAGTAGTGAAGATGTTGGTGGTGTCATGTATCAGCATTCATTAATCAGCAGAGCGGACCCTACGGGATCACCATCGTCTCGGTTAGAAAGTGGACATGTTCAACCAGTGAGGTCATAATCACTTTCGCATCAACGGCGAGTCTCGCCACAGCAATCACCCGGAGAGTCGAGCGTTGCCCCGTTGCACCTATCCCCACTGCGATGTGTCCATCGATTTTCGCGATTGCTAGACGCGATAATCGAGCAAAAAGCGGCTAAGAATCGGTTCAACACGGCCGGCGCTTCACGCCGCTCTTACATTCCACGTTTACTCGCTCAACGGGTCAATCAGGGCATTCTGTAACGGTTGTTTTGACACTTTCGACCACGCTCATGCAATATGATGTTCGCCGAAATATCGTGGGCTCGCACCAAGTCAAGTACGGCTGTCCAAGGTGTAGGACAAGGCTGACTTCACCACTAAGGGATGCGGGCACCGTCGATCACTGTCCCGACTGTGGAGCACAGTTCACGGTTCCAGGCACCAAAGAAAAACAACGAGTCGAAGAGTTAAAGCAACAGGCCAAAGTAGAACGAAAAAAAAGGCAACGAGAACGCAAGCAAGCTATTGAAGAAAAAAATGCTGCTGCGAGAGACGCACGAGAACAAGTGCGCCTAGAACAAGAAAGAGAACAAGAGCTAGAGGAATTACGTCGACGGCAGCTCTTGCGCCAGCCCGTCGTCTGCCCGTACTGTAGAATGCAAATCCAGCGTGGTGTGCAGAAATGTGGTCACTGCGGTGAATGGCTTGTGGGTACGGGCCATTCAAATGGGGTTGCTGCGATGCTTGGATGCCTTTTTGGCCCTCTTGGGCTTTGGTACAAGGGGCATTGGGCGGCAGGTTTTGCTTGGTTGGCGGCAATTTTTATTACGGCATTGGCCACGGGTGGCATCGGCCTTCTGCTGGCTCCTTTGTTTTGGATCGGCATGTCAATCCACGCGGCTGGCGCACCAGGAAAGAGAGAGTAGTGCGGCTCGTGGGCCACAATGGGCGATTCAGTGGCTCGGCGGCGCAGCCGTCTTCGGCACTATGAAGGCGATGAGGATGATCCGGATGTTGCATCAACAGATTTTGCGATTGTGAGCATCAATCGCTTACCCTCTCCCCGGTGCATCCACGACCGCGTTGATCTCTCACCCCGCATCTTCCGCAATCTGATCCATCAACCCATCGTCGTACGGCACGAACAGCTCATCCAGCGACCCTCGCTGGGTCAACTCAGGATTCAACCACCGAGCACAAGCTGCTTCGCTGTCCAGGATCACAGGCATTCGCTTCCGTGGATGAACCTTGCCGACCATCTCATTCGCTTCGGTGGTGACCATGGTGCAAGAGTCAACGGTCTCGGTGCCGTCTGACCAGTGTTCGGCTAGACCAGCGATGGCGAAAAGCGGTGAACGTGCCAGGCGAAAGTAGAAGCCGTGCTCGTAGAACTGCGTTGCAGGGATAAGCACTCGGTTGCGTTTGAACGCATGACGGTATGACGGCTTCGTGTCGATCGTCTCGCTACGGGCGTTGTATGTCATCCGCTGGAACGATTTCCGGGACTTCGTTTTCTTGGATGGCTTCCACCAGCTCGGCAAGAGGCCCCACTGCATCGGCACAAGCTCGCGTTCGCCGGACTCATTCAGCCGAACCACAGCGATATCGTACAGCGGGTACCGGTCGCGAGTGTCACTGAGATCAGCGGTGATGTTCGCCAACCGGAAGTGCTCGCGGTACTCTTCAGCGGTTGCGGCCTGGGTGAAGCGGTTGCACATGGTCGCGGATTATCTCAACTGCTGGGCGGACGATCCACCACGGCGTTTATTTCGTCGATCTCCGCGTTGAGCGTGTCCACCATCTGCTCAAGCACTCGCACCTGACCGATCAGGTTGTCACGCTCGCGAGCCAGCTTAAAGAACTGGGTGTTCTTGTCCTGATACGCGTCCTGCAATTCGTGGAATCGAGCACTCTCTTTACTGGGCGGCGAGCTGTCTAAGCCACTGGAGAACATGCCGGCGACGAAGCCCACGAGGAGTGCGATTGCAGCGATTAGGACGGTTCTCGATGAACTCATGGGGAAGACTCCCTCGCTGTCGATGGGGGAAACTACGCGAAGCGTTCGACTATTGGAGTCCCCCAGAGGATTCGTTGCAATCGCAGTTCGCAAAGCCTAGGCTTTTCTGCTGTGGATCTTTGATCACAACTCGTTGGGGGCAGAGTCAAGCAGAAGGCCGTCCTACTGCCCCAGGGCGGTCTTCATTTTTGCGCGGATGCAGAACAATGCCGAACGCTTTTCGAAGCCCTCGCAGTTGGTGCGAGAGTGGGGCATAAGGGACTACCTCAATTGCGATCAGTGCCAGGTATGCGGGCTTTGATAGTTTGCGGCAGGAATGACGGCAGTTCTCCAAATTTGGAAAGCTAGTTTGGCGGACGGACTAAGCCAGTTGTGCCAACTGACACAACGGGGAAGTGCCTGCCATGTATACACTTAGCCGGTGGGCACCCCCCCCCCCGAAAAAACGGCAGTTTAGCCAGTCCGTTCCCGAGCCCAAACTAGACACCGTGTCTAGTTTGAAGGCTGCGGCTCCCGAGGCCAAATTGGACACGGTGTCCAATTTGGACGTGCTTTAGGTTCCCAGAATGGAAACCTAAAAACTGGTCAGCGTCTCGCAATCGAAAAGCGATCGCCCGGATTAGCCCCTGTTGCACGTTCACGGGGTACGACGGCTGCTGACACCTGCCAGCGGAGAGGCCGTAAGGGGCGAGCATTAAGGCTTGCGGCATCAGTAACACCCAAGCACGCGAAAGAATGCCAACCGATTGTTCTCCACTGCCTTCCTTGGCTGCTTTACCTTCGGTTTGTTAGTTGCTTTCAATTATCCATGCAGCGCTGTTCACTCGGCCGCCCTGGGGCAGGGGCTCTTTCCATTTCGAATCGCGATGACAGCGAACGGCCTAAAGTCGCTGCAAGCGTCTCCGCATTAGGAAGGCACCAGCTAACGCCATGCCGGCCAGTGCAAATGAACTGGGTTCGGGGACGGCTGCAACGCGGAACCCTCGCTGGTTGTAATTGGCCTGTGCGGGTCTATCAAAGAACGAACCGCTCTGCAGTCTTGAACTACTAAACGACCAGCTACCGCCCATGTCAAAACGCCTGGGCAAAGTTTCCGGCTGACCCGATGGCGCATACGACGTGGCGTCATTCGTCAAATCAGAGTCGGTTTCCGTCCATTCGCTAACGTTGCCACCTTGACCAAAGGTACCGAATGGACTCGCAATGCCCACGTTCTTGATCTTATTGGGCTGGCCGATTGAAGCACCGTCTCGAAAGACAGCATCAAATACCGGGTCTTGCCCTGGAGTAGAAATACTGTCGATTCCGTCAGGTTCACTGTCGCTGCCGGTTGGGTAGCGATAGTAGACCTCTGCGACAGGATCGTAGTACGCAGCCTTGTACCATTCGTCCAGGCTTGGAATGACATATTTCGCCAGACTGTTTCGATAAAGGTTGTTGGGATTGTAGCCCGCGTCACTGGGGTCCCAATTGAGAAAGACTCCGTTTCCATCGAACTTATAGGCGGCCGTATATCCACTGCTTGTGTTAAGCCAATTGACGAATTTCGCTGCCTCGTACCAGTTGATGTCAGTCGCGGCCAAGTCCTTAGTATCCCGGTTCGTGTGCGTTATCCCGAGACCGCCCTCCGCGTTGGCTTTGTTGATCATGTCTTCGGAGATCTCGTAGGTTCCGAGTCGGTATGTGTACGAGACCGATCCAGGTGGATTGTCTCGAATGACAGTAGGTAAGGTGGCCGTAGAATCTTGAGTGTTTCCTGGGCTACCGATGGTCGTGAACTCGATCTCGAAGGAGTTGTCACCGCTGCCGAACATATCGGCGCAAACAGCCGATGCTTGGCTAATCGCCAGCATGAGAACGAGGCACCTCGATACGAAATTCATTAGCGCTGTCCCTTTCCGTTTCAGTCAGTTGAGCTATTCACTAACCCATACTGTTGCTGCTAATTTTCAAGGCTATGGAAGGACATTGATAGTAGATTCTTTGCGGGGGTAAAACAAGGAAAAAGATTCAATCTGATCGACAACAGATGTCACTCACACCCGTAAGCACCTGCGCTGGCAGCCAGAAAATCAGGGGTTCGAGCCCCCATCCTCCACTCAAACGCCCTCGCGACACACGTTCACCAGCTTCGTTAAGACGAATCACTGCAATGTCATACAAGAGGTACCGTTCGCGGCTTGGGTGAAGCGATTGCACATTGTGGCGGATTATCTCAACTGCTTGGCGGACGATCCACGACCGCGTTGATTTCCTCGATCTCCGCGTTGAGCGTGTCGACCATCTTTTCGAGGATCCTAATCTGATCGCGTAGATTCTCGTTCTCAGACCTTAGTGTTCCCGGTCTCTCGATCGTGTCTTTCTGTATCTTCTCAAGTAACTGCATTAGGTTTTGGTTTTGAGCCTGCAGGCCTAAGAGCTGTGTCTGCACATTGCGATCATGGCTCGCCCAGTAACCCTTGTGTGACATCCACCCACCGAGGAAACAGGCAAACGCGAGCACGAGTAGGAAGAGACCCCTCAGGCCGAACTGATAACGTTTTCTACTCACTGCTCGTCCCCCGGCTGCTCGTCGACGACATCGATCAGATCGTAGCGAGGTTCAGAGACAGTTGGCCCGCGTGGCTCGGCCGTCACTTCCAACTGAATCGATTCGAGATTCAGCTCGCCAGGATCCTTTGGACCGATTACCGCGTTGGTCTCATCCAGTTGAGCCGGCTGGGTCTCAACCATCTTTTGGAGCACCGAGTTTTGCTGTTTGAGATTAGTGTTCTCGAGTTCAAGTTCATGTGCTCGCGTCGAGCTGTCCATCCAGCGTTGCCTTATGCGAATCATCTCCTCTTTCATGCGGAAGTAAACCTCCTTGAACTTGGCAAGTTCAGTCCGCTCCATGCGATCGTTTGTAGTCCACCCACCGAGGAAGCAGGCAATGGCGAGCATCAGCACCAGAAGTCCACGAATACCGAACTGAACCTTGCCCTTGCTCACAGCTCATCCCCCGGCTGTTGAATCACAGCGTTGATTTCGCTGAGTTGAGCGTTCTGGGTCTCGATCATCTGTTCGAGCACTCGCACCTGACCGATCAGGTTGGCCCTCTCGCGAGCCAGCTTTAAGAACTGGGTATTCTTGTCCTGCATCGCTTGCTGCAATGCTTGAAAGCGTTCGTGTTCTTCCAGAGGCCGCGGGTTTCCAGCCCCAGAAGCCAAGCCCCCGAGGAAGCCCACGACGAGCGGGATTGCAGCGATTAAGACGGTTCTTGAACGACTCATTTGATAATCAACCCTTAAATCTTTGAAGTGCGGCCGGGCAGCCCCTATACTCGATCGAAACACCCTTTGAAGCAAGTTCGGAGATGGGGCAAGAGCGAGTGAAGAACGGGCAGGAAATAGAGCATTGGTACCAAGTCTACACGACCGACGCCGCGCTCGAACTCTTTGGCCTGATGGGCGTCATGCTTGGCTTCTCAGTCGTGCTGCTAATTGTGCACTGGCTGTACTTCTCGTGGGATGACAGACGGGCGAAACGAGAGGGCCGCGAGCCAGTCAATACGGAATGGACTCAAATCAAACGGACGGTGAATGAAAAAGAGGAAGTGAATCGCTGAGACCAAACAGGGGGCATCCTGGTGGCAGAAACATTCTCAGTCGTTGTTATCTTCGCGGTTATTCTCGGCATCGGCATCAAGCCGGCCAAGTACATCTGGCATCGCATTCAGAAGCGGCGCGAGCTTCTCAGGAAGTTGCAGCCCTACGATGATGTTGAGCACAACACTCTATCGTGGCGGGATCGGCAGACCTTGAAGCGGTTCGCCTACCAGGACGAATTGGACGTAAAGAGTCAGCCCGAATATGAAGCCCATCATTGACGAGGGGCGATAACAAGATAGCCCGGCTTTGTATCCGAAAAACACTTGTCATGCTTGGACCACTGCCTAGAGTGTTGTGTCATCCAGGTGGTCGCACTTTGTTGCGGTCATTGGTAGGGAGACCGTCCTACTGCCCCAGGGCGGTCTTCTTTTTTGCGCCGGATCAACCCAGCTCCCGTACGCATCTCGAAGTCCTCGCATTGGCGACTTGATTAACAACGCGAAATTAGCAGAGGTTAGATTCTATCGTTGCCGCTGGTCTAAGCGGGGCGGGACCCTGTATATGAGCGGGTCCTACAGCCAATTGCGTCGGTGACTGAATGGCGGAAGCAAAGGACGGTGTGGCCACGAAATTAGGACCCTGCCTGGGCCCCTCGACCTGGTTGAAGTTCCGGGCTGGAGTAGCTGAGAGGAGATCGCCGAACTGCCTCGGCGTGTCGGGCTGACGCAGCTTTTCCGCACTTGGTTTTTCGGCTATCAATGAGATATTGGGCATGGCTTATGTAGGCAGAAATGGCGCTGGGTAGAGGAAAAAAGCTGCGATATGGCTGAATGGAGTCGACTCAGAGCGCCGTTAGAAGACTCTTTTGAAGAACTCTGTTGCCAACTTGCGGCAGAAAGCCTGCGCTCGCAGCGTGGACAGTTCATCCGCAAAGGAAAGCCGGATTCGGGCGTCGAGTGCATCTTTCGACTGCCCGATGGAAATGAGTGGGGCTGGCAAGCCAAGTGGTTTCCTACGTCGCCAGGCCCAGGACAATGGAGCCAGCTGGACAAGTCATTCAAGACTGCTTTTCACGCTCACCCTCAGTTAACCCGTTACACAGTCTGCCTTCCCCTCGACCTTCCCGATAGCCGTAAGCCAGGCACCAAGACGGCCCAGCAGAAATGGGAAGAGTTAGTTGTGCGGTGGTCTCAGATCGCTGCGGACAAGGGCCGCACAATCAGCTTTGATTTCTGGGGCGATTCGCAACTTACAACAGGGCTTTCTCAGCCATCCACTCGAGGCCTCGAGTGGTACTGGTTCAATCAGACAGTCATGACGGAAGACTGGTTTCAGAAGCGGACAGACCAATCAGTCAAAGCGGCGGGAGACCGATACGTACCAGACCTCAACATCAGCACCGAGGCCAAAAAGGCATTCATCGGATTCAGGAGAACGACCCAATATTGGGACGCTGCTTCAGACCGCCTGTATGAACTTCGAAACCAACATCCGCCTCATCCCGCCCAGAATAACGATGAGGTCAACAAGAAGATTGCGCTGCTTGAGTCGGAGTACCGCGCTCTCATACTGAATTTTGAGCAGTTCACCACTGCTGGGGCGACTGGAGAGTCGTGGGCCCAGATTGCAAAGTCCGAGAGAGGGACTTGGTTGCAGCAAGTTAAGGTGGTTTACAACGCACTGCATGAAGTCAGGGAAGCCTACTACGAGCTGCAAGCTGCGGAGGTCGAGAAACTAGAACGCAAGCCATCTCGTCATGATCGCGAACCCTACAATGATCAACTCTACTGTCTCCAGAAACTTGGCGGATCGGTTTCTGGTTACGAGAATTTCTTGTCAAGTTCCGAGCATGTCACTGCTGACGCTAATGCAGTCTTGTTGGTAGGGGAAGCAGGTAGCGGCAAGACACATCTGTTATGCGATCTTCTAGAAGAAGACCAGAAGTCCGGCAGACCCTCGTTGCTGTACCACGGAGAGCAGTTTCGCGAGGGCGATCCATGGACTCAGATGATCGAGCTTGTGGGCCTAACGTGTGATCGCGATGAGTTTCTCGGAGCGCTACAGGCTGCCGCTCGAGCAAAGGGTCGTCTCGCAACTATCTACATTGATGCCGTCAATGAAGGACCCGGTAGTCGTATATGGCGTACGCATCTAGCTGCAATGGAATCAGAGGTTGGCTGCTGGGATTGGCTTCGTCTATGCGTCTCAGTGCGAGACCAATTCCGTTCACAAGTCACTCCTCACGACTCTACCAGAGGGTATCAACTTGTTGAGCATAGCGGCTTTGCGGGAGTCACCTATGAAGCCTCCACGAAGTTCTTTGAGCACTTTGACTTAGATCCGTCAGGGCCACTCCTAGAACCTGAGTTTGACAATCCACTGTTCCTAATGCTGCTTTGCCGTGGGCTCCGGGACACTGGGCACAAACGGCTCCCACTTGGACTCCGGGGGATAACGCAGGTCTTTCAATTTCTGATGGATTCCGTAGATGAGAAGCTGGCGACCACAGACCGTCTCGATTACCACCCAAGCGACAGGATAGTTCGGAAAGCGGTTGCGGCCTTGGCTGCTTCCATGGCAGAGCGGGGTGTCGATCGACTTTCCAGAGAAGACGCCACGGATGTCTTGGACGGCATCTACTCTTCTCAGCAGTACAGCCGCTCTCTGCTTCGCAATTTGGAAGTTGAATCAATCATCGCCATTATTCCAGTTTGGGGTGATGAAGATGGCGAAGAAGTACGGTTCACATACCAACGTTTTTCAGACTATCAGATCGTTCACCACGTTCTAAGCAAGGTAGCACCAGACGAGCTGCATTCGGCGTTCAGACCCGATGGTCCGCTCCACAAGTATGTCGCCGACGAAACCGCCTACTGGGAACTGAGCGGCCAGATCGAGGCCCTCGCTGTCTTGCTGCCTGAAATGTTTGGCTGCGAGCTAACCGAAGTTGCCCCTGGTATTGAAGATTTTTACGACGTGCACAACGCGATGTGCAACAGCCTCTCCTGGCGCGCTCCAGCAGCCATTGGTGACGCGACCAAGGCATTTGTCGCGCAGCAACTCCCAAATAAGAACGACGCAAGTGGTGACGTGTTGCTAGACACACTCGTTGCGGTGGCTACTATTCCAAGCCACCCTCTAAACGCTGATTATCTGAACAAAGTACTCAGTGACGCCATCATGCCTGACCGCGATGCATGGTGGTCGACGTATCTCTTCCGCGCGTCTGGGCATCAAGGTTCCGTCGATCGCCTGATAGACTGGGCCTGGAAGCACTCAGGACAATGGACGGGAAGCGACGAAGTTGCGCGTCTCGCAGGAATCGTGCTTGCTTGGTTTCTCACTTGCTCACATCGGAAGGTTCGTGATGGAGCTACAAAAGGGCTGGTGCGACTGTTTGAGCGACGGTTACACCTGCTGAAAACACTGCTCGAGAAGTTTTCCAACATCGATGATCCTTATGTTTCCGAGCGGCTCGCTGCCACAGCCTTTGGGGCCGCTTCGCGCTGTGGCGACATGCACGGGTTAGCCGAATTAGCTCAACACATTTTCAATGTTCACTTTGCCAAGACCGATCCGCCAGCCCGTTTCTTGGAGCGAGACTATCTACGGCAGACTGTTGAAGTAGCCCTAGAACGGGGGATACCTCTCGATGTCACCTTGGACCGGTTGAGACCTCCGTATTGCAGCCGCTGGCCCGACGACAAAGATATTCCTTCGTGGGAGTCTGACACCAAACTCCGAAACCGCATGTACGGTGACTATCTCTTCAGTTCCTACGGGGACTTCGCCAAACATGTCAAGACTTCAGCGAATGGAACGCACGAAGACTGGACGGATTGCCGGCCCGCACACCGGGGCGCGAGCTCAAGGAGTTTCAGTCGCTACTGACAGATCGCCAGTTGAAGGCGTTTCGACGCCTGCGTTCAGCAAGGACTCGGCATTGGAGTATCGTTAGGCAGGCCCGTTTCTCTGAGCGCGAAAAGGCAGCCGAGAGGAAGTTTGAAGAGGCGAGGCGGGCCTTCCTAGGCATGCTTCGAAGGGGGACTCCGAAGCGGATTCGGTACGAAGCGTATTTGGCTGACTATTTCTACAAGCCGTGGGAACTGGACAATGAACGTTGCGTCAACTTCCATGCAGCTCGCAGATGGATGTCTGCACGCATTCGTTCTTTGGGGTGGAACGCCGAGCGATTTGGCGTTTTCGATAGAGATTTTCGCACTGATTCAAATGTCTATTGCACGAAAGAGAGCATCGCGAAGAAATACTGCTGGATAGCGCTTGCAGAAATGCAGGCTCGTTGCGCAGACACCTTCGAATCACGCTGGATATGGGATGAGAATCATCGGGAGATAACCGGCCCGTGGGAAGTCGTATACGGACGTGATATCGATCCGTCGATGCTACTGAGTCGCACACACGACGAAGCCTACAAGAACTTCACACAAACCTGGTGGTTCAACATGCCTTTTGAGAGCTGGTCTTCTCCAGACGACGACGTTGCATGGATTAAGCGGACAGAAGATATCCCAGACCCCGCGACGTTGATGGTCGTATCAGATCCCAGAGGTGCTCAGTGGATTACACTCGATGGTTACTACAGATGGGAACAACCGACCAAGCCGGGGTACCGGCATTGGCAGCTAGTCACGCGGAATATCTGGCTAAATATTGCAAGTTTTTTTATCTGTGACGAAGATGTCGACGAATTCATGAAGTGGGTCGGCGGGGATTCGTGGAAGCCTGGCCTCATGCCAGACAGCGATATCTTCTCTGACTCTTTTCTTGGCGAACTGTTCTGGGGCAAGTCGAGTCGCTATTCTGCTGGCGAAAAAACCGAGTACGGCGGTTGGACCCAAGGGACCTGGGATGACTTACCGGTGCCGATCTTGAAAGCCTCAGGTACGTACTCGAAATCGCATTCACCTTCAGACTCTACACTGGAAGACGAGGTTGCATTTAGAATCCCCTGCCAAAGCTTGGCGGAATCGCTAAAGCTATCGACCGGCATGGAGGACGGTCAATGGCGAGATGGTAACGACTCGCTGGTTGCTTTCGATCCAGCCATCCATGAGCAAGGCGCTCCAGCTCTGCTTATAAGGAAAGAGCATCTCGAAGAATTCCTGACTTCCAATCGATTAACGCTCTTTTGGATAGTCGAAGGGATGCGTGAACGCTCAGGTGGACACGACGCGCACGCTGAATACATAGGTCACACCGAATTCAATGGCATATATCGCTGCCAGGAAGGACACCCAACTGGACAACTAACCTTTGAGACCAAGTTACGCACGTGGAGCTAACGGGCGTGGACTGCTCCGAACGCCCAGAGACGTTTGCCTGCATTTGGGGGCGAGTTTGAGCTATAGGCTCTCGTTTCGTCTCAAACCTGCACAGGACGTAAACGCCGGAGCTTTGATCTGTGATTGTTGGGCCCGTACCCGTCATATCAGCCGAAGATGCTTATGACCAGCTTGAGGTACCAATCTGCGCTCCAATGGAGTTCGTTGTCTCTGGTTGTTAACCAATTCGCTGCTGTTAAACAGAGAGCGCGAGAGTCTGGGTCAAGATCACGCCAGACCGCGACCCGAGGAGAACACAGTGGGCGCGCGACGAGAACTCTCGGCCGCGAAGCCAGGTCCGCAAACACCGTAGAAAACCGCGTATAAACGCGAAACGCCGGGAGCTTTCACTCTCGGCGTGGTGCGTTAACGGTTGGGTCGGTGGATTCCGAGGGAATCGGAAAAGCTCCCCGACGAGGACTCGAACCTCGGACCCAGCGGTTAACAGCCGCTTGCTCTACCAACTGAGCTATCGGGGATTGGTAAGCGACTTATCGTACCTTACTTGTCGGGCTTGGACAAGATGGGGGTTGGGCCACCGCTTGTGCTTGGGGCGTGGACCGGTTTGTCCGGGAAGGGTCTGGTTGGGATCTGCAGCTTGCAGCGAAGTTGAGGGCGACGGAACCAGGAAGGAGGGCGGCGGCGGAGAGGCTTACTCGCTGGCGTCTTCGGTGCCGCGTTCTTTTTCCATCACCACGCAGTTGCCTGGCGGGGTGTATTCTACCGAGGACATGAAGCTGCGGATGAGCATCAGGCCACGGCCTGAGGCCACGTCAAGGTTCTCGTCGTCGGTGGGGTCGGGCACCTCCTCGGGTTCGAACCCGGGGCCCTCGTCGCGAACTTCGATCCAGATGCGGTCCTCGAAGATCTTGCAGTGCACGTGCACTTGCTTGTTGGCGTCGTGCCGGTTGCCGTGCTTAATGGCGTTGACCAGTGCTTCTTCCATGGCCAAGTGGATACTGAAAATATCGCGCGCGACCCAGCCATAGTGCTCGAGCTTGGCCAACACCTCGTCCATTACCTGACGGCCGGCCGTCGGGTCGCTGGGAATGGTGGTCTTGGTGTGCCACACGGCGCAGTCAGATCCCATCGGCAAAGCGGTGGTTAGGGCTGAGTTTCGGGCAATGTTGGCCGAGAATTAACGCTCGACCGAACCATGGTTTTGAACGTCCCGCGAATCGTGGTCTCACGTGTTTCGCTCGATGGGGACTCAGTTTATTCGAGGCAAGAGTTAGCGCTCGAATTCAACACCCCACTCGAGCCAGCATCGACGCGGCCGGCGATCGACTAAAAGTCGGCCAGCGCGTCGGCCTCGTCATCTTTAATATCGAAGAGTTTGTTCAGCTTGGTGATGGCGAAAACTTCGTAGATTTCAGGCCTGATGTTGCACAGCTTGAGGATTCCGCTGTGTGCCTTGACCTTCTTATCCAACGTGATCAGCTTGCCGAGGGCGGCACTGGAGAGGAAGTCAACGCTTGTGAAGTTCAACAAGAGCTTCTTTCGATTGTCGCCTTCGACCAGTTGAAACAGCTCTTGGCCCAGGTCCTGAATGTTGGCTTCGTCGAGAATTTTACGATCGACGAACTGCACGACGGTCACGTCGCCGACTTCCGAGACTTCTAACCGCCGATTGACACCCATAACCCTCGCTCCTTTGGGTAGTTTCCGCCCCGACTGCGTTATTGCAGCCGTGTTTCGACGCCCGCCACCTGGCGTGGCAACCGGCGGCAAACCCATACGTGCGGCGGCTACTGGGGAGAAAACTGACCATCCCCGGCTGCCGTGACGCGTAGTTTTTGCCACCAAGTGTTCACGCCCAATGTTATTAGGTCGGGGGGGGCTGTCAAGCCGATTCAACGCTGCCCCATGGCCTGCAGGCTGGCGCGGCCCTTGCGAACGGCCCGTTCGATCAGCAGATAGTTACTGCCCTGGAACTCGGTAATCACGCCGGAGATGCTCCAAATTGGGGCGTCTGGGGTTTCGTCGAGCCGCTGTACGATGCGCTGGAGGTTCAGGTTCTCTAACACGATCACACTCCGCCCACCCTGGACGGGGCGAAATGCGTAGCGTGAACCGCTCAGAAAGATGTGCCCCAACTCGTTGTGCCAAATCTCGCCTTCGCGAATCAGAGGGCCTTCGGACGAAAGTGGAGCGTTGGAGGGCCCTGAATGGTGCTCGCCGGTGCTGCGGCTAAGGCGGTTCACCCGGGCCTGGCTGGTGCGGTCTTCGGCAACCGCGGTGACCACCATGGCGGAAAGCGCCACGATGACGAATGCCCAGATGGCGAGCGTGCCGTCTAATGGCTTTCGGCGAGGACCACTGAACTCCTCGGAGGAGCGCTTTCCGGTTGTGTCATTCATGGCAGGTCTCTCTAGGGTTCGGGTTATGCATCAGCGCAAACTGCCTCTCCTCTCATCGGCAAGCCCGCCGGGCCAGCGTCAGCCCAAGCTGCTCCCCGCCACGGCGTGTTGCGAAATGTGATGAGGAAACGGTTCGCCATGTTGCGAATTTGCCACGCGTCTTCGTCAGGATAGGAACCTAGTTCGCATCGGAACCCCAAGCGGCGCAATGCATTGGCCGTGATGTCACCCGCATGCTGGCAGAGGTGGAATACTGTTTGCCCAGGAGTTGTTAAACGCATTCTGCCTGAACCAGCTTCTTGTCCCGCGGTCGCCTGTATGACGTTCCAACCGTTCTTTCTCACTCGGCAACTCTACCTTGTCGCCGCTGCGGTGGTGGTGTTGCCAGCCGCTGCCTTGGCTGATGTGGTAGAAGTCGAATTGGCCAGCGGTCGCGTGTTCGAAGCGCAGGTGGATGCTCGGACGGACGCGGACCAGTTGTGGTTGAGGTTCGAGGAAGGCCGTTCGTACATGCTGCGTGCTATCGACTGGGATTCCGTAGTCGAGGTGCGGCAAGACGAACAAGTATTGGAGCCCGCGGCCGTCTCGGCTTTGGCGACCGAAGTTGATCCTGCCGCGGTTGAAGACTCTCCCCGCTCGTCGTTTCAAGTCGTAGAGCATTTTCCCGGCGTGACAGGCACGCAGATAAGTTCGCCCCAAGTACGTTGGTTAAGTGTCGATGCGACCGATGGGAAATGGACGCCGAACGTTGGCGTTGATGGGCTTCGGGTGGAGGTCGCCCCGCGCGATTACACCGGGGAGGTAGTGCCGGTGAATGGAACCCTTGAGGTGGAGCTTTACGCTTACCGTCAACGTGGCATTCAGCGTGTGAGGCATCCGCAGCGAATTGGGAGATGGTCGGTTCAGCTTTCGCCAGAAGACTTTGGTCCCTACGGAGCAGTGGTCCCGTTGAAATTCCAGGCGTTCAATCCACTCCGCGATCAGACCATCGAACCAGAAGGATTGGTTCACACCCGGCTGAGTGTTCCGGGGCAAGGTACATTCGAAGCGTCGGCCACCGATGTGGAATTGCGGCCCTACAGTTCTTTTCGCGATCGGCTAGATACCGACACCGGCCGCAGATATCTCCCGGCCGAAAGTGTGCCCAGTGGCGTGCGTTAACCGCCCGCTAAGCGAGCTGATTACTTAGAGTTTTTCGTCGCGTCTTGCGGCAGTCGATAACATGCGGCCTCTTGATCGTTGCGGACCAGGAGTAAGTCGCCTGCGAGGGTAGGGATGTTCCACGTTTTGCCCTCGATTGCAGTGAACGTGGTGAGTTCTTCGAACGATTCGGGCTGGGCTTCGACCAGGGCCACTTCGCCAAATTCGCCCAGGACAAGCAGTAGGTCGTTGACCATAATTATCTGTCCGTGCCCATACCGCCCTTTCTTCCATCGCCGTTCACCGGTTTCGACCTCGACGCAGGACAATATCCCGTTGTCCAACCCGTAGGCGTAGCCGTCACGAGTGACGGCCGTGGTGAACTTGGTCTTCAAGTCCTTGCTGTGCCACAACTCCTCGGCAGACCAGCCGTTTTCGGAACTGTGATTGATCTCCAGCAAACCACATCCAACCCCGTAGCCAGAAGAGACGAACAGTCGATCATCTGGCCAGGGCAGCACTTGCGACACCTTCGATTCTTCGCCGGGCCAAGGATGCTCCCAGAGCTTCTCGCCACTGCTCGGATCGTACCCGCAAACGGCCGGATGATTCAGAATGATGATCTGTGGCTGCCCGCCTAGCGTGATGACCTCGGGTGAAGCGTAACCCATCTGATCCTTGCTTTCGGTTTCCCAAATCAGCGAACCATCCAGCTCATCGTAGGCGGCCAGAGTAGGACCGGTTTGCCCTCCCGTGCTGACGATAACCATTCCTTCGTACAGCAGCGGTGAGCAAGAGTAGCCGAACCCATTGTTCGGGGTTCCGTGTTCAGCAAGTAGATCGTGACGCCAGAGTAGTTCGCCGGTCGCCCCGTCAAGGCAGCACAAAACTCCGGTTCCGCCGCATGTGTATACCCGACCCTCGAACACGGTAGGTGTCGCGCGGGGGCCATCGCCACCGACCGGCGAGACATAGTTCACGTTCTCTCCATGCGACCACCGTTCTTTGCCTGTTTCGAGTTCGTAGCAGATGGTGAGTTCTTCCTCGCCACGTTGCTCCTGCGTGATTGCATAATCGCCGACCACGGCGAAGGACGACCACCCTCGACCGATAGGTTGTCGCCAGAGGAGCTCCGGAGAGTTTGCTTCCCAGTCGCGGGCTAGAGGGGGGCCGGAAAAAACTCCGTTGCGATTTGGGCCAAAAAACTGAGGGTAGTCATCGGGCGTGGTTTGCGTCAGATCGACGGGGGCGGAATCCGAGGAGACTTCAGGTGAAAGTTTGGCAAGGGTGCCCTTGGACTTCCAACGCCAGGAGAATTGAAACCACAGATCGCCATCGACGCCGTCCCAGCGAAGCAGTGCGGTCAACAACAGTAGCACCCCGATGATGCCGGCTGAGGTGGTAGCACGCCACGCGATGGGAGCCCGAGAGGCAAAGAGCCACCATGCCCACAGCAACAGCAGACCAATCAGCGGGAAAAACTGAATCGCCAGAACGCGATTCTGGTCTGATGCATCAAACACAACCCGCGTCGCGGCGATGGCGCCGCCAACAAGCAGAACGATGAGTGCTGCGGGCCACCAGCGTAGTGGCCGACGCCCAGCTTGTTTGGGGGTTACTGGATTGTCAGGTTCAGCTTGCACGTCCGCGGGCGACGTGGTGGACATGAATTGTTACCTTGGAAAATGGCTACGAACTTCTCATGCTGCGACCACTGCGAAAGCTGGTCGGTGCTTTCCGAGGTTTACGGGTCGCTGTCCGTTTCTTCCTCGTCAATCTCGATCACGTCGCCAAGCATATCCTGATCGAAGTCGTAAAAGAACCAGTCGAGAGCGCCTAGGCCGCCAATGAGGGTGTCTTCCGCTCCGTCGTCAACAATCGTCACGCCAGGTTGCAGTTTCCATGGGCCGTTCTCGCCGGTTGAGGTGATGCCCAAAATATTGGTCACTCGCTCCGCATAAGGACGGGCCGACTTCCACTCTTCATGAATTGACTGTATGGCGGAGTGCTGATCGACAAAGAGGAAGTGGTCGCTGACCAGCAAGTCTTCGCCCGCTCCACCGTCGAGCGTGTCGGCACCCAAGTAACCGTAGAGCGAGTCGCGACCTTCGCCCCCGGAAATGTAGTCGTCACCATCGGTGGCACGTGTGCCGCCAATAACGATGTCGTCGCCTGGGCCACCATATAGAAAATCGCCCAGAGAGCCGCCAACGATGATGTCGTTGCCGTCGCCGCCGTAGATTTCCATAACGTTGCCCGGGCCCAGCTCCCCAGCCAAAATGTCAGTAAACCCGTAACCGTGCAGAATGACTCGGCCAGTAATGGCAGAGCCAAAGTAAACCAGGCGATTAACTCCGATGGCATTTTCGACTTGGAAGTAGATGGACATGCCCGGGGCTTGCCCAAGGACGAACACCGCATCGAACCCTGGTGTGCCTCCGTAAATGAGATCGGTGTTGCCGAATCCGTCGTCACGTAGGACATGCGGGGTGACCGTGATTGGCAACTGGTTGAAAGTACCAGTTGAGCCATCTTGATCAGTAGCACGCACTTGAATGTTCGTTCCCGGAGTCAGAGTTGGGAACGCGTGCTGTACCGTTGTTCCACTGGGCACGCCAATTAACGTCTCATCAACGGTACCATTGCCATCCCAGTCGATCTCAAAATCGAATAAACCAGCTTCATCGGCCGGCGAGGCATCCGATGCCGTGAGGGTGAACAAAACCTCTTCACCGCGGTAGATGGCCGTGGTTCCAGAGATCGCAGCCGTGGGGGCCACATTGTTGACGGTGATGTCGATGATTTCCGAGTCGGACTCGTTTGGGGCACCGTTGTCGGTGACGATGATTTCCACAGATACCGGCACCGCCGAACTGTCGCTAGGCGTCCAGATGAAGACACCGGTTGTGGGATGAATCGAAGCCCCCGCGGGTGCCCCGGGGCCCAGCGTGTAGGTCAAGGTTCCCACGGGCAAGTCGGGATCTGTGGCCGTTGCGGTGAACGTCAGCAGGCTGCCTTCATCGACGCTTTGATTGCCGATGGGGTCTAATACCGGAGGTAGATTAGTTTCGCCCACTGTGACGTTGATCGTTTCAAAGTCGTCGGCGTTGGGCGATCCATCGTCGGTCACGCGAATGGTGATCGCGTACACTCCGGGGCCCTGAGCCTCGGTGGGCGTCCAGGTGAAGACGCCTGTCGTGGGATGAATCGAAGTGCCGGCCGGAGCCCCACCGTCGAGCGTAAACGTCAGTCCGTTGGCAGGCTCATCGGGATCCGTGGCCGTGGCCGTGAATGTGAGCAGCACCCCTTCATCAACGCTTTGGTCGCCAATCGGGTCGAGTACAGGAGCCTGGTTGACCTCACCCACGGTGACGTTGATCGTCTCGAAGTCGTCAGCGTTGGGCGTACCATCATCCGTCACGCGAATGGTGATCGCGTACACTCCGGGGCCCTGAGCCTCGGTAGGTGTCCAGGTAAACACCCCGGTCGTTGGATGAATTGAGGCCCCGGCCGGTGCACCGCCATCGAGTGTGAACGTTAGATTGTCGCTCGGAACATCGCCATCAGTGGCTGTGGCCGTGAAAGTTAGCAGCACCCCTTCGTCCACGCTTTGGTTACCAATTGGGTCGAGCACAGGCGGTTGGTTGACCTCAGCCACCGTGACATTGATCGTCTCAAAGTCGTCGGCGTTCGGGCTGCCATCGTCTGTGACGCGAATGGTAATAACATGGACACCAGGGCTGTCGGCTTCGCTAGGCGTCCAGGTGAAGACGCCGGTGGTCGGGTGAATCGAAGCCCCGACCGGAGCCCCGCCGTCTAGCGTGAACGTCAAACCGTTGGCAGGCAGGTCCGGATCGTTGGCCGTAGCGGTGAAGGTAAGCAAGACACCTTCGTCAACGCTCTTATCGCCAATCGGGTCCAACACTGGCGATTGGTTCACTTCACCTACGGTGACATTGATCGTCTCGAAGTCATCTGCGTTGGGCGTGCCGTTGTCGGTCACACGAATGGTGATGACATGAACCCCAGGACCTTGGGCTTCAGTCGGCGTCCAAGTAAAAACGCCGGTTGTCGGGTGGATTGAAGCACCAGCTGGTGCCCCGCCGTCGAGCGTGAATGTCAAACCGTTCGCCGGCAGGTCGGGATCGTTAGCCGTGGCGGTGAAGGTGAGAAGAACACCTTCGTCAACGCTTTTGTTTCCAATCGGGTCCAACACGGGTGCTTGATTGACTTCACCCACGGTGACGTTGATCGTCTCGAAGTCGTCAGCGTTGGGCGTACCATTGTCGGTTACCCGAATGGTAATCGGGAAGACGCCGGGCCCCTGCGATTCAGTCGGAGTCCATGTGAACACGCCGGTTGTCGGGTGGATCGAAGCGCCGGCCGGAGCCCCTCCATCCAGCGTGAATGTCAAACCGTTCGCCGGCAGGTCGGGATCGTTGGCCGTGGCGGTGAAGGTGAGAAGAACACCTTCGTCAACGCTTTTGTTTCCAATCGGGTCCAACACGGGTGCTTGATTGACTTCACCCACGGTGACATTGATTGTCTCGAAGTCGTCAGCATTAGGCGTGCCGTTGTCTGTTACCCGAATGGTGATCGGGAAGACGCCCGGGCCTTGCGATTCGGTGGGAGTCCATGAGAACACGCCAGTAGTCGGATGGATCGAAGCCCCGGCCGGAGTCCCTCCGTCGAGTGTGAATGTCAGTGTGTCGGAGAGATTTGGATCGGTGGCGGTGGCCGTGAAGGTGAGCAATACCCCTTCATCCACCGATTGATTGCCGATGGGGTCGAGCACCGGCGGGTCGTTGGTCGAAGGATTGGGGTTGTAATTGCCAAAGTTGATGTCGTTCACAACCTGATCGACACCCAGCGTGACTTCTGTAATGCGTGGCGGAGTTTCAAAGACGCTAATCGCATCGTCGTCAAATGCGCCAACATACACATGGCGACTGTCGGGGCTGACGACAACACCATGCGAACCGTCTAGCCCGTCGATACCTCCAACTCCGTCGAAGTAGGAGTTCTGGAAGGTCAATTCACCGGTGGTCAAATCACGACTGAAGACCGCAATTGAATCGGCGAAGTATCCAGCGAAATACATCAACCGACCATCGGGGCTGAATGTTTGGTCGATGGCACCGTCCAATCCAGAGACGCCGTTGACCCCATCGCGGTGGACTTCCAGAAAGGTCAGCTCACCAGTTGATTGGTTGCGCGTGAAAACGGAGACTGCAGCTTCGAGAGCCCCGGTTACGTAGACTTGTCCCCCGTCGGGGCTCACTTTAACGCTCAGGGCTCCTTCGAGACCATCCACTCCGCCGACGCCATCCAGCAGCGAGTCGGCGAATGTGAGCAGCCCGGTGTTGACATCCCGATCGAACGTCAACAGCGAATCGTTCGTGTCGGTGCTCACATAGACATTCTTTCCGTCGGGGCTCACCGAGACCCCGCGTGGGGCGTTCATGTCGGTAACGCCGCCCGAATTGTTCTCGTACGACGCGAGGAAGGTCAACGTTCCGTCGGAGGTGTTGCGACCGAATGCCGCCAGGGAGTCGCCGAACTTACCAGTGGCATACAGGTATTCGCCATCCGGAGAGATGTCTATCAACCCCGCACCATCAATACCTTCAACGCCATTTACACCGTCTTCGTACACGGCCTCAAAAGTCAGTTCCCCGTTGCCAGAATTAATGCTGAACAGGGCGATGGCGTCATCCTGACGGCCGGAGACATACAGAAACTGTCCGTCATCGCTCATCTCGATCCAATGAGCCTGGCGTAAACCATCGATTCCGTCGACGCCGTCGAGATAGACATCAATGTAAGTAAGGTGCCCCGTGGTAACATTGCGGTCGTAAGCCACGACCGAGTGATTGGCAATCGAGGCTACATAGACGTATTCGCCATCGGGCGTAATCACCACGGCTTCAGCGCCGTTCATCCCGTCGATAATTTGACCGCCACTGAGCGTTCCGTCCTGATAGCGAACTAGAAAATCTAGCTCCGGCTCAACGTGCGGGAAAGTCTGCTCCCATCCAGCCACGACAACTTCGGCAACGTTGTAGGTTCCCGGGGACAGGCCCGTGAACGAAAAATCACCGTTCGAGTCGGTCAACTCGGTCAGCTCACCGCCGTCCAGTTCTCCATCGCCATCGGTGTCGAGAAACACCGTCCAGTTCGCCAGCCCGGTTTCGCCCCCGTCGAACACACCATCTTGGTTTGCATCATCCCAGACCGTGCCGTGGATTTCGGCTCCGGCCAGTAAACGACGCGCTTCGAGTTGTTCCAGGCCCGCTCCGGTGATCTGAGTGGTGAGTCGAGTTGAAGGAAGAACGGAGGAAGATGTACGAGAATTACGACGCGCGTCGGATCGCTGCCCTCGACGGCGCACACCATGTCGCAGCATGAAAGGTCTCTCCAGGCGATTTGAGTCGCGGTGGGCGGAGGCGCATACGCACACATCAGGTGGGAAACATATGCCCGCGGGTTTAAACGTCTAATATGGCAGCAACCGAGGGTTTGGGCCAGTATATTGTCAATCGATCACCTAGAAATTGAGATGAACTCCCCCCTCGATTGGTTCTGCTGAGATAGGCACTTAGAGCGGCCATACCAGGGAGCGGAACTTTAGCACGCCCCCCGTTCGGAGACGGCTACTGCAGAGTGTCGCTGAGCGACAGATTTACGGAGATCGGATTACTCGCCGTTGAGGTGATCGCGATACCAGGCAACGGTCGCTTTCAGCCCCTCGAGCAAAGTGTGGCGTGGGTTCCAATCGAGCACGGAACGAGCTTTTCCGCAGTCGAGGTACTGGCTGAGAATCTCATTGCTGGCCTCACCCAGCACTTTGGGGCTCAAGTCGGTCCGATCAGTCGCCTCCAAGATCAGCTTGACCATCTCCAGGACCGAGACGGGGGATTCATTGCCAAAGTTGAACACCTCGCCGACCACGCCTTCTCGCGGTAACGACTCGGCCAGATGTAGATAGGCTTCGACGGCGTCCTCCACGTAAAAGTAGTCGCGGATGTAGGTCCCATCGCTACGGATCAAGGGAGCCTCGTTCCGCAATGCCGAGCGAATGGTGCCGGGCACGAGCCGGTTGAAATTCAAGTCGCCCCCGCCATATAGGTTGCCGCAACGCGTGATCGCCACCGGCAGTCCGTAGGTAGCGAAGTACGACATCGCGATCATATCGGCGCACGCCTTCGAGACGTCGTAGGGGAATTGGGCCCGCAGCGGAAACTGCTCTGTGTAGGGCAACTCGCTCTGTTCCCCGTAGGCTTTATCGCTTGAGGCGATCACAATCCGAGACACTGCTCGCGGGCACAGGCGGCAGGCTTCTAATAGGTTCCATGTGCCCCGCACATTGCTTTCAAACGTCGACAACGGAGAACGCGCCGCCGTCCCGACGATGGTTTGAGCTCCGACGTGGAGAACGGTATCGATCTCGTATTCGTTCACCGTGCGGAGCAACAGCTCGAGATTTTCGAGTTGCCCCCGCACCACGACCGTTCTTCGATCGAGTTCATCCTGGTTGAAGCGGCTTCGCCCGACCCAATCGCGGACCAAGCACACTGGCAGGGCACGAAACTCGACAAGCTTCCGCACCAAGGCCGAGCCGAGAAGGCCCGTGGCGCCGGTGATCAATACAGGACGGTCTAACCAGAAATCAGCGTTCATGGTTTCCAAGGTGCCTCACCACTAGCCCACAGCGACTCGAGAAGTCGTTTATCACGGAGTGTGTCCATGGGCTGCCAAAAACCGTCGTGCTTGAAAGCCATTAACTGTCCTTCTGCAGCTAGCCCTTCCAGCGGCTCTCGCTCGAGCAACGTCTGCGGGCCTGCGAGGTAATCGAAAATGGCCGGTTCGAAGACAAAGAAACCGCCGTTGATCCAACCTTCGCCGGCTTGGGGTTTCTCTGCGAACTCGCGGACTGAGTCGCCTTCGAGTGCCAGCGAACCAAATCGGGCAGGGGGGCGAACTGCCGTGACCGTGGCGATGCGGCCATGCGACTCGTGAAAAGCAAGTAAGTTTCGCACGTTCACGTTACTCAGCCCATCGCCATAAGTGACCATGAACCGACTGTTGCCGATGTGCTTTCGCAGGTTCAGCAGCCGACCACCGGTTTGTGTTTCCAGCCCTGTGTCGAAGACCCCAATCCGCCAATCGACTCTGCCTGAGTCGACCGTCTCGATCGAGCCATCGTTCAAGTTGACGATGTAGTCGTTGTTGTGAATGTAGGCGTTGTGGAAATACTCCTTGATAATGTCCCCGCGGTAGCCGCAGGCAACCAGAAAGTCTTTAAAGCCGTGCGCGGCATAGACATGCATTAGGTGCCAGATAATGGGCTTTCCGCCGATTTCCACCATTGGCTTAGGGCGCGTAGCGGTCTCCTCCGATAACCGCGTCCCTAATCCACCTGCGAGAATGACGACTTGCATTGATTGGCTCAAAGTTATTCTGTTTCAACGACCCATTGCCTAGTCTACTTGAGAGGGTGGGCAAACCGAGCGCCTCAGCAGGTGTTCGCCCTGAAAATCGCCTCAGACAACCGTTTCAGCCCTCATATTCCTCGGGGATCGATGTTTTATAGGCCCGTCTCAAAGTCCCAGGTTTGCCGAATTCCGGCGGCAATCGTCGTCGCAGGGCTCCAAGTGGTCACCGATTTGAGTCGTTCGATGTTCACTGGATCGTGCTCCATCTCTTTTCCGCGTTGTGAGATGGCCCCGAACTGGAGGTTCTCGTCGGGAATCTCCAAGACCTCGGCGGCAGCCTCTACAAACTGACGGACCGAGTGCAGCTTGCCAGTGGCCAAGTTCACGACCGGTGGGGTCTCCTGCCCAGCGGGTATCACGCCCAATCGCAGCAGACCCTGCGCCACATCGCCCACATAGGTAAAGTCCCGCTGCTGGGTTCCCACGCTCAGCGGAACAGGCTGCTCGGTGCGAGCGGCCGCCATCAGTGACGGCAGCAGTCGCCCTGAGTGTTCGCCGGGTCCGTAGACCGTAAACAGTCTGGCCGTGAGGGCCGGCAGCTTCTGTGCTGTGCAAATTTCGCTCAATGCACGGCTGGCGGCCAGCTTCGTTTCACCATACCAACTGCTAGGTTCGGCGGGTCCCCATTCTGCCAAGTCGCCCCCGACCATTCCGTACTCAAACGCCGAACCAACGTGGACGAGCCTTTGACCGGTCCAACCTTCGGCCGGGATGTCGCCGATCGCCCCTGCCAACTCGATGGGCAACTCGGTATTGATCCGCTTTCCCAACTCTGGGTCTTCTTCCGACCGATCAACTCCATAGCCGGCCAGGTTGAATATGATCTGCGGCCGCTGTGCCTCGACCAAGCCCCGGACCTGCTCGGGTGCCGAGAGATCTGCTTCGACAGTCTCGCCCTCAATTGCCCAACGTTGAAATACCAGCTCGGCCGCAGATTTGTCTCGCGCGACTAAAATGAGTTTCGCGCCCGAGGCCGACAAAGCATTTGCCACCCAGCGGCCGATGAAGCCAGACGCACCTAGCAGAAGAACTTGTGCGTTTCGATAGCGAAAATCAGGCTCCACGGACTGGCCCAGGCAAGAATAGTATGGAAGGTCGAACGCAGGAACCTAGCTAATCCGGCCTGCGCGGCGGTCAGACAGCTGTCCCCACTGTTGCATTAGTAGGCTGAGTACAATCTAACATGCACGCGGCTCGATTCGCCGCCCAGCATAGCGAAGTGCCTCGATTGTAAGTCACTCCACATCTGGGTGAAAGCTCGCAAGAACAGCCTCACCGTCTAAGAATTTACTGCATGGATCAACCACCGCTCACAGAACAATCGTCCTGGAAAGCATGCGCGATCCCTGCGTTCTTGGTATTCGTGCTGAGCGTGGTTTTGGGCTTCGTTGTTCGGGCCCCTTATTTCGGCGGGACGTTCGCACTGGACGAAGTTTATTTTTTGGAAGACATCGGGCTTGTACGCACCGGTCGCCTGAAATTCGCGAACTATCTCCTCACGCTGAACGGCGGCTACCTCCACATCCTCGCGAAGCTCCAGTTCTATGTGCTTTGGTACTGCTTCGGGCTGAATCCCGACGCCCATCGGATCGTAATCGCACTAGCCCATGCAATTTCGGCTACCGCGGTGTTCTTGCTGGTACGACACTACCTTTCGAGGAATCAGGCACATGAAATGATGGGGGCTGCTATTGATTCCTCGCAAGGAGTACCTGCAAGCGGGGCTACCTTGGCCGGCTTAGTTGCGTCGTTGATGTGGGCCACGGTCGCGGTGGGGGGATACGACAATGTGTTCCTGTTGATCGGCAGCGGAGAACAGGCTCCCTGCATCATGTGGCTTACTCTGGCGATGCTTTGTGTAACCCAGTGCCAGGCCTACCCGGTTTGGTCTTCAGTCGGCATGGTGTTCTGCCTGGCCTGCTCTTCGCTCACTTGGGGGCTGGGCTTAGCCATGGCGCCCGCCGTTTTGGTGCAGTTTTATTTGCTTGAGTCCCCGTCGCTTCGCAGTTCTGGCTTGCGTTGGAAATGGTTCTTGATGTGGGCAGGCGTAGTTGGGTTGATCGCTCTGGTGCACTTGGTTTTGAGAGCCGTGAACCAAGATCCCACAACGGCAGGCGCGATGGCGTGGAATATGCCGTGGCGATTTGTGGTTCAATTCGCCGCGGCTTTCGGCAACCTGATCGGGTTTTCGCACTCGCAGGCAAGCAGTTCCATCGCCCTGAAGGTGACATTGGTTACGCTGCTGCTCGCCGCTGCGTTTTTTTACGGTGGGAATTCACGACGCGTCCTCTGTGTCTTTCTGGCGGCCACGGTGGGTTACGTCGCGGTGCTGGTCGTCTTTCGTGCCGATCGTGACTTGTTCGATGGACGTTACCTCTACGTTCCTTCGCTGCTCTGGTGTGTTGTTGCTGGCGTTTTTGTTGGCGGGGTCTATCGCCACCGGCGGGCGTTGGGAAGAAAGTTGCTGGTGGCGTGTGTGATGCTGGCCGGCCTCTTGCACGTTTACCATCAAAGAGCAATCGCTGGGGAGGCAAGAGCCCAGTTCGATCAGTACCTGACAATCACGGAAGAGACGCTTGAAGGCTACAAGGCGCTGCTTGTTCAACTTGAACAACAGGCGCAGCTTTCTGGAAATGCCGTGCGTTTGCCGGATTTCCCGATAGTGGTGCCCCCGAACTTCTATCCCACCTACTTTCCTTTTTCGGCCTGGGTTGCCGTCGTTCGCGACGAGCTGCCGCAAGGAGTCGAACTCTTGGAGCCCGACGAATTGACGCCCCAGGAGATAGAATCCGCTGCGACGTTTCTGGAGAGCCTCGACTTGCTCCAGGCCCGACAGGCGGCGCATGCCCTGCGTACCGCCGTGCCCGATAGTAGGAGTCTGATGTGGCTTTCAGAATTCGCACAGCAGCACGAAATTGTCATCTTAGTACCGAACTTCACCTTCGCTTATCCGGAGCTGAATCTGAGCTATCCGGTGATACAGTGCTTATCGAACGCGTTTGATCAATCGCTGCCCGGGTTGAGGGTGGTTTCAGTGGACGATGTTCCAAAAGCAGAACTGTCTCAGCAGCTCGAACTGCTCGAGGCCAGTCCAGATCGAGAGGCCGACACCTGGGTAACGCTACTGGGGAGATTCGTCGACTCGCCCCCTGGAAAATCCCCCCCAGATGAATAGTCCGGTGCTGATTTCCTTTGCCAGCCCGGTCTGGGTGTTAGAATGAGGAGATTACCCGAGTGGGCGAGCCCTCTTCGGTACCAGGGAACTCAACCATTACTCACAGGATTACTGCCCAAGCCCACGCGTATGGTCCGGCCTCCCAAACAACGCGACTCATTCAAATCCTCACCGGTTACCCGCCGCGAGGCGATGTTTCAATGGGCCGGGGGATTCGGCGGCTTGGCCCTGTGTGGACTCTTGGGCTCTTGCAGTCGCTCGACAAATAACGACCGCGTTGCCCTTTCTCCCCCTGTGCCCTCGAAGGCGAAGCACGTCGTGTTCTTGTACATGGACGGCGGGCCTTCACAGATGGACACTTTCGATCCCAAGCCCCGGCTCGACAAAGATCACGGTAAGCCGATCGCCATGGCGAAGGTACCGGAAACGCAATTCCGGATCGGCAACATGGTGATGAAGTCGCCCTACAAGTTCAAACAGCATGGGCAATGTGGAGCCTGGGTCAGCGATATCTTTCCCGAGGTTGCCACCTGTGTGGATGACTTGGCGATCATTCGTTCGATGGTGGCCGAAAACTCGGAACATACGGCGGCCAACTATTTCATGAACACGGGCTGGCCCATTGCTGGGCGCCCCAGCATGGGGGCCTGGGTCACATACGCCATGGGCTCCGAGTGCGACGAACTGCCGGGTTACGTCGTGCTCGACACCGGACAAATGCCATTAGGCGGGGTTGAGTGTTTCAGCAACGGCTTTCTACCGCCGATGTATCAGGGCACGCTCCTCCATCGGGGCAACTCGCCGGTGCCCGACATTCGCCCGTTGGAACCATCGACCGAGCTGCAGACCGCCAAGCTGGAACTGATCCAACAGCTCAACGAGCGGCATCGCAAGCGGATGGCGTCGCTCGGCTCGGCCGAACAAATCGAAGCCGTGATTGCCAACTATGAAACCGCGGCCAAGATGCAGCTGGCGGTGCCCGACCTTACCGACATCAGCGACGAGACCGAGGCGACACGGCAGCTCTACGGGTTGGATCGACCTGAGACCGAAGAGTTTGGCCGGCAGTGTCTGCTCACCCGACGTCTTATCGAGCGGGGCGTGCGGTTCATACAACTACTGCCGCCTTCGCTACCAGACCACAACCACTGGGACCAACACACCAAGTTGGCTCGCTACCACCGCAGCAACGCCCAGGCGGTCGATCGCCCAATCGCCGGGTTGCTCAAAGATCTCAAGCAGCGTGGCATGTTGAATGAAACGCTCGTCATCTTCGGGGGTGAATTTGGGCGAACCCCCATGGCCCAAGAAATGCCGCACGGCGAACATGGCCGCGACCATAACCCGTTCGGTTTCACGATGTGGATGGCCGGCGGCGGAATTCAACCCGGGCTGACCTATGGTGCGACCGACGAGTACGGCTACTTCGCTGTCGAGAATCCGGTCCACGTCCACGATCTTCACGCGACGATTCTGCATCAACTAGGCCAGAATCACGAACAGCTGACCTATCACCACGGTGGCCGCGACTATCGCCTGACCGATGTCTACGGTGAAGTGGTTCACGACCTGATCATCTAGGCAATTCGCCGCAACTGCTGCTATTCCGCAGATAGATCACCCGTTGCGGATTTAGCGGTGTTTGCTTCCGTTTGAGGAAGTCGATCAATCAACGCATCAAACGCTTCGAAAAACTCTTGCGATGCGGGGGTCGCATGTTTGAACCCAGGTTCAACCAAAAAAGTCTTGGGTTCGTTCGCCCCCTCGAACAACCGACGTGCTTGCTCGAGGGGGACGACGTCGTCCTGTTCTGCGTGGCTTTGCAAAAGCGGCCCCTGGTATTGCCCGATCTTTGATAGCGAGTTGAGGCGGTATTTCATCGTGCGGTACACCGGGGCGAAACGAAAATGCTCGTGGGCCACGTCGGGCAACGAGGTGAACGCATTTTGCAGGACCACCGCCCGGGCTCCATCGCGACTGGCCAACTCAACGGCCATCGCCGAGCCCAACGATCTGCCGTACAGCACAATTTCGTCCTCAGGCACGCCCGTCCTCTCCGATAAGTAACGGCGAGCTGCCAGACTGTCGGCCACCAAGGCTGCCTCTCCGTTGAGTTTTCCTTCACTGCGGCCGAACCCTCGGTAATCGAACACCATTACCGTGAGGCCAAGCTCGTCGTGTAGTTTGCGAACCACCTCGTCTCGGTAGCTCAGATTGGCGCTACTGCCATGCAGAAAAAGCACGACCGCTCGGGGGGATTCGTGTTCAACCAGCCAGCCGTGGAGCTTCTCGCCCTCGCAAGAAAACCACACATCTTCGTAAGGCAAGTTTTCAGGTTCCCAGTTTCCATAGCTGGCCGGGGCCGGATCAAACCAGATGACCTCTTCCAGCATCCACGTGCTCCACACATGGTGGGCGACCACGGCCAGAAACAGCAGCACGGGGGAGAGAAAGAGGGCGACAATCCCTCGACGAACCCACTTGGTTTTCCGAGGAGATGCTTTCGCCGCTGGATCTTGCTCAGTTACGCTCATCGCTTACTTAGCCTGAGAATTCGTTCGCCATGACTCGATCAGCCGTTCAACCGCCTGAACGCCTTCTGCACTATTGTCTTGACGATAAATTGCCGCGGCTTGCTTGGCCAGTCTTTCGGCGTTCTTGGATTGCCCCAGATCCTGGTAGGTCTGAGCAATCGCCATGAGAACTTCGGGAGACGCTTTCTCAGATGGCGGTAGCGCTGCCTCGGCTGTGTTCGTTGAGTCGAGCGCGGCCTCCAACTCGCCCAGTTGTATCTGAGCCTGGGCCAGGCCGAGCCAAATATCGGCAGCGGGTTGCGGCAACATGCTCAGTGCAACCTGGAATTCCTCGGCTGCCTCTTGGGGGCGTTTCAATTGCATCAGCAATGCCCCCGTCTTAATACGCAAGGCAGCCCGATCGGCATCCTGGCGTCCGTATTGCAATGCTAGGCGGTAGTGTTTGACCGCTTCCTCGAGTTGGTCTTTTTTCTCCAGCGACTCTGCCATCAGTCGATGTGCAAGGCTCGAGGTTGGATGCAGCGACAAAGCATTTCCAAGAACTCGGATGGCCCCATCGGTCTGCCCGTTGAAAGAATAAACCTGGGCCAGGTTGATGAACGCTCGGGCCGAATTCGGGTTCAATTGGGCAATCTCGACACAAAGGTCGAACGCCAGTTCTCGCTCGCCCTGATGCATCATGTTTTGGGCGATGGTGGACGCCGCAAAGATACTGCGTCGATTCACTTCACGCGTATGAATTGCCAACCTTAGATCGGTTCGCCATATCTGGCTCTGCTGCCAACTCAGTGGGATTAACACCGTCATCAATGCAACGGCCGACACGACAATCCATTTCCCGGACACGTTTCGAAAGAGCAGCCCCAAGACCAAGGCAGGCCCCAACATGGACAGGTACACAAAACGGTCGGCCACGAGAGAGACATTCTGGTAGGTAAAAGGCACTAAACCCAACACAGGGAAAAGGCCTGCTACGAAGAGCAGCAATCCTACAAAGAACGGAAGCCGGCGTCTCAGTAACCAGCTAACGACCAGCACGGCTAATGGAACTAGGGGCAGGATATAGAACCAACTCTGCTCCCGCATGAATTGTGGATACCATCCATAGTCGGCACATAGCTGCACAGGCCAGACGAGTTTGCCGAGATAAAATGCGACGGCATCGCCTGCCATGACAACTCGCTCAGTCACTGGCGGATGATACGCAATCGACCCAATGCTCTGCTGAGAAGTCATCATCCATGCCATACCTACGGCAGCGGCGGCCCAGAGAGCCAAACTGAGTGCGATCGATGGCACTTTTCGCTTTAGCAAAAGCCAGTCGATTACAGCGACCATCGGCACCACCGACACCGCACTCGACTTACTCAGCAATGCGAGAACGAAACAGAGAGAGGCCCCCACGTACCAGGCTGCTGAGGAACGCTTCCTTTCAGGAAGCTCTCTTGCGAATCGAACGTATGCCCAGATTGCTAGAAGTCCGAGCAATCCGCTCAGCAGTCCGCGAGCTTCCGAGATCCAGGCCACGGGTTCGACCTGTAGCGGATGGAGCCCAAACAGTAAGCCTCCTAAAACCGCAGGCCCATTGCGGGCGGTAAACTCCCGGATGACCAAAAATACGGCCACTGTCGCCATTGCGTGCAACACGATGTTGCCGAAGTGAAACACCCACGGGTTTAGCGTGCCTTCTGGGCCTCGCTCAGAAATTGCGGCTTCCCAGGCCCAAAGCGTATAGGTCAGCGGGACATATTCGCCCCAGTAGGGTCCCTCCCAGAAACGTTGGAGCGTTTCCCAGGTGGGCGGGTTAAGCCACGGGTTGCGAACAATGTGAATGTTGTCGTCGTACGACAAGAACGACCAGTTTGCGATCTGGCCAAATACAGCCAGTACGACCAGCACTAAGAAACCGACCGCTCCAACCGTGCGCACGCCGTTTCCCACACTTCGGTCTTTTCTCCCATCGCGAACCGTGGACAAGATGCATCAAACCCCGCTGAGTGACGATTTTCAGAGTTCGTAAGTCGTTGTGCTACCAAGGGCTGTGTCGACCCGGCAATGCCGGCAATTCTTACCCGGAATCGCAGGAAGGAGTATACTGAGGGTAGCCGTCAGAAGACCACAGTACGCTCGTTAAACATCTGAACGTAACGACTGGCTAAATTCGACACTGGTGTCCATCCTAGTTCCTAGCGTCCGGTTCGGATACGTCGCCAGCTCACGCAACAATGCAACTTGAATCAGAGATAGAGACACCGAATATGATTTTGCGATTTCAACGGGCAGGGCATCTCTCCCTCGTTGCACTTCTAGTTGTTGCGATGATAACGACGGCTGCCAAAGCTCAGCCTGCCGGTACCGAGTCACCGTCGGCCACGGAAAGCTCGGATGATGGGAGTGAACCTGGCTCAGGCGAATCCTCGCCGGTAGATACAGCGTCGGAACCTACTCCACAAAGTCTCGAAGACTTATCACCAGCAGCCGCTGAATTCGAGCGGGAGTTTGCTGCCTGGCAGGCCGAGCGTGACGAGACGCTTCGTCAATTGCAGACCATTCGCGATCTTCCGATTGACGAACGCCGCGAGTTTGCGCGGCGGACTCAAAAATCGGGCGACCTTGCTGTCGCCAGGGTATTGGCAGCCGCCGAAGCAGCCTATCGGGAAGATCAGGAGAACGAGCGAGTTGAGAATTACTTGTTGCTTTACGCTGTGAACAGCTTGGAGAATGATCAGATCGAGGACTCAGCTCGCATCTCAATCTTGATGTTGGATCACGGATACGATCCTAAAGTGCTGGCTTCCGTCGCTGGCCGTTCATGCCTGGAGTTGGGTAGGGTAGACGACGCGATCAAGTACCTCACCTTGGCTCAAGACTCCGGAGTTACTCTCTCCAGACTTAGCCAGGCTTATCTGGAAAATATCGATAACTTCCGAGAAGCATTAGATAGAGAGAGTCACCTTCGGGAGGAAGAGGCGGTAGCAGATGACCTGCCTCGAGTTTTACTTGAAACCACTCGTGGCGATGTCATTATCGAACTCTTCGAAAACGAGCTGCCCAACGCGGTTGCCAACTTCATCTTCCTGGTTGAACAAGGCTTTTATAACGACATGGACTTTTTCCATGTTCGGCCGCAGTACTTCTCTGCCACTGGCTGCCGCAATAACGATGGTACAGGTACCGCGGGGTACAACATTTTAAAAGAGCCAGAGCACTTCGCTCTCACCAACGTTGAAAGTTTCGGCGCTCTTGATCAAATCAATCTAGAAGACCTCTACCACGGCCATCAACGCCATCATACTCGTGGCACCGTCAGCATGATGGCCCTCGAACATCTCACTTACAGTTCTCAATTCATGATTTGCCATCGCTACTCGACGATGGGGCAGGCAGACAAGTCGCACATGGCAATCGGTCGGGTAATTGAGGGGATGAATGTGGTAACGCGCCTACTGGCTGTGAGTCCTCGTCTGGCACCAAAGGGGGTGGAAACCGATCGCTTAATTCGGGCAACGGTCATTCGCAAGCGCGACCACCTCTATCGCCCAAAGGCCAGTAAAGAGGCCATGCTCGAGACATCCCAGAAGATCGTTCAGTTGATGCAGGAGAATCAACACAAGCGGGCCTTCGAAATTTCCGAGATCGCGCTTTCCATCGACCCACGAGACACAAGCATTCTATTCGCTACCGGGATGACCCATATTGATCTCAAACAGTTTGATGAGGCTGCTGAAAAGCTCGAGCGTCTCGTTCACCTAGAACCCGACCATCCCGATAGTCGACGGCAGCTGGCTCTGTGTTACATCCAACTGGATCGTATTCGCGACGCTACAGAGCAACTCCAGGAGTTGGCCAGGATCACTCCAGACGACCCCTTGGTGTTCAATAATCTGGGCACGATGTTGATGCGGCAGCAGCGCAAGGCTGATGCCATCGAGGCTTTCAAGAAGGCATTAAAGCTGAAGCCCGACTACGAGCAGGCCCGAAAAAACCTGGAACTGCTCCAGTAGAGAAAGCCTATCTGCCAGGGAAGCTAGACCCAGTCATTCGGCATCATTGCTCGGTCCTCAACTCCCGCGCCACCTCCTCAGCCTTTCGCAGCACCCGCAAGATATTGCCACTAAGGATTTTGTGGATGTCCTCGGGTAAGTATCCACGGTCGAGCAATGCCTGGGTGATCAGCGGGTAAGACGCCACATCGGGCAATTGCTCGGGCAACATCGATACCCCATCGAAGTCCGAGCCAATACCAACGTGATCGATACCGGCCACCTGCACGATGTGGTCGATGTGATCGATGACGTGATGGATATCGCCTGGAACGATCGGATTCTCGAGTTCCCACCTGCGGTAGGCCTCGCGTCGCTGCGACTCGTCTTCAAACTGTTCGTTGATCTTACGTCGCACCTCGAACATCGCCGCCCTTTGTTTCGCTGATTCAGGCACGACGAACCCCGAGAAGAAATTCACCATTGCCACGCCCCCGTTTTCGGCCGTCTTTCGCAGGATGTCGTCGGGAACGTTCCGTGGATGATCGGCTACGGCTCGAGCTGAGGAGTGGGAAAAGATGATTGGGGCTTTACTCACCCGCAGGGCGTCTTCCATAGTCTGATCGGAAACATGAGACAGATCGACGAGCATCCCCAGTCGGTTCATTTCTCGCACGACTGCTTCGCCGAACGGTGTCAGCCCGCCGTGCGAGGCATCGTCGGTCGCAGAGTCGGCCCAGTCGAGCGTGTCGGAGTGAGTCAGTGTCATATACCGAGCGCCCAACTGGTAAAGCTGCCGCAGCGCGCCCAAGGAGTTCTCAATCGAATGGCCCCCTTCCACGCCCATCATCGAGGCAATCTTTCCTACGCCGGCAATCCGCTCGATATCGTCGGCTGTCGAAGCCATCTCAAACGTCTCGGGATAACGCTCCATCATGGCTTTCACTAACTCGATCTGTTCGAGCGTTTGCTGCAGAGCCACACCATCTTGAGCCGTGGTAGCGGGGACATAAACCGACCAGAATTGAGCCCCCACGTTTCCTTCGCGAAGCCGCGGGATGTCGGTGTTGAGTTCCTCTTGCCGCTGAGCAATGTCGAACTTTTCGAAGGACGAGTCGCCTTTGGTTCGCAGGGCCCAGGGCAAGTCGTTATGGCCGTCGAACACCATTCCAGCACGGTGGACTTCGCTTCCCGCCTCGGTCAATTCGACGGGGCTCCGGTCAGCGTTACTTTCGACATCGTCTGCCGCGGCAATCCCGATTGTGAAGAGAATCGCTCCCAGGACTTTCAGCGACCTTAGGAAACACTTACGCATGACGCTTCTCCTTGAGCCAGATAACAGCCGCCTGGGAAAAGTTTGCGTACGAACGTAGCCGGCCGCAGAGGAGATGCAAGCGAATCAGCCGCCCGCGAAAATAAAAGAAGCAGGCCGGGAGATGAGGTCCCGCCTGCTTCGATGAGGAAGTTCGTATGATGCCCAAGAGTCTAACGATCGAGGGGGCCAGATTGCAAGCGTGCGAGGGAATTATTTTGGGCCGAGAACACCTCCTAATGGGTGGAAAGTTGCGGCAACCCCAAAATGCGGGCCATACTTAGAGAACATCGCCGTCAGTACGCACAGACACTCGATTTCCCAGGTTCCCCCTCGTAGGGCGGGAATCGGAGTTGGATCAATTTCAACATGCCCTTGGCTCGCTCGACCCTAGGAGTAACCATGCACCTGATTGCACGCCGTTGGATAACGCTGGCTCTCATTACCATCATGGTTAATTCGCCAATGCTCGTGGCGGCCGACGAGCCTTCAGCCTGGGTGGCCGACAACCTGGACGGCTTGGTCTCGCTGTACCGGCAACTGCATCAGAATCCCGAACTCTCCTTCGAGGAAGAGCAGACGGCCAAGCGGATGGCCGAGGAGCTGCGTTCCCTCGGCATCGAAGTCACGACCGACATCGGAGGGCACGGCCTGGTTGGCATCTTAGAAAACGGCGAGGGCCCCCGGCTTATGCTCAGGGCCGATATGGACGCCTTGCCAGTGACCGAAGAAACAGGGCTCGTCTACGCGTCGAAGGTTACCGTAGAAGAGGAAGACGGCACCACCGTCGGCGTGATGCACGCCTGTGGACACGACGTGCACATGACCAACCTGATCGGCGTGGCCCGATACTTGGCCGAGAACAAAGATGCCTGGCAAGGCACCGTGATGTTTGTTTTACAACCAGCCGAAGAGCGTGGGGCCGGGGCCAAAGCCATGCTGGAAGATGGACTGTTCGAGAAGTTCCCTCAGCCCGACTTTGCGTTGGCCTTACACGTCGACTCGACGCTGGCCACCGGCAAGCTTGGCTATCGAGCAGGGTTCGCCCTGGCCAATGTCGATAGTGTAGACATCACTATGTTGGGGCGCGGAGGTCACGGCGCTTATCCCCACTCGACAATCGACCCGGTCGTCGAAGCGGCTCAACTTGTGGTCGACCTGCAATCGATTGTCAGCCGAGAAATCGCCCCCACCGATCCGGCGGTGATCACCGTGGGTTCGATCCATGGCGGAACCAAACACAACGTGATCGGCAACGAATGTCACCTTCAACTTACGGTGAGAAGCTACACCGACGAGGTTCGCAAGCACCTACTCGATGCCATCCAGCGGAAGGCCAAAGCGGTGGCCGCCAGCTTCGGTGCTCCGGAACCAAAGATCGACATCTCCGAAGGCACCCCCGCCATGCGAAACGATGAGGACCTGGTGCAACAAGTGTTGCCAAGCCTGGGGCGGGCCATCGGGGAGGAGAATCTGATTCCGGCCGAACCCTCGATGGGGGGCGAAGACTTCAGCCGCTACGGAAGGGCAGGGGTTCCAATCTTCATGTTCCGGCTCGGTTCGGTCGACGCCCAGCGTCTGGCAGGTTACGAGCGGATCGAACAACCGGCTCCCTCGCTGCACTCGGCCGTTTATTATCCCGACGTTGAAGACACGCTGACCACCGGTGTCACCGCCATGGCCACCGCCGCGGTCGATTTGCTGGCTAAACCCAATTCGGACAAATAATCCACAGCAGTTAGTATTGATTTGATGAGTAGCAAGTCGCCGAGTAGTAAGACGCCCCCCGACGCGGACCTTGCCGCTGCGCATAATACTGGCGGTTCGTCTTCGGTGTCTGCTCCTGATCAAAGAGCGTCTGTGACACCAGAGTTGCAAGCCTCCAGCGAATCGACGGACACACACATCACGACATCGCCAACACTCGACCCGGCGTCGGGGAATCCGTCCTCCGCCCCGCGTACTTCCACTGAGGAAGTGCAGGTCGATCTTTCATATCGCGCACCACCCGCAATTGCCTGGCGCACTTTACCCCTGTGGGATGAAGCACCCGAGGGATGGGTGTTCCCCGCTGTGGCGTTCTTATTGGGGTGGATCACATCCCAGGCAACCGGCAGCACGCTGGGCACCGTGTTGGCGGTGGCCGTGTTTTTGGCCTCTTGCCCCCGGGCGTGGATCCCCACAGTTTGGGAAGTGGGGCGCGAGGGCGTGAGTTGTCGGCGATTCGGCATCACCATGCGTTGGCGGTGGCGCAGCCTGGCCGCCTATCAGCTCGATCGCCGTGGCGTGCTGCTATTGCCCGATGCCTCGCCGCGTCCGTGGCAATACCTACGTGGCATTCACGTGCCTTGGGGGCCGCATCAAGACCAGCTTCTGGCCCTGGTCACCCATTACATGGGCCCACCAATTTCGGACGACGACAACTGATCAACGAAAACCGGCAGGCCCAACCTGGTGAGTCGGACCTGCCGGTGATTCGATTCTTGGCGCCTAATCTGCTGAGGCTTATCGCCCCCGGGCAGATTAGATGTCGCTTTCGCTGGGCACCACAAACGGCTTGCGGTAGTTGCGGGTCAGCATCGCGCTGGCATCGCCGTTGTTGATGAACTCTTCGTTCGCGGTGTCGATCATCAACTGAGGACCCAACTGCAGCTTCTCGACCGAAAGATCAACGCTGTTGTTGGCCAGGTGATCTTTGAAGCGAGTGAAGCTGTCCTGGACCTCTTCGTTGCTGCCAAGTCGCTCGTTGGCGGCATCGGTGCTCATTTCTTCACCCAGCAGGAACGAATTATTGCCCAAGTGGCAAAGAGCACTGGAGAGATGACCCTCTTCGATGTCGGCATTCAGGTCCTCGTGCTTGCGCGAGGCAACCGCATCGAGGAAGTTGCCAAAGTGGTCGCCGCCACCGTCGAACTGCTTGATCATCTTCCCGTCGAGATCGAACGCGGCACCGGTGGCATAGCCGGTCATCACTACGTAGCCATCACTACCGTAGAAGACATTACCGACGTTGGCACCACGAAGCGAATCGGTCTTCAGACCACGCACCTCGAAGATGAGCATCTTGTCGCCGTAATCGTGCATCGAGACCATCGTGTTGGGCGTTTCGCCGTCGTCTTCATAACCGAAACGTCCGCCGTAGGCCGTGACGCTCTTGCCGAGGTTATCGAGCCCAAGGCCCCAGCGAGCGACGTCCATTTGATGGATACCCTGGTTCCCCAGGTCGCCGTTGCCGTAGTCCCAGTGCCAGTGCCAGTTGTAGTGGAAGCGGTTCTTGGTGAACGGCCGCTCGGGTGCTGGGCCAAGCCACAGGTTGTAATCCACACCCGAGGGCACATCGCGTTGCGACGCATGGCCGATCGAGTTGCGGCGCTTGTAGCAGGTGCCTCGGGCAACCTTCACATCGCCGATCCCGCCCGAATGAATGAAGTCGATCGCCTCTTGAGTTCCGCGATTCGAACGAATCTGAGTTCCCGTCTGGCAAATGCGGCCTTCTTTGCGGGCCACTTGAACCATGCGGCGACCTTCGCTCACGTTGTGGCTCACCGGCTTCTCGACGTATACGTCTTTGCCGGCTTGCATGGCCCAAATGGCGGCCAAGGCGTGCCAGTGGTTTTGCGTGGCGATGGTGACGATGTCGACCGAATCGTCTTCAAACACGCGCCGCATGTCTTGGACGAAGTTGGGAGCTTTGCCCTGCTTCTCGGCGACATACTCGGTGCGACGCTGGCCGACGTTCGAATCGGGATCGCACAGGTAGGTGATTTCGCAGTTCTCTTTTCCTAGAACCGAACCGATGTGGCTTTGGCCACGACCGTTGGTGCCGATGATGGCGACCGAGTACTTTTCGTTGGGGCTCGAGGGGCGAGCTTCCTCAGCGGCGAGGAGACGACTGCTGGCGCTGGTGGTCAGAGCGGCAGTTGCGGCGAACATCGACTGTTCGAGAAAACGTCGACGCGAAAAATCGGTCATTGGTGGGCTCCTAAAGGCGGGGCAGGTGTGTTGATTTTCAAGTAACGCTTAGCCTCTCAGAATACCATACGGCGACAGCGAGTTACCAGAGTTTGGGCCTATTCCGGGGCCGATTCCCCCTGGAACGCCGGGAATTCGCCGTCAGAGTTCCCCTGGGCGGCAATCTTGCCGCGCACCACGCGGGGTCCGAGGGCGGTACGGCTTACAGATAGTCCAGCAGCGTGAGCGACTGAATTTGGGCCGTGGTTTGCAGCGAAGCCTGAAAAGCCACCTGCTTGGCCGTGTAATCGGTGATGGCTTCCGTTAGGTCGGCGTCGATTTCCAGCGAGAGCGACGAACGCAGCTCGATCTCCTCGTCCGCCAGCCGTAAGCCCAAGGCCTCGAGAGCCTGCTGCCGTGAGCCGAGATCGGCACGCGAGAAATTCACCTGCAGGTTGGCCGTGTCGAGCAATTCAATCGAACGCTCAATGTCTTGCGTGTTGTTGTCACGCAGCGCGTCTCGCAGACGCAGTAGTGCATTGAACACACCCGTGGCTTCAGAAGGATTCGTGTCGGTGCCGTTGAGAATCTCCGGCGTTCCGTCGGCCGTGGTTGCGGTGACCGTCAGGTCGGTAATCAAGTTCGACCCGTCGTTGGGCGAACCATCACCGGGTACCAGTTCCGCCGTAAATCGTTGACTTGCCTGAGGGTGATTCTCCAGCAGCGTGATAATGTCGGCCGCGGTGGTCGTGCCGGGGTCGATTCCGAAGACGAGTCCCTTCGGCGAGGTGGTAAACGTAACGTTCTCTGAGCCAGGGCCGCCGCCGGTATCGACGAAGCTGATCGGAAAGTCATTGCCAATCGTCCCGGGATCGGTCGCGGTGAACAGAAGATCGTTGTTCGCTCCGGGAAACACCGTAGTCGCGGTGGCGGCTACCGCAGCCACGGGCGGATCGGATGTGTCTTGCCCGTGGGGAATGAGGCCCAGGTCCCAGGCGGCTTCACTGAAGTTTTCACGGCGGATCGATAGTACGTTTGTTCCGTCGGGATTGTCATCGACCAACCGAATGCCGTTGCCCACTTCAACGAAGTCGGCCGTAAGGTGTCCAGCTCCCGGTGGGTTATCGACGTGATTGTTGATCAGGTCGAGCACGTCGCCAATCGTGGCGGCCCCATCAAGGTCGATTGCCAATTCCACGCCATCGTTGCGGATGATCGTGAACTCGGCATCATCCACCGTGTGCACTCCACGACCATAATCCAAGTCTTCGAGCCGGGTGGTGGTATTGAGACTTCGGATACCCAACTCGGTGGCCGTGGTGCCGCCGTTTTCGCCAATTGAGAAATCTGAGCCACTCAGCCGGCTGCGGATGCTGATCCCACTGCCGTCGCTGCTCAGTTCGGCCAGCACTTGAGCCGAAGAGCCATTGAGGATGTTCAGCAGGTCCTCGATCGTTTCGGCCGAAGTGAAGCTAATATCGTGAACGTTGCCGCCGTTGGTAATTTGAATCCCCGAGGTCTGATCGAACTCGATCCCGCTTCCGCCAGCCGTTACACCGGTCGCGCTGGTGTCAATCGCCGTGGCCTGAACTTTGCCCGAGCCATCGTTCTCCAGTTCATTGGGGTCCAACGATGCCGTGAACGGCGTTTGGTTGTTGATGGCCGTTAGAACCTGGCTGGCCGTCGATTTGTTATGAGCGATCGTCACGGTCAGCGTCTTGTTGTTCGGATCGCTGTCGTCGTAGACGGCCGTTTCCAGGCCGAACGTCAACGGGCCGCCATCGACGTAGGTGATCGTCACGTCGTTGAACTCGTCACCCCGGTCGTTGGCTTCGATGACAAGATCGTTCCTACTACCTTGCGAGGTCACCTGACCTTTTGCACGAACGCCCAGGATGTTACTCAGCCGCGTGGTGCCCGTGAGTTGGGGGTTGATGTCTTTGCCGACCACGGGCCCCGTGCCGGTTCCCACTTCGGTCAACAGCCCCAACTCAGCAACGGTCGTTCCGCCGGCCACTTCCTTTAAGGTGAGCCCACCACCGCCCGCCGAATCGAGTTCGACGTTGATCCCCGTGGCCGTAATCGAGGCTTCGACCGAACGACCTTGTGGTGGGTTCGCTTCCAGCAGCCGCACCACATCGCCTACGGTTTCGGCTTTGCTCAGATCGACTATCTTCGTGTTGATGCCATCGGATACAGCCACCGAGCCTTTGCTGATGCCGGCCCCGTTACGCAGATCCGACAGTCGGGTGCTGGCCGTGACGACGGGGTTCAAGTCGGCGATGCCCACGACCTCGGGCGACAATCCGCCGAAGACCTCCACGCCGTGCAGGTTCGTTTCAAACAGAACGTCGATGTCGGAATAACTGAAAATGTTCTGTTCGTTACCCTCATACACCACACCGTTGCCCGAGGACTTGAACGACACACCCGTTGTGTTGGACCCCGAGAAGAGCGTTCGCCCACGAAAGCTCTGGTTGCTCACGTCAATCAACTGCTGAATCAATCGGTCGACTTCAATGGCCGCCGATTCACGCTGGGTATCAGTCGAGGTCGTCCCCACCACCGAGACGGCCGTAGCTCGGGTGCTGGCCAGTAGCGAGGACACATCGCTCAGTGCGGTGTCTGTGGCGCTCAAGTACGAGTTGTTCGTCTGCAGGTTGATCCGTACCTGTTCTTTACGTTCCAGCAATCGCTGAATGCTAATCCCCCGCAACGCGGCCGGGGCATCGTCGCTGGGCACCACCACACGTCGACCAGTGGCGATCGTGTTCTGCGCGCGGAACAATTCCAACTGGTCACTCTGCGATTGCGAGAGCAACCGCTGGCGAATGTACACGTCGCTGACGCGCGTCGCAGGAATTGGGATGATGGGGGACATTCAGTTCGCGGGGGTAAGAACGAGGGCCTTGGTTAGAGATTAACGAGCAGGTCGAGCAAGTCGCTTAGCTCGGAGATGTAACGCGCGGCGGCTTGAAATACGCGTTGATACGAAATCATCCGCACGGTTTCTTCATCGATGCTCACACCGCTGATCGCCAGGTGATCGCCCTGGAGGGTCTGTTCGAACACTCGAAATCCGTCGGCCACTGCTCGAGCGACTGCTGCGTTCTGCGTGGTCTCGCCCGACAGGCGATCGTAAAGATCGGTGATGGTCGTCCCGTTGGCCGTTTCCAAGGGGCGATCGAGAAAGCCGGCCAACTGCACGGCATTGGTCGTGTCGGTGCCAATTCCATTAGCGCTGGCGGCGAACTTCCCCGGATCGGCGGCCAGGACCTGGCTCACGCCAACATCGCCTGCCGCGGTGCCCTTAAAAAACGTATTCAAACCCAACGCGGCCAGCACGCCACTGGTGTCGTTGCTGAAGGCGAAATCCTGGTCGGGCGTGTCGCTGGTGATTTGCAATCGGTTCGCGGTGTCGATCGTCGCCGAAAGACCATCGATGGCATCAAGGGCCGCAGCGAGATCCGACAGCGACGTGTCATCGTCGAGCCCGTCGAGATTGACGAACACATCGCTCGTCTCCGTCAGACCGGTTTGACGATTGAAAATCTGCACCTCGAACGAGCCATTCTCGGGCGTGAACTCGAGCCCGGCCGCGTCGAGTGCCGCATCGACATCGTCCACGCCAAACTCGCTGGTCAGCGATTGGTAGCCCGTGAGACCCTGACCCGAAGAGAACACTCGGTTGAACTCATAAATAAACGTCGAGGTGAACTCGTTGAGTTGATCTTGAAAGTTGCCCAAGATCTCATCGCGCCCGGAGACATAGCCACCAACCTTTCCACTGGAGAGATCGAGCGGGGTACCGGTCTCTTTGATAGACAGCTGGGAGACGGTCAATCCTCGGTCGTTCACCTCGGTAGCCTGGACTTGTCTGGTGGTTCCCTCGAACACCAGGAAGTCGCTGCCGCTGTAAACATTCACCGCACCGCTGGCTTGTTCGACCACCTGGATCGAAATCAACTCCGAAAGCTCGGTCAGTGCCACACCCCGCTTATCGCGGAGCCCGACAGCGTCGCTGGCCGAGGTGTTGCCGCCCTCGGTTTCGGTAATCCGCTGGTTCAGTTCGCGGATCTCTCCAATCAGTCGATTGATGTCCTGCACGCTTCCTTCGACGCGGTCGTTCAAATCGACCCGAAGTTCGGTGGTACGGCTGGAGAGACGATTGATTTGGGCGGTGAGTGTCTGCCCTTGCAGCACGGCCAGGTTTCGCACCGAGACGCTCTCGGGCTGATTGAGCACTTCGTTAATGCTGCTGATGAAATCATTCAGGGCGGTGCTCAGGTCGGTATCGCTGAGTTCGCCAATCAGCCCTTCAAGCTGAAACCAGGTATTCTCTTTGGCTTCGCTGTTGGCGCGATCGGACGAAGCCGTGCGGAGACGTTCCTCGAGAAACTTGTCCACCTTCTGCACAACGCCCTGAACATCGACCCCGAGGCCGAACAGCAGGTTGCCCACTTTCTGCGTGGGCGCAGGGGTGAACACCACCTCCTCGCGGATATAACCGGGAGTGTTGGCATTGGAGATGTTCTGCCCCACCACTTGCAGCCCAATCTGCTGGGCGCGAAGGGTGTTGTTGGCAAGTTGGATTGAGCTGAATAGAGACATGGTCGCCTGCAACGCAAATGGTTTGCGTCTTTCCGGTTAACCTACGCCGCCTGATCGATCAGAGAGCCGTTGGAACCGCTGGTTTCGCCCTTACCATATGTCGGCTTACTGCGCCCTCCCGTAGCAATAATCTCCAGGAGCTGGGAAAGATGGACGATGGATCGTTGTACTAGCACCCAATTGGCCAGGCTCTGATGTTGCAGAATTCGCGTCTGCGTGGCGGCCTGGTGGAACTGGCCCACCAGTTGTTTTTGGTCTTTGGCCGGAATGACAGCAGCCAGCGAACGTAAGCTGTCTGAGGGCAATCCCTGCTCTTCGGCCTGCCCTAGCAACGCTTTACGACGATCGCTACAGGCCTCGAGTTCGCCGATGATTTCGCGTTCGCGGTCGGCAATCGTCGCGAGCCCCTCGTGATTGGCCGATAGCAGCAGCTCGCGCTTTTCCGCCAGCACTTCTAGCAATCGCGATTGAGTCGAGGACAAGTCTGTTAACAGTCCAGCGACCTCTTCGTCCCATTGCGTATCCATCGCTTGTCATTCTCCTCGGATGAAGCTTTCGCCGCGGTTACTTACGAGCGCTTGAGTTGGAACAATTCGAACATCGGACCGGTGAAGCTCTCGGCGCTAGCCTTGCTCATTTCTTCCGCCATCACCTGATCCAACTGACTCTGGAACATCTCTTCGGCACGTCCGCCGTGGAAGTAAGGGTCTTTGCCAACCGTCTTTCGCATGGCTGAGAGCATCTGCCCGAAGAAGGTTTCGCCGACGAATTGTCCGAAGGCTTCGCGAAGCTCTTTGTCGCCCTCGGCCGTTTCCAGCCGCTCGGCACTCAGCGTGGCGTCGTTCATCTGCGAGTACGTCGCCTGCTGGAACTGCACCGGGTTGTAGGCAGATTGGATGGCGTTAATCATGGATTCACTGCTCGGTTGATGAGTCATTCGCGATTGGGCGAGTGTTATTCGATGATCAGCTTGGCGTGAAGCCGACCGCTGCGTTCGATGTTTTTAATGATGTCGATCACGTCCTCGTTGGGGACCTGAATCGCCCCCAAGGCTTCGATCAGCGACTGCAGTTTGGTGGTTTCTTCCTGGTTGGGGTTCACCGCGAAGAATCGATCAGACGGGGTGATTCCCAGGGCTTCCACGATCACGTTCTTGTGCGTGACCACCACGGGGCCAATCTCTACGTCGCCGTCGATCACGATGCTGCCGTTGCGTTCGTTGATCACCACCCGGGCCTCGCTCTGAATTTCCAACAGCGGAAGTTGCTGCACCAGCGAGACGAACAACACAGGGTCAGCCCGATAGCCTTCGGGGATCGTCACTTCGATATTCACCGGGTCGAGTGCCCGTGCCATGAAGCCGCTGTTGCTGTGAATCGGCAGTTGCGTGTTGATCAACTCGGCCACTTCCGAGGCCAGTTGGAAGTTGGCGTGGTTCTGCTCGAGCACCAGGGTGATCTTGTTGTCTTTGATGAAGTTGTTGAAGAAGTCCGCTTCCAGCCGGCAACCGCGATGCACGACGGCCGTAGTCGGATTCGAGGAGTCTTCGATTTCGAGCCATCCTTGGGTGGTGGCGAACACTTGCGTGCTTCCGGCGATGGGGCCAGTTAGCGGGGTCATAAACAGCCGCCCGCCTGCAAGACTCTTGGCGGCCCCGATCGACATCACCTGGCAGTCGATCTGATCACCCTGACGCCCGCCGGCGGCCGGCACGGTGGCCGTGACCAACACCAGGGCGACATTGTTGGCGTTCTTCAACTCAAGCGGCCCGGCATCACCCAACTGATTGCCCATGAGTTGCAGCATTTGTGCCAGGGGACGAATCGTTGGCAGGAAACTTCCGCCGTCGCCGGTTCCATTCAGCCCCACCACCAGCCCCCAGCCCTGCAAGGTATTCTCTTCTTGACCTTTCAGGCGGGAGATGTCCTTGATACGCGTAACGGCCGCGGCCGGGGAAACCAACATCGCAACCAAGGCAAACACAGCCACCAGGAGTAATGTCTGCTTCGTGAAGGCGGTTCGCATCGAGGTGACCCTTTGAGACAGTCTTATGAGTTCGTTGTGGTGTGGGAATCGAAAGGTGATTCAAACAAGGTTAGAAAGGTTGGTGACGGTCGAAGATTTCCAGCAACCAGCCACGGCGGTAGCCGTCGCGGACATGGCCTTCCTCGCACTTGGCGATGTTTAGGTTGGTGATCTTCTCGCTCAACACCGAACGGTTGGGAAGAATATCCTCAGGATTCACAATGCCCGTGAGGCGTTGCTCCCAGAATTCGTCGTTGTTCTTGATCGTTTTGTGGGCTTCCAGCACGAGATGACCGTTGGGGCGAATATCCACCACGGTCGCGGCGATGCGGAACTTCAACCCGTCGCGGGTTTCCAATTCCGATTGGGTTCGGAACTGGCTGTTCAAGTTGCCGCCGATGATCTGATCGCCCAGACGTTGTTTCGCCGCACGAATGCTCCAACCTCCTTCGAATTCGATCCAGTCTTCCAGGATGGCCGTCAGGTTGGCTCGCTTGCGGCGTTGCATTTCACCTTCACTCAACATCTGTGACTTTTCGTCAACGATGATCGTGATGGTGTCGTACTTCTGAATCTCTTGCGGTGGGGTGATCGCAATCGTGGTAAGCGAAAGGTCTTCCAGCGTCAGGCCAGTGCGAGCATCGGGCATGGCGTAGATGCTCGAGCTCTGCGCCTTCACTTCAGCCCGACCCGCAGTCAGCAGAACCACGGCGAGAAGCATGAGTGTACGAAACGAATATTCTCGGTCAAAGATGCTCATTTGTCGCTCCGGCGCGTCCAGCGTAGACGCGTTGGTGTGGAGGGGTTCGAAACTGCACTGGGTTTAGACTCTTGGGCGACCACCGGTTGCTGGCTCGACGAAACTTGGAAGTTGCCCACCGGATCGACCACTGTGACAGGGTGCAGAATCGTCGGCGAACCTTCGGTCGCACTCTGCCGAACTTGCATTTGCGGCTCGGAAGCCGCCTCGAAACTGGCCGGTTCGACGGCACGTGGCTGTTTGGCGTTGGTGGCCAACTGCTGCCTCTCCTTCGCCCGTTCTAGTTGAGCCCGGAACTTGGCCGACAATTCTTCTACTTCAGGCCCAATCGTCTTGGGTTCCGCAGGCATCGCCCCCTCGGCCGAAACCGCTCTGGCGTAGACTTCAACTTTCTGGATTCCGCTGACTCGGGCGAAGTACGCTTTGCGATCGTTGAGGGTTTCGACACTCACCAACTCGCCCATGCTTCCCGAGTCGCGGGCTCGAGCCACGGTGCGAACTTGAATGCCACCCGTGCGGGCGTAAACCGTCACCGCGTCGCCGGCTTTCACCAGCAGCGGCTTGCGTAGCTCGCGTCCCAACATGGCATCGCCGGCGGCGATCGACTGCGTGGTCTCCAGCCCGATCACGTCTTCAATCCGATCGAATGTCGCGTCGCCTTTGCGGAGGTCCGACTGAAAATCGAGACGCACATCGCCTTCGCGAATCAGGCTGCCGCGAGTCAATGGTCGCGCAGCCACCACAACCGCCGGCGGCAACGTGACGACCGTGTCGATCGAAAACTGTTGAAGTTCGGTTTCGCCTTCAATGGTCGTGCTCTCGACCGAAATGCTAAAGCTCTGCGAACCCGTCCAAGGGGCTCGACCACCCATGACAGTCACCGTGGTGTCTGCCTTGGCCAGGGCCTCGGCGTTCGACTGCATTTGGCTTTCGCTCATCGAAAAGCGGATGGTCCAGGGACCTTCGCTACGAGCTTGCTGCCGCAGATAGTCGGTTAGGGCTTCTTCAACACGCAGCTCAGCTCGTTTCTTCACGACCGACGATACCGGACGAACGACCGGAGCACGCTCAGGTTCCGGCTCGGGCTCTTCTTCAAGCATCACGCCGTGCACCGTAATGCGACTGGCCCCCGACAAGGAAATGCCGGAGAGGTCAAGTTTGCGCTGCAGGGCATCCCGCATCTCGTACAGGGAGACGAATCGCTTTCGGGAGCTGGCCGGCGCTGGAAACAATTCGATGCTGGCCAAACGCTCGGCCTCGACCGGATCGTTCGTCAAGATCTCGGCCACATCGCCCAATAACACCAAGGCGCCCTGCGGATGAACATCGCTTCGCAACCGCAACTGTGCCGCCGTGGCAACGCTGCACATGCAGAAAACCACCACCGCGGCTGCGGCGAGTCGAAGGGTTCGTCGGTTGATTTTTTCGAAGTGGTTCATCAAACGGAAGCTTTATGGTGAAAGTTAGAAGTAAGGGCTTTAGAACCGTCGCAAGTTCGCTACAAGTTGCAGGATTTGGTCGCCGGCCTGAACGGCTTGCGAGTTGAGTTCGAAGGCCCGCTGGGTGGTAATCAGGTCGATCAGTTCCTGAACCGGTTCCACGTTTGAAGCTTCAAGCCATCCCTGGCGGATTGCGCCGTAGCCTTGTTGTTGTGGATCGCCAATCAAGGCTTGTCCGGAGGCCTCGGTTTCGGCATACAGGTTTTCGCCCAGCTTCAATAACCCTTCGGGGTTGATGAATCGCGAAAGTTGAATCGTGCCGACCTGGGCCAGATCTGTTTGATCGGCCTGTTGCACGGCAACAATTCCGGCCGAGCTGATGGCGATCCGCGTTGCGTCTTGCGGAATCGCGATCGGTGGTTCCAGCAAACGCCCGGTGCTGGCCGAACCAATCACCAGGTTTCCGTCGGCGTTGATCGAAAGATTTCCGGCCCGTGTGTATTGAGTTGGTCCGCCCGCAGGATCGGCAACTTGCAAGAAACCGTGTCCTTCAACCGCGATGTCCAATTCACGGTCGGTGGCCTGGAACGCTCCCTGTTCGAAGTTGGTCTGCGTGCTTTGCACCCGCGAGCCCAAACCCACCGCAATGCCCGTGGGGGTGAGCTGCTGCGAAACATCGGGCAGCCCCGGCAGGGCGATGTCGCGATAGAACAAGTCTTCGAAGTTTGCCCGATCTTTCTTGAACGCCGTGGTGTTGGAGTTGGCCAGGTTATTGGCGATCACGTCGAGCTTGGTTTCCAGAGCCTGCATGCCCGTGGAAGCCGTGTAAAGCGTTTGAATACTCATGTGAATAGCCCGTAGTTTGTTGAATCGTGATTAGATTGCGTGCTGTATGTTTGGGTGCTGTGAACTTGAGAATTAGGCCCGCAGGACCCGGTTTACGAGTCCGTTGAGCATCTCGTCCTGGTGTCGAATCATCGAGACGTTGGCTTCGAAAGCTCGCGATGCCTCGATCAGTTGCATGGTTTCAAGGGTTGCGCTCACGCCCGACTGTTCGAGAAATCCCGAGATCACGTGACGCGACTTCTCTTCCAGCGGTTGTGGTTCGCTCAGCGGTCGGAACAGGTTCTCGCCAGCTTTGGCCAGTTGGTCGAGCGACGTGGGCTTAACGAGTGCCAGCGGCCGTCGTGTGCCGGCCTGGGCAATCGAACCGTCGGAGGTGAGTTGCCACGGTCCCTGTCCCGGATCGATCACGATGGCGTTGCCCGTGGGATCGAGCACGGGGTAACCCTGTTGGGTCACCAGGTCGCCTTCGTTGGTGAGCATGAAGTTGCCAGACCGGGTGAGCATTTGCTCACCGTCTCGGTCGATGACGAAGAACCCTTCGCCTTTCACCGCAAAGTCAGTCGGGGCCCCAGTGTTTTTAAGCGGTCCCATGGTGTAATCGGTCTCGGTCTCACGCACCTCGATGCCGCCACCAATGTCGTTGATGCTTCCCGAGCCGGGCTGATCGAGCCCTTGAATGTTCGCTTCGGCGTAACGGGCCTGGAATACGGCCAAGTCGCGTTTGAATCCCGGCGTGTTGACGTTGGCGAGGTTATTAGTAATGACCTCCATCCGAAACGACTGGGCTTCCGCACCTTCGGCCGAGAGATACAAACCGTACGGCATCGTCAGAACGCTTTCTTACGCGAGTTCCCCCCCGCGACGCTGCAGTTTGTAAGCAACAGGTGTGCCAGAGATGGAACGGGGACAAAGAGACTCACAAACTCGCGCTTTAAGTCGAAGCAGTGCAAGGCAAAAGAAATCTGCGACTTGCTCTCGACCGCAAAATGCCATCACCATTTGCTAGCGGCGAACTATGCGCGAAAGTTGCCGAGCCCAGGCGCAGAACTCGCCGATTCGGCAGAAATGTGCACGGCGAACGGAGGCCGTCTAACCCGCATCGCGGGCCGCAGCAATCAACTTCGCAGCCCCCTGTGCCAGCAATGCTTCGGCCACCTCACGCCCTAGCTGCACGGCGTCTTCAGTCGGTGCCGTTTGCGACGCATCGAGACGTTGCGAGCCGTCGTTGCTGAGCACCACTGCTCGTAGATGAAGCGTTCCGTCATCGTTCGGCTCAGCCAGTGCTGCCACCGGTGCGAGACAACCTCCGCGGAGATGGGCCAGCAGCGCACGTTCAGCCGCAACTGCTGCGAAAGTTGCCGAATCGTTCAGGTGGGCGACGGCTTCCAGGGTCTCTGCGTCACCCTCGCGAATCTCAATCCCCAAGGCACCTTGCCCGATGGCGGACAAGAACTGCTCGCTAGCAAGCACGTAAGAGATACGATCATCTAGCTCGAGTCGCACCAGCCCAGCCTTGGCCAACACCAGGGCGTCGTACTCGCCATCGTCCAGCTTACGCAGTCGGGTATCGACGTTGCCCCGTACGTCTTTCACCGACAAGTCGGGGCGCAGGTTCAGCAACTGCGCCCGGCGTCGAGGGCTTCCGGTTCCCACAACGGCCCCCACAGGTAGATCATCCAGTGTTTGCTTCTCGCGACAAACCAGTGCGTCGCCCGGCGACTCTCGCGGTGGGACTGCCCCCAGCATGAGTCCTTCGACTTGATCCGTCGGCAAGTCCTTCAAACTATGAACGGCCACGTCCACACGATCGTCGAGCAGGGCCTTCTGGATTTCCTTGGTGAACACGCCCTGGGTGCCGATGCTGCCGATGGGGCCCTGTTGCTGGCGATCGCCTGCCGTGGAGATCGGCACCAATTCAACCTCAACTCCGGCCCGAGACTTCAATTCCGCCGCAACCCATTCCGCCTGCCACCGCGCCAGGGCACTCGCCCGAGTTCCGATCCGGATCTTTTTAGAAGTGGTCATGCGGTTTGACTATACGAGGAGGCAGCGAGCTGTAAAGCAGCAGGAGAAACGACAAGTATCGTATCGTAATAGATCCCGCCCCCGACGTCAGCGGGGTGGAATGTCGGCGCTCATCGATCGCCGCTGGAATGGTCCAGCAGTTCGACATGGATCCGGTTCCGATACCCACCCGAACTATGTCCCACGCTGTCCCAACCGCGTCCGACGGAGGTTGCCGCAAGCGTGATCCAAATCCCGCAGCCAGCTTCGTTGCGCGAGAATTCGATCGCGTTCATTGGCAATCCCCAACCGGCCGTTGGAGAAAGGTCGAATGAAGCTTGAGTGCTCCAGTCCAGTAGTTCGCATCGCAAGCTGGGTCGCCCCGCCACCACGAAGGTTAATGCGAGCGGATCGCCACGCTTCAAGCTACCGCTGGCCAGTTCCTTAAAGGGGCCTTTCTCCCCACTGCGAGCCTCAACCACGTGAAATCCACCCTCATTCAAAAACGCAACTCGGGCTGGGCGCCCAAGTGGATAATCGACCGGCAGGATATCGATTGGCGCTTCTGGACAGGGAGAAAACACAATCGAGACATCCTCGCTCGTAGACAGCCACAGATGACAGTAGCGGTTCAAATGCGAATAGATTGCCTCGGGGAGTACCGCGGTGGCCTCGAGCAGATAGGACCGATCGTTCTCTTCCCGGAGAACTAACCGGCTTTCAAAGTCCGTTTGATAGAACGCGGTCAACGTTTCTGCTACATCGAGAACCCCCAACAGCCTTCGTTGCGGACCAACCCGATCCTGCTGGCGGGCAAAGATGGTCCAGAATCGATCCGGCGAGCGGCTCTCGAAACTGAGCAGCGGATCAATCTCTACGCCTGCGTTTTCAAGCGGTAAGTAAATCGTCGCTGCCGGGGCAATGAAAGAAGCCCGGCCAAGCTCGTATCGTGATGAAGCACTGAGACCCGACTTCGGCACCGGTGGCATCTCCACAGCGTGGGCCACCGTGGTTGCCGGAGGGCCCTGCTGAGAAAACGCGAGAAAACCACCAACGATAATCGAGACCACCAACACGGAAACCACTCGCCACGTCCAGCGAAGACTGATCCAGGCCAAAGCGGTAAAGCCAAACAGCACCGGCACGGCTACGAGAAGCAACTTCAACAGGCTCTGCGAGAAAAGAATCGCCGCCATAACAGCCGCACCAATCCAGAGCCCAGGCACGGTGACCAACAGTTCGTCGCGGGGTAAACGTGTCTCACGGACGAGACCAATGGCAGCCCCGATCACGACAAGGAGCCCCAGCACCGGCAAGGCAGAGTTCGCCCAGAAGTGACTGTGGCCGACCGGAAACCCTTTCGGCGAGATCCACCACCAGCCAGCGAAGATTGCCCCCTGAAACAGCAAGACCAGGGCCCAACGAACGCGGTTGCGCATTGTCATGGGCTGTGTCTGACGCTCATGCTCCGTCACCATGGTCCCCAGAGAATCCGCACGTTCAGCGAGCAAAAATATGGCGTGTCTATCAGACACTACGGTTTGCCGCTGATTCTATCACGCCACCAAGCAGTACAGGAAAGCAGGCACTACTTGCCGGAGGAGCTGGAGACGCTCGAGCGTCCGCTCTTTTCCTTGCTCGAAGGCACGGTGAGCGTCGGCGGTGAGTCGTTCCCGTTGGCGAACGGGGCTTGAAGCTGTTGCGGGGGAACCACAACGCCGCAACTCACGATGAACTGGAAGGCCTGATCGATCGTGATGTCCAGATCCACCACCTCGCTCTTGCGAACCGTCATCGTGTAGCCGGTAACCGGCATAGGCGAGCTGGGAATGAGAATCGAGACGACCGGCTCTTGGGCCGCATCGCGAATCTCGGCCATACTTTCACCGGTTACGAGTGCGATCGACCAGATGCCCTTCCGCGGGTATTCGACAGCCACAACCCGGGTGTACTCGATATCGCTCTCGACGAACATGAAGTCCGTCACTTGCTTCACCGACGAATACACGTTTCGTACCAGCGGAAGTTGCAGGATGCCGCGTTCGAACAGGTTCCACAGAACGCGACCGATACCCGCGGCCAGGAAGCGACCCAGCAGATACATCAAGATAATGAACACCGTCAGGAAGACGGGCACGACAATGTAAGCCTGCAGATACCGGTACTCTACGTAACGCTGATAGACCCCGTTACCGGTCACCGGCATCGCCTCGCCCGAACGGTTGGTCCGAACTTCGTCGTAGACCGCCAGCGGCACGAACGTGTCGTCCAGCATCTTCTTGTACTTCTGGCCATCCTCTGTGTAGACACCACCGGCCAGTTCTTCGGCGTCGGCAAGCTGGGCTTCGCTGCGAATGTCAGCCACGTTCCAAACAATGACATCGCGAACGCCGGCGGTCACCGGTTCCAACACATAGTGCTGAACCGTGCTGCCAACCCAGAAGAAGATCACAATGGTCAGCAGCGGCGGCAGCACCACGGCCACACCCCGCAGAAACGCCCGTCGAAACGGTCGCGGCCGGGTACGCTGGGCCGAGTTGAACATGGAGCTGTCGGGAGTTGTCATCGATGCCAACCTTCTTTGGTTTTCCCTGGCAAAACCGCCGCCTGCTTCTGTGGTACTGGGCCAACTGAGAAAGCTCAAGGCCCGCGTACAACTGTTGCCAGTAGTTCGGATTGTCTAAAGAGTTTCCGGCTCGCAACCACCGCCATCGATGCGACCGCTATGGTTTATATCGGTGCGATCGCGGCGTTAGTTCGGTGCGTCTGCTCTGGCGAGCACAGCCACCCCCACCCATGCAGCTCCCGCGGCCTTCAAGACCCGGGCGGCCTCGCCACAAGTGGCTCCGCTGGTGAGGATGTCGTCTACTAAAAGTATACGAGCCGCATCCAAATCGTAGCCCTTGCGAACGGCCAGTGCGCGGCGGATATTAATTCGCCGTTGGCGTTGTGTTAAACCGCTGTGGGGTATGGTGTTACGGCGACGCACCAAAAGGCGGGGTTCGACGTAAGTCCTTATCTGGCGACCAAGACACTCCGCCAGCACCTCTGCACTGTTGGTACCTCGCGTCAGCCGCCTCGCCCAATGCATGGGAACCGGCACCACAGCGTCTAAGGAGAGTTCGTCCAGCTCAGTGCGATATTTTTCCCAGAAAAGGGACATCAGAGTGTGGGCCAGAAGCTCGTGCCCGGGCTTTTTCACACGGAGCAGTGCCTGACGGAGTTGTCCTTCATAGGTGCCCCAGGCCCAAACGCCGTCGAATTTGAACTGCTTTCCGCGGCAATGCGGACACGGCCCTACAGTCTCGGAAGGAACCGGCATCGCACATCGCGAGCATCGCGGAAGCCCACTAGAGATTGCCAACGCCTGATGGCACTGAGAGCACAGCATTGCTTCGCCCGGAGCGATCTCCACGGCTTGCCCGCAATCGGCGCAATGGGGCGGGGCAATCAGGTCGACTAGTCCCGCTGAAAGAAACCGTCCCGCTGCGGCCAGGTTCTGCAACCCACGGCTCGGTGACACAGGCTTCAGCCCCTCTGGCATGTGAACCTCCGGCAGACTTCGCTCGTCGACTACAGCAACCGCGCGACACCTTGGCACGGCCGCCGATTGGCTTAGAAACAGACTTCGGGTGAACGTCGTAACACGTTTCGTCGTAGGGACATTAGGCGTCTGCCGACCTTGACCGACGGCAGAGAATTGACCTATGCTGCTCCGCGCTCAAGCATTCACTAGTGAGCGCCCAATTTTCTTGAACCCCGTTGCTTCTCCATGACCATCATTCACCAAGGGTTTAGCCAGCGCGCCGGATGGGCCGGCGATCAACCGATCAGCTACTTGATGCACAAGGCGCTGGCGAATCCGGAATTGATTTCGTTGGCCGCGGGGTTCGTCGATCAGGATACCCTGCCGGTTGACCTGATGCGACAAGCTGTCGACTCGTTGCTCAGCGATCGCAAGCGCGGACAAGCCGCTTTGCAGTACGGCACGACCGTGGGACATGCTCCACTTCGGGAAATCGCTCTGAATCGCTGGCGAGAAGCGGATGGTGAGCCGGAGTGCGAGCGGGGAATTGGCCTCGACCAAGTGTTGATTACCGCCGGCAGCAACGAACTGCTGCACCTGTTGGGCGACACCTTATGCGACCCCGGCGACATCATCCTGGTAGCTTCGCCCTGTTACTTCGTCTATTTGGGACTCGCAACAAACCTCGGCATTCGCACAATCGGCGTGGAGGCCGACGAGCAGGGGATGATTCCCGAATCCCTCGAAGACACGCTAAGACAACTAAACAACATCGGCGATTTGCCGCGTGTGAAAGCCATCTATCTGACCGACTATTTCAACAACCCCAGCACCGAGTCGCTCGCGCTCGAGCGGCGGGGGCCAATCGTCGAGACGGCCAAACGGTGGTCGCGTTCATTCCCCATCCGTGTCATAGAAGACGCGGCTTACCGTGAACTGCGTTATAAGGTCGACGACATCCCCAGCCTTCGCTCGTTCGACGAAGAAGGCGATACCGTGGTGGTGGCCCAAACCTTCTCGAAGTCGTTCTCCCCGGGCATCCGCGTGGGGTTTGGCATCTTACCGCCCGACCTGGTCGCCCCGTGTGGGGCTCAGAAAGGGAACATCGACTTCGGGGCGCCCAACTTCACTCAGTGCGTGCTTGCGGAGGTGTTCAATCTCGGTCTGTTCGAAGAACATCTCGGCAACTTACGGCGCGGCTACGAGGCCAAACTCAACGCCATGGTCGAAGCCTGCGACGAACACCTGGCACCGCTCGACGGTGTTTCCTTCACAAGACCAGGCGGTGGGCTTTATGTCTGGCTCACGCTGCCGCATGAAGTGAACACCAGCGCTGCTTCACCGCTGTTCGAACGGGCTATGGATGAGGGGATGATCTACGTACCGGGTGAGTACTGTTACGCGGTCGAAGGGGCCCCCATCGCTCACAATCAGATTCGACTCAGCTTTGGCGTGCAGTCTCAAAAACGGATTCGGGAAGGCATTGCCGCCTTGGCCCGTGCGGTCGATTCGGTGTTGCATTCGACCACGTGAGCTAACCATTTCTGTCGATGCTCTGGCAAGGAAGCCGGGAAATGAATTCAATTCGACCCAAAATTATCGACCGTTACCTGCTACGACAGTTCGTGCAGGTGTTCTTCATTTGCTTCTGTAGCCTCACCGGGCTGTACATCATCTTCGATGCCTTTGCCAATCTCGATGAGTTCATGCAGCATGCCGGCGACAACGGCAACCTGCTGGGCATCATGGGTGAGTACTACGCCTATCGCTCGATCTACTTCTTCGATAAGACCAGCGGCCTGCTAGCGTTGGTCTCGGCGATGTTCACGGTCACCTGGATTCGCCGCCACAACGAACTCACTGCACTGATGGCCGCCGGCGTATCGCGCGGCCGCGTAGTGGTGCCGGTCATACTTGCCGCCATCTGCATCAGCTTATTCGCTGCGGGGATGCGTGAAACCGTGCTACCTCGGATCCAGCACGAGTTGAGTCGCGACCCGAAGAACCTCTCGGGCGAGAAGGGCCAGGTGTTTCGGGCCCGCTACGACAATGAAACGGTGATCTTGATTGGCGGAAAGGCGTCCTATCGCAGCGACAAGCGGATCGAGTCTCCACAGTTCAACATGCCGCCCGCGCTGGCCACCTATGGCAATCAGATTGTGGCCACGAACGCTTACTTTCGCCCTGCCGATCCAGCAACCGGTCGCCCTGCCGGCTATTTAATTCATGGTGTTGAGCGCCCCAAAGACCTTTACAGCGAACCCTCGCTGTTCTTAGAAGGCCGCCCGGTAGTGATCACGCCGGCCGATCATCCCGAGTGGCTTCAGCCCGACCAATGTTTCATTGCCAGCAATATGGACTTCGAACAACTCACCGGCGGCACCGCCTGGCGACAGTTCTCCTCCACGGCCGAACTGATGCGGGGGCTACGCAATCCGAGCCTCGACTTTGGGGCCGACGTGCGGGTGGCCATTCATAGCCGCCTGGTGCAACCGCTGCTTGATGTCACGCTACTCTTTCTCGGCCTGCCGATGGTGCTGCGGCGAGACACGGGCAACATGTTCTTGGCCATGGGGCTTTGCCTGGCTGCGGTTTCTGTCTTCATGATGGTGGTGATCGCTTGCCAGTACTTGGGCGCGATCATGTTTGTGGGCACCGCCACTGCGGCGTGGTTACCGCTGATGATCTTCATCCCGATCGTCGCCTTCTTCTCCGATCCACTTCGCCAGTAAGTCGCAAGACAATGAAGTTGGAAACGCCCCCAGTCCTTCGGGTATGTTAAGCTCTGTCGCAAGACAGCGGTGGGAGTAGCTGCGCGGGGTGCCAGCTTGCTGTGAGGTGTGGGCCCTCTCGTTCTCGAGGGAAACCTCCATAGCAGAACACCGCAGATGTGAGGGCGATTCAAGGCTGCCACGTGGAAGGCACAGAAAACATGTCACAGAAGAATGCAGAACCCTGGGTCGAGGGGCTCACCATCGGTCAGGCTCTGGCGCAAACGGTCGAGCGATACGGCGATCGAGATGCCGCCGTGTTCGATGCCGATGGGATTCACTGGTCGTACCGCGAATTCGATCGCCAGGTTTACGAAGCGGCCAAGGGCCTGATCGCCATGGGAATTGAACGTGGCGACCACGTGGCGATTTGGGCCACGAATGTCCCGCAATGGTTAGTGCTGCAGTTCGCCACAGCCAGAATCGGGGCGGTGCTGGTCACCATCAATCCGGCCTATCGCCCTTTCGAGCTGAAGTACGTGCTGGCCCAAAGCGATGTGAAGGCCCTGTTCCTCATCGACCAGTTCAAGTCGTCCGACTACTTCGCCATGTTGGCCTCGGTCTGCCCCGAGATGGTGCACGCCATCCCGGGAGAGCTGCACGCCAAAGAGTTCCCCAAGCTGCGGTGGGTGATCGGCCTGCGGGGAAGAACCCCCACCGGCTCGATGACATGGAACGACATGCTCGAACGCGGGCGAGAGATCGACGTGGCCGACCTCCGCGACGCCGAAAAACTTCCCAAACCCACTGAGCCCATCAACATTCAGTACACCTCGGGCACCACCGGCTTTCCCAAGGCCGCCATGCTCACGCACCGTAATCTGCTGCTTAACGCTTTCTACGTTGGCTCGCGTCAGCGGATGTCGCACGAAGACCGCATCTGCATCCCGGTGCCGTTCTATCATTGCTTCGGCTGCGTGATGGGCACCCTGTGTGCAGCGGTTTACGGGGCGGCGATGATCATCCCGGCCGAGTCGTTCGACCCCCAGGCCACCCTCCGCGCGATCGAGAAACACAAGGCCACCGTAATCTACGGTGTGCCCACCATGTTCATTGCTCAACTTCAGCACGAAGAGTTCAAGCAGCGGGAGCTGAGCACGCTGCGTACCGGCATCATGGCCGGCAGCCCGTGCCCGATTGAGATCATGCGACAGGTGGTCAATCAAATGGGGGCCAGCGAAGTCACCATCGCCTACGGTCAGACCGAAGCCTCTCCGGTGGTGACCCAAACCGCGTTTGACGATCCGTTGGAGCTACGCGTCGAATCAGTCGGGAAGCCGTTGCCGGGTGTCGAAGTGAAAGTGATCGACCCGCAGACGGGAGAAGATTTGGGTGACGATCAGCAGGGCGAGCTGTGCACCCGAGGGCACGTGGTGATGTGCGGCTACTACAACGACGAAGAAGCCACCGCTCAGGCGATCGACCAAGATGGCTGGTTGCACACGGGTGACTTGGCCGTGCGGTTGTCGAACGGCTACTACCGTATCACTGGTCGCATCAAAGATATGGTCATCCGCGGGGGCGAGAACATCTACCCTCGCGAGATCGAAGAATTCCTCTTCACCCACGAGGCCATCGAGCAAGCTGCCGTGGTCGGAGTGCCCGACCCGAAGTTCGTCGAAGAGTTATGCGCGTGGGTTAAACTCAAAACTGGGGCCACGGCCACGGAAGAGGGGATCCGCGAGTTCTGTCACAGCGGGCTGGCCCACTACAAGGTGCCGCGCTACGTGAGACTGGTGAATGAGTTTCCCCAGACCATCACCGGCAAGATCCAGAAGTTTAAGATCCGCGAACAGATGATCGACGAGCTTGGCCTCACCGAGAGCGAGACTGCGTGAACCGTGGGCGAATTCAGTGCAGCGTCTTGCCCGAGGGCGATTCATTGCCCCTTTGGTCAGCCTGAAGCTCGCAATTGCCCTGAGTCGATTCCAACTCACGCTGAGCGGACAGTGACTCGTAGTTGAACGCAAACACCACGATTGGCCAGGGGTGCTCCATATCGAACCGAGGCATTGGCTCGAGCGACGACTTGGCCGTGAGATTTCGCTTGCGAATGTCGTACATGGCCAGCACCTTCACGGTTCGCTCACGACCGTGCTGACAATGAACCCACAGCGGATAGTTGTCTGGGTTGTCGAGCACCTTCTCAACTTCGGCCACCGCCGGATAGTTTACTTCCCAGGTGTCGTTGGGCGGAAACTCGATCTCGATGAGCTTCGCGCCGGCACTCTCTACAGCCGCCCGCTGGGCAACGTTGCGGTCACCCATCTCGCCGGGATAGCAAAGATTGAGCACCGTGTGGACGTCGTACTTTTCGATCAACTCCTCGAACACGTCGGGATCAACCCAAGCCGAGCGGTAGACCTTACCGGGATCGTGAATGGCGAAGTGCTTGTAACGGTGATGGAGATGAACCTGCCAGGCCGCGATGGCTAACACCGCCGGTACCAACACGCACACACCAATGAGTATCCGTTTTCGCAAAGACATTTTGGCAAACATGCCACTCATATCAGATTGGTCCATTCAAATTCTCGGCCCTGGCGCCTGCCTGCCGAAGCGGGAGCGTCCTCAGCCGTTGAAGCTATTAGTGATTGCACCTTACGCAAAAAATTGCGACAGCACCTTATCGGGTGACCCTAATAAGGTCGAGCCCGATTGCCCGGGAAATCATTTTTCGTTGGATGCAAGGCACGGGCCGCCTCTCTTGCCTAAACCTTGTTCAATTGACCTCCGGCGAGTGACTTGCTGGCGATGCATGCAACGCTGAGCCCCCGTGCGTGCGAATTAACTATGAAGCGGTTCAGCGAAGCACGACGAAAACGATAGATGTGGCTCACTCTATCGCGGTGACTCACTCATCCTCCTCGCGTGCTTTTCCCTCCCTAACCGCCCGAACGCCATGGCCCGGCCTCGCCGCTGCACGATCGGAATGCTTCGAGCTTGGCCGCTAGCGCTGCTGGTGTTGCTACTCATGGCGATGCCCGGCTGCCGTTCGCGACAAACCACGGCCCCGCAACGCCCCATGCCCGCTTCGGCAGAGACCCCGTCGACTCCAACATCTAACGTGCAACTGACCAGCTATCGCGGCGATGGCGACCCAGCTCCCGCCACGCTCCAGCCGGGCGACCTGCAACCGTCGCGAGAGGAGATTCCACCGCCGGTGCGATTGATCGACCCACGTCTGCCACGAAACTCTGCGGTGCCGGCCCCAGCGCCCTCCGGCGTGGTCCATCTCACTCCCGATTCCGTTCCCCCAGGCGAGGCGCTAACGCTGGGTCAGTCGATCGCCATCGCGCTCCGCCAGAACCCTCGCTTGCGGCAGGCAGTCGCGCGAGTGGGCGTGGCTCGTGCTGGCGCCGACATTGCGTACGCCCCATTCTTGCCGCAGATCGGCACGAGCTTTCGCTATTCGGCATTCACCGCGCCGGTGTTGCCTGGGGGCTCGTTTGTGCCGGCTTCGCTGGACACGGGCGTGAATAGCTTCGTGGTGGCCGAAGCCGGAGTGCAGTGGACCCTCTACGACTTCGGGCGAACCCAAGGTCGCTACGATCAGGCCGTCGACCGGGCCCAGATCGAATCGTTGGCCCTCGCCCGAGCCCGGCAGACTATCGCCTACGAGACCGCACAAACCTACTTTCGACTTCTTGCGGCGCTGGCCAATTGGCAGGTTCGCCGCGAAGCCGTCGAACGCGCCAACGCAGTGCTCCACGATGCCGAGTCACGCTTCCGAAACGGAACCGCCGACCGCGAGAATGTGCTGCGGGCCCAAGTCGAAGTTGCCCTGGAGCAGGAAGACCTGTTTGGGGCACGGCAGGATATCCACGATGCCGAGGCCATGCTGAACGTCGTGCTTGGGCGATCCGCCGCGGTGCCCATCGCCATCCAACCGGTCGACTTCGAACCCGAGTTCAATCAGTCGTTCGAGAATTGCCTGCAAATCGCCGCCATGTCACGGCGCGAGATCGAAATGGCCCGTGGCGCGGTGGCCGAAGCCCGACACGGCTACGAGGCCGCCCAAGGCGAACTGCTCCCCAAGATCTACGTCCGCGGGGCCGTGATCCGTGCCGACTCGCCGGGGCCCCTCAACGATTGGGTCGAAGGCATCGGCCTGCATGCCGAACAGTCGATCTACACCGGGGGCGCCCTTCGCGGAGCAGTGCGTCGCAGTCAGGCAGAAGTTGTCGCCGCCGTGGCCGCGTTGCAGTCGATCCTGGATCAAGTGACGCTTCAGGTTCGCGTCAGCTACGAGGCCATCGCCACCGACCTGGCCCGAGTTCAGCTTGGCGAGCGCACGGTCGGTCAGGCCCGAGAAAACTTGCGACTGACAACGGTGAAGTACGAGAACGGAACTGCCACGCCAACCGATATTGTGGACGCCCAGACGGCGCTCACCGAAGCACAGACCACTTACATCACCGCCATCTACAGTTACTTATCGAACCTGGCCCAGTTGCAGTACGCCATGGGAAACGACCAGCGTTGGTTGATTGAACAGTCGAGAATGTAAAACCGGCTGCAGCCAGCGGTCGCGGTCAAGGAGAGTTGGGATGACCCCCGAAACCACTTCGGTTCGACAAGATGATGGATCGTCTCGGCTCGGGCGAATGCTACGGAGCTTCCGCGGTTGGCGCGGATCGTTTCGCTTCTGGCTGTGCGTGTTCTTGGCGGTGATCCTGACCCTGATCATCTACTTCATCGGGGCCGATCGCTACACCCCCATCACCACCGACGCCTACGTGCAAGCCTACGTCGTGCAGGTTGCCCCGCAGGTGGGAGGCCAAGTCACGCGGATTCATGTTCGCGAAGGCGACCAGGTCGAAGCGGGCGAGTTGCTGTTCGAGTTAGATCCCCGGCCGTTTCAGCATCGTGTAAATATGCTGCAAGCGAAGCTCGTCGAGACCGAGTTCGAGATCAAGCAACTCGAGGCCCAACTCGAAGCCGCTCAGGCCGAACAGCGAAAGATCGTCGCCGAGACCGAGTACGCCCGCGAAGTACACGCCCAAGAGTCGGCCATTTACGAAGAGCAATCGACGACCGAACGGGCGTATCTCGACGCCAGACAGAAGCTTGCAGCCAGCGAGGCTGCTTTGGAACGTTCGGCCAGCGAGATTGAGAGCATCGAGCAAGTGCTGGCTGCCCGAGTCGGAACCGAGCACGCTTCAGTCGCGCAGGTCAAAGCCAGCCTGGAAGAGGCCGAACTGAATTTGAGTTTCAGTCGGGTCTACGCACCTTGCGACGGGACGATCACCGATTTGCAACTGGTCGAGGGCACCTACGCCCACACGGGGCAAGCGGTGATGACCTGCATCGACACCGAAACGTGGTTGATTGTCGCCAACTTTCGAGAGCGATCGCTGGAATACCTTCAGCCGGGGCAGCCTGCCCAGATTTGCTTTCAATCGTTGCCAGGGCGTCTGTGGTCGGCCAGTGTGCAGAACATCGGCACAGGCGTAGCCCGAGGTCAGGGCATACCCACCGGCATGTTGCCGGATGTGGAGAACCAAACGATTTGGGTTCCTCCCGCTCAGCGATTTCAGGTGCGGCTCGAGTTGAACGAGCCCGATGAAGTTCCCTTGCGAGTCGGCATGAGTGCGAGTGTCTCGATCTACACCGAGTCGAGCGGAATCCTTCGCCCCATCACCCGCGGGCTGCACCGCATCCTTAGCTGGTTGTATTTCCTGTAAACGACGTGACCCTCGCCGCGATTAGGTGGTCGCTTCTGGCTGCTGTTTTGAGAACGCCGCCACGACAGCCCCAACCACCAGTGAACACCCCAGGGCAATGACAACCCCTTGCAATCGCTGAACGGCCGGGGTCATCAGGCCGAATTCCTGCGGCGGGACCACCATGATCATCGGCAGTACCAGCCCCATTTGCACTCCCGTGTACGCCCACGAACCGCCAGTTCGGGCTAGATAGGTCGCCAGGTAAGAGCCCACGAATAGAAGAGCCGCAAACAAGGCGAAATGTGGCAATCGCAGCAAGAGCAGGAACGAGATCGTGGCGTAAGCCATCGCGCACAAGGCTCCCAACATTCTCAGTTCGCCCTTTCGCAGCAAGGCATGCATGTCGGGCACAATGGTGAGCACCATCACGGAAACCAAGGTCGCATTGGTGGGCAGGTCGAAGTAGGTCACCGTCAACTGCGAAAGCACAACGGTGACTACCAGCATCAGGGTTTGAGTCAGCTTCTGGCGATCGATGGGAAAGATCGCGTCGCCGCTAGACTTTATGGAAAGATCGCGTTCTGAGCCGCTGATCCAGATGACCAGGTCGGCCACAACCACCCCCAACACAATGGCTACGAACATCTGCCGTCCCACTGGCGCGGCAGAAGCCAGATCCGCACGGCCCACGTGCATCGTCACTGCAAGATAGAGTCCCGCGTTCAAAAACGTATAAGCCAGACGTTTGCAGAAGAATACATAGAAGAACACCGCCAGGGCCATGCACTCGAAGAGGAAGCCAAGATAGATCGTGTTGCGGAATATATTCAGCAACACCAGGCCCAGCAGCACCCCCACACCTCGCCCCAGGACTCGTTCGACGCCTTTCTGGAAGGAGGTGAACTCGAACTGGCTCATCACCATGTGTGTGGTCCACACCGCCAGGTCGGCATGTGCCAGATGAAAGTGCTCGGCAATCACCAGCGTCAGTACGGCGGCGCATGCTGAGCGGAGTGCAAACCCAGTTGCACCTTGATTCAGCGTATCGGCTTCGATCGTAGGGGAGGTAGCCACGGCCGCGGGCCCAAAGTATACGGGGACATCGCAGCAAAATAGGGGTTCGACAGCACCGCAGGCTAGAGCACTTCCCGACGCGATTACACGAAAGACCAACGGCCGACCGCTTATCACCCGCTAACTGCGATTGCTTCACCGCCGTTCATCGCGGTATGACAGGTGCCGAGCAAGGCCGTCCCCCATTTCAAGCAACGCCACAGATCGCGAATAATCACGTGAACCCGCTAGCAGAGCAAGCTTCGAGTGCGACCCACACTAGTGGAGGACAGACTTCACATCAGAAGCTGACGGGCCTATCACATCGGGCAACCCGTGAGCGGTTCGACTCTGCGACCGTGGCCGCTAGGTATCCCTCATCCAAGAGTCGCTCTCGACGTGATGAACGTGAGTGGCGGTGTATCAACCATCTGCTTGAAGATGTTCCCTTGGGAGCCCGCGTGCTCGATCTTCCCTGTGGCACCGGGCGAATGACCGGGCGGCTTCTCGAGGCAGGATATGCGGTTACCGCGGCCGACACTTCGCCGCATATGTTGCAACAAGTACGAAACAGCTTTACCCACCTGTTGCACACTGGGCAGCCTGCACTTCATCTGAGTTGCTGCGATGTCCTGCAGACGCCATTCGCCAACGGCGCATTTGATGCGGTGTTGTGCAACCGGCTCTTCCACCATTTCGTCGAGGCAGAGACACGGCAGGCAGCACTCGCCGAGTTGGCAAGGATTTGCCAAGGCCCAATCGTGCTCTCGTTCTTTCGCAATTTCGGAATCGATGCCATTCGATTTCGTCTCAAACATGCCGTGCGAGGCACAGTACCACACGATCGGATCCCGATTTCGATGCGAAGCCTGCAGCACGATATCTCCTTGGCTGGGCTAAAAGTCGTGGATACGCTCCCAACACGATGGGGCATTTCACCCCAGTGGTATGTGAAACTGGTCCGCCGCTCTTAATACGGTGCGGAAAGCCCCTCAGTCTTGAGCAAACGCACCTCCAAGCTCGGGGTGTTCTCTCGCTTGCTTTACGTTGCGCCGCCCGGGGGTTAGAACCGGTAGTTGTTCCTCTCCTTCAAGGGCGAATCCATGGACGCTCCATCCCTTCGCAAAATCACGCTGTACCTGGCGGCCACTTTCTTGGTTTGCATGGTGCTCTCGTTTATCCGGCACCTGCTCGCCCTGAATGGGGTGGCCTTCTATCCGGTGCGATACATCATGATCCTGTTGGGCACGGGACTCTCGTTGGGTTGCGTGATCGCCGTCGTCTGGCTGCTGCGACCCCCGGGACGAACATGGATCTTACTACTCGGGGCCGGGCTAACGTTCTTCGGGCTACAGATATTCTCCCTCAACGACTCGGGGTCAATCGTACTAGCTCCGCAGGACATTCAAACTGAAAAGTATTATCGACTGCTATTTGGGCCTTTGGCCGATGGGGCCATGTACCTGATCGCGATCGTTCTGGCTTATCATTTCGCCCAAGGTGCAATCAGTGTTCGTCTAGCTCAGCAACGCGCAACCGAACAAGAACGGGCCGAACAGCAACTTCGAGACAAGCAACAATTTCTCGAACAACTCCTCGATTCACATGAGCGCGATCGCCAACTGATCGCCTACGAAGTTCACGACGGGTTCGTGCAAAGTCTAACCGGTGCTCTCATGCATATGGAGGCGGGGCAGTACAAACAGGGCACGATGGACCCCGAGGCCAAGCAAGAGTGCGAACGGGCAACCAGCCTGGTTCGCGAGTCGATCGACGAGGCGCGTCGTCTGATCAGCGGGCTTCGTCCCCCCATTCTCGATGAACAAGGGACCATCGCCGCCATCGACTATCTGATCGAAGAGCATCGGATGTCGGGCGGTCCGCCTGTCGATTTTCAGTACGACGAAGACTGCGAACGCCTTTCTCCGTTGATTCAAGGCGTGGTGTTCCGTCTCACTCAGGAAGCCCTCACCAACATTCGACGTCATGCCGAGGCTCAACACGTCGAAATCAATATCCACGAAGCAAACGAACGGATTCGACTGTCCATCCACGACGATGGGCGAGGCTTCGATCCGAATGAAACCCCCAAGAAGTCATTCGGCCTACGGGGCATGAAAGAGCGTGCCGAGGCGGTCCACGGAAAATTCGACATTGATAGCAAGCCTAGCGAGGGCACGCTCATCTCAATCGAACTTCCGCGGCTCGACGCAACCCAACTCGAAGCCCGTCGCCGCCGCAAAGCTGAACAGGCCTTGTACGAAAGCGAGCTGCGGCTGCAAGCGGTGCTCGACAACACCACGGCCGTCATCTACCAGAAGGACGTGGAGGGACGTTATCAACTGTTAAACCATCGTTACGAGGAACTTTTCAACGTCGACCAAAAAGACCTCATTGGTAGGACCGACTTCGACGTGTTCCCTCGAGAAGCGGCCTTGGCGTTCCGCGAGAACGATCTACAAGTGCTGAAAGCGGGAAAACCCGTCGAGTTCGAAGAAACAGCACCCCAGGAAGACGGCGAGCATACTTACATCTCGATCAAGTTTCCCTTGTTCAATGCAGAAGGCGAGCCCTACGCCGTTTGCGGAATCTCGACCGATATCACCGAACGAAAACGGGCAGAAGAAGCTCTGAAAAATGCGCACGACGACCTCGAGCGTCGCGTTCGAAAGCGAACCGCCGACCTATCATCCGCCAATGAGCAACTCGCCCGCGAAGTGGAAGAGCGGAAGCGCGTCGAAATGGAACTGCGAGTCAGTCAGTCGCGACTGCGAGAACAAATGTCGGTGCTCATGCGGTTGAACTCGGGGCAAACGTTCGGTCGGGGAGAACTGTCGGCCACGCTGGCAGAAATCACCGAGGCCGCGTCCGAGACACTCGATTGCCGCCGCGTGAATATCTGGCTGTTCGATGACACGCGAAGCCGTCTGCATTGTGTTGAGCACTTTGATCAAGAGAACAACGACCATGAAGTGGGCTTTGAACTCACCGCCGACGAATGCCCGAACTACTTTGCAGCGATCTCACAAGAACGCACGATCGCAGCCCACGATGCAATCAACGATCCGCGCACAAGCGAATTCGCCGAGGGGTACTTAGATAAGCACAACATCACGTCGATGTTGGACGCGGCGATTCATCTTCATGGAGAACTCGTCGGGCTGGTGTGCCACGAGCATGTGGGGCCTCCACGGCATTGGACTATCGAAGAGCAAAATTTTGGTGGGTCGGTGGCCGACTTCGTGGCCCTGGCTCTCGATGCTGACAAACTCCAACGCACCGAATCAGCTTTGCGAACCAGCGAGCGGCAATTCCGCCGCGCGTTTGCCGATGGGCCGCTGGGGATGAGCTTTGTCAGCCCCGAAGGCAGGATTCTCGACTCAAACCATACGTTGAGTCGCATGCTCGGCTATACGAAAGAAGAACTCCGCGAACGCAAGATGAGCGAGCTCTTGCACCCGGACGACGCAGAAGAAGCCCAGCGGAACACATCACATCAATTTAGTAGCGATCAGCCGGTCTTCACGGTCGAGCAACGCTTCTTGACTAAACAGCAGGAAGTGATCTGGGTTCGCCACACCGCTTCGTTGCTCGAGCAGTTGGAAGCAGACGAGCCGCCGGTGCAGTTGTCGATGTTCGAAGATATTACTGAACACCGCCACGCACTGGAGGAACTTCAAGAGGCGCGAGAGGAATTGGAAGCACGAGTGAAACAACGGACGGTCGATCTCACAGAGGCCAACGAAAGTCTGGCCGCCGAAATTGCCGAACGTCGCACTGCGGAAGAAGGGTTGAGAAAGAGCGAGTACCGGTTCCGTGCATTGATTGCCAACGCGCCAGCCGGCGTGTTCTTGACCAATGCCGAATCGGGAGAGTGTACCTACATCAATAAGGCGCTGCAGCGCATGTCTGGCATTACTGAAGACGACGGGTTAGGGCACGGATGGCAAAAGGTTATCCATGAGGATGACCGGGATTGGGTGATTTCCAAAATTATGCAGACCGGGAAGAAGCGGCAAATCTTCGACGAAATCTTCCGCATTCGATTGGAGGACGAGACGGTCAAGTTTGTTCATGTGAACTCCGCGCCCTTGCGAACCGGAGAGAACGAATCGACAGAAAATATCGGCATGGTGCTCGATGTGACCGAGCAAAAACTGGTGGAAGAGCGGTTGGCCTTCAGTGAGAGACGCTATCGTGCCTTGTTGACAGCCGTGCCCGATCTAATCATACGGCTTAACCGCAATGGAACCTGTCTCGACTACTTCCCCGGCGATACCTTCATCACGCGACAACCGCCGGAAGCTTACATTGGCAAGAACATCTTCGAGCAAGTCCCCAAAGACATTATTGATGTTTGCAAGATCGCCGTTGAACGGGCATTAGAAGCCGATGATACCTTCACGGAGACCATCAGTGTTCATGACGAACCGGAACCCCGACGCTACGAGGTGCGGATGAGAGCCTCCGGCGCGGATGAAGTCATGGCGATCGTGCGAGACCTAACCCAGGCAAACAACGCCGTACCGAATGAGTCGTGGCGGATTGGCAAGAAAACCGAGCAGTAGCGATCTCTTCGCGACAGACTTCACCACGCGATTCACTTCGCCCCATCATCTCCGCCGGCGAGCCGCACAAAGTTGTCCCACGCTGCATCGAGGTCTTCTGCGGATGGTGTTCCTCGGTGTACATATAGCCCATACTGCAGCCGCAGAGTATCTTCCGGCTTTAAAACCATCGGACCATCGTAAGTTAGTGATGTACCCATCCAGCCATCGTTGCGCACGTGAAACACGGTAGGATGTCGCGGGTTGGAAGGATGATCCATCAATGTAATTCCCTCGGTTTCTTCCGAAGAAATGGGACCGGAGTAGTCAACCCAGCGAGCCGGCTTCCAAAGAACTTCCTTCTCGTCGACTCCTCCTTCGGAGTTGCGGATCGTACCTCCACCGTCATGAACCCCGATCGATTTTGCCATTCGCACACCCAGTGGGCCAAACGGCGTCTTCCCGAGCGTTACTTCGTCTGCGTTCGGTGTTAACTCGAGCCCGATAATCAGTAGCCATTCACCGTCGTCGAGATTGACCACACGATACGACCTTCGCTCGTCGAGCAACACCCAGTGGTCTTCCGCTTGCCACTGGTTGTGTGCGACCAACGTTGCTTCGCTTTCACCGTCAGTGAGCGACTCTAGCTTCTTGTGCGTGATCCGCCCTGGTCCGGTATCGGCCCAAAAATCAAGGCCCCCAACATCGTGATGGGCAACCCAGACCGAACGGTGATGCCGATGACCATGGGGATCGTGAGGGTGGCCCATCCGTGTGAGCGGACGTCCAGAAGGACCAATCATGGGATAGACAAACGGACGAGGTGCCGAGTCACCAAAATAGTATCGTGCCAGTTCCTCCTCATTGCGAAGGAATGCCACTTGGTTTTCTGGCATCGGGGCCAGAGTGAGTGTCGGAATGTTCTTCGAGGAAACATCCTGCGCGAAGGAGTTCGCCACACACAAGCAGGCGATTGACGTCAGAGGGAATAAAGCAGCAAGCTTACGCAACTTCTTAATGACATTACTCCCGCGGTTTCAACTTAAACGCAACCGATATTTACCGGCCGGTCACCGAGTTGACGATCTTCACAAGTTCGTCGGGCGAAAGTCCGCTGCCATTGGTCCTTGGACTAAAGCCAATCGTGGCTCCGCCGATCCACTTGTCTTCTGAGTTTTTTTCCTCAGCGTTGAGCGCCGCCAAAACCCGCGGAACATCGAACGGAATGAACGGCGACATCCGGCCCACCGTGTAGGCCCATCGCCCCCCACCACGATCGTGCACAGTGACATAAGCTTGAACGCCGTCGGCCAGCATTCCGGTTTGCGCTTGAGCCCCAATCTCGCGGACCATCGCCCAGCCGCGTCCGCCATCCATCCGCTCGTAGCGCGTATCAAGCGAAATGCGTTCTCCGCGACCAGTAACGTTGCGAAGAATACGCTGCTCGACTTCGGTCACGATGCCCGTGTAGACCTCGGGGTCCTTCTGATCCAACACCCCACTTAGGCGATGCCGGCGGTACGGCTCAAACACCCAGGCCAGTTCTTGCAGCAGTGGCAAATCGACTGGAAAGGGATACGCCCCCGCGGTGGCTTCCAGCAGGTCTTCCATCACCACCAAGCGGTTCAACACTGGGTTGATCGCGTGTTCGGCGAGGTAGCCGTACTTCAGCAAGAACCACGACATGCAGACGTCTTCGTCGCAATCGTTGCAATACACCTCCGCCCTCGCCCCGGAGTCATCACGAAAGCGGGTGAACAGCCCTTGCCGAATCGCCAACAGAATTTGGGCACACGTCGATCGTGTAGCCAGGCGATCGACGTCGGCGTGGTGATTATTCAAGTTCAGTCGTGGCCCGGAATCCTGGAACTTCGGGCCCGCGGCCACGTAGCCATCGATAGCAATGGCAAATGGCTCGGTCACCGCACAGAACTGCTCCCATGAAAGCGGTTCGTATTGCGGTCGCATCCGTAGGACGATCGACATGATCAAAAACTCGTCGCCAACGAGAAAGAAATAAGAAGTCCATCGCGTGGGCCGACAACCATCAGAACGAAGGTTGTATGACGAACGGCCAAGGTTTGCCCCACCGCTGACCCCACGAAGCCCCTATTCTGACACCCCTGCGACGAATCGCAAGGCCGACGCTAGACGAATGCGGTAACCCGACGAACCGGGGAGCGCATTTCTTACCAATTCTTGGCAATGCATCACCCGCACCAGGTGAGCCCATGCGTTCGACCCTTAGATCGATCACAACCCAGGCGACCAAAGAAAACGTCGTAACGATTAGCCCGTGGGAAAGCGAGCTGCGAACGACAGGCTCTGGATGAACTTCGATGCCGCAATGTAGTCGTTGGGTAGATAATCCCTGATGTTCGCCCTCAACTGGGCTTGGAGATCGTTGCAAGCGGTGAGCAATTGCTGAAAAGCATCTTGCCCGATGCTACCGCCGGCGTCGCTTCTTTCGGCAAACAGGGCGTCGATTTCATCTCGCAACGCGGCATAGCGATCTTGCATCAGCAGTCGCGGCCATTGAATTTGGCCCGTCACCGGGTCGAGCTGCGTGGCAGTCAACGGTGGTGGAGTTACTTCTTGTGCACGACGAAAGGCCACCTCGCTCGAAGCCGGCGGACGCCGTTCGGCTGCGCGAGCCTCGCTGTTGATGCGACGCATCTCAAAATAAGTTTCCGTCGCCTTCAAGCGATTATCCAATTCCAGAGAGCGTGCTTCTTCAAAATTGCCGGCAGCCATCGAATCGAGAAGGTTGCGCTGACCCGCCGCGCGAGTCATATCGGCCATCCCCCGCGCGTAGCTTTCAGCCGGGGTCGATGCCCGATTGTCCCTGTAATACGGATTGCCGTAACCCCACCACCCTTGAGCCCCGGCGGTACTTGCCATCGAGCTGACGGCCACGACAATCAAAATCATCAAGATTCGCACAATCGACCTCCCGGCTCTGCGGCCGGTGCAATTGGGTTGAGCTTAGACGTTCCGAAAAGATCCGGATGGGGCGGAACCGCTGCCGGCAGCTTACATATTTTGCCGACACGAACCGCCTCCTCCAACTATAATACCTTGATTAGTAGCTGAAATCTCCCCTTCTCAAGAAATGTGTCGCGTGAACCTTCGGAGTGAGACGATGCAGCGCACGTTCGTGTGTTTTTTCCTCGGCCTTTGTCTGGTTTCGTTCGGACTGGTCGGTCAACTGACCGCCGCTGAAGACCTGAAACAGCTCACTGCCGACCTCGAGTCGACCAATTCCGACACTGCCTGGAAGGCAGCAGATCTTCTAACCGATATGGGCCCCGCAGCCGCCCCCGCGGTGCCGGCCCTCATCAAGGCACTTGGTAGCAGCGACAAGCAGCTTCGCTGGCGCGCCGCACGTGCTCTGGGAACCATCGGCCCTGATTCAAAAGATGCCGATCGTTCGCTGGCAGGATTACTCAAAGACCAAGACCCCTTAGTGCGTGAGTACGCCGCCGACGCCTTGGGCCGCATCGGGAACGCCAGCCAGGGCGTAGTCGATGCCTTGTCCGCCGCCGTGACCGACGAAAACCCACAGGTTAGGGCCGAAGCCGTTAACGCGCTGCTAAGCCTCGATATCGACTCCGAAACACGAATCGCACTGGTGGTCGATGTGCTCAACGATGCCGACCCTTCGGTTGTCGCACCAGCCCTGAACACCATCGCCGAATATGCAAAAGCCGGCACACCCACCCTGATCACAGCCTTGGAGAATCCAAAGTCTCGCTACTGGGGCTGCCTGATCGCCGCAGAAATGGGCCCACGCGCGAAGCATGCCGTATCGGCCTTGGAAAAAGCTGCAAAGGATCAGTATCCCGAAATTCGAATGGAGGCCCTGTTGGCACTCGGTGCGATTGGCCCCGATGCCAGCGAAGCACTCTCCACGGTGACGGCGGCACTCAACGATAAGTCTCCCGCGGTTCAATACGCTGCCATGTACGCGTTGGGTGAAATCCGCGACTCGAGCAGCGCTCCGACCATTGCGAAGTACCTCGACAGTCAGGATGTGATGCTCCGCGAACTTAGTGCCTGGGCTTTGGCTCGAGTGAACCCGGATGATACCGAAGCCCGCCAGCGAGCGTTAACAACGCTGGTCGAGTCGCTCGAATCAGACAACCCCGCCGTGCGTGGCGGGGCCGCTCGTGCGTTGACCGACTTCCCCGAGCAGTCCGGCGAGTTTGCCGAAGCGCTCTCCTCGCTCTTGGCCGACAAAGACTACACCGTTGTCGCTAATGCGATTCAAACGTTGTCCAGCTTTGGCGAACCGGTGGTTCCCGTGCTCGTCGAAGCCCTGGGCCATCCCGATCGACGACTGGCGGCGGTTGCCACGCTTCAGCGCATTGGCCCCAAGGCCGCAGTGGCTGCCGTCCCGATGATCGAAGCCGTCGGTGTTGCCGACGATCCCCGGTTACGTCAGGAAGTCAGCTACGCGATCGCCTCGATCGGCCCTGCCGCCGCCGATGCCACAGGGCAACTGGTCATGCTCTTAGGTGATTCCGATCCTCAAGTCGTCTACTCGGCCATCTACGCTCTCGGGAAAATTGGCCCTCCGGCGAACAGCGCGGTGCCGAAACTCGAAGGCAATCTCGGCAGCGAAGACCAGTTCCTCCGCCTGTTCAGTGTTTGGGCGTTACTGAAAATCGAGCCCAACAACGAGAAAATCATTCAGAAAGCGATTCCGCTGCTGACCGAGGCCCTCTCGCAACTGCAGGGCTTGGGGCGAATCGAAGCGGCGATAGCTCTCGGTGAAATTGGCCCGGCTGCCAAGTCGGCCGCCCCTGCACTGCGAGAAGCCGAAGGCGACGCCAACCCGGCCGTTCGCGATGCCGCCACCAAGGCCCTGGAAAAAATCGGGTCGTAGTCGGCGGGGTGTGAATCTCCGAGATCCTAATTCCGGTGCAATGTTCTTCGCATGCCGGTATTTTGCGGCCTGGCTTTCCTGTGCAGCAAGAAAGCTTCTCGTCAGAGAGTTGGAGCTTCGTGTGGCTTGACTTGCCTGCAGCTACGGCCAAACTAGGCATTGTCTCATCAAGGGGCTCGTTCGACAGAGGCCGGACGATCAAGCGAGACAAGCTGTAGGCGGTAATCGAACAGAGAAGTCTTAGCCCCGGGTCGGGGGAGTCGTTTCCTAAATGTCCATTCTCGTTGTCTGTCCAGGCTGCAAGGCGTCGTTTCGCGTCAGCGATAAATTTGCAGGCAAAGAAGGTCCCTGCCCGAAGTGTAAGGCAAAAATCAAGATTCCCACCCAGGACGAAGTCGTCAAGATTCACGTCCCGGAGGAACACGCCGAAGGAGGGAAAGACAGCAAGGGCCGGCCCACCACCAAGCCCATCGCCCGCGAAGAAACCAAAGTCACACCAGTGTTGATGATCTCCATCGTCGGCACCATCGTCGCGGTGCTAGTTGTTGCCATCGCCATGCGGTTCACCGGCGGGGCTTCCCCACTGCTAGCCAGCATCGGCTTGATTATTATCTCACCGCCGCTGGTGATCGGCTGCTACTCGATTCTCAGAGACTCGGAACTCGAGCCCCATCGTGGCAAAGCGTTGCTGCTTCGTAGCGGAATCTGCGCCCTGGTGTACGCTGCTTCCTGGGGTGTGTTCGCCTTTGTCTTGCCCGAGGGAATCACTACCGAGATTTGGAGCTGGCTGTTTGTCGCGCCCCCCTTTGTACTCATCGGAGGGCTGACCGCCTTGGCCTGCCTCGACTTCGATTTCGGCACCGGCGTCATCCACTACAGCTTCTACGTGCTGGTAACGATGCTCGTCGGTTACCTGGCCGGGCTACCGCCTGTGTGGGGCGTAAGCTAGTCGGCCACGGCCGACGCTTCCGCCGGGTGATGCTCGCGGAAGGCCTCAATCATCTGCCCGCGAATCTGCTTCGCCGCATCGCTGTTCGAGACACTCGAATGGCTTGCCTCAGGCACGACAATCACTTCAGCATCGCTGCCTAGCGTTTTAAGAGTCTCGGCCAATCGCTCGACCGCGCCATTGAGATAGAACGTGTCAAACTCTGCCGCGATGATGTGCAGTTTCCCGCGAAGCTTCGGCCCTAGCTCTTCCCAGTTCCGTTCGAGCACCAGCCGAATGTCGTAGTCTTCCCAATCGTGAGCCACCTCGGGATCGATCACCCCGGTGGTTCGATCCCACAACTTCTCCGGCAGTCCGTCTTCGTTTAGAGAACTGAACACGGCCTCGAAAGACCGTAACTGACCCCCACGCCCCAGCACATCGTCCATCTTTCCGAATGACTCGTACCACAACACCGGCTCAGTCCCCCGTCGTGCGATCGGCCGCTGTTCCCCCTCCTCGTCGAAGTACAAACTTTGCGGAGGATTCGCATACAGATCCACGCCTTGGTAGTCGCGAAAGTCCACCGGATCGGGGGCCAAACTCCACACACCGCCGAACACCTCAGGGTGCGTGATTTGCAGCCACAACGAGGACCAGCCCCCAGAGCTATGTCCGGTGAGGAAGCGTGCCGTGGGCTCGGCCACCGTGCGGAAGTGCTCGTCGATATAAGGGCCGAATTCCTCAACAAATGCCTGTCCGCGTGGGCCGTTCGTCGCGCTGTCGGCAAACACGTGGTGCCCCCACTTACAGTTGGCATTCAGCAACACGCGAATGAACTCTTCGTCGTCCTCTTCCTCGGCGTCGACGTCGAGATACCGCGTGGCCATGTGATGCGATCCGCCAAACCCGGGGATGATATACAGCACGGGGTAACGCCGCTCAGGGTGATCTCCGTAACTCTCCGGCAGCACCACAGCCGCCCGCTGTATCACTTCACGGCCGTGAAACTTTGAAAGCAACTCACTCGGTAGCACCACCTCGCGAACCCGATCGCTCTCGGGAAACTCCTTCGCTTCCACCTTTTCGCTCAGCACGAGATCCATCGGGCCTTCGGTGTCACTGCCCAGCTCGACATTGATCACGTCGCTATAGAAATTGCCAACGCCCAGTGCGTGGTGCTGCTCGTAGAAATCGTGATCGAGAAATGCCTGCACCCGGTACTTGCCCTCAGGAAGATCGGATAGCTTCTCAGGAAACCCATCGGCCGTGTCATCAATCACCACCGCATCGCCGGGTTCTACATCTTTCACATCCATTCCTAAGAACGGCTCGGGCCGAAACCAATTCGGGCCGCTCATCGGTCGCCCGCGCTGCAGCTTGGAGAGAAACACATACAGCCGCCCCGTGATTGGACCATCGGCCACTTCAGGATCGAGCTGAATCCGGAACGAATCGCCACGCAACACCTCGGACGAAGACGAAACCGCATTCCTCGACTCCGGATCGGCCGCCAGCATTGCGTGAGTCATCGCGAAGGTAACAAGTATCATGCCAAGCAGGCTGGTAAAATTACGTTTCTTCATCGTGGGTGGCGGTTCCAAGGAATTCAGATGGCTTAAAACGGTTCACTCGATTCTAACCCGCAACCGCTGACGCTTGCAGGGATCCGCCCCGGGCGGTAGCCTACGCGCGTGGTCGTCGGCCAAAATGCACAGTTGGTTTACCCTGCAAGTTTATGTCATCCATTCGTGATATCCCGGAAGTCATCGCTCTCGAAGCCCCGAGTGCGATGGTGCGTATTCCGCCCGATTTAGACATCCCGATGACCGATCGGGTGCGGCATATCATCGATACCGAAGAATTCCGCCGGCTGGCCCGCATCAGCCAACTGGGGCTGGTTTCGCTGGTCTATCCGGCTGCCCATCACACCCGGTTCGAGCACTCGCTGGGGGTCTATCGCAACGCGCTGCTATATCTGCGAAAGCTCTCGCATGACGACCGCTTCGTGGCCGCAGTAAGCCCCGAGGCTGCCGAACTATTCATCGTGGCGGCCCTCTTGCACGACCTGGGGCATTGGCCGTTTTGCCATCCGATCGAAGCCCTGCACCTGAAAAGCCTGCCAAGCCACGAGCTATTCGCCAACAGCTTTCTGCTCGAAGGCGAAGTGGCCGACGTGCTCCGCCAGCAATGGAGCGTTCAACCACGCGATGTGGTGGCCATGCTCTCCGATCGCCCTCGCGATCCCACGTCCCGAATTTTGCAGAGCATGCTTTCGGGGCCCATCGATATCGACAAGATGGACTATCTGCATCGCGATAGCCTACACGCCGGAGTGCCATACGGAAGGCACTTCGACCAGGGACGTCTAATCGGAGGGTTATGCCTCAGCAAAGACGGAACCTCGCTGGCTATCACCGACAAAGCTAAAACTGCCGCCGAGCTGATGGTCTTTTCTCGCTACGTGATGTTCAACGAGGTCTACTGGCATCACGGCGTTCGCTCGGCCACGGCAATGCTGCAAAGGGCCTTCTACGAACTGCACGAGGAACTCGATCTCGATACGCTGTTCCGCATGACTGAAGATCGCTTCATCGCCCACATGCGCGACACAGCCGCCGGTGGACCGGCCAAAGACTTACTCGATGGGCTCTTCGGCGGATCACGAAAACTCTATAAGCGCGTCTCGCAATACAGCCTGTTTCAGCACCCCGAGCTATTTCAGCAACTCGCCCATCGACCTTATCCCTGGCTGGTACGCTGCGCCTCGCACCTGGCCACCTTGGCCAGCAAGCCGCTAGGCAGGGTCGTGGCTCCGCACGAGATCCTCATCGATTCGCCGCCGGTAGCCCGCGAAGTGGAGTTCAATATCGACGTCTACTTCCCCAAAGATGAAACCTATCGCCCCTTTGAGTCAGTCTCGCCAGTCGTGCGAACTTTGGCCAAAGAACAGTTCGACGACTACGTAAAACGGGTGCGAATCTTTGCCGACGCGCGTGTGGCCCGCGAACTTCAGCAACTGCCGGCGCTACCGCAGATTCTCGACGAAGCCATCACCGCAGCTTCGCAAGAGTAACGCTTGGGATAGCGTTGCTTAAGAGCTGAGCTGAAACCGGATGGCCTCAGTCAGATGCCGCATGGTTTCGACGGTGTATTCCATGTCGAGCCACAGTACCTGTCCCTGGGCGTTCAATAGGTACACCCGGGGAAGAAACCGTGTGGCGACCTGGTGAAAGAGCTTTCCGTCGGTATCAAGCAATTGAGGATACCCAGCTCCCAGCCGCTCAGTGACATCTCGCACCGTTTCGACCGAGTCGCCAACGTTGATGCCAACCACACCAACCCCCAATGGGCCATACGGCTTCTGCACGTCGATCACCAGATCGCGAAGCTCTGCCACACCGTATGGGTTGCTATTGTTCCAGAACACCACGACGGTCAACTCTTCGCTGTAGAGTGAACTCAGCTCTGTCGGTTCGTCGAGTGTGTTGTTCAGCGTGGCCGGAGGCAACGTATCGCCCACCTTCACCAAACAACTGTCGGCATGCGCCTTCGTCATCACCACCTTCGGCATCGCTGTCACTGCAGGTAACGACGCGAGATCGATCGGAGCGGCTGCAGGTTCATCCGAGTTTGCCGCCGCTGGAGGCGAAGTTTCGGCCGGCTGCATGTCCTCTTCGGCCAACTCCTGTTTAGGTTTCAGTTCGGTAGACTCTTCCGCCTGGGCTTCGGCTTCTTCTTCGGTTTCCGCTTCCGCAGGCGTGGGGCTTGCCGGCGCGGCGGTGGGTTCCTCGGGAGTCGCCTCCGTCGGTGCTTCTTCCGGCTCGGGCGATTCCGATACCGGCGGCGTCGGCTCGCTGGGCGTGGCTTCGGGGGCCGAACTCGATTGTTCGGCTGTGGTCGCCGCTGGTTCTTGAGAACCGCCGCAACCAACGCACCATACCGCGACGCTGGCGACCATGAAAAGCTGAGTCAACAGACTACGAGGCTTCGTGCCGTAACGCATGTTGTGCTCTCCGCGTTTGCAGTTGACCGGTCCCAGCGTTCTAACGCGCGTGGACCTTGATATGCAAATCTCGCAATTGCTTCGCCTCGACCGCGCTGGGTGCGCCGGTCATCAAGTCCGTGGCTCGTTGCGTTTTGGGGAAGGCGATCGTATCGCGGATGTTGTCGCGCTTTCCGAACAACATCACCCAGCGATCAAGCCCCAGGGCGATTCCACCATGGGGCGGAGCCCCGTACTGCAAGGCTTCCAACAGGAACCCGAACCGCTCTTTGGCCATGGTTTCGTCGATCCCCAGAACTTCGAAGACCTGCTTCTGCACGCTCTGGTCGTGAATTCGGATCGTGCCTCCGCCGGCTTCCAAGCCGTTGATCACAAGGTCGTAAGCCTGGGCCCGCATCTTCGCAGGGTCGGTGGCCAGCAACGGCACATCTTGCGGACGGGGAGCCGTGAAGGGATGGTGCATCGCCGCCCACACCTTCTCTTCCTCGTCGTAGTCGAACATCGGGAACTCCACGACCCAGGAGAAGTGCATCTCGTTGGGGTCGTACAGCTTCAATTCATCGGCCAGCCGCCGGCGCAAACCATTCAGCGCCTTGCAGGTCACCTCGAATTCGTCGGCGATAAACAGCAACAGGTCGCCGGTTTCGACCTCGAAGCGTTGTCCGATCTTCTTGAGGATGTTCTCCTCGAAGTTCTTCGCGATCGGCGAATTCAGCGTCCCGTCGGCATCGACCTTGAACCAGGCCATCCCCTTCGCGCCAAAGTCTTGCTGCACGAAGGCAGTCAGCTCGTCGATGCCCTTACGGGAGTACTTCTCAGCCGCGCCCTTAACGTTGATTCCACGTACACGTCCTCCGCCGTCGGCCACACCACGGAACACACGGAAGGAGGTCGCTGCCGCCAGATCGGTCGCATCGACCAACTCCATGCCGTAGCGAAGATCCGGGGCGTCGTGCCCGAACCGCTCCATGGCTTCGTCGTAAGTCATCCGCGGCAGGGGCAGCGATACCTTTTTGCCAAGGAACTGCTCGGCCACTTCGGCCACCAATCCGTCGATGACGTTGATCACGTCGTCGACCTCGACAAACGACATCTCCATGTCCAACTGCGTGAACTCTGGCTGACGGTCGGCCCGCAGGTCTTCATCGCGGAAGCATCGGGCCACCTGCACGTAGCGGTCGTAGCCCGCGACCATCAGAATTTGTTTGTAGAGCTGTGGCGACTGGGGCAGGGCGTAGAAGGTGCCCTTGTTCACCCGGCTTGGCACCAGGTAGTCGCGTGCCCCCTCAGGCGTGCTTCGCCCGAGCATGGGGGTTTCTACGTCGATGAAGCCCAGCTTCTCGAAGTAGTCGCGCATCTTCTTTACCAGCCGACCACGCAGCAGCATGGTCTGCTGCATCACAGGGCGACGCAGGTCGAGGTAGCGGTGCCGCAGGCGGATGTCCTCACCCGGCGTTTCCGATGCCGTGGGCTGAAGAGGAAGCGTGGCGCACTTATTGAAAATGTCCAGCTTTTCGACCCGCAGCTCCACATCGCCGGTTGGCAATGCAGGGTTGGCCGTACCCTCGGGCCGTTTCGACACGCGGCCGGTTACGGAGATGACGAATTCACCCCGTAAAGTTCGGGCAGCGTTTTGAATTTCCTCGCCACTTTCCGGCCCGAAGACGATCTGGGTTTTCCCGTACCGGTCGCGGAGATCGACGAAGAGGATCCCTCGATGATCGCGATAGGTGTCAACCCAGCCGCTAATCGTTACCGTTTGATCGACATGTTCGAGCCGCAGCTCACCACACGTATGTGTCCGCAGCACCGCAGAACTCCCCTGTTGGGCACCAACCACCGACCAGAGCCTGGCCGCCAAAGCTCCGCATTGTAGACCGGCGACCGCAGGGCGCGAAGGATGCCGACCAGCCGGATTCAGGGGGAATATCTCCCCAAACTCCCCCAGCTCGCACAATCACCGGGCTCGATTGCATTCAATCGTTCAGACACCCCGGCCGCCCAGATGTTCGGCCAACTGAGCGGCCACCGCTGCGGCGCTCTCACCCGCGGTCATCTCAACCCGCTGGCACTCGCTTAGGCTGCGGAACCATGTCCGCTGGCGTTTGGCGAACTGTCGGGTGTGGGTCTTTACCAATTCGATCGTCTCCGGCAACTCGCACTCGCCGGCCAGGTGAGCCAGCACTTCGCGGTAACCCAAGGCCTGAGACGCCGTATGGCTCAGAGTCTTTCCCTCCCGGGTCAGTGCCTCGACCTCCGCGACCAGCCCTTCGGCGAACATCGCATCCACCCGCCGGTTGATTCGCTCGGCGAGCACCTCCGGGGGCCAATCGAGCCAAAACACGGCGCACTCTTCTGCCGGGCGTCCACGGTCGAACTGTTGCTGCCAGTGGCTCATCGGACGGCCCGTCTTGTGATACACCTCCAGTGCCCGGACCAACCGCCGGGTGTCGTTGGGGTGCAAACGCTCGGCCGAAGGCGGATCGACGACCGCCAGTCGGGCATGCAACCAGCCGGGCTCGTGACGGGCGGACTCGGCGGTCAGCTCTCGTCGCCACGCCCAATCGGCCTCCGGCCCCTCGAAGATACCTCGCAGCAGGGCCTTCAAGTACAAGGGGGTTCCACCCACGAACAGCGGCTCTCGGCCCCGCTCGCGAAGCTGGCGAACCTTTTCCTCCGCGGCTGCCACATACTGAGCGACGCTGAAATCCTCCGCTGGGTCCAGAATATCGATCAGATGGTGCTCCACACCGCCGCGTTCCTCCGGCCCCGGCTTGGCCGTGCCCACGTCCATCCCGCGGTACACGGCCATCGAGTCGAGCGAAATGATCTCTCCGCCGACGAGTTTGGCCAGTTCGACGCCCACGGTCGACTTCCCACTAGCCGTAGGGCCCGTGATGTAGATGCAGTCGGCAGTGGGCGGAAAACCGGTCATGGAATGAAGATAGAGTGAAAGTTGAACGAGAGTGGACCGTCGCAGTGCTCAAACGGCTCGCGCCGCGTCTGGAGCGATCGATTGCGGCCGACTACAATCCAGGATTCGGCACTTCGCGTGGAAGTTCGCCCCTGGTGGCGCCGAATTCGATTCTGTCTTGTCCGGGCCGCTGGCGAAAGGCGCAGCCGTGAGCGAACCATCCACCGTGTTGGCCAATCTGATGCAAGTGATCGCCCAGCGGAAGGACAACCCTTCCGAGAAGTCGTACACGTCGCGATTGATGGCCGGGGGCGTGGAGAAGATCGGACGGAAGATCACCGAAGAAGCCGCCGAGGTGGTCGAAGCCGCCAGCGAGCCGGGGCCCGAGGGGCACGCTCACCTGGTGTACGAAGCGGCCGACTTGATCTATCACCTCCTGGTCATGCTGGGGCACCGCGACGCGACCCTGGCTGAGGTCGAAGCAGAATTGGCCAGGCGTTTTGGAGTTTCTGGACTCGAAGAAAAGGCGGCTCGCAATCGGGCCGACACAGGGCCAAGTGCCTCATGAACCACTTGCGTATCGGTATTCCCAGCAAGGGGCGACTCTCTGAAGCCGCCATCGGCCTGCTGAAATCCTCGGGCCTGAACTTCAGCACCTACAACCGCAGCCTGTTCGCTCGGGTGCGCGAGATGCCGCTGGACGTCACCTTCCTGCGGGCTGATGACATTCCCGTGCTATGCGCCGAGGGTGCCATCGACATGGGCATCACCGGGAGCGACCTCATCGTCGAAAGCGGAACCGACGTCGAGGCGAGACTCAACCGCCGCTTGGATCTGGGCTTCGGCCGTTGCCGGTTGGCCGTGTGTGTGCCGGAGTCGAGCTCGATCAAAGACGTCAAAGAACTCAACAACCTAAGGATTGCGACCAGCTTCCCCACTGTCACGAAGAACTACCTCGCCGAGCACGGTTCGAAGGTCCATGTGGTTTCGCTCTCCGGCTCGGTTGAAGTGATGATCTCCCTGGGCATCGCCGACGCAATCGTCGATCTCGTGGAAACCGGAAGCACGCTGGCCGCCAACGGGTTGAGAATCCTCTCTGAAATCGGCAAGTACGAATGCGTGCTGATTCAAAACAAAGAAGCCCGCGAAACCGAAGTGGCCGACCGGGTGATCCGCCGCATCGAAGGGGTGGTCATCGCCCAAAGCTACACGCTGCTGGAGTACAACGTCGCCCGCGAACGACTGGCCGAAGCCGAAAAAATAACGCCCGGCTACAATTCCCCCACGGTCAACAAATTGGAAGACGACGCCTGGTGCTCGGTGCGGGCCATGGTGCTTCGCAAGAACGTCATCCAGATCATGGAGCAACTCGAAGCGATCGGCGCCCACGCCATCATGCAAACCGAAATCGCCAACTGCCGGCTGTAGATCACGCGGTCCACGAGAAACCGACAACCACGGGTGCGAACCTTCAGCAAGGCAATCCTTCTCAAGGGTACCACCGGATCTCGATCCGGTGCGGCGCAGCCGCCGGAGGTCCCAAGCATGGCTTTCTCCCGCCAGCAGCCTCCCACCTTCTAGTCAACTTCGGCCCACACAAGCAGTCGATCACTCAATCACTTCTGCGAAATCGTCAGAGCAATAAACAAGCTCCCCACCGATCATCGTCCCCACCGCAAACGCTTCCGAATCAAAAACCAGTTCATGCGGGTCATCACAACGCCGTGACCCCACCGGGACGATCACCAAATCGGCCTGCTTGCCAACTTCCAAGCTGCCACATCGATCATCACATCCCAACGCCCGGGCACCATTGATAGTCCCCAGGCGAAGCACCTCTGCAGGCGAGATCGACGGGAACCGATTGGCCACCGTCCGCATTTCTTCCAACAGACTCAAGTCGGGGTTCGACGAACGTCCGTCGGTCCCTAACGCCACCGTTGCCCCGCACTCAAGCAATTGCACCAGAGGATGCGTCGGGTGTTTAAAATATGCATGGGTCCGAGGGCAATAGACCACCGCCATCCGCTCGGCATGTTGGCCGACAAACGCAATCTCTTCCGCGTCGAGATAGTTCCCGTGAATCACCAACGACCGTGGGGCCTCTGAAAGGCGACGCAGATAGTCAAGCGGTCGCGTCCCACGCGGAATTGTCTCCGGGTTCCAGTTCCCCCGTGCTGCCAGCAACTCGGCGAACAGCCCGGTACCGTCGGCCAGTAACTCTAACTCTTCAGGCGATTCGGCCAGGTGCATCGCCAGCGGGGCACCTACGTCGCACGCAAGTTGAGTCAACCGCGAAAAAAGCTCCGGGTGAACCGTAAAGGGCGCATGAGGGCTGATGCCAGCCCGCCAAATATTGTTCCCATCTCCCGACTTGCCGCCGCCCCCCTCGACAAGAGTTTTCAGCCGGGCATCGCGAGCCAAGTGCTGCCGTGCGGCTTCGCACCGCTCTTCGATCTGCTCTGGGGCCAGCGCGATCAGTTCGTAAAAGACCGTGCAATCGATCGGCGACGTCTCGACAGGTCCCGAGTTCCATTGTCCGGTGGCGATTTCTCCCAGCGTGGTTGTGCCATGCCGCAGCGATTCTGCCAGCCCGGCGGTGGCAGCCGCAACCGGATCTACCTGCACGGCCATGCGATGTTCGATTACACAGCGGATCCATTCCGGAAACCGCATCCCCGGCCGGCCCATCGGAGCCGCCAGATCGCTGAACTCCAAATGCACATGCGAGTTCACCAACCCCGGCAAGATTGCAACTTCACCCAGGTCCACCGGTGCCGATCCATCGCTCTCCCGACCGACCCCCACAACCCGATCACCCGCCACCGAAACCACCCCACCCTCAATCGGCGGCCCACAGCCAGGAAAAACATAGCGAGCCCGAAATGCCCGAGACGAGATAGACATCGTGATTGATCGTTGCGACGAGTAGCGATGCAGGAACTTAAAAGGCCCAGTCTACCACGCCAGCCAAACTTCACGACCTATCGAAGAGCCCTAACCGTGCCTCCGCCTTCGAATCCCGGCCGCAACCACGAACGCCAACCCCACCCCCGCCAACACAAACGAAGACGGCTCCGGCACGACGGCAACCCAGCCTTGAATCCCTCCACCGGGACTAAGCCCGTAGCCGACAATTGTTCGGCCATCATCAGAAATGTCGATTGCGGATGATAACTCCCAGCCAAGGAGGTCCAAGCCATAATCGCTCATTAAGACATCCTTCAGGCCTCGCATGCCGTGCGTTTCGTCCCAGAGAAATGCTTGGGCACCTTGGTCGTCGACAAACCACGACCCAACGATGGTAGATCCATCACCTGAAACCGCGTAAGAACCAATGTACGCTTCAAACATGGTTCCTGAATCTGAAATTGTTCCCAGCCCCACCATTCCGCTCTCTTCGGTCCATCGAAACGGTTGGTAGCCACCTCCTGAAGACGACACACCTACGATGACCTTGCCGTCGGCAGAGATGTTATGGGCTTGGCTGTAATGGTTTATCCCGTCGAGAACACCTAATCCGACCATTCCGGTGGCCTCAGTCCAGCGAAATGCCTCGGGTCCCGATGCCGACTCTCCATTTCCGGCTATTGTCGAACCATTTGCAGAGACCGCCGTAGCCACACTGTTAGTAGAACCGCCGGACAAATCGCCGAGGGGTACCAGTCCCTCGCTCTCAGTCCACCGAAAAGCTTGGGCTCCTAGGTTTGATTCTGCATAACCTACTATTACCGCACCATCCGCCGACACATCCCTTGCGCGGCTTTGAAAGTGGAGGGCAGGGGGATCGTTTAGAACAACCACCCCGCCACTCTCAGTCCACAGTGAGGCTTCGACTTCAAAATCTAGAATTCGAGATCCAACAACTGTGAAACCGTCCTGAGACACCCGAGGGCTGAAGCCCTCAAAAACCATCTGGAGAAGATCCTGTCCTGATCCCATATCCAGATCGATCAGCCCAGTATTTGCCGACCACCGGAATGCTGCAGTTTTTCCTTTAGGACCGACGATCACGGAACCGTCTCCAGATACGCCGGTGGGGATTCCAGATATTTCTTCACCAATCAATTCCCCAAGTCCGGTGAAGCTAGGCGGGTCGGCTTTTGTTTCGGGAGTGTGATGGAAAAGGGCCGCGGCTATCAGGAAAGACAGTACGATTGATCTCATGAATGAACCCATCAAAATAATGAACCCATCAAAATTCCAATCCAAAAACATCGCGAGAGGTATCAGCAGAACTGACGGCTAACTGATCCTCCTCCTCTGCCACGAAATGAGACCGAAGCCTGCAACTGCGAGCCCCGCCAACACAAACGAAGAAGGCTCCGGCACCACGGCAATCCAGGCCTCTCGATTCCCATCAGGATTGACGCCATAACCGACGATGGTTCGTCCGTCGGCCGAGACACCGGTGGCCCGTTGCAGCGTCCAGCCGGTTAGATCGAAACCGTATTCGGTGGTCAGCACATCTTGCAGGTTGCGGGTGCCGTGGGTCGCATCCCAAATCGATGCTTCAGGAGCGAAGAATGACCTACTACTGTCCCCTACGATGATCGAACCATCGGCCGAAACGTCGAGTGCCCGACTCATTGCGGAACCAACCGTGCCGCCAAAAGCATCGCCCAGCGCGACGAGTCCTTCACCTTCGCTCCAACGAAATCCTTCCAGAATGCCTCCGGAGGTGTCCCTGGAGGCTCCCACAATCAACGCTCCATCGGGCGTGGCGGCATAGCCGGCATTGTCGGGCTCAGGCATGGTGGGAGGTGTTCCCAAAGCCTGCATACCACCGGCCTCGGTCCAACGAAATGCATCGGAGCCCGCAGCAGTTTGGCCCATACCCACGATCACGAGTCCGTCGTCGGAGATTCCGTAGGCCTCGCTTTCGAAATCGCCACCGTTGAGGTCGCCCAACCCCACCATGCCATCGAGGGCCGTCCAACGAAAAGCCTCGGGCCCGGTGGCGGTATGACCGATTCCGACGATCACCGAACCGTCGCCAGACACCCCACGGGCTTCACTAAATAGCAGCCCTCCCGGGAGGTCGCCGAGGCCGATCATCCCCTCGGCTTCCGTCCAGCGAAACGCTTCATGGTCGAAGCCTCCGAAGTTATTGATCCCGACAATCACCGAACCATCGGCAGAAATGTTGTACGCCGTCGTAGAACCTCCCGCGGAAAGCGTGCCTAGTCCAACCATTCCAGTTTCCGCAGTCCAGCGAAACGCTTCGTATCCGCTTGTAGAGACCCGACCCACGACCGTGGAACCGTCGGCCGAAACCGCATGAGCTTCACTCAAGAACCCGCCCAACCCAATAAAACCCGGCTGAGCCGCCGCTGCTGCCGCACAGCTAAAAAGCGAAGGAAGAAGCGAGATCAAAATGAGAGGTCGCATGCGTGTACTCGATTGAATTTGGACTTCAGAGACTGATGCCGTTGTTCGCTACATCCTTGCCTAGCGAGAATTCCTTTTTCGCCGCGCGATCAGGCCGAAACCAACAACAGCAAACCCCGCCAACAAAAACGAAGAAGGCTCGGGCACAACGACTATCCAGCCTGAATCGACACCCTGGGGATTTTCTCCCAAACCCACGATCGTGCGGCCATCTGCCGAAATGTCATTTACTTGGTTGAGGGTCCAGCCGCCGAGATCTAGCCCGAACTCGTTCACCAAGACGTCGTTCAGATCTCTTGGTCCGTTCGCTTCGTCCCAGATAAAAGCTCTCAGTCCTAAACCGACTCCGATGGTGGTAGGGACGCCAGTTCCGACAATGACCGAACCATCAGCAGAGACACCAGTCGCGACGAGACTGGCAACGTCATCACCTGCTCCCAGGCCGATGAATCCTTCATCGGCAGTCCAGCGGAACGCCTCGGCCAGTGCCATGCCGACGGGTTCATTAAATTTTCCTCCGACGATAATCGTTCCGTCTGCGGAGACGCTATCAGCGTAATTCAAGAAGGACGGACCTGTCCCAGGAGGAGCCCCCAGCCCGACTAGACCTTCTTCAGCAGTCCAGCGAACGGCATCTCGAGTCAATTCGTTGGTACCACTTCCTACGACCACCGAGCCATCAGCAGAGACGGCATATGCACTGCTCAAGAATTCGCCACCCGGGAGGTCACCGAGTCCGACGATGCCCTCAGCCTGAGTCCATCGAAATGCCTCGGTCCCGGAGGCAGACGCTCCGCTTCCTACAACCACATTTCCGTCGTGCGAAACACCATATGCGGTACTCTCAAATTCACCATCAAATAGATCTCCCAATCCCACCATGCCGTCGACCGCAGTCCATCGGAAAGCTTCTGTTCCGGATGCAGAACTACCTCTTCCGACAACCACAGATCCATCGGCCGACACGTCAAGTGCAAAACTGGAACTCGCACCTCCGGCGAGGTCGCCTAAATTGACCAAGCCATTTTCCATGGTCCAGCGAAATGCCTGATCGGCGAATTCACCCACCACCACCGATCCGTCGGCCGAGACGGCGAAGGCTATGCTCCCTCCGTCTAGCCCTATGAATGCCGGTTCTGCCATTACGAAGTGATTTGACGTTAGCAGAATAAGGATTACAAGTTGCGACCTTTTCAGCATTGTGTCCCTCAACATTGGTCTTCAGTTATTGATGACGCAAGAATAGATGCCTTGATGAACCAAAAGAAGCTGGGGCAGTGATCGCAACAAATTGTGTTTGACAGTTGCGAATCAGAGCAGTGCCAGGAAACTAAGCTCCCAGCGGGCGATCACTCTCCTACGGCGAAGCCAAGCCTGGCGCGAGGTGCTACGGCTTGAGTTGGCAATCGGCTTGCAGGAGCGGCCCCTTTTTGTGCGGTCAGAAGACCGGTGAGAGAGCGACACAGCACTGTCGAATGAATTCAGGCCCTAGTTTCCCCAGCTACACCCACTGGTGTCAAGCATTTCGCCAAGAAAGGGGGGCGGAATCCCCTTCAGCCCACGCTCGGCTGGGGTGAGGAGTGGTCGATCGCGTCTTGCAGCGTTTCCTCGCTGCTCATCGGGTGGGGCTTGCTCGACATCCAGGCCAGGATAGCTGCCGAAGCGACGGCCCCCAGCGTGACCACGCTCCAGTGATAAGTCAGCCCGCCATCCTCGGTCTGCGAGACCAGGAACCGCCACGCAGGGTCGCTGGCCGTTTCGGCCAAAGCCTGCGAACTCAGCAGGGCCAGCGAGTTATGCAGTCCGTGATACAGCACGCAGGGAATCAAACTGCCGGTTTGTACGGCGATGAAGCCCAATAGAACGCCCAGGAAGCAGGCCACGATCGACTGTTGAAAGATGGCATGGGTCACACCGAAGAAGAACGCGCTGACCACAATGGCTTGCCACTTGTGGCCCATGTGCCGCAGCCCGGAAAGGACGAACCCGCGGAAGGCCAACTCTTCGCAAATGGCTGGCACAATGGCCATCACCAACAGCAACAGCATCAACCGCTGGGCCGTCATCGGGCCGCCCATCATCCCGCCAAGGTCGTTCAGTTGCGCGGCCACCTCTTCACTCAAGGGGTAGAGGTACATCACCAGGTTGCGCAGAGCAGTCACCACGGGATGAATCGCCACGGCCAGCACCACCACAGCCACAAAACTCCACACCGGCGGGCGACGATCCAGCAGCAACGTCCGTAGCGGCTTTCGCGTAAGCATCGTCGTCATCAATAACACAGGCGTAGCAATCACGACCAACTGCGTCACCGCCGCCAACACGATAAACCCTCGGAAGTCGTGCGGTTGGGCCAGGGCCAGGCCCATGAACACGCGAATCATCAGGATCAGAATGCAGCAGAACAGCGCCTCGGCCACGCTCGGCGTATCACCCCGATCGCGCACCAGATGCTTGAGCCACAACCCGAGATCGAGCCGCTCGCTTTCGCGGAACAGCACGTTTTCAGAATTGAATTGATCGACGGCCCAGCGAATGGCCAACAGGCAACACCCGATGGTCACCAGCACCACCGGCGCCACGTAGGGCAGGGCCACCACATAGTTGCCTTCAAGCAGCGCCCGTAGGAGCAACATCACGCCAGTAATCGGGATCAGGCTGTTACCCAACGACAGTTCCACGCCGGGGGCCATCGGCAGAATCACCAGCGGCATGGTGACCATCATCAGCGGCATCAAGTAATACTGACCTTCTTTCGTACTACGGGCCATTGCCGCCAAAGCCAGGCACAGCGCACTGAATAGGGCCGAAACCGGAATCAACACCAGCAGCAACCACAACGGCGTTAGCGCCGGTGGCATGGCGAAGGTGTTCAACTGCCGCAGCAGGAACAACCCGGTGAGGGCCACACTAATTAGGTTCAACACCGCCGTGGCCATGCTGAACAGCGTGATCGTCAGCAGCTTGCCCCAGACAATTTCTACCCGACTGGCAGGGCTGCTGAGCAACGTTTCCAGCGTGCCACGTTCTTTCTCACCCGCACACAGGTCGACCGCCGGGTAGAACGCCCCGGTCATCGCCCACAGCAGCACCATGAACGGAAAGATCTTCGACCAGATGGCCGCATCTTTGTGATCACTGTCGGCCACATCCACGTTGGCCACATCCACCGGGTCGGCGGCCGTCTCGGGCACCCCGCTGAATTGCAGGTTGCTCTGTCCGATCATCTCCGTCCATCGCTGCAACACCTGCGAAATCCGCAGGTAAGCAATCTGCGAAGTCTCGTTGGCCGAGTTGTGATAGATGCTCGGCCCCGGCACCCGCACCATCAGGTCAGCCGCACCCTCGTCTTGCTCACCACCTTCGCGCAGTTCGCGAAGCTGCTGACGATACTCTTCAAGCTGGTTGGCGAAGTCAGGCGGAAAGATCACCACCACTTCAAACACACCCTGCCTCACCCATTCAATCGCCTGCACTTCGGTAATCTCTCCCCCGGGAAGCAGATCGACTTCAGTGTCTTCCGGTGGGTTGAATTCCAGTTCGAGCAAGCGCGTGCGGGTGGGGTCGCCGTCGAACAGGTATTCGGCGAACCGGCCGTTGGTGATCAGCGGCGGAAGCTCTTCGTCGCCGGTCACCTCCCGGGCGCCGGCGATGAACACCCGTGTGGGCTGCTCGCGAACGAACTGCGAGACCTGAAAAAAGCTCAGCCCCATCAACGGGTACAGCAGAATCGGGAGTACCGCAATCATGAACAGCGTACGGCGGTCCCGCAATTGATCGCGGACTTCGCGAAGAAAGATCAATCGTACGCTGGACCAGTTCATTGCCGTTGCCTCAATCGTTGTCCGTGGTGGCGGCCAACGAGGCCTGCGGCTGTTGATCGTGTTCAGAGATCAAGCGGAAGAACAACTCTTCCAGATCCTGCTCGTTGTGTTCCTGCTTCAGGTCAGCCAGCGAGCCCCGCGCGAGCACCCGCCCCCGATGCACAATCGCAATCGAGTCGCACAGTTTCTCGGCTTCGCTCATGATGTGCGTGGAATAGATGATGCACTTGCCGTGGTCGCGAAGTTCGGCCACCGTGCGAATGAGCGAGCGGGCCACCAGCACATCGAGCCCCACGGTGGCTTCGTCGAAGATCAGCACCGGCGGGTCGTGCACCAACGCCCGGGCGATCGATACCTTTTGTTTCATACCGGTCGACATCTTCGCACCCAACAGGTCGCGAATGTCGTTCATCTTCAGCATCTCGAAGACGAGTTCCATCCGCTCGTCGAGTTGCTCGCCCTCGAGGCCATAGAGCCGGCCGAAGTAGCTCACCATCTCATAGGCCGACATCCGGTCGTACACACCGGTGTTGGCCGAAATGAACCCGATTTGCCGCCGCACCTGGGCCGCCTGCGTGACCACGTCGTACCCGTTGATTCGGGCCACGCCACCAGTCGGGCGAAGCACGGTGCTCAGAATCCGCAGCGTGGTGGTTTTGCCTGCGCCATTGGGGCCTAGCAGCCCAAAGATCTCTCCGGCATGGGCTTCGAAGCTCACGTCGTCGACTGCCACGAATTGTCCGCGCCGCAGGTCGGCGTAAGTCTTGGACAGTTCGTGAACGTAGATCATAGGACGCATCCGCACCGCGATGACCGCCTGATTAAAGGCAGCGGTGTTTGTTGCAGACCTTGCCGTGGCCAACGGGGCACGGGGCCCTCGCTACGCCGAAATGGGCAACGGACTTCGGTCGCGAAGATAAGATTGCTTATACCACAGCGTAGCTCATCGGGTCGATTCGCCGAAGAGTCCCGCACCTCGCAGGAAGGGGGTTTGCGCCGGGAACTCGGGCGAATGCTTCGGCCAGAACGATTATACGGCCATTGACGGCGATGCCGACGGGGCTTCGTCGATCAGCTCGTAGAACACATTCCGCTGTCGGGGAACGTAGCCCAACTCGCTGATCGCGTCGCGAATCTCCTGCAGCGTGAGGTAGTGCACTGTGCCAGCCGAAGCGACGACGTTCTCTTCGATCATCAAGCTGCCCATATCGTTGGCCCCATACAGCAGAGCCATCTGCCCGACTTTGAGTCCCTGAGTGACCCAGCTCGACTGGATATTCGGAATGTTATCCAGATACAGCCGCGACACGGCCTGCGTCTTCAAGTACTCAAACGCCCCTGCCGGTGGGATGTGATCCAGCTCGGTGTTGCCCGGCTGGAAAGTCCAGCAGATGTAGGCCGTGAACCCGCCGGTTTCATCTTGCACCTCGCGGAGGCGTTCCAAGTGCTCGATGCGCTCGGCCAACGTTTCGACATGGCCGAACATCATGGTGGCCGAACTCCGCCCGCCAAGTTTGTGCCACTCGCGGTGCACATTCAGCCAGTCGTCGGTCATCACCTTACCCCTAGTGATTTCCTTGCGCACCCGATCTACCAGGATCTCAGCCCCACCCCCGGGCAAACTACCCAACCCGGCGGCTTTCAGACGCTCGAGCACCTCGGGCAACGGTCGCTTCGAGACTTTGGTGAAGTGATAGATCTCAGGAGGGCTGAACCCGTGCACATTCACCTGCGGGAAGTGTTGCTTGATGTCTTGCAGCAACTCTTCGTACCACTCGAGCGTGAGCGTGGGATGCAACCCGCCTTGCATCAAAATCTGATCGCCGCCCAACTCCACCGTCTCTTCTATCTTCTTCAGCAAGTCTGCGCGATCGAGCACGTAGCCTTCTTCGTGCTTGGGGCTGCGGTAGAAAGCGCAGAAGTCGCAGACCGCCGTGCAGACGTTGGTGTAGTTGATGTTGCGATCGATGTTGTACGTGCGATACGGCTCGGGATGCATCCGCCGCGAAACGGCATCGGCCGCTTGACCAATGGCGGTCAGGTCGTGCGATTCAAGCAACTGCAGGCCTTCTTCCGGCGAGATGCGCTCGCCGGCGACCGCTTTATCCAGAATGTTCGCAATCGGAGAAACCAAGATCGACTCCTCGTGGGGCCAGCCCCAACTCAGACGCGAGTTGATGGTAAAGCTGCAGGCCCTGTCGTTCACGGGTACCAAAGTGAAAGTAAAGGTTATCGCGGAGGTAAGCAACACACTCCGGTTCGGTCAGCCCCAGCGGCGCGGCCTCGACGGCGGCGATCTCGCGCAGATGACTCAGCCCAGCGTCACGGGCCTCCGACAAGGCGGTTTCCAGCCCATTCAAATCAACACCAACTCGGGCCGTCCACAGGGCAAACACAAACGGCAACTCCGACCACCGGCACCATTCGTCTCCCAAGTCCCACACGGCCTCGAACCGACCCACCGGTGAATGAATCGCCCGATCGCCGATCAGCAGCACCGCGTCGGCGTCGGTATCTTGCAGCGAAGCCCCAATCGGCAGTGGCTGCAACTCAGGTTCAATCCCATATCGCTGCTTCAACAGGATGCGAGCCAGTCCCACGCTTGTTCGCGAGCCTTCGTCGAGCGCCAGCGTACGAACCTTCTCCGGCTTCACGCGAAAGAACAGTTTGACGCTAAGCACCGGCCCTCGGCAGGCGATGCAAGCATCGGAGATGATCGTGTACGTCGGGTCCTGGAAGCATTCGATCGAAGGGATCAGCGCCACATCGAGTTGCCCGCCGGCCAGGTTGTCGGCCAGGCGGCTGGGCAGGTCGAGCACCAGTTCCGACTGCGGGGCCAAGTCTTCCAGCCCGTAGATCAGCGGCTTGGTGTTCAGGTAGTTTACGGCCCCCACGCGGACCTTGGTTTGACGTTCCATGACAACTGCCGCTCCTGAGAGCTATGGCGAACACCTGCGTGCTTCGCCCCGCTCTTTGCAACCCATGTCGATGACACGCTTCGACTTACGAGCCAAAGCGTTGATTGTAGCGCGGCACCCGGGGGCCGAAAAGGTTGCCTCAGGGGTGCGGCCTTTAATCTAAGTGAATAACCGCAGCCGCCGGGCGCGGAACAACACACCAGCCAAAGAGTTCTGTTGGGGCGAGAAGGGCTCTGCCGTCAAAATTCCAACTTGCGGAACGCCTGAAATCCCAACCACATCGGTACCGTCGTAGCGGCCAGCCCCAGCAGCACGGCAGCGGCGGTGCCTTGGTACACCAGCATCGGGTTCCCCACGCCCTTGGCCACGATATAGAAGTGACACGCAACCGCTGGCAGCATGGTGGCCACGAGAATGTACAGCGTGCTGAGCACCTGGTTCAGCGTTCCGCCAAAGCCTGAAGTGATCTTCGATGGCGACTCTTCCCGCAAATTCGGCAGCTTGGCCCCCAGCCCCACAGCAATGCCCGAGAGCCCCGTGGCCAGAAACACGCAGGTGATCAGGTGGCTCACCACAATCAGCCGTTGCACTTGCAACATGTAGTCGCTGATCAGAACGAGCGTGAGCGCGGGGAGTAGCGACCCGGCGGTCGAGAACCAGAACTTGCTCCACAACACCGTCTCGCGACGAATCGGCAGCAGCCCCAGAATCCAAAACCGTTTCCCCTCCAGGCTGATCATCGGGAACACGAAACGGCTGGTGAAAATAGAAAGGATCAACCCCACCACCCCCAGGTTCAGAAAACTCACCACGTTCACCCAAGCCAAATACGTCACGTCGTAGCTGAAGCGGCGCATGTTCAGAAAGTACATGGCCAGCAGCCCGAAGAAGATGACGTACTGCGACCACTGCACCGGATCGCGACGAAACAACCGCAGGTCTTTGATCACCAGCAACCGCATCTGCGGCGGAAGCACGAATAGCAACCGCTCGAGCACCCGGTCAATCGGTTGATCGGTCACGCGGCGTCGAGACGCCTTGCGTCCTCGCAGACCTGTGTAGCCTGAGCGATAGATCGCCGCCGCGGACCATACTGCCACCAGTTGGGCGAACAGGGCGTTGGAGATCATCAGCACCAGGAACAACACACTTTCCGACCAGCTACCTCGTGCCGATTCCAACAGACCATGACTCAACCACCAACTGGGCAACAGGCGATTCTTGCTGAAACTAAGTCGGGCGAGCATGTCTTGAAACCAACTGGGTGTGAGCAAATCGCCCTCGGGCCCACCCAGCAGCACCGACGCCAGATAGACCGCCACGCCGAGCACGCACCCGCCGGCGATGATCAACGCCTGCATCCGCGCTCGCGGCAACCATCGCACAATCGCCATGCAGGCAATCGCCCCGATGGCGGCTGGGATATGCACGAACGCCACAATGAACGGCAACAGCAGCACAAAGAAATACCAAGGGGCCAGCGTTACCATGCCGTAAGCCACCAGCATGGGCGTGCCCAACAGGATGAAGCCCCAACTACTGAAGAGCACCGCTTCCTGAAACTTGTGCAGAAAGATCCGCTCGTTCCGCACCGGAATGGTCAGCAGAAACTCGGCCTCCCGCGAGCGGTAGAGACTGCTATAGAGAATGATGCCGGCCGAAAAGACCAGCATCACCATCAGCGACACAAAAAAGATGTCGAAGATCACTTCGTACGTCTGATCGCGGATCGAAGAATCTTCCAGCAGCGAATCGATAAGCCGAAACCCGCCAGAGAAGAGCACGAACAGCCCGACCCAGAACAGGAAGCTCAGCGTGAATACCACGGTCACCCGTAGCCGGGCTTCGTCCAACCCTTGCCGCACGATGTTGCGAATCATCTGCATTCGCACGCGCGAGAACACCCGAGCTTCTTCCTCGGGGCTCAGCAATCGTGATACGGGAGTTTGATTCAAAGCAACCGCTCCTTCACGAGGCCATACCGCCGTCGGGCACGGTTTCTTCAACCGCCGGGGCACCGTTGTCGGCCGCGGCCGTCACTTCCAGGAACAGCCGTTCCAGGCTTGAATCGTGAAGCTGCTGCGTGTGCTGTAGTTCCGACATTGTGCCCACGCACAACAGCCGACCGTGATCGACGATGCCAATCCGATCGGCGATCTCCTCGGCGACCGCCAGCGTGTGAGTCGACATGAAGATCGTCATTCCACCTTCGGCTCGGGCTTTCAGCAGATCTTTAGTCAGCCGCGCACTGCGAGGGTCGAGCCCGACCATCGGTTCGTCGATCACCAACACCTCGGGGTCGTGCAACATGGCCGAAGCAAACACCAGCCGCTGCTTCATCCCGTGCGAATAGGTTTCGGCCAGATCATCCACGAAGCGATCCAGCTCGAAGTTCTCGATCTCGCGATCGATCCGCCGCCGGCCTTCGGCGGGGTCGATGCCGTACATGTCGACGATGAACTGCAGAAACTCGCGGCCCGAGAGCTTCTCGTAGAGATAGGGTTCATCCGGCACGTATCCCAAGTGCCGCACGGCCTCGCGGGGTTCGCTTACCACGTCAACGTCGCAGATGTGGATACTGCCCGTGGTGGGCCGCAGCAGCGTGGTCAGCATTTTGATGGTGGTGGTCTTGCCCGCACCGTTGGGGCCCAGCATGGCGAATAGTTCGCCTCGCGGGATCACCAGGTCGAGCCCCGCGACCGCCGTCTTGGGACCGTACTTCTTGCTGACTTGCTTAAATTCAATCATTGCCACTCATCTTCAAGTTCCACGCATCAGCCGGGCACCAGCTCTGCGTTCTTGGGTTCATCCTCGGCCGATGGGTTCATACGACTTGTGCTCACGCGCTCAAACACCATCCGCGAATTCAGTACCGACATTTCCTGCCGCAACACGGTTCCATCGCGGCGAACCCACATTCTCCCTCGATCGCTCGACGATGTGCTGAGCTTACCGCCAGGGTCGTCGCGATACACCACCAGCAAACAGTTCACCGCCTGATCGTGCCAGGAAATCCACTCTTCCCGCTCAACCGTCACATGCAGCACTTCCATCGGGCTCGTGCGAGGGCGGAACGGACTGTAAACCGGCTTCGTCCAACTTTGCCCCACGCGAAGCTCTGTGAGCTGCGGCTCTGGCGAAAGCATATCTGACACCAATCCCGTAGGCGGTAGCGCAGTTTCGTTCGAATAACTGAACTGGCCGACGCTGATTTGAATACGCAGCATCCCATCGTCGACCACGCCGTTCATGCGGATCGGTTCGGTCATGGGATCCATGTCGAGGGTGGATTCAATGCCGACGAGTTGCCCCAACGGGTCGACATCCACGCGGCTGCGTGCTCTCAGGTTGAGGTAACCTTCCAACGCGTCGCTGCCACCCACCAGAGGAGCCAACCACACGGGCGTAAGCTTCGCCAGCGGGATGCGATCGAGCTTCACATCGCTGTGCATCTGCACCATGTCACCGGTGCTACGATCGGTCCAACTCGTGGCCATACCCACGGGGGCGTCATCCCAGCGAATCGACCAGATGACTTTTTCGTCGGGCTTGGAAAGAATCTGCTGATAGGTCGGGGGCTCACCCACCAGCAACGGTGGTAGTACCTTCGCGATCACCAGCCAGCTCATCGACGCCACCCACAGCAATACAGTGGCCACATTGAACCAGCGGCTGGCCATCGAAGACCTCCCGACGCAGCGAGGCCGACGAGCATCAACGGGCAGGGCGCAACGACGCACCCAGATCTGTCCCGAATCTATGGCCTCCGCCCGCCATTGTATCACGCACCGCAATTCGTGCCATTTCCTGGCATATTCACCCGTTGAGAATGGTTTGTTCCCTACAGATTTCGTTCGACGTGGGCGTATTCGATCCTTACAACACCGCCACTATTCCGCACTTCGAGTCTCATACAGATCGTATAGCTCGAACAGCGCCTCTCGCAGATTCCCCCGATGCTTCGACAATGCGGCGGTCACATCTGCTTCGCTAATCGTCGTATCGCCCGGCGGCAGCATTGATTGAACAAGCCGCCCTGCTAGCTGCTCGTCGACACCAGTGCGATACAGCGTGGGAAGATCGATGTCTTCATGGGTAGTGATCAGCAGCCCCCAGCTCTGCTGCCGACATTGTCGTCGCAGCCGAGTGCGGTTCCACCATGAGAGCTGCTCGTAACCATCGACTGCAATTACGGCGTTTAGCATTCCATGCGGCAATGCTGGCGAAGAGGGAAGCCGTCGCTGCCCGTCATGGAGTTCGTAGCGAATCACCCGCCGGCCGGTCGCTTCGATCGCAGGAATCAAGGTGGCGAGCAGCGTCGACTTGCCCGTGCCGTGTGGTCCAACGATCGCGCCACTCCAGCCGCTCGCGGCCAATAGTTCCACAAGCGACTTGGCGTCATGTCCGTCTGGAAAAACGTACGCAATCGCCCCGGGGCGCACATTGCGAGTCGAGAATGGATTTTGGCGGAAGGGCTTCGTCATGAATCCGTTCGTGGCAGCACCGCGCGTGCGGCCGGAATCTGCCCCACGCGAAAGAACGCCTCGTCGACCACATCCTTACCCTGCGGGAGGAACAATCTCACGCGGGCGCACCAGCGGATCTTCACGATCACCCCTTCGTAGCTCAAAGGGCTGTTGGGCAAGCGGGTGCTGAACCGTCCCGGGCGGAACGGATTGATGTAGTCGCCATCGTCGGCCGAAAGGCGATAAAAGTAATGCACCTGCAGGTCTTCGTCGCCTTTGCCCTCGGTGTACCACAGCACCGAGACCTCCATGGCCCGAATGTCCCAGCGATTCACCACATCGATGCGGTACTCGCCGGTAAGCGTATCGCCCGGCTCGTATTCGCGACGGGTGTTATCCAAGTGCACAACCACGCGCGGTTGGATCATAACACGGACCTTTCGCGTGGGGTGGGATAGATGTGAATCGGGAACTGTCGCTTGAAGGCCGGCATCCCTTTCGGCTTACCGTGTACAACCAGTTGCCAGTGAACTTCGTTGTGCATCGTCTTGAACGAGTGCATCGCTTCAGCTGGGATTCCAAGCTTGAGTTCCGCTTCCAACGGAACGTTCTGACGCACCTGCACGTCTTCTTGCCGCAGTAGTTGCTCCCAATACACGCGCTTTCGGGTTGTCCGCGTATTCGTGCCCTGCTTGAAAGTGGCGATTTCCTCGCAGCACAGCGACATTTCCACCCACCGCAATCGCAGGCGGCCCGTCTGCGACATGAATAGGTCGTACTCTCCGCCCGGGTACAGGGGATGGTCTTCGATCTCGACGATCGTCATCCCCGCCCGAGTGTTGGCCACCACCTGGCGCAAGAAGTAGACCAGCGTGGCCGCACTCACGATGAGCCACGAGCCGGCGAACACCGTCAGCAGCCAGTCGGGGTCGTTGGCCACGTGCGTCTGCACGGCCATGTTCACAAACAGCACAGTGATGGTCATCACCACCAGGAAGACCACCCCCGCGATGATCATCCGCCACATCGGCGACCGCTCGATCGGCAGCCGATACTTCAGCCGCACACCGGGGCTATTCGTCAGGTCGGTCGCCTTTGGAACCGCCGGGTATTCGTCATCTTTGTAGTCGTTGCTGGGCTCGAACAGTTCGAGGTGCGATGCCCGTTGGACCAGCACCGCCCGATGTTCGGCCGACTTGCCCCAGGTAATGCCGATATAGCTGGCTCCACTACCGCCAATCACGATAAAGGGTAACGGCAGCAATAACAGCACCCAGGTGTACCAGTGAAACCCGTAGATGAGCACCGCCTGATCGGGATGCAGCGGATCGTACCAGCAAGCATAGTTGCCACCGACGACAAACTCATCGAGCACCTGCTGCTGCGATTCGGTCCCGGAGTCGAACCCTCGCCCGCGATGATACCGGGCGTCGTAGGTCCAAATCTTGTAGGGGTGATCGTCGACCTCATACTCAATCTGAACTGCCGGCCGATGACGGCTCGCGTCGGCCGGATCGGCGTCGAGCCGCTTGTCGACCACCTCGCAGGTTGTGCGTTCGTACTTGCTGATGACCTGCCACTCAGGCAGGAACTGAAAGATGATCACCGCGACGAGGAAGGCGATCCCCACGACGAACAGGGCGCCGAAGAAGACCGATTGACCCAGCGCAGCAAGCTGCGGCGAACCGGTTTGCCGGTTCCGCCGTTTCTTCACCCAAAAGCGAAACGGACGTGCCACAGTTCTCACTCACCAAGGAATTGATTGCACCCAAGTTGCCCCGCCGCATCAGCGAGGACAACGATTATTGTCGTTTTGCCCACTCATCTGGACAAGCGACCGCCCCGCAAGCATCGCAGAAAATGTAATCGAGCAAGCTTCGAACGCCCCTGTGTCGTGGAGCCACCACCTAGTGGGCGATATAATCGCCGCCGTGTGATCCATGTTCCAGCCTCGGCAGACCGCCGCAAACGGCCGAGCCGCTGCCATCGCTATAACCCACCGAAAGCCGCACAACCCATGCGATCCCGTAATTGTAGCTTAGGCTTGGTCACTGTTGGGCACTCATTCATGGCTTGGCCCAATATGCTTATCCTGCTTGCCGTGCTATTTGCCTGCGCGAACGGGTCATCGGTGCGTTTGGTCGCTCAGGCCGAAGAACTGAATTGGCCTGGCTGGCGGGGAGCGAGCGGCGACGGAGTCGTGCACAACGCCAAGTTGCCCGAGCCCTGGCCCAGCGAAGCTCCGCCACCTGTCTGGAAAAGGCCACTAGGCACGGGCTGGTCGTCTCCCGTGGTGGGGCAGGGGGTGGTCGTGGTGACCGACCGCGTGGGCAACACCGAACGCGTGTTGGCTTTCGATGCGAGCACGGGTGCACCACGCTGGCAACAAACCAACCCGGTCGACTTCGATCCTCACCCCGTCGGCCGCCGACACGGCAACGGGCCCAAGTCCACGGCCTACTTCCACGATGGCAAGTTCTACACGCTCGGCATCGCCGGCTGGTTGCAATGTCTCGACGCCCGTGATGGCAGCCGACTGTGGAAAGTCCTTTTCCCGGAACAATTCGCCAGCCACATTAAGCTCGCCAATCAACAGGCCTACGTCGAAGGTACCGATTCTGTCATCGTGCCTATTGGCGGTGGCGAAGGGGCTCCCGTTCCGCTCTTCGGCTACACCGGTTCTCCCGTGCTGGCCGAGGGGAAACTCATCTGCTCGGTCGGTGGCGACGCCGGCGGAACGATCATGGCCTTTGCTGCCGACACGGGCCGTGTCGTTTGGAAAAGCCTGCACGAGAACGTTTCGTATTCTTCCCCCGTGGTGCCCACCATCGCGGGAAGGAAGCAAGTCGTCGCGATGACCGGGCCGCGAATCGTAGGGCTCGATTTGAAAGATGGACAACTTCTGTGGAGCTACCCGTTTCAGATTCAATACGACGAAAGCATCAGCACGCCCGTTGTTGCCGGCGACCTGGTGCTGGTCACGGGAGATGGTCGACCGTTGACGGCGCTTCGCATCAGGAGCAACGGCTCAGAGTTCTCGCAGGAAGTTGCCTGGACGAACAATCTTCTCTCGAGCTATCTCTCGTCGATGATCGTTCACGACGGGCACGTGTTCGGCATGAACGACGGGGGCGAGTTTGCCTGCCTGCGTCTCGCCGATGGTGAAGAGGCCTGGATCGGTGGCGATCACGGCTTTTATTGCACCCCGGTGATCACAGGCAAAAGGCTCCTTGCCCTGAACGAGCAAGGAGCCCTCGCCGTGTTGTCAGCTTCACCCACTGGCTACCAGTTGTTGGGAGAGAATCAATTGACGACCTCCGAAACCTGGACCTCACCCGCGGTGGTCGGGAGCCGAATTTACATCCGGACCGCGGACGACGTGCAGTGCTTCGATTTCGCGCGGTAAAATCGATCGGAAGCCAAAGGCAACTAGTTGCCGTTACTTAAACCGTGGCGGCTGCGCGGCGACGATTCGTGCGATGGAAGCCGATGCTCTCCAGCGCCTTGTAGACCTCTTCCAAGGTCTTCTCACCAAAGTTCGAGATGCTCAGTAGATCTTCCCGCGAGCTGTGCAGAAGTTGCTCGACCGTGAAGATGCCCTTCTCTTCCAGGCAATTGGTCGTGCGGACCGAGAGCCCCATTTCAGCGGTGCTCATTTCCAAGCGGTCGGTCAGCGATTGCGTTTCGTTGTGCAGGGTGTTCAGTGGAATGCGCGGCATGGAATCCGTTCCTTTCGAGTTCGATCCAACAATTCCTTTGTTCGATTTCAACGTTGCGGCGAACGTTGATGCGAGCACTATACCAAGTCGCATTAAAAATTGGTCAACATTTTTCTTCGCGAAGAAAAAAACAACCACCGAGTCATGCAAGCACAATTCAGTTGTTCACCATCTCAATACAGAATAGCGCTAGCACTGCTAGCTGCGTGGTGTTCATCAGGCTGATGCATGTAGCGAGGTAGTTCCCAAAGAATTGAAACCGACTGAAAGAAGAGACGGAAAAGAACCACAACGACACAACGAAACATTGAATGAGTGAACCTGCTGATCGAAGCCAAGTCTGGCGCACTAATCCAAATATCTTCTTCTCTCCCCAACTCATCACTCGCAGCAGTAACCGTTAACCCCGTCTTCAACTCAGGCCACCGCAGAAGCCCTTACGTCGTGTCGTTGTGCCGTCGTGGTCAATCTCTTCCCTTGCCACTTGCAGTTCGCACTCCCCCAGAACCGCGACTCGTCCAACCACTCCAACTTCCCAGCGGTTCGCCGCCGAATCCCCACCCGTTCGACGATTCAGCGAAGCCCCCTATACTTAAGGTTTAGGACTTCTCGCGCACCGCGATTCCCCCTTTACCCGCCCGGATAGGCAGAGACGTTTGAGCAGCTTGTTTGACAACTTGACTCCCGCCCAACGCGAAGCGGTCGAGCATATCGAGGGCCCGTTGTTGATCCTCGCGGGGCCCGGCAGTGGGAAGACCCGCGTCGTTACGCATCGCATCGCCCACATGATCGAGCAGGGGATCGAGCCGCGGAATATCCTCGCGCTCACCTTCACTAACAAAGCCGCCGACGAAATGAAGAACCGCGTGGCGGCCCTCTCTGGGGGCGAGCCGGTGTGGATCAGCACGTTCCACCGCTTCTGTGCCCGGCTGCTGCGGCGGTATGCCAACCTTGTGGGGCTCGAGCCGGGTTATTCGATCTACGATACAGGCGACAGCAATCAAGCCCTCAAACGGGCCATGTTCGAACTGCAGATTTCGCCGACCCATATTTCGCCCGAGCGGTTGGCCTCGGAGATCAGTTGGGCCAAGAACAACCTCATCACCGCCGACAAGTACCAACCCCGCCGGGGAAGCGAAGCGGGCGAGATCCTCGCCGGCGTTTACCCGGCCTATCAGCAAATCCTGCAACGGGCCAACGCCGTCGACTTCGACGACTTGCTACTCCACGTAGCCGTCCTCCTCCGCGAGAACGAACCACTTCGGGCCGAGCTCGACGAACGCTATCGCTACGTGCTGGTCGACGAATACCAGGATACGAACCTCGCCCAATACGCCATCGCCAGGGCACTGTCGATCAACTGCCCCAACCTCGCCGTGACGGGCGACCCCGATCAATCGATCTACGGCTGGCGGGGTGCAAACCTCTCGAACATTCTCGAATTCGAGTCGGACTATCCCGAGGTCACGGTTGTGTTCCTCGAGCAAAACTACCGCAGCTCGAAGGCCATCCTCCGCACCGCCTCGCAGCTCATCCAGCACAACCGCAAGCGCAAGCCGAAGCGGTTGCTCACCGACAACGACGAAGGCCGCCCCGTGGCCCTCTTCGCTTTCGGCACCCATCGACGCGAAGCCGTAGCCATCGCCAACCGCATCGCCGAAGAGGTCGCCGCCGGCAACCGCCGCCCCCGCGACTTCGCCGTGTTCTACCGCACGAACGCACTCAGTCGCGAACTCGAACACGCCCTCCGCGCCGCCGGCATTCACTTCCAACTCATCAACGGGCAGGCGTTCTACCAGCGGAAGGAAATCAAAGACGTCTTGGCCTACCTCACGTTGCTACACAACCCCTGCGACGATCAAGCCCTGCTGCGAATCATCAACACCCCCACCCGCGGCATCGGCAAGAAGACAATCGAGGCCATTCAGAAATACGCCTCCCGTCGCGGACTCACCATGTTCGAGGCAGCCCGCCAGAGCGGGCTGATCGAATCGCTGGCCAAACGGGCCACGGTGGCGGTGGCCAAGTTCGTTTCGATGGTCGACCGGCTTTCGCTCCTCGTCGACGAACCGGTCGAGCAAATCCTGGGTCATGTGCTCGAAGAGTCTGGGTATCGCCGCTACTTGGCCGACTCCGACGATCAAGACGACGAGGAGCGGCTGGCCAACATCGAAGAACTGCTCACCGCCGCCCGCGAGTTCGACGAAGAGCACCCCGGCGAAGGCCAACTCGAAGAATTCCTCGAAGGCGTTTGCCTGGTGAACGAGACCGACTCGTGGGACATCGAGCAAGATCGAGTCACGCTAATGACGCTGCACGGTTCGAAGGGGCTCGAGTTTCCCGTGGTGTTCATCGTCGCGCTCGAGCAGGGCATCCTCCCCCACAGCCGCAGCACCGAAGACAGAGCCCAGGTCGAAGAAGAACGTCGCCTGCTGTTCGTCGGCATCACTCGGGCACAAGAAGAACTGTATCTCAGCCACGCCAAGCTTCGCGACTTCCGTGGCGAGCGAAAGATGACCGTGCCCAGCGAGTTCCTCATGGAACTCCCCCGAGACGAGATGGAGATGCTCGACGAAGAAACGCCGGTGCCTTCATTCGAAGAACTAGGTCTCTCCGGCAGTCGCGGCAAGGAAGACAACGCCGAGTACTTCGAAGACGGCGACGTCGCGGCGGCCGACATCTCGCAGTTGCCCGAGTACGCCCAGCCCAGCAAGCCAGCGTCGAAAGGCAAAATGCCCGGCGGGCTAGCCGGCTTAACCACGGCGGCCGATCTACGCTCCGGGAAGCGCACCAGCACCGGCGTCTCGCCCAATGTGTTCGTGCAAGGAATGCGGGTCGTGCATCCCGACCGAGGCTCCGGCCATATTGTGGCCCTCGGCGGACAAGGTGAATATCGCAAAGCCACCGTTGAGTTCGACGAAGGCAAGCAACGCGTTACCTATATATTGGCCCGAAGCCCTCTGCTTCCCGAGTAAACGCCCGACGTTCATGCCAATCGTGGGCAACCCTCCCTTCGCCCCACCGCATCTGACATAATCGGCGGTCGAGGTACGCCTACGCCGTGAACCATCCCCGTGAAGTCTCGCCAGGGAACGATTTGTGTATAAGAAGATTGCCCAACTGAAAGACGTTCAGAAATTCCGCGACCGTCTCGCCGAACTGAATCTCTCGTTGCCTGTTGACGACGAAGTGCTTTCGGCCGCAGCCGGTTCGCCGCTGGCCCAGCCGCTGAAGTTGGGCGATCGCACCGTGGGCAATCGCTGGTGTATCCATCCCATGGAAGGCTGGGACGCCAACCCCGACGGCACCCCCTCGCCCCACACATTGCGGCGTTGGAAGAACTTCGGCCTCAGCGGCGCCAAACTCATTTGGGGAGGTGAAGCCGCCGCCGTACAGCCTGATGGAAGGGCCAACCCCAATCAAACTCAGGCCGTCGCCCACACCAGAGACGGTTTGCGACAACTCCTCGACGAACTCACCACCGCTCATCAGCAGGCCTTTGGCACTACCGACGATCTGCTGGTCGGCCTGCAACTCACGCACTCCGGCCGGTTCTCCCGCCCCAACACGAAGCAACTTGAACCTCGCATCGCCTATCACCATCCACTGCTCGACGAGAAGTTCAACATCGACCCAAACGATACGTCGATTGTGTGGACCGACGACGACCTCGAGCGACTCATCGACAATTACGTCGCTGCGGCCAGGCTCGCCCAAGAGGTTGGTTATCACTTCGTCGATGTGAAGTCGTGCCACGGCTATCTCCTGCACGAGTTCCTCAGTGCCCGAGTTCGCCCCGGCCGCTTCGGCGGCGATCTCGAAGGTCGCACCCGCATGCTGCGAACCATCATCGGACGGATTCAGGACGAATGCCCAGGGCTGATGGTCGGCGTCCGGCTCAGCGCTTTCGACACCGTGCCCTACCGAACCAGTCTCGAGGTGGGCGAACCGCTCGACTACGAGCAGCACCTGCCCTACGAGTACGGCTTCGGCCTCAACCCGGCCGACCCGTTTGAGATCGATCTCACTGAGACGATCGCCTTGCTCGAGATGCTCCGCGACTTGGGCGTGATCGCGGTGAATCTTTCCTGCGGGAGTCCCTATTACAATCCACACATTCAGCGGCCGGCCATCTTCCCGCCTTCCGACGGATACCAACCGCCGGAAGACCCGTTGGTCGGTGTGGCTCGCCAGATTGAAACGGTCCGCCGTTGCAAACAAGCCGTGCCCGATCTCCCGATGGTCGGCACCGGCTACAGCTACCTGCAAGACTATCTCCCGCACGTCGCACAGGCCGCGGTGCGCGACGATTGGGTCGACTCCGTCGGGCTGGGCCGCATGGTGCTCTCCTACCCCGACCTCCCCGCCGACTCACTCGCCGGCCGCCCCCTCACCCGCAAACGCATCTGCCGCACCTTCAGCGACTGCACCACCGCCCCCCGCAACGGCATCATCTCCGGCTGCTTCCCCCTAGACCCCTACTACAAAGAACTCCCCGAAGCCGAGCAAGTGAAAGCCGTGAAGCAGGAGTTGAAGGTGAAGTAGGGGCCTTGCTGTCGTACTGAGCCTGATGTTGCGTTGAATTGGGTGTCTTCACAAGGGTAGAATTAGGGGACTATCGAAGGAGAGGCTTTCATGTCTTACATGTTTTCACCGGAGCTTGATCGTCTCGTGCAACTGAAGATGGCGACCGGGGAGTATGAATCAGAAGATCAGTTACTCGTTGAAGCAATCCATGCTCTGGATGATCTGCGAAATCAGCAAGAGCAGCTCCGCAGTGAGATTAAGGAAAGACTCCTTGAGTCCGGTAAAGGATATTCACGCCCCTTGGACTTGGAGCAGTTTCAAGCCGAGGCTAGGCGTCGCTTAGCCGAAGATAACCGAGACAAATAGCCGTGGCAGAAGTGCTCTACCTGCCAAAGGCCATAGAAGACCTCTTCCGAATCTGGCGCTACCTAGTCACTGAAAGTGATAGCGTTGAGATAGCCGATCGCATGGTTGCTGAAATTCAGTCGGCATGTCAGCTCTACGCCGATGAACCAACCGTCGGGCAGTTGCGGCTAGACTTAGCTCAGGGTATCCGCAACTTTCATGTGAAGAAATATGTGGTCTTCTACATCCCGGTTGATACTGGCATCGAAGTAATTCAAGTGATTCACGGCGCGAGAGATATTCCAAATCACTTTCGAAGTCCTTTGCCCTAGCGTACGTGCTCCCACATTACTTGCCCAACAGATGTCTAATCACCAGGGACTAGAGGGGCTTATGGAACTCACCCAAGCAGAGATCAAACAACTCGAAAGGATTCGAAAGGTCGAAAGACTGCAAACAATCAACGTTTGGGGCCTTGGGATTAGTTCGCTCTTTTTTTTCTTTATAGGAATGGCGTATCTTTTCCTACTTATGCGGCACCTGCACAACAACGGCGTAGGATTCATTCAATTCCTCGAATTCCTCTCCCGCACGAATCATCCCGATGGCGCCAATGCGGGTATTGTGTATGTATTCAGCGTGGTATTTCCACTCACAGTGTGGACAGCCATCCAAGGGTTTATCTCTATGCTTGTCATCAGAAGCATGTCGAAGACCCATCGATTGCTGCTGAAACTCGCGGACCAGATTGAGTCGGCCAAGTAGCGTGCGTGCTCGCACGCACGACGGGCGATCCATCGCTTCACAAACGTCTCCAAGCCCAAGCCACAGCCGTGCACATCCCTTCGCAGAAGCTAGCGTCACAAATAATCGCCTGCGCGATCATCAGTATCGCAATCACGACCATCGCCGGATGGCTTACCGCTTACCCAATCACCACCGGCATCTGGTTTCTGTCCTTAATGCTTCTCCTGGGATGGCCGCTCATCGCTACCATCTGCGGCACCATCCTCCTGATCCCGCTGTCAATCTTCTTCATTGGAGAATTGATGCAGGGTACCGAGGAAGCCCGCGACGAAATGCGGCGGATGATGGACGAATTCACGTCCTGGATCTTTATGTACTACCAACCAAAGTCATTCCCGCGACTGAAAGCTATCCTCTTCGGAGCCTTTCTGGGAATTTCGTCGCTTTACCTGCGATAAGGCGTTGAAATCGGCCCTTGAACTTGTCCGCTTTTCGTCCGGTTGGTCCCAGGCAGGATCCCTCCGCTCCCCGTTTCCTTCCTGCCGCCCCAGTGGCTACAATTTGCCCAGGCTTTGATTTTTGCAGATGACTTGGGAGGCCTCGGGCATGGTTGGGCGATTCTCATCCTGGGCGGTGGCTATTGCGATGGTTTTGGCGGCGGCTCCGCTGCCGGCGGCCGAGTTGGGCGACTCGCTCGAGACTTTGCGGGCCGTGGGGAACGAAGGGGCCGGCAACCGTGCGGCGGCCGAGGCCTGGCAGGAAGTTTCCCAGGCCAATGCCGGACAACTACCACAAATCCTTTCCGCACTCGACGGGGCCAACCCCCTGGCGGCCAACTGGATTCGCGCGGCGGTCGATACCATTGCCGAACGCGATCTGAAAGAGCAGGGCATTCTGCCCAAGGCCGAGTTGGAATCATTCGTCTTGGACGAGACCCACGCCCCACGGGCCAGACGCTTGGCCTTCGAATGGCTAGCCCGGGTAGATGAATCGGCCCCCGATCGCATCATTCCCAACCTGCTGCATGACCCCAGCGTCGAGTTCCGCCGCGATGCGGTCGCCCGTCTGCTGGATGAAGCGAACTCCCTCCTAGAAGAAGGGCAAACCGAAGCGGCGCTCGCCGTATTTCAAAAGGCCCTCACTGGTGCTCGTGACTTGGACCAGGTAAAGGCCATCGTTACCGAGTTAAGTAATCACGAGATCGAGGTCGATGTGCCGAAGCATTTCGGCTTCATCACCGAGTGGAAGATCATCGGGCCCTTCGACAATACCGACGAGAAGGGCTTCGACCTGGTGAATCCGCCGGAAGAAAAGATCGATCTCTCGGCCAAGCACGAAGGCAAGAGTGGTCCCGTCGAATGGGTTTCGCACACCACCGAAGACGATTACGGCGTGGTCGATTTCATCACCGCGATTGTCAAAGAGAACGCGGTTACCGCGTACGCAATGGCCGAGTTCTATTCGCCAGAAGAACAGTCGGTCGAGCTTCGCTGGGGGTGTATCAACGCCAATAAGGTGTGGCTCAACGGCGAACTGCTGGCCAGCCACGAAGTGTATCAGGCCGGCATGGAAGTCGATCAGTACTTTGCCGAAGGGACGCTCAAGCCGGGCCGCAATGTGATTCTGGTCAAGGTGTGCCACAACAACATGTCCGAGTCTTGGGCCCAAGACTGGAAGTTCCAACTACGCGTCTGCGACCCCGTCGGTACTGCCATCCATTCGGAACCTCCGAGTCAGTAAGCGATCGTTCGCTGCCCGAGAACCCCAATTCAATATCATTCACCACGAAGCACGGACCCGACCAACGATGAACCTCACGATTCGAACCGTGGCCTTGAGCTTGTTGATCGCCACCCCGTCTTTCGCACCAGCAGCCGACTGGTTGCAATTCCGCGGCACCGATAACCGCAGCGTCGCTGCTGGCGAGGCCGTGCCTTCAATGTGGGATGAAGTGAAGAATGTCGCTTGGAAGGCGGCCCTTCCCGGCGAAGGTGTCTCTAGCCCCATCATCGTGGGCGATCGCGTCGTGGTCACCGCCTCCAGCGGGCCGAATCAAGACCGTCTGCATGTGCTGTGCTTCGACGCCGAAAGCGGCCAGGAACTGTGGCATCGTCAGTTTTGGGCCACCGGTCGCACGCTGCACCATCCCACCAGCAGCGTGGCCGCCAACTCGCCGGCCAGCGATGGCGAACGAATCTTCGCCTTTTTCTCCACCAACGATCTGGTCGCCCTAGATCTCGATGGTGACTTGCTCTGGCTACGAGGGCTGACGGCCGATTATCCCAAGGCCGGCAACGACGTTGGCATGGCCTCCTCTCCCGTGGTCGTCGATTCCACCGTGATTGCCCAAGTTGAAAACCAGGGTGACTCCTTCGTCGCCGGCATCGATGCCGCAACGGGTAAAACCCTTTGGAAGATCCCCCGCCCCGAGTCTGCCAATTGGGCCTCACCCACCGTGCTCACGGCAAAAGATGGCGGGCAGAACCTGGTCCTGCTGCAGTGCGGTACCGATCTCGCCGCGGTCGAACCGAGAACTGGCCGCACCGTGTGGAAGTTCGAAAACTCCTGCTCGACAATTCCCTCCACCACGGTTGATGGAAACGAAGTCTACGTGCCCGCCAACGGTCTCACAGCTCTTTCACTGCCCGCCAGCGGTGGCGACCCCACCATGCTGTGGGAGTCGAACAAGCTCTCGGTCGGTTCGGCCAGTCCCGTGGTGCACGACGGCAAGATCTACATCGTCAAGAGAGCAGGGGTGTTGTCCTGCGGTGATACCGCCGAAGGCGATGTCCTCTGGCAGTTGCGTTTGAAAGGCACCTTTTGGGCCACCCCCGTGCTGGCCGACGGTCACCTGTTCCTCATCAACCAGGACGGTTTGGCTCAAATCGTGAAGGTCGATGGCGAAGAAGGCGAAGTAGTCAGCGAGTACGACTTCGGCGAGCCCGTGCTTGGCTCACCCGCTGTGGCCGACGGCGCGATCTACTTCCGCGGCGAGTCGAACCTGTGGAAAATGGCCGGCAACTGATTCGGCCAAACCCGTGGTCTCAAGAAAGCCGGAGAGCGAAAAGCTCTACTGCGGTGCCGGTACGCAATCGTCGGCAGCCCCGCTATACTTCGCCACGAGGTTTTTCCCACCGCAGCTCGCTAGTGAGGTTCATTCTTAGTCGTGTCCGCGTCCAACTCGATCGAAATCCAAACCACCGGCCCCATCCACGGCAGCATCCGGCCTCCCGGCTCGAAGAGCATCACCAATCGCGCACTCATCTGCGCAGCCCTGGCTCGGGGAACGACGACATTAGTAGGCGCTTTAGATAGCGACGACACCCGAGTCATGGTGGATGCCCTCAAGCAGTTGGGCTTCACCGTGGATCACGATAAGGCTGCGGCCACCATCGCTGTCGAAGGTCGCGGCGGTCAGATACCAGTAAGATCGGCCGATGTATATGTGGAAGCCTCTGGCACGACGATGCGTTTCCTCACGGCGATGCTCACCCTAGGGCAAGGCAAGTTCCGCCTCGATGGCGTGCCCCGCATGCGAGAGCGGCCAATCGCCGACCTGGTCGAGGCGCTCGAACAACTGGGCGCCAACATCAAGTACGAAGCCAACCCGGGCTGTCCGCCCCTAGTGATTCATGCCACCGGGTTGAAGGGCGGGGACGTAAGCATCCGCGGCGATATCTCTAGCCAATTCCTCAGTGGCCTGATGATGGCCGCCCCCTACGCCAAATCACCGGTAAAAGTGAGCGTCGAGGGCGAACTCGTATCAAAACCGTATGTCCAGATGACGGCAAAGGTGATGAATTCTTTTGATGTGCCCATGAAACAGTTTGCGGCGAAACCCCAAAGACACCGAAAGGAAGGGGCTGGTGAAGCTCAGAGAATTGTGAAAGTGGGCCTTGGTGAAGCAAATTTCATGAAGCCTATAAAGCTAGAAATTCCCGCACCGAGCCGTTATATGGCACTCAAATATAAAGTCGAGCCCGACGCCTCGGCAGCGAGCTATTTCCTGGCGGCCGCAGCCATCACTGGGGGCTGCGTTACGGTCGAAGGTCTCTCTCGCTCGAGCATACAGGGCGACGTCGAGTTCGCGGACGAACTAATCAAAATGGGCTGCGAGCTAGAACCAACTGACTCGGGCGAAGGAATCCGCATCCGTGGGAGGAATCTAAAAGGCATCGAAGCCTATATGAGCGACTACAGCGACACGGTGCAAACACTGGCCGCCGTGGCACTCTTCGCCGAGGGCCCAACCACCGTCACAGGCGTGCCGCACATCCGGCTGAAGGAAACCGATCGGATTGCTGCCCTGGCCACCGAGCTGCGCAAGTTTGGGGCCAAAGTCGACGAGCGACCCGACGGGCTGACAATCACGCCCCCCGCTGAACTCCGCGGAGCCGAAATCGAAACTTACGACGATCACCGCATGGCAATGAGCATGGCCCTGGTCGGGCTCCGAGTGCCGGGCGTTGTAATTCTCGATCCCGGCTGCACGTCGAAGACCTATCCCCGGTTCTTCGAAGACCTCGACCGGTTGAAGAGTGGCGCCTAAGCACGTACTGCGATCACCCTGCACGTACGTTCATGCATGAGCAGAGGTTCAGACCGAACCCACTTGCGACTAAGAGAGGGGGCGGTCGACTGGAGCGCAACTGGGAATCGAAGTCGAGGACGTCAGCCCACGATCTTTCGAAACGCGTTGCAACAGCGCGTCGGCCCGTTTGAGAAGCGTTGAGTTCGCTTCTGAAGCGTCTACGCGCGACGCCAAGCCATGGTGTGCGATGAATTGCCCATGACAATGGGTGCAGGCCAGACTACGGCCCAGATATTCGACGCGGATTTCCAACTTGCGACCGCAAGTAGGGCACTCCTGCACGAAATAAGTCGCATTCGGCATTTCGGTCTCTCCGTTTACCCCTTGCTTCCGTGCGGCGTCCAACCGCGGCATAGTACGAAATCCGAACTCAGGATTCAACGATTCTTGGTGCAGTCCACAAAGTATAGCCAATATGAACGGCCATTGAATCCCCCGCCAGGTGTATGCGGCTGCCGTTGATTGGGGATCAGACTATGGGGCCTAAACGGATTTCTTTTGCGTTAAAATGGGGTGTTTGTCTCGCAAGCTTTTGCGTCTACACAGGTTGAGACATCGTCCGGGATACCGAAGTTCGCGCTGGTTTGTGACAGCTGTCCTAGTTCGAGTGACTCACCCTAAGGCCATGCGTGATATGGGCTTTCGGAAATGTAAGGTCCCCGGTTGCGACGTGATTCAACTGGACACTTTGGATCTTTGCATTTAAGTCAAGCGAATGTGTTCAATTTCGTGCTTCACCATCCATTCGAGCCACACTTCCTGCTCCTCGCTGATCTCCAGTTCGGTCTTGTTTTCGCTATCTAGCGGGGAGACCAGGCTCACCACTCCCTCGTCGAGCCACTCGCGGGCTTCCGCCAGCCGCACCCAGTACTCCCCGTGCGGCAGTTTTGGAATCCCGTTCTCGCCTGGGATGCTCATGAAGTACGTGATCTCATGGCGGAACCGGTCTGGCATGCTCAGCGGCTCGACACCTGCTTTGTCCACGGGCACAACCTGAACGCTCATCGTTGGTATTTCACTCCGCATTTCGACGCGTCAGCCAATCCTGGGGGGACCGGCGCGCAGTCGAGATCGTCGACACCCTTGTAACCGGAACTTCTGCTGCACCCCATCCTGGGCATTCCTCGCCACCGCAATCAGCTTCTCAAGCTGAAATGCTAGGCTTGTATTGATCGACCGCTTGCGAACTGGCCGATCCAACAGAACAGCAGTTATCCCACGAGCGAGAACCAATCATGAGCCCAACGCCCACCACCCGGATCTCAGCGAGCGATTCTACTCGATCCCGCTATTCTTTGTTGGCAGCTTTCTTGGGGCTGGGCTGTGCAATGCTGGTCCTCCTGACTGCCACCGGCAATGCCGCAGCCGAGGACAAACCGACACTGCTGCCGAAGTTTCAGAAGATCGAAAGGGTGATCATCAAAACCCTCAACAGCGAGGGCATCAACCCGAACGACTTGATCTCGCAGAGCAATGTGGCGTCGGTCATGAAAGAACTTGCCCGGCGGGGCTGGCAGGTGCCCGACGCAGAAGCGATTGTCGACAGCGCACTGCCCGATGACAACTTCCTGGTTCGCCGCCTGGCTCAGCCCGATGCGGCTGACTTCAAAAAGCATGTGGCCGATTTACCCGGCGGTTATGACCGCCTCGACCGACTAAGCCGTATGTGGCACGGAGAAGAAACCGTCAACGCCCTGGTCAAAGGGCCCGACGGTTACAAGATGATTCAGTACATGACCACCACCCGCGGCGGTGCCAACCTGGGCGACCAGCTTTCCGATGCCCCCAACGGTCAGGGCTTCAACAAGATGACGGGGCGAATCTACACCGGCGGCGAGTTGATTGGCCGGATTCACGTGAGTTACGAAAAGGAACTCAAGCGGGCCCAACGGTCGAACTAGCTGCTAACGTTGCAGGCTAGCTCCTGAAGGTCGAGCAACACGGCTGCTGCCCGGCGAACCGGCATGTTGAGCGGTCTTGATTACCACCGGTTTGATCGGAATCAGCTCGAACTGCTCGGTGTTGTGGGCTTCGACCTTGGCGATTTTCTCCACCACGTCCAGCCCCTCAACAACGCGGCCAAACACGCAGTAGCCGTAGTCTTCAGCCGTGCGACCTTGATGATCGAGCTCGGGGTTGTCTGAAAGGTTGATGAAGAACTGGCACGTCGAACTGTCGATGCGGTCGAACTCGCGAGCCATGGCGATGGTGCCACGCTTGTTCTTCAACCTGTTGTCGGCTTCATTGCGAATAGTCACTCCGGCCGGTTTCTCGTCCAACTCGGGAGTGTAGGCCCCGGCCAGCACGATGTAACCGTCGACGACTTGATGAAACACGGTCCCGTCGTAATGTCCCGACTCGACATACTGTAGAAAGTTGGCGACCGTCAGCGGGGCATGCTCTTCGTCGAGTTCGAATACCACTCGACCCATGGTGGTTTCCAGCACCACCCGGTTCTGCTCTGGGGCCGGTTCGCGGGCGGCCTGCGACTTCGCACTGCTGCTCGGCTTCTTGGCGGCCTCGGTTTCCTCGGGAACATCTGCACTGCCCCCGCAGCCAACCAGCGTGCCAAGGATCAATGCGAAAAACGCCTTACGCAGCAACAATTCAACCCGCATGCTTGTGGCCTCCGTGCCCAGCGCGACACCCGGCATTAGTGAATCAAGAGCATGGCCGCGTTCCTCGCGACCGCGTCGCGTATCTTCGTGCGAAGCCCCATTCAATGCAAGCTCGGTTTGCAGGCAAGATTCTGGTTGATTGCCTCCGGCCACGGTAGCGTTGCCAGCATGCAGTGCTTGTGTTTTATCACCTCGGGTGTCGGTGCCAACTATTCAGAAGGGCACTAGTGCTTGAGGTCACATGCAGGCACCACGACTTAGACGAAACACTGCACTTCTTCAAACACCGTCCACAGCATCGCATGGCAAGCAATCGCTTTGACACCAGGGATGGTCCCGAGAAGCCCTAAAACCTGTACCACCCGAGTACAAGAGTCCGGAGAGACCTTGCAACCGGAACACTGTCCCCAAGTCCTGCGAATTTTTTCTCATTCTTTTCCCTGCGCGCCATTCGCAACCTACCTTTCGGCAAGGGTTGTAGCTTGCTGGTACAAGCAGGTGCCAATGCGCCGGCATCGCTGGCAGTGCCAACTTGCCGCGACTCCTACGATTTGCGCAGTCGGTACAACCTGCACAAAGGTAATCGGCAACCAAATGGTTTCGCGTCGGGTGTAGTTCCTTGACACCTGCTCGCTTCACCGGTTTAACGGATAGAGGACCTTTCAACCTCGCGTTCGCGGAGAAACATCAGATGATCGGTTTAGCAACTAGAAAGATTCTCATTGCCGGAGTGGTCGCCGGTGGATTCCTGGCCACACCTTCGGAGAGCTACGCAATCTTCGGCTGGCTCAGCCGTTGCTGCTCGCCGCGGGCAACGTACATGCCCGTTGCCCCAGCACCCACGTGCTGCCCAGCTCCGGTTTGCCCGCCACAACAAACTTGTAACTACGTTCCGGTCACGGCTTACCGTAACCAGGTTTGCAACGTGCCGGTTACCACTTGCCGTCCGGTAACCTCGTGCGATCCATGCACCGGTTGCCCCACGACGACCTATCGCCCTGTGACCACTTACGTACAGCAGGTGCAACGCATCCCGTACACCACGTACCGGCTGTCGTGCAGCACGAATACCTGTGCGAGCCCTTGTGCGACGAACACTTGTGCCAGCCCATGCTCATCGGGTGCTTGTGGTTCGAGCGTAGCCTCGTTCCAACCGGCATCGACCACCGTGGCATCGCCATCGTCGTCTTGCAGCTCGTGCTCGTCGTCGACCACGTACACCACGCCGGCCGCTCCTGCGTATAGCGCCCCTCCGGCGACTTCCTATCCGCAGCCGACTTCGCCGGCACCGCAGACTTATCCGGCGCCCAGCAACCCGGCATCGCAACAGCCGTCGTTGTCGTCGCCTCCGGCCAGCAACAATCCCACACCGCAGACGTTTGAGAATTCGTCAACTTCGGAAAGCATGCTGCAACGTCCGATTCAAGATTTGAATCACAGCTCGCCGGCACCCAGCTATCCGAACCCGCAGTTGATCGAGCCCAACTCGCGCAGCACGGCATTGCCGGGCCGCACGGTTCAGGCTTCGTACACGACGCGTTCGGCGATTTCGACGGACATGGCTCCGGCCGTTCCCGTTCGCCTGCCCGCGGCCTACCAAACCGTGAGCTCCGAAGGCTGGCGTTCGTCGGCTCGCTAGTTCGCGAACTGCGAAAAGGTCCTACCCAAAGTCGAACCGCCCCCTGGCAAATGTCAGGGGGCGTTTTTTTCGTTTACTGCTCCACCGTTGCGTCTCACTACTAGGGCGTCGTAAACTCCAGGAACATTCGGTCAGAGAGCCGATTCGCTCGCGTGACCGGCGGCTCTCGGTGATCTTCCTCGTACGACTTCCCATATCATGGCGGCCAATTTAACCCAGCAGTATCACAAGGCGGCCGAAGAGTACCGCCGTGCCCAGACGGCAGCCGAGGAGCTGCGCTGCCTGGAGCTGATGCTTCGCGAGCTGCCCAAGCATAAGGCCTCTGAAAAGCTCGAGGCCGAGCTGAAGAAGAAGATCTCGCGGGCCAAGGACGACGTTCAGGCCGAAAAGAAGAGCGGCAAGAAAGGCCCCAGCGTTCGCATCCCGCGGCAAGGGGCGGGCACAGTCGTTCTGCTAGGTGGCCCCAATGCGGGCAAGAGCAGCCTGCTGGCGGCCCTCACACGGGCCCAACCCGAGGTGGCCGAGTATCCCTTCACCACTCAAAAGCCGCAGCCGGGCATGATGCAGTGGGAAGATGTCATGCTTCAGCTCATCGACACGCCCCCCATCACGGCCGATTTCTTCGAGACCTCGATGCACGGTCTCATCCGCGGGGCCGACCTGGCGGTGCTACTGGTCGACCTCGGCAGCGACGACGGCATCGAACAGCTTCAAGAACTGCTCGACCGCCTGAAGCAAACCAAGACCCGCCTGGCGGCGAAGTCCTACCTCGATGAAGATGACATCGGGCTGTCCTTCACCGGCACCCTGCTCGTTCCGAACAAAATCGATGCCCCAGGCGCGGAAGACCGACTCGAGATGATGCACGAGCTATGCCCTCTCGATCTTCCCGAGTACCCCGTTTCGATCACCACCGGCGAAGGCCTCGAAGCCCTCCGGCAGGCGATCTACGAGGGGCTCGACGTAGTGCGGGTCTATTCGAAGCTGCCCAAAGCCAAGGACCCCGACATGGAACGCCCCTTCACCGTCCGACGAGGCGGCACGCTGATGGACGTGGCCGCCCAGGTACACAAAGACTTCGTCAAAGGCTTCAAGTTCGCCCGCGTCTGGGGTAGCGAAGTGCACGACGCCACGGTGGTGAAAGCCGACTACATCGTGCAGGACAAAGACATCGTCGAACTACATATGTAAACAGGGGGAGTCCACCTCCCGCATCTTCGTGATGCCGTCGCAGTTCGATATGATGGTTTTCTCTGAGCGGCGCAATCATCTGCGTCCCGAGCGAATCCATTCCCTCACGATCGATAACCCATGAATAACGTCGACATCGCCGCGGTCTTCGATGAGATGGCCGACATTCTCGAGTTCCAGGGGGCCAACGCGTTCCGCGTGCGAGCTTATCGCAACGGGGCACGCACCGTTCGTGATCTACCCGAACCGGTGGCGGCCATCGTGCACGACGAAAGCCGCAACCTGGTCGATCTCGACGGTATTGGAAAAGATCTGGCCGAAAAGATCACGACTTTGGTCACTACCGAGAAGCTGCCTCAACACGAAAAGCTTCTCGGCGAAGTGCCCGCCAGTGTCATGGCCCTGTTGCGCGTGCCCGGGCTGGGTCCCAAGAAGGCCGCCGCGTTGAACAAGGAACTCAAGATCAAGTCGCTCGAAGAGTTGAAGCAGGCCTGCGAAGACCACCGCGTGCGCGAGCTGAAGGGCTTTGGCGCCAAGACCGAGCAGACGATCCTCGAGGGGCTCGATATCGCCCAGGCCGGCAGCGAGCGGATGTATTGGGCCGAAGCCGATCGCTACGTGCAAGAGATGCTGGCCCACATGCAAGAGTGCAATGCAGTCGAACGCATTGAGGCCGCAGGCAGCTACCGTCGCGGTCGCGAGACCGTGGGCGATCTCGATCTGCTGGTCGTCTCGACCGACACCGACGAGGTGATGGATCACTTCGGCCAATACAACACAGCGTCCGATGTGCTGATGCGGGGCCCAACGAAGATGTCGATCCGCCTTCCGGTCGGTCTGCAAGTCGATCTCCGCGTGGTTGGTGAAGAGGCCTTCGGCGCGGCATTGCAGTACTTCACAGGCTCGAAAGATCACAACGTCCATCTCCGCGGCCTGGCGAAGTCGCAGGGGCTGAAGATCAACGAGTACGGCGTCTTCCGCGGCGAAGAGTATGTGGCCGGGCGGGAGGAAGAAGACGTCTACAAGGCCCTCGATCTTCCCTGGTTCCCGCCTGAAATTCGCGAGGCCCGTCGCGAGTTCGATTGGGCCAAGCAGGGTGAACTGCCCGAGTTGATCGAACTTGACGATCTGCTGGGCGACTTACACATGCACACCACAGCCACCGACGGAAAGGCCTCGCTCGAGGAGATGATCGCGGCCGCCCGCGAGCGTGGCTTGAAGTACATCGCCATCACCGATCACTCGAAGCGTGTCACCATGGCCCGCGGACTGGATGAAGACCGGCTCCGCGAGCAGTGGGAAGAGATCGACGCGGTGAACAAGAAGCTGCGGGGCTTCAAGGTGCTCAAGGGCATCGAGTGCGACATCCTCGAGAAGGGCGGGCTCGATCTGCCGGACGATGTTCTGAACGACGCTGATTGGGTGGTGGCCAGCGTCCACTACGGTCAAAACCAACCCCGCGATCAGATCACCGGCCGCATCATCGAGGCCCTTGAGAACCCCGCGGTCTCGGCGATTGCCCACCCCACGGGCCGATTGATCAACCGTCGCAAACCCTACGAAGTCGATCTCGACCAGGTCATTCGCAAGGCGGCCGACCTGGGGAAACTATTGGAACTGAATGCCAACCCGGCACGGCTCGACCTCGACGATGTGGCCTGCGCGGCGGCCAAGAGCCACGGTGTGCCGATCGTTATCTCTTCCGACGCCCATTCCACCGACGGCCTGGACGTCCTTCGCTACGGCATTCTCCAAGCCCGCCGCGGAGGTCTCACGAAAGCCGATGTGGCCAACACCCGAAGCTGGAAAGACCTCAAGAAGCTCATCGGGCACAAGAAGTAACCCGTACCCAGTGGTTTGCATCCCCGGGTGGCCCAGCCGCGCCGGCTGGGTCGACGTAGTCGACAAGATGTTTTGAAGAAAAGCGTCTTAGCTGTCTCACTCTGATTCCAATTAAGAACTAAAACCGTACTGCGCCAGAGAACTTTTTCCTGCGGTTTTGCCTCGAACTCTCTTGTTGAACTAATCGCGTCCCCTCGGGCCACACGCACTCAAGGCATCTTGACGCTTCGCGTCCCGGCCGGCGCGGCCGGGCCACCCAAGGCTAAGCCATTCTGGGGAACCGGACCTGCCAACAAAAAAACGGCCCCGGAATCGCTTGGACTCCGGGGCCGTTTACTTTTCGTTACTTCGCCAGGGCGATTAGCCGCGATAGATCACGCGATAGTCGCCGCAACGGCTGAAGCGGATGGTGGCCGAGAAGCCACAGCACCAGTCGTAGCGAATCAGGCCGCAACCGATGATCGTGCAGCGTTTGGTGACGCAGGGCACGTCGGTGCAGCAGGCCGGAATGCAAAGATCGATCGATTCCTTGCAGCCGGTGCAGGGATTGCAAACGCAGACATTGAAAATGACCGGCGGCGGGCAGGGCTCGCAGCACTCAGGGCCACAAGGAGCGGCCAGGGCCCGACCCAAGCGGCCAGCTTCACTGGTTTCGGCATTCACAAGCAGAGCGGCCGAAAACACAGCCAGCCCCAACAGTGCGGTAGTAAGACGACGCATCGAAAGCTCCCCTCTGAGGTATCGAGTTTACTCACTCCGACGAAGCAGACGTTTCTGCCTCATGTAGGAGCCGAAGCGAGCTTACAGGTTCATTCAGTCTCCAGCAAAGCATGGCATACCCCGGGGGTTTACGCAAGCAGCACACTCTAATCGTTTTGGCGAGATTTTGCGGCCCACAGCTGAGAAACGCGATTTGCAGGGGAATAATCCACCCACCCGGTACAGGCGCACACCTGCTGGGGCTACAAAATTGCCCCTGCCCCATTCGTGACCTAAGCTTTCCAACGCGGGAGCAGTCCTTTTCCATAACCCGCGAATACCCGGCGAGCGGCACCCATTCAGGAGCCCTTCGCCGGCAATCAGCGAGCCCGGCCCCTTGAGGGTCGCTCTCGAAATAACAACCGGCCGTTCGGCCACCAATCGTTCGACTTTTCAGTACATATTGATCGCTTTCGATCAGGTCACATTTGCACATGAGTTGTCTAGGCAGCACTGCTGCTCTACACGACGTGTTTCTGTCCATTCGCGCCGATAGCGAACGGATTGAAGCTTTCGTCGACGAGCAGCGGCAAGAGCTCGATCAGTTGCGAGAGCAACTTCAAGCCCGCGCCGAGCAGTTGCAGGTCGTCGAGGGAGCCATCGCCGAACAGCGCGATGCCCTGGCGATCGAGCGACAACAGCAAGGCGCCGAGCACGAAGCCGTAGAAAGGCTGCGCGCCGAAACCGAAGCCCAGCGCGATCAGCTCCAAAACGAATTCGAACAACTAGCGGCCCAGCGGCAGGAGTTTGAAACGGCGCAGGCCGAATTCCAGCAGCAGCGAGAACAGTTCGCCGCAGAACAAGCGGCCGCCCAGCACGAACTCCAGCAACAGCGCGAAAATCTCGAGCGCGATCAAGAAGCCTTCGCGCAGCAAATGCAAGCCGCTGGCGAAGGTGATGCTGCCCAAGGCCAGCACGCCGTCGAACTGGATCAAATACGTCGCCGGCTCGAAGAGGTTACCGCTCAGTTGGAAACCATAACCAGCGAGCGCGATCACCTGGCCTCCGAACTCGATGTGGTGCGGACCGAAGCCGATCGCATGACGGTTAGCGTCCAAGAGTTAACCGAAACCCGCGCCGAGTTGGCCACCATGCGGCAGCAACTCTCGCAGTCTTCGCATCAAGACGATGCCAACGACGAAGTCCTTCGTCAGCAGCTACACGAGATGGAACGCGAGTGCGTCGACTTGGAGAACGACCTTGAACAGGTTCGCAACCGTGCGGCCGAGTTGGCCGAAGAGGCGGAAAAAGAAAAACGCATCGCATCGCAAGAACGTTCGGAGTGGGCCAGCGAGCTGAAAGAAATGCGTCGCCTGCTCGAACAGCAAAATTCCATGGCCGCACAAAGTCAGCCGACACCGGCTCAACCGGCCGAGCATGTCGGAGCGGCCGCGGCTGCTGCCGTTTCCGATCCAGTGCTCGATTCGGTGATGGCCCAATTCGAAATGCTGCAGAAAGATCGCGGTCGACGTCGCAAAACTGAGTCGGCCGACGAACACCAACACGTTGCTTAGTTTTCGGAACAGATGCCGCGGGGCATCCGGACTTATCGCTTACGAGGTTTCGTACCCCTCTCCCCCAGACTGCGTGTCCTCGATCAACCGATCGCAACACTGCGGCAAGCAACAAGTATGAACCTGAGTCGCAATCCGAGTGGAATCGCGAAACGAATAATACACCAAGCTCTTGGCGTTGTGACGGTAAAGAGGTGAATGCATGTTGTCGAAATCACTGCCGGCGACTGACTATCGAAGTCCATCCACGCCCCAGCAAAAACGCTTGGGGGTCGATCTCACGGTGCTCGCCGTAGCCCTGGCCAGCCTGGCTTGCCTGCTGATTGGCTGGTTTGGCAATGTGCCCTTCATCGGCGGCGGAGGCGCCGCCGGCATGTGCTACGTCGGCATCAAGATCATTCGCAACGTGGCCAGACGTTCGAAGCCTTCGAAAAGAAAAGTCGTGCCCACTTCGCACGAAAGCAGGCCCGCCCCGACCAACACGCCGGCGCCTGAAGACATCGAGGGCCTGGCCGTACAGATGCTCGAGCAGGGGCGTTACGCCTTGCTGCTACGTCCGCAACTCATTCGCAACCTGAGCCCCGCCCTGCGGCGGAAGGCCCAGGACAAACTTAGCGAAAACATGGCGTTGGTGCCCGACGGCCAACTACTGGTGGGCCAAAGTGAAGACGCCGACCAGATTGATCGAAAAATCCTTCCCCGTGGTCGTGTGGTTACCGTGCAGCGATTCTTCCTCGATCGCCACTTGGTAACCAACAAGCTGTTCCAGGAGTTCGTCGACGCCGGTGGCTACGAACAAATGGCGCTCTGGGATCAGCAAATCTTGCCCGGCGTTTTAGATTTCGTCGACGAAACCGGAGCCCCCGGACCGGCCACTTGGCGAAACGGTCGTTACCCCAAAGGACTCGAAAACCATCCCGTGGTTGGCGTCAGTTGGTACGAAGCGGCCGCCTACTCTCGCTGGGTCGGTAAGCGACTCCCCACCGATGTGGAATGGGAGAAGGCCGGCAGTTGGCCGGTCGAACTGGCCGCCACCAATCGTCCTGGGCGGCGTTTCCCCTGGGGCAATTCGATGGACCGCGCCCGCTGCAACATCTGGGGCAGTGGCCCCAACACCACGGTGCCCGTCGATGAGTTCGACAAGGGCGTCAGCGTAGGCGGAATCCACCAACTGGTGGGCAACGTCTGGGAATGGACCTCCGGCATCTTCGGTACCGCAGGCTTTGCCAATCGCGACTTCAAAGAGAACGCTCCCCTGCGAACCATTCGCGGCGGTGCCTTTGACACCTACTTCGAAAACCACGTCACGTGCCAATTCCAAAGTGCGGAAGACCCCGTGGCGAGAAAACATAACATCGGGTTCCGTTGTGCAGTAAGCGTGTGCGACCTCGAGTCGAACCCGCCGTCGGAAGCGGAACCCGAGGAGCAGTCGGTCGTTCCTGAGAACAAGACATCAAGTGCAGAGCTGGTTGAGGTGTAGCGATGAGCCGCGATGGTCAAATAACACTCGATTCGTACCGGCTAGCACAGTACGCCGTGCAAGTGCCGTGCTACATCTGCTCGGGCCCGAACACCTTCGATGCCGAGTTGTGCCGCAACTGTTCGGCCCCGATGGCGCTGACCTATCAGGCCGAAACGCAGAAGGTCCACCCCCGTATCCTCTCGTGCATCGGCACCAGCGGTGTCGGCAAAACGGTTTACCTCGGCATGTTGATGGACATGCTCTCGCGTCAGCCCGACGACATGCAGTTGCTCGCCCGCGGGGCCTTCTCCATCAATCTGCAACAGAACACGGTGGCCGCCCTCTCGCGTTGCGAATTCCCTGAGAAAACTCCCAGCGAACCGGAACGTTGGAATTGGGTTCACTGCCAGGTCCGCCAGGCTCGCCGCCGGAGACCGTTCGAGCTGATCATGCCCGACATGGCCGGCGAAGCCTTGATTGAAGAAGTCGACCACCCCGACACGTTCCCCGTCATTCGCTCGCTGCTGACCAAGAGTGCCGGTGTCATCATCCTTATTGATGCCTCGACCCTCTCCGGTGGCACCAGCGACCAAGACTACTTCACCATGAAACTGTTGAGCTACCTGCTGGAACTGGTTGACGACCCCAAGAACGGCTGGCATCGTCGCCCCATCGCATTGGTCTTCACCAAGGCCGACGAGAGCGAAGCCTGTTTCGAGAACCCCGTCGGATTCGCCCAGGCCCACACTCCCGGCATGTGGCGGCACTGTGAAGAGCGGTTCCATTCGCACAAGTACTTCGCCGCGGGTGTGGCCGGTGCATGTGCGAGTATTCGCAACGCCGACGGCAAGCTGGTTCGCGCCCCATTGCGAATCGAGCCCCGCGGCATCATCGAGCCGTTCCGCTGGCTGGTCGACCAGGTTTGGAGCTAAGCCCCGGAAGGTCTCTTTCCTCAGCTCGCATATCTAAGCGGTCACTTCTCCCGCACACAGATCAAGCACGAAGTAACTACGTCTATGGTTGCCATCGAACAAGCCATCTTCGCCTCTCGACGAACCGATCACGCGGCCGGCTATCACCTCGTTGTGGCCTCCGACGGTGTCTCGGACGACGACTCCCATGCGCTCACCGTGTGGGGCCCCTCGCACGATTCGCTGGTCGTGTCCCACGACGAAGAAGAAAGCATCAACTTTCATCCCCTGCCCAGCGGGGCCTTCTGCATCTCACGCACCCGTAGCATCGGTACCGAGTACAGCGGACGTGGGGATGAGGTCTACACGCACTGCCTGGTGGTTCCGGCCGCCGTGTTGGCCAAGTTCTCTAACAACCCCTTCGCCTTGGTTCGTGCCGCCATCGTCGATGGCCGACTCGAAGTGCACGAAGACACACCACGCAGCCTGCCGAGCTTCGTCCTGCGGGGCAAGGCTTCGCCGGTCGATCGTCGCCTGCTGGGAGAAGTGATCGCCGATCTGGGAACCGAACGGTTCGCCGCACTCGTCGACGCCACAATATGCCAGGCTCCCCTGGCCGTAGTAAGCCAATGGTCACCCCGGCATGTGATGGAGGCCGTGCTCAACTCCTTACCGGTGGATTGCCGACCAGAGTTATCATTCGCCACGGGACTAAAGCCTTCCCCACGACGTCCGTTCCGCCTGCAGCTCTTCCCCGCGGCCACGGAGAATCTCCGTCAGCTTCTGCGACCCTTTCAGGTCCCCGTGCTCGACCTTGAATCAACCGAATCGACCACCACCCCCGGGGCTTGGGCCCAAACGGTCACGGCGGCCGTAGCCGAGAAACGCTTTCGCGTCTTGGCCGAAGAACTTAGTGCCCCCTGCGGCGGGTTCGATGCAGACAAACTGAAAGCCCTGGCCCTTCGACTCGAGCAACGCCTGGCCGAAGCCGATGAGTCACAGCGCGGAGATCGTCGCAGCCGCTCTCGCCGGCATGGTCCCGCAGCACGTTCTTCCTCTTCCGGCTCAGCACCTTCAACCAGTCAACCAGCACGCGAGATCACGTCAGGGCAGCTGAATCATCGTGGCGATGCCGCCCACCAAAGGTCAGCTAGCCAGCAATCCATCTCGGCCGTCTTGGAAGAAGACCCGCAGTGCTCGGACCTTCGTAGCGACCCCTCCCAGCAACTCAGCAAAGAGCGACCCGAGATGCTCGAACAGCTCGAGCTGCTCGACGACACCGTCTTCGAGGCCATCGCCGGCAAGCCCGCCGCGCTTGAACTCCTGCGCACCTTATGGCCCGAGACGCTTTCCCTCCTCGGCATCGAGCATCTCGAGGAGTCGCGCGAGCAGTACCTCCGGCACGCCCGCGCGGTCTGGGAGCACTGTGCCAAATCCGATGGGGTCCGCAAATCCGAGCAATCACTTGCGGCCCTCAGCGTCATCAGCCTTCTGCTGGAATAGAGCCCGCTCGCCGCTCCGATGGCAACTGCCCACAGTTGCCTTCCGATCTCAGATCGCAATACTGAGGGGCAACCCTTCCGTGTGATCATCGAGAACAGGAGCGTGATAGATGGAGCCTGCAGCTCTGGATTTCTTTCGTGAGTTGCTCAAAGCCCCCAGTCCCTCGGGCTACGAACAGCCGGCCCAGGACGTGGTTCGCAAGTATGTGGAGAGCTTCGCCGACGAAGTCGCCACCGACCTGCACGGCAATGTGATCGCCGTCAAAAACCCGGGCAAGAAACTGAAAACGATGCTCGCCGGGCACGCCGATCAAATCGGTCTGCTCGTGCAATACATCGACGACAAAGGTTTCATCTCCGTACAGCCCATCGGCGGCTGGGACCCGCAACAACTCATCGGGCAGCGGCTCGTCATCTGGTCTTCCAAAGGTCCCGTGCTGGGCGTCATCGCCCGCAAGCCGATCCATCTGCTCAACGACGAAGAACGCAAAACCGTCGTCAAGATGGAGAACCTCTGGATCGACATCGGCGCCAAAGACAAAGAAGAAGCCAGCGAGCGCGTCCGGGTCGGCGATCCGATCACGTTCGAACTGGGCATGCACGAACTCAATGGCCCCATTGTCTGCGGTCCGCAGATGGATAACAAAACCGGGCTATGGGTCTGCATCGAAGCCCTCCGTCGGGCCAGCAAGCAGAAACTCCGCACGTCGGTCTACGCCGTATCAACCGTAGCCGAAGAGATCGGACTCCGCGGAGCCCAAACCAGCTCTTACGGTATCGATCCACAGATCGGCATCGCGGTCGACGTCACCCACGCCACCGATTGCCCCACAATCGACAAGAAGCAAGAAGGCGACGTCAGCATCGGCGGCGGGCCGGTCGTGTACCGGGGCCCCAACATGAATCCCGTCGTGTTCGACCGCTTGGAGAAAGTGGCCAACGATCAGGACATCCCCTTCCAACTCGGCGCACTAAGTCGTGCATCACCCACCGACGCCAACGCCCTGCAAGTCAGCCGAGCCGGGGTCGCCGCGGGACTCATTAGCATTCCCAACCGCTACATGCACAGCTCGGTGGAAGTCATCTCCTTGGAAGACATCGACAAAGCCGCCGACCTGCTCGCCGCCTTCGTCGTCGACCTGGACGAAAAAGACGACTTCACGCCGTAGGGCCTGGTAGGAACCTACGCCGGGTGGCCCAGCTTCTCGAAGCTGGGTCGCCGCAGGCGACAAGATGCCTTGAGCTAGCCTTCACCCTGGCAGTTGGCTCCGTCAAGCTTTGAATCAGGCCCACAAACTTCCCTCAGGTTCCTCGGTCGGCTGCGCCGCCCCGGATCAAGATCCGGGGCTACCCATGAGTGTGCGAGAGCCAGTCACCTCAAGCCCCAGCCCGACTGCCAAATTGGCACTTCCGACCCGGCAGGGCTCTACAGACCTTATCAGGGTCCAAAGTCCCTCATTATTCGTAAGTGCCTATTGAAAAACATCTTGCGACACAGCAAGCACTTCTTGGCACGGCTGTTGCACTTTCGCGGGTCAGGAAGAGGTCTACCTGCCAATTCGTGACGGAAGCGTTTCGGAGCGGCTGCTTCGAAGTACCAACAATAAATCGGCCATTTACACCAGACAGACCGTGCCTAACCGCGGTTGCCACTCGGGCGATCTCGGTTTCGCGGAGAAGTCAAAGCGAGATCGCTGACCGCAGATCGGGTTCGATGCGTTTCGAACCCGGCGGAGCAGGCGATCGGGCAACTAACAGGAGGAGATCACTGTGGCGAAGCGGATTGTGTTCGATGAGGAGGCACGGCAGCCACTGCTGGCGGGCGTAAGCAAGCTGGCCCGCGTCGTGCGAAGCACACTAGGCCCCCGAGGCCGCAATGCGGTGCTCGATAAGGGTTGGGGCTCACCCAAGGTCACCAAAGACGGCGTGACCGTCGCCGAAGACATCGAGCTGGAAGACCCCAACGAGAACCTGGGTGCTCAGCTCGTTAAGGAAGCCGCCAGCAAGACCAACGACGTCGCTGGCGACGGCACCACCACGGCCACCGTATTGGCCGAGGCCATCTACCGCGAAGGCCTGAAGATGATTGCCGCGGGTGCCGATCCCATGGCCCTTTCGCGTGGCATCCACAAAGCCACCGAAGTGCTCATCGAAGCCATCGGCAAGCTGGCCTCGCCGATCGACGCCAAGAGCAAGAAAGAAATCACCCAAATCGCCACCATCGCCGGCAACAACGACGCCACCATCGGCGAAGTCTTAGCCGAGGCCTTCTTGAAGGTTGGCAAGAACGGCGTGATCACCGTCGAAGAAGGTCGTCAGACCGAGACCGTGGTCGACATCGTCGAGGGTATGCAGTTCGATCGCGGCTATCTCTCGCCGCATTTCGTCACCGACCAGGACGAGCAAACCGTCAAGCTCGAAAACGCCCTGGTGCTGATCTACGAAGAGAAGATTTCCAACGCCAAGAACCTGGTGCCCGTGCTCGAGGCCGTCAGCAAGGCCAACAAGCCGCTGTTGATCATCGCCGAAGACGTCGAAGGCGAAGCCCTGGCCACCTTGGTGGTGAATAAGATGCGAGGCATCCTTAACGTGTGTGCCGTGAAAGCCCCCGGCTACGGCGATCGCCGTAAGGCCATGCTGGGCGACCTCGCGGTGCTCACCGGCGGAACGGCCATCTTCAAAGACCTGGGCATCGCCCTGGACGCCGTCAAGCTATCCGACCTGGGTAAGGCCAAGCGTCTGACCATCACCGCAGACAACACTACGGTTGTTGGTGGTGCTGGCAAGAAGGATGAAATCGAAGGTCGCGCCGAGCAGATTCGCCGCGAGATCGAAGTGACCGACAGCGAATACGACCGCGAGAAGCTGCAAGAGCGGTTGGCCAAGCTCGCCGGCGGTGTCGCCCAGATCAACTGCGGTGCCGTGACCGAAACCGAAATGAAAGAGCGTAAGGCCCTCATCGAAGACGCCCGCGCCGCGACTCAGGCCGCTTTGGAAGAAGGCATCGTCCCCGGCGGCGGTGTGGCCCTCATTCGCAGCGAAAAGGCCCTCGACAAGCTCGACCTCAAGGGCGACGAAGCGATGGGTGCCCGCATCATTCGCAACGTGCTCGATCACCCGCTGCGTTGGATTGCCGAGAACGCCGGCCTCGACGGTGCGGTGGTCGTCAATCGCGTGCGTCAGCTCAAGGGTAAGAACGAAGGCTACGACGCCGACAAAGATGCCTACGGCGATATGGTCGCTGCCGGAATTATCGATCCCGCCAAGGTCGTCCGCACGGCTCTGCAAAATGCCGCCAGCGTGGCCGCCTTGCTGCTCACCACCGAACTGCTCGTGACCGACATCCCCGTGGAAGACGACGGCGATGGCGACCATCACCATGACGACCACGGCATGGGTGGTATGGGCGGCATGGGTGGAATGGACATGGGCGGTATGGGAGGCATGGGCGGCATGGGAATGGGTGGCATGGGAGGTATGGGCGGCATGATGTAATGCCCCCTGCCACACCCCGCAACTCAACCACCGTTAAGCATCCCAAGAATTAAACAACTTCGATCTTTTTCGATAACGAACAGCAACCAGAGCTTTAAGGATAACTCACATGAAGGAAATCAAACTCCGTCCCCTGGACGATCGTGTTGTGATTGAACCGATGGAAGCCGAAGAAGTCACCGCCGGAGGCATCGTCCTTCCCGATACCGCCCAAGAGAAACCGCAACGCGGCACCATAGTGTCGGTCGGCCCCGGCAAGTTGCTCGACAGCGGATCGCGTGGCGATCTGTCCGTGGCCGTCGGCGACGAAGTCATCTATGGCAAGTACAGCGGCAACGACATCGAAGTGAACGGCAAAGACGTGAAGATCATGCGTGAAGGCGACATTCTGGCCAAAGTGCTCTAATCAGCCGCCGGAACGTACTTCCGATTCGTTAACAAGAACCGGGGCCCCAGCCCCACTGGCGTATGCCTCGACTGCCCTCTGGGTGTCGACCAAACCAAATAACTTTGTTGAAGGAGCCATTTGTCGTGGCCAAGCAATTGCTTTTTGAGGACCGAGCCCGAGCGAAAATGCTGCGGGGCGTTGCCAAACTAGCCGATGCTGTCGCGGTTACGATGGGGCCCACCGGCCGCAACGTGATCATCGACAAGTCCTTCGGCGGACCGAGCGTTACCAAGGACGGTGTGACCGTCAGCAAAGAAGTTGAACTGGACGACCCGTTCGAAAACATGGGCGCCAAGCTGGTGAACGAAGTCGCTTCGAAGACCTCGGACATCGCCGGCGACGGAACCACGTCGGCCACCGTGCTGGCCCGCGCCATCTTGACCGAAGGTACTCGCCAGGTTGCCGCAGGTAGCAACCCCTCGGCCGTGCGTCGTGGCATCGAGAAGGCCGTTGACGCAGCCGTCGAACACCTGGTCAGCATGGCCAAGCCCGTGTCGAGCAAGGACGAAGTTGCTCAGATCGGGGCCATCAGCGCCAACAACGACAAAGAAATCGGCAATCTCCTGGCCGACGCCATGGAGAAGGTCGGCAAAGACGGCGTTATCACCGTCGAAGAAGGCAAGACTGCTGAGACTACGCTCGAGTTGGTCGAAGGTATGCAGTTCGACAAGGGCTTCATCTCGCCCTACTTCATCAACGAGCCGACCAGCATGGAAGCCGTGCTTGAAGACTGCTACGTGCTGCTGCACGAGAAGAAGGTCAGCAACCTCCGCGAGCTGATCCCGCTGCTCGAGGCCGTGAGCCAAAAGGGCAAGCCGCTGTTGATCATTGCCGAAGACGTTGAAGGCGAGGCTCTCACCGCCTTGGTCGTCAATCGTCTGCGGGGTGTGTTGAACATCTGTGCGGTGAAGGCCCCCGGATTCGGCGATCGCCGCAAAGCGATGCTCGGCGACCTGGCCGTGCTCACCGGTGGTACGCTCATCAGCGAAGACCTCGGCATCAAGCTCGAAAACGTCGGGCTCGAACACCTCGGTCGTGCCAAGCGGATCACGGTCGACAAGAGCGACACCACCATCGTGCAAGGTGCCGGCAAGACCGAAGACATCCAAAAGCGAATCTCGCAGATTCGTAACCAGATCGAGCAGACCGAAAGTGAGTACGATCGCGAGAAGTTCCAAGAGCGTCTCGCCAAGCTCACCGGTGGTGTGGCCATCATTTCCGTGGGTGCCGACACCGAAGCCGACATGAAGCAGAAGAAGGCCCGCGTCGAAGACGCTCTGCACGCCACGCGTGCGGCGGTCGAAGAAGGCATTCTGCCCGGCGGTGGTGTGGCTCTCTTGCGATGCGAAGAAGCGGTGGAAGCCATTCGCAGCAAGGCCCGCGGCGACGAGAAGATCGGCGTCGACATCATCAAGCACGTGCTGCAGGCTCCCATCAAGCAAATCGCCGACAACTGCGGGCTCGACGGCTCGGTGGTTGCCGACGAAGTGCGTCAGAAGAAGGGTAGCCAAGGCTACGATGCCAACGCCGGTGAGTATGTCGACATGCTCAAGGCCGGTATCATCGATCCCTTGAAGGTAGTTCGCAGTGCGTTGAGCAACGCCGCCAGCATTTCTGGCCTGATGCTCACCACCGAAGCCTTGGTCACCAACATTGGTGACGACAAGGATAGCCACAAGGTCGAAGGTAGCGTTCGCTAGAACGGCTGCTAGTTGACGAATTAGCACAAGCGGGCCACCTTCCGCATTTCAGGAGGGTGGCCCCTTTTGTGCCCCTGTTCTCGAACTCAAGAAATAAGGGTGAATCGACCGAACGCGAGCCGCTGGCCCGGGAGCAGCGATACCATCCGGGGCAGACATGATCAGGCCCTAGGCTTAAGATCAGGTGTCGTGCTGGTCCATTCCCCCCAAAAACCATGGTTAACATGGCTTCGCAACGCGATTATTACGAAGTGCTGGGCGTCACTCGAGATGCCTCTCAGCAGCAGATCTCCGTCGCCTACCGCAAGTTAGCGCTACAGTACCACCCAGACCGCAACCCCGACGACGAGGATGCGATCACGCGGTTCAAGGAATGCGCCGAAGCATTCGAAGTGCTCAGCGATGACGAAAAGCGAGCCCGCTACGACCGCTTCGGCCATGCCGGCGTCGACGGTTCTGCAGGTGCAGGCGGTCCACACTTCACCGATGCCGAAGATATCTTCGATGCCTTCGGTGATATGTTCGGCGACATCCTCGGAGGTCGTGGCCGAGGGCGTCGCGCCCGACGCGGCACCGATGTCCGCTGCGATGTCACGCTCGACCTCATCGAGGCCGCCCGCGGCACCACCAAAGTGCTCAAGTTCAATCGCCGCGAGAGCTGTGGTACCTGCAGCGGCAGCGGTATCCGTCCCGGCGAAGAAGCAGAAACCTGCAGCTACTGTGGTGGCCAGGGGCAAGTGCTGCAAAGCTCCGGTTTCTTCCGCGTGCAAACCACCTGCCCGGGCTGTCGGGGCCGAGGAAAGATTATCCGCAACCCTTGTCTCGACTGTCATGGCGAAGGCCTCGTGGTCGAGTCGGTCGAACGCGAAGTGCACATTCCCGCCGGGGTCGATAGTTCCACCCGACTGCGACTCGAAGGCGAAGGCGAACCCAGTAGCGCGGGCGGCCGACGGGGCGATTGCTACTGCTTCATCACCGTCCGCGATCACCCCTTGTTCCAACGCGAGGGACAGCACCTGATCTGCGAAGTGCCCATCATGTACTCGCAGGCCGTGCTGGGGGCCACCGTCGAAGTGCCCACACTCGATGGTCCCGAAGACTTGGACATTCCCTCGGGCACCCAGACAGGCAAAGTTTTCAAACTACGCGGCCGCGGCATGCCCGACCCTCGCGGGCGTGGCAAAGGCGACTTATTGGTTCAAGTGCACATCGAAGCCCCCAAGGTACTCTCGCCACGGCACGAGGAAGTGCTACGCGAGCTGGCCGAGATCGAGCATGCCAACGTGAGTCCGCACCGTAAAAGCTTCTTCGAAAAGCTCCGCGAGTATTTCATCCCCGACAGTGACGAGGATGAATCGGAGGATCAATCGTGATGCAAAACCAATCCATTCCGCCTGAAGACGGCGACCAAAAACAAACTATGGAAAACGAGACCAGCGAAAACACCGATTACGAGGCCGAGTCTGAACAAGCGGCCGATGCGCTCGACCGCGTTGTGGCCGAGGCGGCCGAGTTCAAGAACCTCGCCTTGCGAGCCCAGGCAGAGCTGGAGAACTACCGCAAGCGAGCCAGCCGCGAACTGCAGGACGAACGCCGTTACGCCAGCATGCAGCTAATGCGCGACTTGCTGCCCGTGCTCGACAACCTCGAAAGAGCCATTCGCTCGGCCGAGCAGAATGCCGATTCGGTTGGTCTGCTCGAAGGTGTGAAGATGGTCAGCGGGCAATTCCACTCGGTGCTCGAAAAAAACAATTGCGTCGCCATCGCCAGCTTGCACGAGCCGTTCGACCCGAACTTGCACGAGGCCATTCAGCAGTTGCCTTCAGACGAGCATCCGCCGAACACGGTCATCGACGTGGCACAGCAAGGGTATCAGCTTCACGAACGGGTCGTCCGACCCTCGCAGGTGATCGTCTCAAAAGAGTCAACGTCGGAGTAACCACAGCAATGCCCACTTACGATTACGTCTGCGATGCCTGCGGGCACGAGTTCGAGCTGTTCCAGTCAATCACCGAAAAGGTGAAGCGAAAGTGCCCCGAGTGCAAGAAGCCCAAGCTTCGCCGCCTCTTCGGCACCGGCGCAGCCATCGTCTTCAAAGGCTCGGGCTTCTACCAAACCGACTACCGCAGCGACTCCTACAATAAAGCCGCTGCGGCCGACAAGAAAAGCAGCGAAAGCTCGTCCGACAAAAAGTCCTCCGAAAGTAAGTCCGACTCGAAGGCCTCCGGCGATAAGAAGTCGACCTCCAAGAGCAAGTCGACCAAAAGCGACTAGCCGAACCGTCGCGCGGCTTGACTCTTGCGGCTTTCGAACACGTCAATTCGCTCGACAGCCTCGCGGTGGAATGATCGTGAACAGCAGGGCATTTCACGGCGTCCTCACCAACGCTTGCCCACTCGTATATAATTCACTGTAACACGCACCTGCGATTTGGTCACCGCTTTCATTGCGGACCAAAGTTTGTCCACCGCACACCGCGGCGCTAAGCAGCTTCGCCTTGAAGCCCAATTCATCATGCCTTCCGTCCGCTGCCCAATTTGCGAACGCGTTTTCGATGCCGACCATTCGACGGCGATGCCCTTCTGCAGCGATCGCTGCCGCCAGGTCGACCTCGGCCGTTGGCTCAACGAGGACTACGGCCTCCCCGTCGAAGACAACGATGACGAGCACGACGAGGAGTACGGTTGATACTCCGAAAAGCGTTCGCGTGAAGCGAAAGCTCACTTGGCTGTGGTTTTATTCCAAGAATGGCAGTTTGTCGGTGTGATGGCCTATCATCTTCCACTTGCCATTCTCTTTGCGGAACACATTCGTCGCCCGTAGCGAAATCTTCACCGGTTTGCCATCGACCATGTTCTCGCCTACCTCACGGCACTCCATCACGGCCAGCTCTTTACCCACATTCAGCATGATTTGCTCGTGGTGAACCTCGCCGCCTAGCTTCATGTCGGCCTGCTTTTGGAAGTCGGCCAGCGTCTTCTTCCATCCCACGTTCACCTTGCCATCAGGCCCCAGGTACGTAATGTCATCAGCATGCGACCATGCCGCCTTCATCGGCTCGAGGTCGCCTTTGAACATCGCGTTCAGCGCACCATAGAATTCAGCAGTAGCCGCTTGGACCGCTACCTTATCCGATTGCTCACCCCCCAGCACCCGCCCCGAAAGCGCGGTCGAAGAAACGAACAACAGTCCCGCCGTGGCCAAAAAGATCGAGGTCTTCATTGCTAAAGCTCCTGGATAGAACAGACGGTTTATAGTCATACTGCACGCGAGTTCGAGATGTTTGGCTCGAGAAGGGAACTGATCGGACGTCCAACGTGGAACCGGAGAATGAATGACCTCATCATGCGCGGCTGGTTTAGGTCCGAATACTACTCCTCATCCTGCGGCACCAGTTTGATCTGCCGTAGATCAACCAGGGCTCCTTGCACGGGACCGGCGGGGCGGACGGTGAGTTGGCCCTTGCCTTTGCGAAGGGTAAGGCTTCCGACGCGCACCTTGCGGTAGCGGTCCCAGCCGCCAGTGCCGCGGATCTGGCCTTGGAGGTTCGCTCCTTGGGCGTCGAGCTGGAAGTGGTTCCCGGCCGAAGGGTTATCGCAGGCGTAATCCAGCAGCACCTCGTAGCGGCGGTCGTCGTCGAGTTCGAAGTCCCACACCACCAAGTCAGACTCGGCGTGCCACATGCCGACGTTCTGGAAAGTCTCCTCAAACGCAATGTCGCCGCCATAAATCGCGGCCGCCGTGGCCGGTAGTAGCAACAGCCCGTCGCTTGAAGGTCGCACCATCTGTGGTTGGTTGCCGGCAAACTTCTTCGGCGGTGTGGAGAGACCTTGGAAGTATGCAATCAAGTCGGCCAGGTCTTGCTGGGTGAGGTCGCGTTCCAGCCCTTCAGGCATCAGCGACTTGCCGGTGGCCTGCAGTTCATCAAGATCCCTCCGCAGGATCACCGCCTCTTTACCTTCCTGCATGGCCAGCGTGATACTGCCGCCCGACTCGTTCGCCAGAATGCCGGAGAAGATACGGCCATCGTTGGTCGCCGCCGAGTAGCTAACGTAGCGATTGTCGATCGCCTGGTTCGGATCGAGCACGGCAATCAACAGCGCCTGCGGCGGCTTCACTGCATACGAAGCCAGGTCCGGGCCAACCGCGTGCCCGACGTCATCGAGACGGTGACACAACGAGCAGCGTTTCACGAACACTTCCTTTCCACGAACCCGATCGCCGGAGAGGTCATGCACTGTTTGATACTCGGAGATGACCGCCTCACGGTCGGAACTGAAGTTCGCCAGCAACTTGGCGGCACGTGCGGCCAGTTCAGCGTCGGGAAGCTGCATGAGCCGCTCACGACGAGCCGCATCGAGCAAAGCCGGCTGGATCAGCCCCGCTTCAATCCCGTCGAGCACTTGGGCGATCCACTCATTCCGGCTCACCAACGCATCGAGCGCAATCGCCTGACTCGCCGGACCGAACGAGCCCCAGTTCTCAACTAACGCTTCCGCACTTGCCCCGTCCGGAATTCGCACCAACGCCGCAATCGCCCGCTTCTGAATCGCCGGCGAGTGCTGCGGAGTTAGCAACTTGCTAAGCGCATCAATATCCTTGCCCCGTTGTTCAGACCTCAGGCCGAGCAGCCCGATGGCCGCTACCCGTTCGGCATCTTCCAGTTCATCGTCAATCACCATCGCCCGGGCGTTGGCAATCGCCCCGTCGATTCGCTCGATACTTACCGTATCCACCGCCTCCGTTCTCGACTCAATCACGGGAATCAATCCACCCAGTAACCCCCTCCGCCACGGCTCGAGCGGTTGCGTCGATGCAGGCAGAACGAAGTCGACCACCTTCCCAAGCGTCGCCGCATCCCCCAAAATCGCACACTGACGTACGACCTCCGCCAGCAAGGGGCTGGTCCACTCTTCTTCTGTTTCTTTTGCAGCAATCGCCGCCGCCAGCACATCGGCGATATTATCCGCATTGAACGAACTGATCGCGACGGCCGCCGA